CGACATCGATTCTCCTAGAAAAAGTGTTCAAAATGCAAAAATAAGAGTTTTGTTAGTGGCGTCATTGCAGCCGCCCAAGGTTATTGGGGGCGTATGGGGGCCCGGCAGTCAGAAATTTTTTCTTTCAAAAAAAAATTTGAAAAATGGTTTCAGTATCAGAAAAATGCGCTGAAAATTATCCCGAGGTCAGATTTGCTCTAAAAAAAGTCCCGAGGTCGATGGGGGTCTCGTTTAGCCACTGTCCACGGCAACTTCCGCTGTCGCGCGCTCCCAAACCCTAATTCTCATAACGGTCCTCATACTCATAACCCTATTCCTAATTCAGAATTCATACTCAAAACGGCTTTCACAATCATAATCATACTTTGATCCTACCGGTTATCATATTTTTGTTCATAATCATAACTCAAACCTTTACCGCTACTCATACCAGTGCGGTACTGCGCTTATTGTTATTAGCAAAAGCATTATATTGTTTATTAATCGTAAAACCGTATTATTGACACTAAGTAGTAATTGCTGTTGCGCAAATTGTGCACCGTTCTTGAATTTTTTAAAAATTTTTTTTAATATCTGCTTTTGTCCTGGCTAGCAACGATTAAACTGCGTTATTACTCTTCCTGTGCTCTATTGCTGTACAGTGTACACGATGCTTTTGTCGAAATTTAGTTTTGTGGAAATAAAAAGTTAACAGCCCGTTCACTTTTTGTTTGGTGGAAGCTACGTAGTAAGCCCATTAACATTTCAGGTTTTTTCATCATTAGCACTACTTCAAGTAGTTTAAAAAATGGACGAAAGTGGACAATGGTAGATTTTTTTGCTCAGGTTTTATATGCAGATTAAACTACTTAGCTTTCGTTACCCAGTTCAAGTTTGCTGAAGTCATTTTGTAATGAAGCCATTTTCGAATAAATATTTTTTCGCTACTAATTATGATGAAATAATTTTTACGAGTGGACGAAAGCGGGCGGTTGAGTAGACTTACATGAACACATAGTTGTAATTGAATATTACATTTTTGACACACCAGCATGAGTAATGGTTAAGATATGAGCTATAATTATGAATAAATTAATATGATGACCGGTAGGACCAAAGTATGATTATGATTATGAGGGCCGTTATGAGTATGGATTCGAAATTAGGAGTAGGGTTATGAGTATGAGTATGAGGGCCGTTATGAGTATGGATTCGGAATTAGGAGTAGGGTTATGAGTATGAGTATGAGAGCCGTTATGAATATTAGGTACATACCTAGCCATACAAAAAAGTGTCTAGATTGCGCGACAGCGAAAGTTCCCGTGTATGTACCCGAATTTGGTGCTATGTGCCGGGGCAAATCCCTTGATTGTCTAATTTATATGTAATTTCTAAATATTAGGCCTCGTCCCCAATCTGTAGCGAATCTAGCTACGGTACAGGACACCACCGTCCCATAATAGGAGTTACGCGATACGGTATGTCGGTTCTCGCTTCGCATATCTGGTTATCAGTGCAAAGATTCGGGACGGGGTGCTGCGTATCCGAATGCGTCCCGTTTCCACAACTCTCAGATACGGTATCCTGCGAACCGCATCTCAGAACCCGTACCAAACCCGCGTCTCACATCAACCAAAAATTTTACGAGCGCTTTTTATGCATACCCTGAAATACAAAGAAAAATGATACGGTACGCAAAGCCACCTCCAGAGGTGGCTTTCCCTGGTATTTTTTTGTTGATGAGCGAGCATTTTTTAGTATTGCCATTGTGTGACGATTTCTTTTCGTGGGTTATTTACGTTTTGTGAAATTCCTAATCATTTTAAAACCCAACTGAATGCACAAAAAACTGAAACAGGAAATGTGACCAGCTCAAAACAATAAAAATTCTACCAGATAACAACAATTAAGTACTACAACATCATGCGGCTACAGAGAAGCGGAATGGTTTCGAAAAACAATGGTTTCAAAAAACAATTATTCAGACCGAGTGTGTTTTGGAATACGAAATTGGTTTGTATTCTTTACCATATAAAATACTGAATAGGAGCGCTCGGACAATGAAGATCTAAATTTTCAAATTTTGATCCGTATGTACTACTTATGTAGCTGCTCTAACGCTATTACTATACTGCAGCATGCTGGCCAAAATAAATAATTGCGCGGGTGGTGCGACTGATCTGACTCATCACCAGCTAAAAAGTAAGGACAATGATGCCAAAAACTTTCAATCCAGGGAACAACATCTAGCAATTCAGACTAGGAACTAACTAGAATGAGGGCATAAAAACAGCACAAGAATACGCAAATACGCAAATACAGCGATACGGAACCAAAGCTGAAAGTTCGACACAGAAAACGGAGAGCGAGCCCAGTTTCGATATGCGTAGCCTGTGCTGCATCTTGGTGATGCGCACCAAATAGTGTCCCATTTTTGTACTGTAGCGAAACTAGATACGGTGCTGTATCGCAACGAGATACGCTTTAGAAAGGGGACGAAGCCTTTAAATATCTAAAAGCCGCGCCGACGCGGACGAAGCGCTTTAAATATCTACAAGTCACTTGGGGCAGTAACCGAACCGGTTTAAGTGACTCGTGCTTGGAACCGTTAGAAAGGAAGTGACTTCGATGTCAAGTCGAACCACATACGGAACCGAACCGGTCGAACCGTTGATATCTCTACTCACATGGCGGCTCGGTGATACTGGTGGTAGCTTGGGCATTCACTAACCTCGAAATCTAATAAACATGTATTAATTTTATTTTAATAAATACTGAAGAGCTTGACTGATGGCTGAAAAAATCTTACAATTAGTATCTAAAGATGCAGCCTGCAAAGACACCTTGGGCGACCGTTAACTGTTCCCCGCAAGTTTCCATTAATTCTGCGCTAAAAAATGGTATTTTATGGGCATCGTGTGCAGATATATGACCCCACTCAATCCATTTTATCACCGTAAAAATATTTTCTGTGGTACCAAAAAAATCAAGTCTTCAGTTCGTTAGATCGGTAATATAAAGTTACATTAAAAACGCGATAAAGAACCATGAAAAAAGAAAAACTTACGGGGGCTTTCACAGTTTTCAGAAAATGGTCGAATTTAACCGGAAAGCTTGAAAAAATTCCGCATTTCCAAATGTTCAAAATATTTTCGTAGCTGGCCTCGCTGGGTTTCATATTTGAAATATTTCTCAAAATCTTTTTTAATGCTTTACGAAGTATATTTTGTATTTCTTTAATTCTTCCATACCTCAAACACAACTGGTCGCGCGCTAGCGCGACCGATACTTGTAAATCTGTATACTTACTTGGAAGCACATATTTACATATATAGATACTATATACTGTACATAGTACATACATTAGGTACTCAAGTATAAAATTACAAGCTGAGCACGGATGAATATTGGCTTGTACGACTATTATTAACTGCAATGCTTTAATTTCTACAGTTTTATGTATTATGCCGGTAAAACTAAAGAAACAATCAGAATGAGCGATATTATAGTTTTCAGTGACCTGCCTACATACTTTACGTAAGTACTATCAGTATTACACACAAAGATGCTTTGCTTTTCGTTTTCTTACATACTCGTAATGAACATACTTATGTTTATCGCAACACGGACTGGCTAAATAGTGTACAGAAGTTATTTACACATAGTTTACGCTGATACTTTGTACTGTACTAAAATACGAGCAAAGATACTGCTAGAATGCTAGTGTTCCGCTGGGTCAGGTCGGGTTAGATGTGTATGCATTTCTTATCGTGTCCATGGTAACAAGCTTACGACTGACCACTGGACGTAGCCAAATGATTTTAGCAAAAAATCAATAATCTATGATCCACCGCCACATTGAGAGAATTCTGATGCACTTTAAAGTAGCAAAATTGGTGAAGTAGAAGCCGAGATCCTTTGCCTCAAAGGAGAGGGGCCGAAGTTCTGGCACAGATGATTAGTATTCATATAACCAGTTTACGGGATCTACATCCGTACACAAACTTTTGCGGCGCAAGTTTGCTACGCAATGCACACTTCGCAACGGTTGATTGCATTGGTCCCAGCCGCTAAGAAAACTACGAAAACTAAGAAAGAGAAAATCTAAGAAAACTTGAGAAACCCTAAGAAAGCCTAAGAAACCTAAGAAAACAAAGAAACCCAAGAAATCTAATAAACCTAAGAAACTTAAGACCTGAAAACCCTAAAAATACCTAAGAATACCTAAGAAACCTGAGAATACCTAAGAAAACCTAAGAAACCAAAGAAACCTAAGAAACCGAAGAAAACCTAAGAAACCTAAGAAACCTAAAATATCTAAGAAATATCGTATATGAAAGAATACGAGATATACCGATCACGCTGGTGGGATTGACTACGATTAATTTTTGCACATGTTTCTTAAATTTTCAATACTTTGTAACGTGCCGATGCCGAAGGCCGCGGTCTGTCTCGGTTTTTCCGAACGGTCCGCGAACAGACAATGCATTTACCATGTATGTCTATGGGGGCCCATGGCAACAATTTGTTTTTTGGGGCTACTCCTTCCCTTTTGGGGCGTATCGATGGCGCAATAGCGTAAGAACATTCGCGCCGTTGAGACGAATTTAACGCACTTGGCCGCGTCGAAATCGGTTCAGCCGTTCGCCCAAACATTGGCTACATTATCAATCGTGTATACGTGGTTACGGATGTAGATAAATAAATATAAGTAAGTATCTAAGTGCTATATAATTAAGTATTTTCAATTAAGAATTAAGTCAAAATATAGCTGTCTTCTGCTACACAAAACTTTTCAGTTTAACAATCACTGGATGCGGTAATCACTGGATGTGGATGACTGGATGCGGTGATTTTTGGATGATGTCGTAACAAACTTCTGCACTAAACCGAAATTTTAGTATGTAATGATCTAGTACAGGAAACAGTAGAGAATTCTGGAAAACAAATTACCGTGCAAAGCACCGAAATACGGGTATGTTGCACAAAGCACAATTACTAACCAGTTCAAACATCTTCACCTGCAGTCAACGAACATGGGCGACGTCCGCACCCACTTTCGGCAGCAGTTGATGCACTTCTCCGACTCGCACCATTTTCCCGTTCCTGACCCCGCCCAATATAGGACCCCACTGGCCGCAGTGTTTCCGGCTCCGTCAGCATCCGGGCATCGTCTACGATGATGTGCTTGAAAGAGATCGTGCTGCGGCTTGAACTATGCGTCAGACGCATCAGGGCGCCCACCGAGGCGAAGATTAACGTATGGCATGATCAACGCCATTCAACGGTGTCGGCGCCTCGCCGGTGTAGGTATCCGTTGAGTAAAGGTTAATCGTGCAGAAGTCGATCACCGATGCGTTGGCTGATGGTACAATAACAAACCATAATAAATTTTTAAAAAAATCGTTTTTTGCTAATTATTAAAAACTAATTTCCTTCATAAATGCGCTTGCAAATTAGCCAACAACAAATTGCTCAAATTAAGTAAGTACAGACTGTACAGTTTAGTGGCGATGGCATCGGCCACCGCATACGTGCGCCAGTTACGTCGGTGCTCGAAGATTGCAGTGTGCACACTGTGCAGGACAACGGCTACTGCAGTAGCCACAAAATCAAAATATACGTGAGCAAAATTACCGTATTACGAAAAATCCTACGGCGCAGTAGTTTACTGCGCCGTAGTTCCTGCAGTATGGAGTACTATGTATTCGTCTAATTTTTGTTTTGTTGTTTTTCACGATTTCAGATGAAAATATTTTCTGAATTTGTAGCCGGGGACGGCTCCCTGTTGAGTGATTGGGTAATCTGGGTAGATTAGTCTAATAATATATACTCGTAACTCGTTCTGGTACGAGTACATTACGTGGTTCGCGAATTTCTTTCTGATAGGAAAACTTCACTGTTTTCTTTCAGTCTGTCCTTTATCGTAGTCCTGTCGCGGCCGTTTATTATTCTCCACTGACTGACACCGTCGTGTTGTGATCCATAGCCTAAAATAGTGTGTATTATTACACAGTTTGTGTACGAGTAGTTTTAAATGTGCTTTGTGCATTTTTAACTTTCTAAATGTGCAAGATTAAAAAACGAGGAATCCAACGAGAAAAGTTTAGAGGGGTCTGAAAGATTAAAATTTAACTTATAATTTGCATTTTTAATGGAATTTCTTGACATTTCAAGAGAAAATCGTTCGTCAGCTTCGCGCTTCGCGCGAAAAGGATATTATTTCCATCTAAAAGTTCAACAGCGAGGTCACCGCACGTTAATGACGCCAAGAATAAGCTCACTTCCTCTGTTCAAAATACATGGCTGGCATTCTTAAATTTGAATTTAGAGTAATTGTGAGTAGCTTAGAGCAGTTGTCCATACTTTGGTAATGATTTTTTTTCGCATTAAAACTGTGAAAACAAAAGGAATGGCCTTGAAAAATGAGTTATCTAGCGTTTTCCTAACAAAATGGCTCGTCAGCTTCACGCTTCGCTCGAAAATTTTTTTAACCATCAATAGTCAAATGCTTTTTTAACATACAAAGCATTTCAGTAAAAAAAATGTCTGTGCCCCTAACCAAGCCCCCTTGGGGGCGCCTGGGGGAGTGTGTAGTTTTAAAACTCCACTATTTTAGGCTCTGTTGTGATCAGCCGCCAATAAAAAAATATAAAAAAAATAGCAGATGTTTCTTCGCCTGGACCTTTTCAAATTCAGCGAATAAAACGGTATTTTACCAGTTAGTAACCCAGGGTCATTATGTTGTCGTAAGGTTTTTATTTTGGGAGAGTTTATTATGCCTGGGTCAGTTGATCCATGTTCGGGTAGAATCGTCTTTGAAATAGGTTCGGTTCTATAGGGCTAACAGCGAGCGTTTCGCAAGCTTTATTCGAATTTTATTTTTCCAAGGCAAAGAGAAAACTAGTAATAATAACCGAGTATTATTGGTAATTATAAAAGAACGCGTACGAACGTTACATGCGTGATGCGCAATTGCACATTGTCTACAAAATTGGTTAAATATCTGTAGCACGATTCACAACATTTTTTAACTGAAATTGGTGAGAGAATGAATTCATATTTTTCACGTATTTAGTCCTGTGCTTGGCACTGCTTGCATTTGGGTGGGTCAGTTTAAGGTCGTTTAGCAGTACCCTGCTTGCTTTAAATTTCGGCGTACGTGGGTTCTTATTCTTTACATTATGCATTTATTGTCCCTTCTCGTGCTAACTGGGACAAATTCTTTATTTGCACGTATTTCGTGAGTGATGCTCGCCTTTAAAATTATTGCAAATAAAGTGTACCAATATTGCATTTGCATTATATTATGTCTTTTTGCATAATATTCGTGCTCTCCTTAAAGTACGGTAACAACTAACAACAGTGTACCGTTTGTGTACGGTATCTAGTGTACTGGTTTTAAGAAAAACTAGCGTCGTTGCAATTCATCGCATTACAATACTTTCTGAAGTTTCGTAATATAAATTTAATATTGCAACATCACAAGTTACTCGTACAATATCCTCGTATCATTTTTTGCTTTTGCCTTTAGCCCAAGGTTTGGGCAGCTTATTTGGGGACCCATTTTCTAAATCGATCCGGGAAGGTCACTAATAAAAATACGGTCGTTTGCTTGCGGTTACTTATACGTGGCGTCACTGGTTGTGTTCTGCAGACCGTCATAGCTAGCCTCCAGTTCCACCTGCTGTGCGGTCAGCCATTGCCGGATAAACGAGCTGACTACAGTCGGCTTCCGGTAGAATTATGGATGGAAGTGATTTCCCATTTGGACACACTGCAGCAGACGGCGCTGCGCGCCGTCTCGGCAGCATGGAACGACATCATCGTCTCGCAGAAATATTCGCTAACGGCCACGCTTAGCATAACCAGTCGGAAGGGTGGCACTCGTCGCCCGCGCTTCCTTCTCTCGGCGGTCATCTACAAATGTCTGCGCCCCCACACCCGAAACCTTCTCGTGGTTGACCGCCATAATTATTTTGATATGGAGGATATTCTGGCGATGCTGGGCATGATCAACTACATGGCGGAGCTGTATCCTGGGATCCGACTGCCGACGGTGTCTTTGAGGGGTATGACGCTGCGTCTGTGGATCCACAGCGAGTCAGATTCCATCAACCGGGGAGTGTGTATGGTGGACCGGAGGAGTGGGTCCATGGCGGAGATTGGCCACCGGTATTGTCGCCTGCAGAATTTTGTGGGTGTTTGCCGAAGTCTGCCGGGTGACGTGCTCAGCATGACGAACTGCGACGTTGAGTTGTGTAGCCAGGAGATAAACCAGCAGATGTCTGTTTATCAATGAAATTTCCGGAAGCGCGGATCAGCCTGGAGGGCCGACGTTTCGGCTGCGCTCTGTGGGATGCGCTGGAGGCGGCGCTGGCTGTGCCGCCGGCGGCGCAGCTTGCCTGGTTGTCGCTGCATGTAGCTGGGCTGTCCCAGCCGCCGATAGAGCCGCCGATAGGTGAAAAAAGGGAGATCCTGTGGGTGTGCCAGGTAGAAATTTGTTCCAGGGAATTTTGTTCAGTTGTAAATAGTTTCCCGGCTTATAACGTTAACAACCGATGATAACCCTACCGATGAAAGTGAATTGACGTTGCTTTGCAGATAGTGAGTTCGGTGCAGACGGCAGATCCACGTCCGGGGTCGCATTACCACGGAAAAGAATGGTTCGAGGCTATCCTGGGAGATCTGCAGTTAGAGAAACTATCGCGCATGTCCCTGCATTTTCTCGCGCAAATTAGATCTTAAAGCGCGCACACAAGGACGATGACATTGACAACATATGATGAATAAGGTCACAACGCTCAACGATCGGTGAACAGTTTCATTTTTGTTGTGATTAACTTTTAACATGAGCTGGTTTGCATCATTTGTTAACAGTATTTATGTTTTTCATTTCTGAGCTTTGTTATGATAATTAATTATAATCCTGTAGTTACAATTTTAGATATTTCTTTGTACTTAGGAAGGAAGTACAGTAATTTGTAAGCTTCTCAGCAGCAGCGATCATTGCATTTCACTGGAATTTTCGAAGTTACGTAATTTGGAAATGTACAGTACAGTTGGAATTTTCTTCGTCAGTGACTTTTGTTGGAGGTACAACGAGAAAACGCGGCATCGGTGGCTGGTACAATGGAAGGAACGAAAAAGTTTAATGAGTGCAATGTTTAGCTTTGGTTTGTCTTCTTTGAGACCGCATCGTTTTAAAACGAATAAAAACTAGTACAGTACTTAATGAGAACTCTTCTACAAGGTATTTAACTTCAATAAGTGTACACAGTAGTTCAGAGATGAATGAACTGGGTAATATCTATATATTAATTTTGCCTGTTGAACCATAATCGATTCCAGCGCATTATGTTCCGTTGTATACAATCAAGCTCCGCTACCAGAAATACAAATTTTCGTAAAGCCTGAGTATCGCTTATAAGGCTTGCCTTTCACTAACTTTAATACCTGCTAGTCAGAAACCGAACATCAAAATCATAAAACAAACCCTTTAAAAACAATTAAACAAACGATTACAGAATATACACATCACGGTACGCGTATACATCACGCCTTAAACAGGAATCATTAAAAATCTGTAAAAACGGCCTACCAAAATAAAAACACGGAATCTCGACTAGGAAACCACCAGATCTCTCTTTTCCGCTTTAAACATGAACCGGGAAAACATTGCACAGATCTGGGCCGTTCAACCGGGGAACGAATACACCACAAAAGGAACGCATTCATAGGATACACATTCACTGGGGCAAGGGACTCGGCTGGCCGGCACCGGGACTCTTCATGCCGTCAATTTGCGGCCGATGGATGGTGCCGTTGAGGGACAGCGCGTCGTCATCCCCGCTCACCACCATCATCGTGCCGTAGTCCAGGATCTTGTTCTCCTTACTGTGCCGGATACCGTAGCCAAAATACACCAACAGACCTGCAATTTCGTACACATAAAATAAAATAACGGAGTTCTTAACTTTCCTTTTCGTATAAAATTTTTGTATCTACTAGGCACACGCTATCTTATGTACGTCTTCTTCACCATTAAGCATGAGAGTACCACCGAAGCAACACCAAACAGTATTTATTTTTATTAAAATATGACAGCGGTTAAAATGAAATGATCGCGAGAACATTAATACAACAAACTGTGCAAACTGCGCGTTAAAGAAGGATTATCACAGTGTCCAGAATCCAGATCGGTAATTCACATCGACAAAAACTTTTCAAAAAGCAGTACTTTGGCTAGAAAATTGCACACATTATGCAGTGAAATTCAACCCGAACACAAGTTTATTAAACCTGAGTACGGAAATATACGGCATACAGAAAGTACTGCCAATTTGCCAAATAAAGCATATGCCGATGTACTACAATGCTAACTGGATTACAGTACAATCAGAAACGGGACTGCATATACGAGTAGAATGCACTACAATTACTCAGTTCATTGCGTGCGCCCATCCAGCAACCCGGCTTACCAATGACCATCCATATAAAAAAGCGAAGCCAGGTCATATTTGTCAGGTTGGTCATGAGTACGACGTTGCAGAAAATGGACAAAGCCGGCGTGAAAGGTACAAAAGGAACCTGTAAATGAATAACGAATTGCAGCACGCTTCCCTTATAATCTGCATTCCAAATCTACGCTTCCTACGGAAAATCTTAGCATGTCTCCTTAATAATACTGCGTTCCGTAACAATAAAATCATGAACTGCCCACACTTAAGAACTCGAAAACCTGCAAATTATCGGCATCAGTTTCCCCTCAGAAGCAGAGGTTTTCCGTGCACTTTTTAAACCATCAGTCTGACAATCTTTCCTAAGGAAGCACATTTTTAACCAAGTTATACTACATAATTGATTGCACTGAATAATTTATCTGTGTAACAAAACAGCGGAATGATAAATACAGTAACTGATTTATAATACCTGAAAGCTCAAGTTGAGATCGCTCTGTCGATGGACAATAATCAACCCGAAACTCAGCACCAATCCAATCCCGAAGACAATGGCCATGATGACCATCCACCACGTCCCGCGCTGCAGCTGTCCCAGCCCGTGCACCAGCGTCGAGCAGAAGGCCCCGGTGAAGATGGCCATCAGCACCACGCCCACCACCACCGCCACGCCCGGACGCAATTTGGACAGGAAGGTCATATAGCTAAACGCCGGCTTCAGCGTCCCGGCCATCTTCTGCTTCTCCTCGGCCACCGTGGACGGCGGCATCCCGGCCTCCTCCGCCGTGGGCGTGATGCTCCCGTAGTTCTTCTCCTCACTGATAAAATCCACTTTGGGCTGATAGTGCAGGATGATGGTGCTGGCGGCGACGATGGTGAAGGCCAGCAGCGTGCCGACACTGAGGAACTCCACTAGGACGTGCAGTTCCATGAGGAGGGCGAAGATGGCGCTGATGGTGCCGAAGACGATGACGGCGTTCAGCGGGACCTGGGTGCGAGCGTTCAGACGGGAGAAGAACTCGAAGAGCAGCCCGTCGCAGGCCATAGCGTAACAGCAGCGTGATAACGCGTATACACTCCCGACCTGTTGCAGGTTCAACGAGAATGGTTAATACACTTAAGCAGAGGACATATCAGCAGTGTTTAATTATTTAGATCATCTTTTATTAATAAATTTCCCGAGAAAAGCTGCCCAGACACTTTACACTGCGCCGGTATGCGATGATATTTGTAATAAACTAAAGCAAATGATTCTACTTTTTCAGTTGTTAGAACAGAAATACTTTCGCACCCTGGCACGCTCATTCCAGAATTCTAGATTCACCAAAATCTACCGCTAACAAAAAAACGTGAGAAGATGGGCATAATGCAATGCAGTTAAATCAACATATCGTACGACTGTAATCTCGATTAAGTCATTAAGAACCGTATACCACTACATGTAACTGCCACTGTACTACGAAATAGTATATACCGGATATGCAGTGGAGTAGGGAACGTGTGTGTCAAGTTGTCAACAACTATCAAGTTTTGGCAGTTGCAAAGAGTCCTTCCAATTTACTTTACGAGTTTAGCTCCTGTTATGATTTACAATCACACATGATTATGCTGTTCACCTTCATGATTCTTAAGCGCGTTCCTCGTAATAAAACACACCAGGCAGAAAATTAAATCAGCCGATACATGCCACACGCAAAATTCTGCCGGCATTCTCACCATCTGCTTTTAACAGCGTGCTCGTCCTTACCAGTGATGTCGTCATGCCGGACAGCGCTCCAATAGCCACCAAGTATTTGGCCCAGGTGAGATCGTGCTGCGCGAACGCATCCGGGAGCGCGGCATCGGCGTTGATTTTGAAGTAAGGGACCATCAGCGTCAGGGCTGCAATCAACATCAACCATCACACACATACACACGCACGTCATCTGGCGCATGATCAACGGAAGTGGGGTTTATACGAGATGGCGCGCAGCTACAGTTGCCGTCCGCGGATCAATGACACAAGTAGAAATGAAGTATCCCAACAACATGCAACAAGCAGCATCTGTTGGCGACAAAGAACCGGCACCGGGCCGCCACTCACCAGCTGCCACTCCGACGTAAGACAGGGTAACGATGCTCATTGACGCTAGGGTCGCGATGGGGATCGATCGCTGTGGATCGATGCTTTCTTCGCCTGCGGTTGTACAGCAAATTTAAATAAGCAACTGGATAAGAGCCATGGCAAATAAAAAAATTATGCGAACTACGTACAGGTTGCTTCCACAACTACAACTTGGCTTCACCATAGAATCAAAAACAAATTTTTTATTCTATCAAAACTAATTCTACATCCACAAAAATCTACCTCTTAATAAACAGACATCAATGCTAGAAAGTGCACACCTCGTACAATGCAACGGATCTAACAATGCCATACATAAGGCTGTCATAAGCCATCATCTACTACATAGCACAGCAGCGGCTACATCAGTCTACATTAATTTTGTTACTTACCATCATTCGCTCATACAACAATCAGAAACAGGTGTTCAAAATTATTTTCCTCCAAACTAAAGTAAAACACGTGGAAAAAATGGAATAATTTAAATTATTTAAAAGGAACTTCCCGGTAAAATGAAGGTATTTTTCAAGAATAATTTAATGAAGCCTCGCAAAACGCAAAAGCACAAAAAAGACTAATAATACCGCAGTTAAGAGATACAGCCTTCCCAAACACTATGCACATAAATATTCATTGTTGACCTTTCCGTACGTCGGTTCCCACCTACCGGCAGTGGCAATAGAATCAAATCCAATAAATGCAAAGAAGCAGATGGCTGCGCCCCGCAGCACTCCCTACGGAATGGGAGAAAGCAACATTTTAGAGCGTTTTTGATCATGCACCAGAGAATTGATATGCAGCCAACAAGTATGCAAATGTTACCGCGAAGCCCATCGGCATGAAGCCATACGCCGTCCAGTTGTTACTGTCAGCTAATGTGAAACCGAACACTGTAAAACACATTAAATAAACACGATTAACCCGGCTATATCAGTCCCATCGATCCACCTTATATACGTGTGCCACTAACGTCAAACATTTTGACAGGCTGTTATTACATGGCACAATTAAAATGTTTAACCGCTGCAACACCAACAACAAGCCGATATGTATCCCACCAAGGCCAATAAAAGCAGAGAAGCGTGAATTACACTCCGTTGCAGATACGCTATTGAAATGTGTTTGATACTAAATGCTATACTGAAATTTCGCTGCAATCGTTTTGAAAACTACAGCAAAACATAGATAACAAAAAATCCTGGCAATATTTTCCTTCAATCAAAACGAATTCGCTAAAATGAGTAGACTCTGTTACAAACATAAACAAAAAGCAATCCGACAAAACCTACGCAATCAGAATTTTCTTAAATCACATGACATTAAATTTCCCGTAAATAGATGCTTCTACAAACTGAAGCGTTTGCATAAAATTATATACGCCCAAAAATGCAGAATAATAAGTTTTAATGCAATTAAATTAGCTTTAAAATTACGGAAATTACTGAATTTGTTATTAGTTAATAAGCTCGCACGATATTCACAAAAGGAAATAAAATACACATCGCATATTTTTGACACAAACGATTAACTTCTATGGCGAGTACTTCGAAGAAAGAACGTTTTTTCCCTATTTCGCGAAACCGGCAATCGGAAGCGCATTTGACATGTTCTTCCACAATATCGCTTCCGATTCGCCATGGCCAGTCATTAACAGCTTATGCGCCGCTTCCCCGTTTCGACTCCGCTTGACTGCACGATCTGCCATGCAGACCCGACTTACCGATGACGAAGAGTATAACCATCAAGTTCACCAGGGTGAAGACATTGTTCAGTCGGGCTGAAAAACATTCCCTAATGAATAATTGATGTTGCCGGATGATAACGGCACAACATATACATCATATCGTCCGTCTGTTACCGGAATGTTTGACGCCGATGGCGACGGCAATACAGGCCACCATGCACACCGCAAAGGCCACAAAGTCGGGATAGATCTGGCCGACTAAGGGAACGCGCACCACCCCGACGGTCCGCAGTGTGGAGTTGCGGATGGCGCCGTCCAGCATGGAATCCACGTAGCCGCCCCATGCGCGCGCTACACTGGCCGCGCCTGTAAATAAAATAAATAAAGCAAAAAATTTATAGATAATTTATTGATTGGTTAACTGCAGATAAATTATAGCGCCATAAAAAAGCAACAATTTCTCCAAAAATTATTAACCACCCACGTGTAATTCTGGCAAATCTATTACTTATAAGCACGCGCTTAATCAGTCACAGGTTGCGCTAAGTAATTCAACTTTTTCAAAATAAGGCGCAGAACAGAGCGATAATTTTTTTAAAATATGCATCCTACATTTTCTGACATAATAATATTTTTTTGCTAAGCTGGCAAGTTCAGTTCTGTCTTGTTTAGCAAAAACGATTAAAATATTCTCGATGGGAATTTTTTTTCAGCAGATAATTTCCTCTAATTGCCGTCTATTCCCAAGTGATGCGACTTGACTTACCGATCATATTCTCCAGCACCATCTGCCAGGCAATGACGAAGCCGACGAATTCTCCCATAGTGACCTTCAACGAACAGAATAACGTCAGCGGAAATGCTAACCAGACCAAGCGGCAACGGACATACGTAGCCAAATAAATATGCTGATCCGGTTTTCGGTATCCGGGCCGCGAATTCCGCATAGCACAACGACGACAAGAGCGCCACGAAACCGGCAATCAGCAGCGATATGACGATTGCCGGACCGGCGTTATCCTTGGCCACCGTTCCTGTGCCGATCAACCTTTTTAATTTTGGTTTTGCAAACCTGTTATTGCATATTATCTCTACTCTTAATATCCCAAAAAATTTCCGTGCGCACGCCAATCGCGCGTTCATAATCTATACTTCTAATTCGGTTTATTTCTTTTACTTTCTGTTACCTATGATTTGCAAGTGCAAAGCATGCGTGACGAAAGCACACAATCATAAAGTTTTATAGACCAATACAAACCACCGTTTTTTTTTATTTGAAGATAATTATGAGCTAGAGTACGTTATTTCTCGTATAATTACTTCACTTCACAATTCAAACAAAAGCAATGATCAACGTAACAAATTCTCGCCGATGCTAAAATTAATTCTATTAATTTTGCTAAAAGAGGTTTTTATAACATAGAGGTCCTGCTTATAATTTCTGCCAAATTTAAAATTAAGATTTAAGAATTAAAAAAGTTCCGTTCGCTCTTGCACGCGTACAACACAAATACAAATGCCAAAAAGCTAAAAATAACACCAAGCTATGTACAGTGTACACGTACAGTTTTTACAATTCGGTTTGTTGCAGGATATGTTTTTTTTGCGATACTGCCCATTGAAAAATAAGCGGAAGACAATTTTGAAAAAATTTAAATAACCCAATGAACAAACGACAGTATTTTCACAAAACCGAAAGATAGCCTTTGCTCACAACTAGCATTAAATCCGTAATTAATTCTCTCCCTAATAAAATCTGATTACAAAAATTTCCATAATTAATTTCCTTTCCCCGTCGCCCACGCCACACCCAGGATAGAAATTCCCTAAAAATAGCCCACTAACGGACTTACCACTCAGCACATAAATCCCCCCGCCGATCATCTGGCCCACACCGAACAACATGAGATCCCACGTGCCCAGACAACGCTGCAGCGGGGTCTCCATAACATCGCCGCTGATGCGCTTCTTACGCGTCAACTTCCCCGCAAACTCCCCCAGCCAGCGGGCCACCTTCTTCCCCGTCTCCCCCATGACGAATCCGCCAAACACCGCCGGAATATACTGCACCAGCTGTTAGCCCCCCGAAATGCACACGCCTCAATCACAGATCCACATATACAATCTGCGCATATGTAGCCTGATCTCATTAGGCGACTTGTTGTGCCGTCGCGCGTCTACAAGTGTTTCCTCTGACAAATGACAGCCAGCACACAGCGCACACACGTTATGCGCACTCTCTCCCGATGCAAATGCCAGCGGCTGATCTTATCCCATATCGATCGATCGGAAGGGGTTGGGCCATTCCCTTGTCCGCGGGAGGAAACGCGATCTTTGTCAACCAATCCATCCAGTTTTTAAACAATCCATACCAGCCGTTTGGTAAATAAACGTCCTGTTTGTATCAAACGATGGGAAGAAGGATAGAAATCCAATGAATTTGAACGCTGATTACAAGGTCTGCTGTATGCTAATGTAGACGGTAAAGAAAACGGTAATGTATGCAAGCGCGCATTGGCTCAGCGAGGAAAAAACATCCGCGCGGTGAGAAACCTGTTGTTTCTGACCTTCATGCTCTGCTTTTCGCGTTGTGAGCGAGCCAGTTGTGAAAAAGAAACAAAGTAATCAGCGATTACCACTCATGCGTCACAGCGCGTCGCACTGCAAACCGGAACCGGGGTGATTCATCGCGTCGCAGACAAATTCCCTGTACCGCCGGTTCTTATCAATACAGAAAACAGCGCAGTCCGTGTTGGCTCCCTGTTTCGTGCGGTCGGTCCGTTCACCGTACATCGGCACAACCGCTGACCAATCACAGCCGCGCATCTGTTTCCGGTACGCACCATACGAACCGCCCCCTGCCTTCACTGTTCGCATGACGTGGAAGTGCAGAGCATCTTCTGCTGCACGGAAATTCACAGGAATTTCCAGCTTCTTTTCAAAAAAATCGTTTCCAACATCCCCGGATTTTATTGTGATACTTATACCTTGATACACAAACTACCAACTGTGATTATCATTTTCCGAAGAGCGTGATCCGTGTTGCGGCCTCCGTGTGCGGACGCATCACTCTCAAAATGTACCAGCCTCAATATCAGCCACAACAACAACCTGGCCAGAATCCGCAACCTGGCTACGATCAGCAACAACAGCAAATGTACGCCGCGCAGCAGCAACAACACCAAATGCAGCAGCAACAACAGATGCAGCAACAACAGATGCAGCAGCAACAGGCGCAACAACCGCAGCAACAGCAACAAGCGCCGCAACAACCCGCGTTTGATCTGATGGCCACGGTGCGCGAGCAGGAGCGTCTGGATGGCGCGCGCTTCACCTGGAACGCCTGGCCGTGTAGTCGGCTGGAAGCCACCCGTCTGATTGTGCCGTTCGGGGTGTTCTTCACGCCGCTGAAGTCCCGGCCAGATATTCCGCCGTTGATGTATGATCCGGTGGTGTGTAGCAAGTGCCGCGGCGTGCTGAATCCCTACTGGTAAAATTCCGCGGACTTTGCACGTGTACGTGAGTCTGTGGGTCTGATTCCGGTGTTTGGTTGATAGTCAGGTGGATTATCGGGCCAAAGCGTGGATCTGCTGTCTATGCGGCCAGCGAAATGCGGTAAGTAGATCTGTCGCGAAGCAATATCATCTTAGGGTTCCGTTTTTCGATTTTTAACGTATTTCCTGCGTAAATGATTATTTTATGGATAATCTCCTTCAGTATCGGATCTTGATTATTAACAGTATCCACTATCGTGGTTTAGTAACGTTTTCAGTGTTTTTTTTGCGTTTCTTGACGGTCTTGGAGATTTCGTAAAATTTTTTGTATCTCTTTGATTCTGTATTTTTTGTGGATGATGAGCGTTTTAAAGTTATTTTTAATAATTGGTGGACTCTGGACAATAACTAAAATTTATTTAAAAGTTGTCCAGTTTTATGAAATTTTTATTGTTAGATATGTATGTACTGCAAAATAACTGATAAGGCGTTTTTCGTTGTTTTGCATTTACGAACCTGCCATGGTAGCTACTATGTGTGCGTTTCCGAGTAACGTCTTACCTTTTTGTGGCTTTTAAGTGTCCACTTTTTTTGTTGTGCATTGTGTAATCGTGGATGTTCTTCTCCAGTTTCCTCCGCAATACGCCGCCATCAGCGAACATCAACGACCAGCCGAATTAATGCCACAGTTCACGACGATTGAATACATTTTACCAGTAAGTATGACACGCAGACGATCAAATCGATTAGACTAATGAATCAGTTGGACTAATGATACGATTTCGACGGTTTGATTTTGTCATTGAATTTCTGATTCTCTACGATTTGTGATTTAGCGATCCAACCAAATGGCTCCGAATTTTTCTTTTTGTCGTGGATACGTGCATGGAAGAAGATGATCTGCAGGCTTTGAAGGTAAACCTTTTGGCAAACAGACTTTTCGTGTTTTGATTTTATTTTTTGCATGTCTGCATATTTTTGTCCAATTTTTATTCTGTTCCTTTCTAATTCAAGAAGTGTATCATCTTGCAATGTCGTACAGTAATTCGTCTGTTTTGCTAATGGTTTGAGTGTTTGTCGCAGGAATCGCTGCAGATGAGTCTGTCAGTACTGCCGAAAAATGCCTTTGTCGGCCTTATCACCTTCGGACGCATGGTGCACGTTCACGAATTGGGCGCTGAATTTATTCCGCGCAGTTTCGTTTTTCGTGGCAACAAGGAAATGACATCCAAGCAGCTTCAGGTGTGTCACACGTGGATTAGCGGGTTTATAAAAACGAAGGATTAATTTAAAAAGTTTTTAAAAAAGGCAAATATTATGTTAATCAGAATTTATCGATTGCAATTTTCCAGTCTGCTAGTTTATGGGCTGGTTAAATGGAAGCGCAATTTCCCCATTAAACAGTCACTGCATAAAAGCGAAGGTATTCAAGTTTATAATTTTGCTACAGGATTCGCTAGGCTTGGGAAAATTCGCTGGCAATCCACAACTTCCTCCGCAGCAAATGAAACCCGCCCCAAACCAACCTGGCATCCCGCAACAACCACCAAACAGGTAGGATTATCGTGCTCTTTTGATGGAGTTGCTCTCATCTTCATGTTTTAGATTTGCAAAGAAAACTTTCTCTATAGTTAGCGTACCGTTGTTAAGCGTAAGCGTATAAATTATATTACGTTTGTTTATTTAGACGTATTTTTTTTGCGTTCTGTAAAAAATTTTTTCATGTTGATGAAATAAATTTGCAGTTAACGGGAGGTATTAGTGGTATTTTCGTTGTTCTGAAATCTCATTGAGTATTTGAACTTTTTCTTGACTTTTCTGAAATCGCATTTACGTTGTGCGTATTTATAGATTTATCCAGCCGGTGGAGAAATGTGAGGAATCCTTATCGGAAGTGATCAACGAGATCCAGAAGGATCCCTGGCCGGTAGCCACCGGGAAACGGGCTCTGCGCGCCACCGGCGCCGCCCTGGGCATCGCCGTCAGTCTGCTGGAGTCGGCCTTTCCCAATACCGGCGCCCGCGTTATGCTGTTTGTCGGGGGACCCTGCACGCAGGGCCCGGGGATGGTGGTTGGGGAGGAGCTGAAGATTCCCATCCGCTCCCATCATGATATCGCCAAGGAAAATGCACCGTTCATGAAGAAAGCTACGCGGGTAAGGATGCGGTATGCGGTTGATGCCGATGGTGTTTTATTATTAGGCAAGCTCCTTCGGTAATTACATCTGGCGGTTATAAGCAAAAACTGGAAAAAACATGGGCTTCATTTCATAATTATTTATAAGCAAGCAATTTTTCATTTTGTCATTTTTGTGTGCCATTACACTACGATACGTCTGCATTTACTTCCGTAGGCACCTATGCATTTTCTTCAATTAGAAGTTAGCGAAAAGGTTGTTTTACTGTAACATTGGGGCAAAAGTTAATTACTGTATGCTCAGTTAGTTCTAATTCCTCTCAGCGGAAAGATAGCAGATTTTAGTGTATTGTATCAGACTACGGGCTAAAATTTATAGCTGTATTTTTTGTGCTTTGTGTGTAGTATTACAACGATCTGGCTGAACGAGCAGCTACAAATTGCCACTGCATCGATATTTATTCGTGCGCCTTGGATCAGACTGGTCTTTTGGAAATGAAACAGTGCACGAACCTGACCGGGTATGGCACATTTTTATGTTTTCATGTCGAGAAATGTTGATTTTCGTTTTTTTTTATGCAGGGGTCATATGTTGTTGGGTGATAATTTCAAATCGGCCTTATTCAGTCAAAGTATCCAGGTGTTGTTCAATCGCGATCATAGCGGGCATTTCTTTATGGCATTCAACGCCAACGTGGAAGTGAAGGTACTGGTGTTGGGCAGTTTTGTAAAACAATGTTTTTTTAAGATTAAGTTGGGTAATTTGAAGTAATTTCGAATCGGAATACGTAAAACAAATTGAGATGCTTGTTAATTTGATAATTGCGAATGCTGTGAATGTTATTTTTGCAGGCTTCCAAAGAGGTGAAAGTATCCGGTTGTATTGGACCATCGAAATCGTTGAAAGTGAAGAGTAGTGTCGTATCGGATAACGACATGCTGGGTACAGGCGGTACATCCGAATGGAAATGCTGCAGTATCACGCCGAATACTACTTTGTGTTTTTTCTTCGACATCACAACCGCGGTACGTGCTATTTTGTAAGCATGGTTTTTTATGCAAAAAAAGTTACTTACACATAATTTGCAATTTTGACAGCGAAGTTTGTGATATAAGAGTACTTTGTGCATAGCCGTTCGAGCAAATAGTCACTGTACTACAACAATTATTGATCTTGGTGACGTGTTTTTTGTGTAATGAGAGGACAAACTGTAATCAGGACTTAATCACTGAAACCCATCGAAATGAATATTCAGCTTCGAATCCAGCGCAACGAAATTCAAAATTTCTCAGCCGTTTTTTCCAACAGCACAATGCGGCGACACCACAGGGCGGTCAGTTCTATATCCAGTTTTCGACAGCGTATCAGCATTCATCCGGTCAGAAGCGTTTGCGTGTGACCACATTAAGTCGAAGGTGGGATACTTTTTTTGCGAAATTTAGTGTTCATTCGAATAAATGTATTAAATTCTTTGTGTTGCAGTTGGGTAGATCCTAGTGGATATCAGATTGCCGCTGGATTCGACCAGGAAGCCGCGTCTGTTCTCATGGCTCGTGTGGCGGTTCTGCGTGCGGAATCAGACGAAAGTCCCGATGTGCAGCGATGGCTGGATCGCGCTTTGATCAGAATTGTACTGCGACTTTAACGCTACGATCATAAAAATTATTTTTTGATTTTTTTCTATTTTCCCCATATTTTAGTGCAATAAATTTGGCCAGTACAACAAGGACGATCCGAATTCCTTCCAGCTGCCGGATATTTTTGCCATGTACCCGACGTTTATGTTCCATCTGCGGCGCTCACAATTTTTGCAGACGTTCAATAACAGTCCCGACGAAACCGCCTTCTATCGTCACTGTCTGATGTCGGAGAATGTGACGAACAGTTTAATTATGATCCAGCCGGTTCTGTATGCGTATTCCTTCCACGGCGCACCGGCTGTACGTTGTCGGATTCTCACTCATAGATTTGAAGTTGCGTTCTGAATTTAATTTGAACTTTTTTTATTTATAGCCCGTGGGACTGGACTCCAGCAGTCTGCAGCCGGATCGTATACTGCTGTTAGATTCATTCTTCCATATCGTAATTTATCATGGCGAGGTATCTTCTGCTATTGCCAGTTAATTTCAGCCAGATAATATCCAAAAATAATGGATAAAACAGAGGCACAATATCGACAGCAAAAATAATACTGGTATAAGTTAAAGTGTTATACTTACAGTAACTAAATATTTGATAATATCATAGCAAAATAATGATTTTGTGGGCTGTCTGCTCGCAGCGCGTGCGCTGGGTAAGCAGCAGTTTACTTTTTTTGCTGGAACTAGACGCGAATGAACGGGATGTATTAATTTTATAATTATGATTTAATTCGGCATTTATTTTTCGCAGAACATTGATCAGTGGAAGAAAGCCGGGTACGATAAACAGCCGGAATACGCCAGTTTTGCCTCACTACTGCAGGCGCCCATTGATGATGCTCAAATGATTCTCTCCACGCGCTTCCCCATGCCGCGCTACGTGGTAACAGAGCAGGGCGGTTCCCAGGCGCGTTTCCTCCTCTCCAAAGTCAATCCCTCACAGAGCCACTCCAACCAGGTGTACGGCTATGGACAGGTAAGATAATCTAATATTTTAATAAATTTCGGAAATTATTCAGGGTTTTTTACAGTCGTTCGCTGGTTTAGCGGTTTTAAAAGTAAATCACATTGCAACCATTTTCCTCTTTAACACAAATTGTGAATATTTTCCATTTTTATCTGTCACTTTTATCGATTTTTTCGTTTTTTAATTTTCTAAAATTACGGTACACGCGAGCTTTTATCGTCTACTGTGGATTTTTGATTGTTGGTTTTCATTTGCAGCAGGAAACGGCACCGCCCATTCTGACGGACGATGTGAATTTGCAAATCTTTATGGATCACCTGAAGAAGCTTGCCGTGTCCAATCCAGCATAACATTGATTTTTTGAAAGGGATAAATTATTTCTGCCTGTGTCGTTAACGTTGAATGTGTTGGGTAATTCTTTGTCGGTTTGTGTTTTCTGCTTTTCATAACGGTGCGGTTTTACTGTATAGCTGGAAGCTCGTGGCATTTTTTCGTTGACGGTTTTGAAGGTGCGAGCGCTGATCACGGGATGTTAGAAAATGGTTTATTTTGATGGATTTTAGCCTTCGTTAATCTTAATACGATGAAAAACGGTGTTAATTAAAATATTTATTCTCCTGGACGAAAAATGCTTCCTGCTGGTTCCTGCCTACAGAAGAGATTCGCATAAAAACAGGTTTTTCCATTACGCTTCTTTCGTCAAGTTTATTTCTTTGGTCCCGCAGTTATCATGCAAAATGTCTCCGTGCAAAAAAATACAATACGTAGAGACCAAAAGCAACAAGAGATTAAATTCAACAAGATCCAACAACCTGTCTGAACAAGCATAAACGGCAACGAAAAATTCAACAATGAATTTAACAGCGTATAATTACTAATAACTATATCGGCAGTTATTCGTAAATCGTAATTTTCTCAGTAAAGATTCACACAGTAATCACTAAAATATCAAGATATGCTGCAGTATTAAAATACTTAATAAAAAATAAAACACTAAAAATAAAATGTCCTGAACTGGAAATATCCAAAATAAGGAACATCAGCAAGCCGAATTCTTCCTAAACAGGATCACCGCACTGTACGAAGTTCTCGTCCGTCTCCCATGACACACCCACCACTCCGCTCACCAGCGAACCGTCCATCTTTAAACCCTTGCAATCGAAATACTTCAGCGACGCTCGCAGCCCACCGGCATCCTTCAGCATCACTTTGTCGCACACTCGTCTAAACGCTTCATTTAAACGCACTCCACGGGATGCCGACCAACGCAGAATATCCTCATCCGCTACGACGAAATTCTTCAAAAAAATAACCGAGATTTTCAAATTCATGGCCACGAGCATGGTGGGCAGGGTGCGCAGTGGGGCGGGGGTTGCGTTTCCGGTGACGAAGAGGATGTGCGTGGCACTGCTGACCATCTTGAGCATTAACTTGGCTAGCTTGATCTCGCCGCCGTCGATGCAGTCGATGACGCGGGACGATGCCGGCTGGGAGGATAAGGTGTCGTTCCACAATTTACAGGCGCGACGCGAACGGAGGTTGTCCTCCGCGGTGAGATAATCGTTGAAAATGTAAATGAGGATGTCCGAGGGGATGCCGGTTATGGATAATTCGGTGGACATTTCGAGTTTCACTTCCGGAGATTGTGATCTGGCGTTTTTGGACGGGGAAGTTGTCGACAGGAACATCCGGTGGCGAAGCTCGCGATCGGATGCATCTATCCATTCCTTGATACGGCGCAGGTGGAGTTCCTAAAACATGGTAGAAAAATTCAATAAAAAATGCTAAACAAAATGCACGGGCGTCTTCTGTTTGCGGCTCCTGCCACTAATTTTATTTGTACTAAATACACTAAAAACTCTATAATTGACGTACGTAAAGTACCATACAGTAGTACCAGCAATATTACCCGTAGTACATAAAAACACACATAAAAATTAAGTATGAGTACTGTAATTACGAAAAAATACACCTATTCGCAATAAATCAGATACTAAGTAAAAACGACAAAGCAAACCATTCTTTTACGGTGTTTTTATCGCATTCCCATTAGTGGTTAGGAATAACTTAGGAAAAGATACAGAGAAAACACTTTCAAAGCAATTACGATTTTGAATTTTCGCAGAATTATTCTGTAAGTCATTTACGTTAACTTACGCAGTCAGACGTCTCCATAGGCTCATACTGCGCAGGCATATAATATACCAGCCACTGATGCTCATCCTCATCGTCAAACCATCCGCCCAACGTCCCACTCTTGCGATTCCACAGCGGCCAGAACTCTTTCCGATACGTCACCACGCGCAAATCCTCATCGCGCGGCAGCATCACCCAGCATTTCTCAAAGGCTGGGTTCTTCTCCAGGGGGTACGGGGCGCGAAAGTGCGCAGGCGCGCCACACTGATCACCTCCCGTACCCCTGACCCCCCAAATTGTCCAACTCCACATAGGCGCACACTCGCGGATCGCCAGCCAGTACAGTCGCAGAATGCCAGCACCACGGATCCTGTGGGGAAGACTGATACAGCATCATGACACGACTGCCCATGGCGAACTGGGTATGGACGCATTCCAGGCAGCGTGCGATGGGGATGACGGTGGCGGGGTAGGGATGGCCGCAGTTCAGTACGCACTGCAGACCTTCATCACGGGAGGGGATGACATCGGAGATGGTGGCATGGCGCAGCTGATCGTGGTCATCGATATAGTCAACAGACCCGTAGCGCCACGGTCCAAACATGCTGGTGATCGGGCTGTGGGTACAGCGTGGTAAAGCGTGGCTGTCCTCGAGGATAGGCTTGACGCACTAATTGAAAGTTTTTATAAACGGCAGATGGGCATCATGTATTCATTACATTCCAAAATTAAATATTTTCGTAGAAAATTCAAAATTGTTAATTCAGTAGACAATGCAGCATTGCAGCTGCCATAAAAATTTGCAGACACAAGGCATGAACGGATCAAGAATAACGTGTTCCTCAGTGCGGTACATACGTGATACGGAAGACGAGCTGTCGCCCGCCATCGGACCAATGCAACGTCCAAGTAATTTCCTTCGCCGCGGTATAATCCGCTTAAGCTTTCCACCTTTATTTTACAGTACCAGTACTCGTACTGTACTTATACGAGTATACGTAGTTTTCTTTCTTACTTTTCTACTAAGTTTTGCATTGGTAGTTCAGGTTTTTAATTTTGTTCCAGTATCCTATGCTTACTAACTGAAAGTTTCAGTTACTAGTACTTCTTTAAAGCTGGGCGGGATATTTTCTTATCTTCTCGATGAGCGAAAATCTATCTGTTTGTTAATTTCTAGTACAAGCCTACAAGATACTCTTCATAAGAAATGTTTATAACCGGAAATCGGGAAACTCTTTTTTCATTTCGCTACAGTGTATCAAATTTTTCGCACTGCGGTTAAGTAATTCATATATACAGTACCACAACAAAACGTTCATGAAAGAACAGAAAAATACGCTATGGACATTCAGAAATTAATGAGATTCAGATTCAAAGAGATCCAGTAGTCTACCTGCACAAATATCAACCAACAAGACTTGACAAGAAAATAACAAAACTAAATTCACGAAAATAACGAGAAAATAAACGAGAAAATTAACCAGAAAACAACTAAAAACCAAATTCACAAAACATTGTGGCGGGATAAGGCACACCACCGAGCCGGGACAGCGGGCTTTCTTCGCAATTAATGTGCGGCACATTACGAACCTGCTGTCTTCCCATCATCCACCACTCCGCTAACCAGCGAATCAACCACCAGTAAATCCTTGGGAATAAAATCACACTTCCAAGCCACATCCTCGAGGATCAATTTCCCACACACTCCTTTCCACGCTGCACTCAAACACAGCGCATCCGGATGCGAGACGTCCAGGATGTCCTCCGCCGCGACACCGACCCGCTTCAACACAATAACCGGGATTTTCATACCCATGGCCGCGAGCATGGTGGGCAGGGTGCCCAGCGGAACGGGCGATCCTTGCCGGTGATCCGCAGGATGCGCGTGGCACTGGTGACCATCTTGAAGAGCAGCGTGGCCAATTTGAGCTCACCGCAGTCGGTACAGTCGATGTGGACACGGGACGATATTTGCGGGGAGGTCAGGATGTGGTTCCATAAGCGGCAGACGGGCCGCGAACGCAGATTGTCGTCAGCCGTCAGATAGTTGTGGAAGATGCGGATGAGTATTTCCGGGGTATGCTGGTTATGGGAGATGCGGAAGACGTTTCGGGAGTGAAGGGAGCGACGTCCGGAGACTGCAGATGGAGTTCGTTTAACGACGAAGACACCGACATGTACATCCGATGACGCAGCGAACGATCGGATACATCCAGCAGTTCCTTGACACAACGCAAGTGGTGTTCCTAAAAGACGGTAAAAAAATATTGCTTTATACAGTGACTACAGGACCATAGGTGAATAGATCTAAAACAATCAATCCATTGCACACACAGCCAGTACTGAAGTACATACTATACTTACTTAACCTTGACAGGCTTTTGTCAGCATTTTAATGATACAACACATTCAACACTGAATACATTTTTACCAGCTGACAGCAATCCACGATAATACAGTTATGTTTATTGTCCTTTGCTCGCAGCAGTTGCCCCCAAAGTAAATGATTTCACATAATCCATAATCTACTTATTAAAAGCTGCTACGTGATTATTTGCCGAATTATTTACTTTTGGTTTTTACAGAAAATAATCTAAAACACAAAAAATCAAGCAACGAAAATGCCGAGTGCGAAATTTTCCCATTTGCTTTGTATTTTTCTACATTGAAAATTTTTTAGTGCAATGAACGAAGTTTTTACACAGTATTTTTGCACCACGAAAAAGCAGAGAAAACTCACAAAACCTTTCAAAAAAATTTACGGGGTACAAGCCACTGCATGGGTGAATACTCCGCTAAGCACAGATAATTTTAGAGTCGATAACTTACACACTCCGCACTTTTCATGCTCATATCCTCATTGTGCGCAGGTATATAATAGATCAGCCAGGTATGATTCCCTCAAACCATCCGCCCATGGTCCCACTGGTGCGATTCCACAGCGGCCAGAACTCTTTCCTGTACGTCACATCGCACAGATCCCCATCGTGCGGCATCGCCACCCAGCGGCGTACAAAGGCCTGTCGTTTCTCCAGGGGTGTGCGCGCTGCTGTGGTCCGTATACGCGCCACACTCACCACCTCCCGCACCCGCTGCCCCGCCACGTCAATCTCCACCAAGGCGTACACCCGCAGATTGCCAGCCAGGACGGTGGCGGGATGCCAGCTCCAGGGATCCTGCGGCGAAGACTGGTACAGTGTCATCACGCGACTACCTACGGTGAAATGGGTATGCACGCATTCCAGGCAGCGGGAGATGGAGATGACGGTATCGGGGTAGGGGTGGCCGAAATTCACTACGCACAGGATATCTGCATCGCGGCATGGGATGATATCGGAGATGAAGCCATGACGCAGCTGATTGTAGCCATCCATAACGTCCACGGGCCCGTAGCGCCATAGTCCACACATGCCTGGGCGGCTGGGCCAGACGCAAACGCCTGTCCTAATCGCAGGTCATGGATGCTCTAACAGCAAAAATAATTTGGTTCCAAAGGTATTAAGTGGCGGTCGGTCGGTCATTCTTAAAGTTAAATCTTCTGCATCTCGTTTAAAAAAATAAATCCATCACACTGATTATAGACAGAATACAGCATATTAAATGACAGAATCACAGTGCCAGAGAGAAAGTCTCTCTAACAGTATGTACTATGTACTCTGTAATTTGCGATTATTTCCAAACAACAGCATGCCTTTCAGGGCGGTACATACGTTATACGGGAGACCAGCCGTCACCCGCCCTGCGGATCCACACGGCATGTATTCCTTCCTCCTAAGTATTCCGTTTTTGAATCCGTTATGCTTGTTATGACTTTTACATCTCAGTTGCCTCTTGTTCTGCATTGAGTACATTTGTTCCGGGTATCTTTTTTGGAAATTTTGTCAACGAATTGTCCAATGTGAACAGTTACTTCGCTCACCAAAAATGTTACTTCTTCAAATCAACGAGCAAGACATTGAATATGATGATGTAACTGATGATGTAACTCACGAAACGGCACCGCGTATTGTGATGGACGATGGTGTGTATCTGCAAATTTTTATGGATCAATATATTCTGTTGGATTTAATCTACAATAATATGGTAGCGATGAAAAATAGCTTTTTCAGAAATAAATGACATTTTCTCCTTCGCGGTAGGCGAAAAAAAATCTTTCGGACTTCTAAAAACACAAGAAATTACAGGAATTGCAATTCATTTCGCGGCATTGTTTCCGGTTCCATATTTTCACAATGCTACACTGCATGAAAAAAAGACTCACCCGAACGCACACCAGATAACAATAGGAGATCAAATTAACAAGTAAAAAAGACCCAACAATTTATATGTACATTAGCAACTAACAAAACCTGAACATGACCAATCATACTGGAAACCATCCGTGACAATTTGCGTGAATCGCACTTTCTCAAATAACGTTCACAAAATCTTGCGGAGGAGTATTAACCGGGTTTTTTCACAATTAAACGTTACACAGGAACGGCACAGTTCGTAACGTACTCACGGTATTCGCATCACCCACCATGCCGCTAACCAGCGAATCCGCCATCTTTACATCCTGGTTCTTCACATTCCCCTTCCAACCCACACCCACCAGCATCAGTTTGCCGCACACACTCTGCCACAATGAATTTAAATATACCGCATCGGCGTGCGAGCAGTCCAGTATGTCCTCCATCATGATACAAACATTCTTCACGGAGATAACTGGAAGCTTCACCTTCATGGCGGCGAGCATGGCGGGGAGAGTGCGCAGTGGGGCGGGAAATCCATTTCCGGTGATATGCACAATGTGCGTGGCACTGGTGACCATCTTGAACAGCAGCGTGGCCAACTCAATCTCTCCGCAGTCGTCGGTACAGGCGATGTGGACACGGGACGACGCTTGGCGGGAGGTCAGGACGTGGTTCCAGAATCGACAGACACGACGTGAACGGAGGTTATCGTCAGCCTTCAGATAATCGTTGAAGATGCAAATTGTTATTTCCGGAAGCACATCGATGATGTGAGGTTCGGATGGTATCCCGGGATGGGTGGGGGCTGGTTCGTCTGGCATACGGAGTGATTTCTGGATGGATTGCAAGTAGCCTTTCTAAAACACGATATAATGCACGAATAAAAAATGAAATATGTACAAGCCGTGATTACTTGTTGTCATTCTGCCACTCCTTTCGAAAATTTACTACGCATTTTATACTTCTAAAAGTATAATAACAACACATAATTATTTTACACGTAAGTATTTGACACATATGCATAAATTTATACGAGTACGAAATATTCGAGTTTGCCCACCATAAAAGAAAAAAGTACAACCCTGCGATTAAAAAAGAAAACATATCTCATAGCGCCGATGTGCTGTACAATAAGGTTCATTCGTATACTCGTATTCTTTACTTCGATTCATAATTATCACAGTATTAACCAGACACTTCACAGTATTAATAATTAGCCAGACTGTTCATTTCCTGTTACTTCCATGCAAGAAAAGAAGAAATACTTACTATTGTTGTATCTGCACGTACTTACACAACATTGAAAAATTTTTCATTTATTTTCATCGTCATCCCGCGCTGTTCTATAGTAATCCAGGCAATCACCCTGACACCCTGCACCAAGTGCCCCGCTTCTGCGATTCCACAGCGGCCAGAACTCATCCCTCTGTGTCACACCGCGCAAATCCCGATCCTCCGGTAACCTCACCCGTCCCTTCCTAAAGGCATGGCGTTCCTCCTGTGTGTGGACTGTCGTGGTCCGTACGCGGCCCGCACTCACAACCTCCCGCACCCGCTGCCCAGCCACGTCAATCTCCACAAAGGCGTACACCCACGGATAGCCAGCCAGTACGGTGGCGGGATACCAGCTCCAGGGATCCTGCGGCGAAGGATGAAATAGCGTCATAACATGACTGCCAACCGTGAAATGGGTATGGATGCATTCCAGACAGCGTGCGATGGGGATAGATTCAGCGGGGTGGGGATGGCCGAAATTCACTACGCATTCCATCAATGCACCGCGGGCGGGGATGATATGGGAGATGATGGCATGCTGAAGCTGATCAGATTCGTCCAAGAAGTCCACGCACTCGTAGCGCCACAGTCCAAACAAGTTCGGGCAAAGTTCGAATTGATGGTCAACCTGTCTTGACTTGCACGGCTCTACAGAGTTTGTAAGACTGTCATCTAATATCATTCAAAAGTGCTTCTGCATCTCAGATGTCAGTAATAAGTACATCTCTGTTAACGTTAGGAAAAAATAAAGCAAAACAATGAACATGAAAACAAGCAAAATGTTGCGCAAAGTTGCGAATGTTGCGTTTGAGATTTGTTTTGAAAGTCACCACTACCAGTTTATAACCGTGGGCCACAGGCGCGCTATCAAGTGCGGTACGTGTGTGATACGGAAGCCCTGCTGTCGCCCACCTACCGGTCCGCAGCAGCCTGTATTCCTTCTTCACTCGCCAGTTTCCATTTTGATCTTTTCTAATTTCTCTTCAGTTTTATCACTTTTATTATTTTTGGTTTTTGTTTGCGTGAATTTTTTGCTTTCCTGACTCAAGTTGGAATGTTTGCTCATTTGCTGCGTATTTTTCTTACTACTTCTTGATAGTTTCACCAACGGTATAATACCAGCTGTCTGATTCTACTGTATAACACGTCCAGAAACCCTACCCGTAGAATCTAGATTATCAATCCTCAACCATGTCGAAATCCACTGCCAGCAGTAGCGCTGCGCCGGGTTACAATGATATACCGGATTTTCCCGATTGGGAGGAAGATGATGCCGATGATTCTGCAACACAGCCAGCGGAACAGGATATTGAACCGCCTCGTGGCTTCACCCCTCCGCCAGCGGAGACGGAAGATGCGGAAGGGTCGACATCTGAAACACAATGGTGCGCCCTAAATACTCCAGAAGTACTTACTTACTGCTTATGGATCGTATCGTTAGAATACGAAAATTAAAAGGCTTGATGGAAAATTCCGCTTTGGAGACAAAAAGCTCTTCGACTGCGTAGCGTGTTATCATGTAGAGAAAGAGCAGAAATCAAACTGGTTAATAAGACTTCTATAGAAGTACAAATACTCCTTATTATTCGTGTTACGACGTGCTGTGGTCCTGTATGACGAGGGACTGGATTGGTATCATATAGTTTTGGCTTTTAGGAACCCAGTGGAGGTGGATGGCGGGGGATTTTTCTCGGCCAATGATGATTACAACGTGTGCGATGAGTGTGAACGGCCATTCGTCGATTCCTGGCTGCGAAAGAATTTCCAGTGTAAAGTCTGCGATGATTGCCGGTGAGAAGTGCATACTGTGGTCGTCTGATATTGATCCGGTTTTTTCTCTGAATGGCTTTTTTCCCTTTCGCTCATGACGTCAATGCAGTTTAATTTTTGAATTTAAAGGAATCTGTACTTATATCAATACATAGATGTAATATTATAATTGTATAATTATCGCTTTCTGCTGTCGTGTGTCGTTTGCGATTATGTACAGCTGTGACTTCTGTATTACAGTTAATTTTCTAACATGTATTATGAATATGTATTATGAATTTTAACATGTGTTATGAATTGTATCATTCTTTCACAGTGACCGCGACGGCAAGCACTCTCTCGTGACCAAAACTGACGCCAAAAATGAATATTTACTAAAGGATGAAGATTTTGATAAACGCGAGCCGCATCTCAAGTGCATTACCAAGAAAAATCCTCACAACGCCAACTGGGGCAATATGAAACTGTTTCTTCGCTGCCAGGTAAATACGTTAACGAATTTTAATTGCTTTTGCAAATTCTGCAAAGGGTATTTTCTTTGATGTCTGTGCTGGATCACGTGAACTTAACTCGTACAGAATGACTACAGTATGTTAATTTTAATTTTAAACTGCCTCATGGCGCTCAGTTTTATTTAACCTTGTATTTGGTTGTTAGTGCAACGTGTTTTGAGTAATCTGCGTACACCTCGGCAAGTGTTCAATCCTAAATTCGACGGTTCAGTCAGATTTTACCAGTCGTAGTTTTTTCAACTTATATTTTTCTGGCTCAGCTGTAAAATCAAAATAAAATTTGAGTTTCGCATCTAACAGGTAGAAGAACGAGCTTTAGAAGTATGGGGAACTGAAGAAGCTCTGGATGCTGAGCGGGAAAAACGCCAGAATCGGAAGGAAAAAAGCAAGAAACGAACATTCGACAAAATGATTAAAGGTAATGCAAATACTGTAATTGTTTTGATACTACGGAATTTTAACAAAACTCACATCTTTCGCGTACTGTAAAACGGCAATTTTAGAATGTTTTTTGTAGAACCGACTAGCTGGAAGTTGCTGGTATTTTCTGGCAGATTCACTGGAATGTTTTTCGCACTTGAGAGTTAACCAGTTTGCTTACACCTTGCTCCTTTGCGCTGTTTTGTAGAACTGCGAATGAATGCCAGGAGTTCGCTGGGAAAGAATATTCATTCCAATCACGAGCATGTTTTCGGCGAAGAAGACTACGATGAAGAGAACGACGTGTACCGGAAGAAGTGCAAAAAATGTGATCATATTACCGAGTATGAAAAGATGTGAATTGTGAAGTTTGGAAGCCGTTTGTAAATATTGTGCAGATGTAACGTTTTTCTGTCTCTTATTTAAAACTGAGTTTTACAGATTCTTATGATCTTATCAATTTCCGTTAATTGTGTTACTAGTATTCATGTACCTTTGGCTAAAATCAGTGAATCAGATTTGTATTCCGAAACCAATCGGAAAAATGAGAAAATGCAATAGAAATGGATCGATAAACGGAACGTTTTTCAATCTCTTCTTCGACATTTCCCGTTAACAACGCAACAAAAACGGAATCAACAGCAGCAAAGCAAACAAGCGCTATTAACTTAATTAATCTTAAGAATACTCATGTAAAAAAGGCAGATAACGCACAGATACTAAGTACTTACAATAACAACACCGTCAAATCACTGAAAAGCAAAACGAAAACAAAATTCTTGTTTCATTTTGGTATGATCTAGCGAAAACTGAACAAACGATTCGGTTCCTAACTTCCTAGTAACTTCCTACTAGCTCAATACGGAAAAAGAGAAATAAGAAATAATTAAGAAATTATCATAGATTGTCGGCGTATCTCGGAAACACAAGCGAAAGAGACGAAATAAAAATCAACAAACAAAAAATCCGGTCCACTCACTGTGCCACTGCACTACATTTCTTCCAGCGGTGGCATATCGTCTTCCACATCCGCGACACTGACTTCTTCCACGGACGGCACCGGGGTGGAGGGAGGACGCTGCCGCAGTCCACTATCCACCGCGCTACTCTGATCCATCAGACGGAGTTTATACAGGGATTCCCGCTGCCCAAACACCATAAAGGACGGCCGGAAATCCAGGGCTTCCTGCGATTTGGCCTCGTATTCCGCTTCGGGACGGATGTTCTTCAGCTTGAACGTCATGTGCACGAAGGCCCAGAGGACGATGCACATACTGATTAATGTCTCCAGGACAATGTCCAGGGGGAGCTTGGGCTCCTCGCTGCTGGAGTCCACACTGCCCGCTTCGCGGACCTGACGGTTGATGCGCTGGAAGGAGCGATGCTGGGCGGCGGAGATGGCGGAGTGCAGCAGCACGACGGAGCCGCTGATGAAGATAACACGCAGGACCCACTGTGGGAGCATCCTGGGGTGTTAAATAAATATGGCGACTTGCTTAAGAACCGAACAAAAATCGCAATTAAAATGGGCAAATCAAAAATGTGACAGAGTCACAGATATAACCTAATATTTCAACATTCAAAGGAAACTGCAGTCTCTAAATATTTCTGACGCGAATTTTAGGAAAGTCTTTTATCATTTATGGTTAGAACTGGAAATGGAAAGTCGATGGCTGCAGCAAACAAGTGCTGATGCTTACCGAAGGCGGTTGCCATTTCGACCGGTATATAACTACCGGAACCGGAAGCGGCGAATTTTGCGAATTTGTCATTTGTGTTTCATTTTTTTCGCGTTATTTTTTGATTTTTTTATAGAACTAAGCATTGTGAATATGAAACGAACATTTTTTAGTAATGAGCATGACACAGTTCTACATTTCACTCGTATAATAAGCAGCAATCAAACGTTTTATGTGAATAATGTTCTGAAGTGAAGCATAAGCAATTCTGTGTGTAGCGGCAATACATTGTATTCATTGCCATAAATACAGTACCGTAATTTACTCGTATTTTGTACGTTAACAATCTCTTTTATTTCTTTGTGAATAATTTACTCAAGGGCAGGCAGCCAGAACGAATACTTATTCCAAAATGATCCGATATCGACCAGTCATCACACTATTCCGCAAAAAGTTTAAAATCAATAACACTCCCTTACAAAATCCACATTTTCACAGATAAAGCGGAACTAATGCATTCACATCCAGCGAGCATCTCGTCAGCGGGCATTTCCCCGTCGCCTCCACAATCGGCAATACACACATCCGGCAGAACACTATCCCGGTCGCCGGCACCGCCACCGGTTGCCGCCATCCTTGTCCACACACCGGACACCTCCCCGGACGCAACACAACGCAGCTGTCCGGCAGCCGCGGCGGCGACGGCACACCGACCATCGCATCCCGCACTTCCTCGCCATACTGCCGCCAGAACTGCGCCAAACCCCCTCCCACCGTCAACAGCGCGGAAAACGCCCGAAATCCACCATGGAGAAGGCGCTCCCCAAGGGAAGACTGGAGGGATACTTCAGGAATGTCGGCGAGTGAGCGCCGCTGCAACCGGATATCCAGGAGGAACAGGAGCAATCCCGGATGCGGGATTTTACGGAGCAGATAGCGGAGGAGGATGTACACGTTGAGGAAGGCGGCTACGTAGCGGACGTAGGGATAACAGGCTACGAAGCGGGATTGTACGCCACTGGATGAGCGGCAGCGATCACGAAGACGAAGATAGAGTTTTTCCCACTTGCGGAAAATATAAGGGACGATGGCGAGATCCAAAAGGGATTTGGCGATGACGAAACGGCCAGGCGTCCGCCGAATTAATCCGGCGTATTTCTCCGCCCATGAAGCGTGGAAATACCGCAAATGATAGAGATTCAGCAGGAGATCGAGGGCAAAAACAATCTCGTCATGGAGGGCTTCGATCAGGTTTCGTAATTTGACGGGGAGATAATCCTTGGATAAGAGCTTCAGCACGTATGCCACCGCGTTCCGGAAGGTGTCGGATAGGTTGCGCGCAGCGAACACTTCGGGATATCCAGCCACATCCATCATTAATAATGCTGTATTTCGTAACTGTATAAATTCTGCCAGGAACACTGGAGCAGTGAGGAACGGGAAGCATTACGAACACCAGTAACTGTAACGACTAATGATACTTGCACCGAAGAACGGATCTGGGATTGCACTCCGCAATCGCTCTCTTATTTTCTCATACGACTTTCTGTCACTTTCAGAAAGAGACATGTTCTACAATTCATGATTCGTGAAAATAAGATAAATAAATTAGTAAAAATACATAAACGGTCAAATTCGCCAAATATTCATATTTACGAATTACGATTATGAATTTTGTTCGGTCAGAATGTATTCGCTCATACCGTAATGTATTCGGCATTACAGTACTGTAATCAAACTGGTTCGGTTAAAAAATTTACTACAGGGAACACTCGGAACAGGCTAAATAAGTCACTCGGTCGTATTCAACCGGAAGTTATGGGAAAAATCGTTTTTTCAACCACATTGATCAGTTGTTTTACCAAGAGAAATGGCAAATTTGTAGTAAACAAAATTTTTATTATCATGATATTAATATATTATCAATGATAATTAATATTACTGAATCAGGCTGGCTGAATCATTGAGTGATTTCCTAGAACGCGATTGAATGTAAATTAGCCGCCGCTTTAGTGGCATTTATTTCGGCAAAGTTGAATATGCTTTTTAGATAATATGCTGTTCGTTTCCTTTCAACTTTTTTTTTATCGTGCATTACTAACGGTAATAATTTTAATAAATTCTGAATGACTTACAAATGCTTTCAGCACGTGTATGATCGTACCGTATTTTCAGTTTTTCTATTAACTTTTAACATGTTATAATATCTGATTTTGTGAACTGAAAGGCCAAACGTGGTAACGAAACGAAATCACTGCTTCTTTTTAATTCATCATGGAATACTTTCGCACGCTGGAAACCATTAAAACTGAGATTCTGTAAACGGTCGAAAAAAACATAATTCCATTCTAAAGATGCCAACGTCACAAATCCGACGTACACAGGCTGAGACGCACTACAGTACAATACTGACTGAATGTTAAAGACAGTAGCACGCCAAACAACTCCGCATGTGCAAACACGTTTAAAGACCAAAACCGTAGAGGGTTCTTCCCTGGCGTTTGAGAGCGTACACCACATCCATGGCTGTCACGGTCTTTCTCTTGGCATGTTCGGTGTAGGTGACGGCATCACGGATAACGTTCTCCAGGAAGACTTTCAGAACTCCACGGGTCTCTTCGTAGATCAGTCCGGAAATACGCTTCACACCACCACGACGGGCCAGACGACGGATGGCGGGCTTGGTGATGCCCTGGATGTTGTCACGGAGGACTTTACGATGGCGCTTGGCACCTCCTGTGGAGCAAAAACAAATTCTTGAAAACCTGATCTTTAAAATTATTTCAAAAAGAACCAATAACTGAAGTTATTAACCAATTACAGCTGCCTTATGGCCCTTATGCAACAATTACAGCACGCTACATCAAGTTTTCATAAATTATCTTACACAGCTTAAGTTCGGAATTAAGATAAGTTACACTGAACAGTTAACTTTAAAAGAACAGCTACAGATTCTGCCAGAATCACTCACCTTTGCCCAATCCCTTGCCTCCCTTTCCTCGGCCAGTCATTGTTATAACGTGGAACAGATAAAGATTCAACAAAAATACCACAGACTAAACTGCAACGGCAACGACGCGCTTCGAAAGTTCAAAAGTTACAGAGATGAAGAAACCAACAAATCGATCAACTGCGATGCACTGGCGCGCTTTTTATACACGCCAACGGGTACGGCACCAACGCTGGGGGCGGTGACTAACGCTTACACAATCGGTGATTGGTCGCCAAGCGACAGCTCGGATAACTTCGAAAACAATAAACAATTGAAAAGAATCGGCTGAAATTTTAAATTTATACGTATTTACGTAACTGTATTTTCTTTTTACAAGTGATTTTATTTTTACAGTAAAAACTTATCTCGCTGATGTTAATTTAAAAAAGGATTGCTGATCAAAAAAGTGCCAAAATACGAAAACAAAGCGACTTTCAAGTCGGTTCGAGCCGTAGCCCCGCCCTCCTAGAACGGCCTCAACAAAAATTTGAATAGGGTAATTAACCAAGCGGCAAAAAGTCTTCTGCTGGAAATAGCGCAAACATTTTTTGAAAACTTCTGTTTTGGTTAACGAAATCCTATCCAGAAAAAAATTCTGAATCGAACTATGTACAAAAACTCTGGAAACCTCGCAAAAAAACAATGACAAAAATGCAAATGAACAGCCCAAGCAATTTTTTCCGCATTACCAAAGCTCCGCCTTCCCTGTAATATTTTGTGGCCAATCAGCCAGCAGCATATTTGGCGGATGGTATAAAAAGCGATAGACAGCCGAATCCACCGAGTCAGTTGGTGTTGTGAGTTTTTCAAGTTTTAATAATTTGTTATTTCGCGTCGTGTCGCGTATTCCTTTTACCGTGCTACAATGGCCCGTACTAAGCAGACCGCCCGTAAGTCCACCGGAGGTAAAGCTCCCCGTAAGCAGTTGGCTACGAAAGCCGCCAGGAAGTCCGCTCCCGCAACCGGAGGTGTGAAGAAGCCCCATCGCTACCGTCCAGGCACCGTCGCCCTCCGTGAAATCCGTCGTTACCAGAAGTCCACGGAACTGTTGATCCGCAAGCTGCCCTTCCAGCGTCTGGTCCGTGAAATCGCTCAGGACTTCAAAACCGATCTCCGATTCCAGTCCTCTGCTGTCATGGCTCTGCAGGTAACGATGCAGTAATAACAAAATCTGAAAATGCGATAAAAGTTTAAATCTTCATAAAAATATGTCAGCTGGTTATTAATGATTTTATTACGGTAAATCTTGAAGTTACTTTTTTTGGAAATAAATCTAAATAATTTGCAAATCAATAGCTTGAATAGAACTGAATTTTGTCAATTCTTGAGTAATTGAATTTTCGTTGGAGAAATTAAAGTTACCTGTGTTGCGCGCTGTTTTATTCCATTTCATTGTTTTCGCAGTAATTTGCTAATTTTTTTATGTCTGATTGCAGGAAGCCGCGGAAGCGTACCTGGTCGGCCTGTTTGAAGACACCAACTTGTGTGCCATCCATGCCAAACGCGTCACCATCATGCCGAAAGACATCCAGCTGGCCCGCCGAATCCGTGGAGAGCGTGCGTAATTGTTGAAACTGTTGTTTGTTGAGGCGGTGTACAGTTGAGGCGAAGATCAGATTGTAGAGGTTTGTCATGGCAGATTATTAGAATCTCTGGGTTGTTGTAACTTAACTTGTTGAATAGAATATCTGACTTTCATGTGCCGACGCTCCGAAAAATGGCACTGTTTGTAGAAAAGATCAGAAATAAAAACATCCGTGAAATTTTGCCGTTCTCATTTCGCTGTGATCGTTTTGTATTCCATTAATCACTCATCAGTAATCTAAACAATAATTGCAGACTTTACATTTAACATCATTGATTATTTGATATATGTAAAATTACGAATGTAACGATAAATAGCGCAGTTTATATGGACTGAAGACCGTGACTTTCAGTGTCCAAAATATTAAATCAACAATCTGCAGATTTTAATTGAAGTTTAAAAACCTTTGCTGCGCCATTCACTCACGTTTTCTAAATTAGAAAGGTGGATTTCCGGTTTTCTAGTTTCTACTGATCACAATACTACACGCCTCAGCCGACAATGGCCAGGCGGCCAGATGTTAAAACTTAAAATGTAGACATACAATGTATTGTAGTTGAATGAACATGTGCAGTATAGTTATTTAATACGATTAAGTAAAACGTACAGTAAATAATTTGAATCAGAACGGGTAGCGAAGTAGCATGTACAGTGAGGTTAAAACCATTTCCGGCTTGAACTTAGTGAGTAATAATTAAATTGATAACAAATGCAACTTTAAAAATACAAAATATAACAAGTTTCTAGTTCCTAGAGTAGTGGCTACTGTAGTACGAGTAGTGTGTACTTCGTATAATGTCGAGTACACTGTAGTACGAGAACCGGAGAATGCATTTTATATATGTTCTTTTAATTCATTAATTGTGAATATAATATTCCCGTAAAAACCGCATGAGCCTTAAATCAAAAACCGTATGAATTTATTTTTTATCCAGAGTCCTGACTGACCAGGGCAGTATTTCCGCCTCCAAATTCAAGAAATCTCATTTTTTGTAAAAAGGTAGTAGACTACAGTGGTATATTTAAAAAAAATATTTTCATCTGCAAAGGTCGATTGGGCGTGGTCTAAATAAATTAAATGGAGTACATAGTACTGCATACTATTATTATGCAGTACTGGCATTTACCATAATAATATTATACTAATTTTGCGGCCACTGGACCAGCCGTGGACCCTTCCAGGTTTTAAGCACCCGCATAACTCTAAAAACGCTTCCGGTAGTCCCATCTTATCTGGCAGGTGCTACATCGCACATTTTAAAAATTTCCTACCTAAATGCTTCCTAACATGGTGTTCGTGAGCATATGGGCATACAATACAAACAGCTTGAAAATTAGCGAAGTTATTGAATTTCTGAAATTTAATAATTTTGCTGTGATGGTCACCGCACACGCGCTGTAGTACGTACATACGTCGACGCTCGGCATGTAGAAGGATTCACGGGACGTGCAGTGCGCGCGATATTGCGGCATAAAATGCAATTACGATTACTTAATTCCACAATCTAATAGTATGTGTACTCTGCATGTACTCATTTAATTTATGTTAGACCACACCCAAGTGACCTTTGCAGATGAAAATATTTTTTTAAATATTCCACGGTAGTCTACTAAATTTTTACAAAAAACGAGATTTTTTTTAATTTGGAGGCGGAAATACTGCCCTGGTGAGATTTCTTTAAAGTTTAAACTGTAAACTGATTTTCCAGGTTGCAGATGCCGGATTGTACAAAAATTAATAATATGAAATGCGACGAAGTGCTGCTAAACGCTAATTGTAGGAAATTAATGGCTATAATAAATTCTAATTCGAACGATAGTTTAATATGTGGCATTTATAATTTATTCCCTAAATCCGCTTAATTCTACTTAGCAGTTTTTTGCTCTGCTATACGTAATACGAATATAGATATAGTTATAATAAATTATATTGCACACGCCAGTCGTATTGAAATTAAAAATAAAATACAACACTACAACAACACGCGTACAAGTAAAACACTAATAAAAGTTTACAGTACTTAATTAATTTTGTACATTACTCAGTAAACGATAGTAATCTAAAAATTTAATCAGTACGGGTAATAATTTTATTTTTAGGTACATACATAGGTACTGTATACTTCTTGTACCGTACGAACGTTTTTCCGGCAATAATGTATGGTTTTGTATGGCATGGGTACATCTATATCAATGTCCCGTCTATTTTGCTTATGAAGTTATGTTAAATTGTTGGAAGATGAAGCCTAAAACTTCAAAGGTACTGGTACTTCAAAAGGTAAAACTGCGTATGCTGTTTTGTTTGCAACACCAATTGTTTTCTACAGGTTTATACGGCAGTGAGCACAAATGACAAGACCAAACTTCAGCAATTTTTAATTTCTCTTGCGAATACCAGCTTTGGCACTGCATGTCTCAACCAATGCTGACAAAAACAACGAAAAATACTGTCTTCCAGTTTATTCAACAGAAATCGATGCTTAAAAGATTCAACTGAAGACGAGAAAACTTCAAAAGTATGTACAATACGTCCAACAAGAATGACTAAGCTTTCATGGAGTCATAGGCAAACAACTTTACACCATTATGAGATCAGGAGATGGAACAGCCGAATCTACTTGTTAGCGCTGGTGTACTTGGTCACGGCCTTGGTGCCTTCCGACACGGCGTGCTTGGCCAGTTCTCCGGGCAGCAGGAGGCGCACCGCTGTCTGGATTTCGCGGGAGGTAATGGTGGACTTCTTGTTGTAGTGCGACAGACGCGAAGCTTCCGCGGCAATCCGCTCGAAGATGTCATTGACGAAGGAGTTCATAATGGCCATGGCTTTGGAGGAGACGCCAGTGTCCGGGTGCACCTGCTTCAGGACTTTGTAGATGTACACTGAGTAGGACTCCTTCCTGTTACGGAAACAAACAAAATTACGTTTATGAAATTATCCAGTAAAATTAATAGCGAAATAATCCAACAGTAAAACAGGCAATATTAAAGCTGGAAAAAATTTGAAATGAAAAATTATTTTTCAATCAAATCACTGATTTCTCAAATGACAAAAGTCACAAAAAACCCAATAATCAAACAGTAAAATAGGCAATATTAAAGCTGGAAAGATTTTCGAAATAAAAATTTAATTTAATTTCCGATCAGATCACTTATTTCTCATAAACGGGCCTAATGATTTACATGTAAAGAACGAAAGCAAAACACGGAATAGGCAAAAGTACATCAACAAATTCTAATACGTAGCAAAATTGAAGCGTCTACGACTCTACGACAACATGTTGTAATTTGCTTATTTACATTACGTATTATTTTAAATGATCAAAAATTACGAACCTCTTCTTCTTCTTCTTGGCATCAGGATTGCGGATGGCCTTCTGGGCCTTCCCGGACTTCTTGACAGCTTTTCCGCTGGGTTTAGGAGGCATGGTGCTGTGACTGCGAAACGAGAATCTTAACTCAAAAAGGGCAAAAAATCAAAACTTCAAAATCCACACCAAAAGTTTCAAACACTTCCAACTGCATGAACCAACATGCGGATAAAATGGCTTTTATAGCCTGGTTTCGCAAAGCACTGCAGAGCCGCTCGATGATTTACTCCGCCCACTTAATAATTTCAGCGCGTGGATTGGATGTTATGGGGAGTAATTTTAGGCCAATCGCTAAGCACCGCAGAATTGTGACGTCATGGATTTGAAGTTCGGCTTAGCGCCGCCTTATCGGCAGGTACGCTTTCTGATTGGAGAGTGATTACGGTTAGGCGGTACTGAGGCTGGCAACGTTTAGATCAGCTGGCTATAAAAGCCGTAACAGCGGCAACACAAAAATCCATTGCCTGCTTTTGGAGAAATATTCGCTGAAGCTACAGCAAGTTGCTTGTTTTTATTTTTTGAGTGTCAGTTAAGCATTCCCCAGCATCATGACCGGACGTGGTAAAGGAGGCAAAGTCAAGGGAAAGGCCAAGTCCCGTTCCAGCCGTGCTGGCCTGCAGTTTCCCGTCGGCCGTATTCATCGTATGCTGCGCAAGGGCAACTACGGTGAGCGCATCGGTGCTGGAGCTCCGGTTTACCTGGCCGCTGTCCTCGAGTACCTGGCCGCCGAAGTCCTGGAGTTGGCTGGCAATGCTGCGCGTGACAACAAGAAGACCCGCATCATCCCCCGTCATCTCCAGCTGGCTATCCGTAACGACGAAGAGGTAAATAAAAGATCGACTAAATTTCCTCTAAAGTCTAAATTTACTTGTCTTCCATTTAAAGTGACCAAATTATCGAACATTTGTGACAAGCTTTCTCATGGTTCTTCTAAATTTTTTGTAAATATGAATAAATTTTGTTCAAATTGTTATTGCGTGGGATGTGTAATCTCAAAATTACTGGGGTTTGCGACTTCCAAATTATTTTCAGTGTATTTGAAAGTATTTGATTTAATGAGCCATTTTATGATTTCTGGTGTTGATTTTCTGTTTTATTTGTAGTTGAACAAGCTGTTGTCGGGTGTGACGATCGCGCAGGGTGGTGTGTTGCCCAACATTGCTCCGACGCTGCTGCCCAAGAAGACTTCCGGTGGACCGCAGGAGAGCACCCACGAAGCCAAACCGAAGGCCACCAAGAAGGCCATGCAGGCTGAGACCTCCGCGTCGCAGGAAGTTTAGAATTTATTGTCCGTGTTATTGACGTAATACGTGTCATGTTGTCGGAAAAGATCTCGTAAATGTCATTGTTGAAATTCCCGCAGTTATGTCTAACGTCTCCCACTTTCCTGCGCTCCATGTTATGCATACGATTTTTCCACGGATTTTTTTGGTAGTCTGAAGAGTGAAATGGCGGCCTTTTAACTTGTACGATAGTATTAATCGTTGATCTGCTTTTTCTCGCTGTTTAAAAACGAATCGATCAGGATTAAAAAAAGAACGAAATCTTGAAATTTGCGAAAGCTGACTTACTGTAATTTTATTGGATCGAACAAGTATTTCACACGTAAAACGAGAACACAAGTTACACAGCTGAATAAGTAGATCTTACGATAATTAAAATAGGCATTAAAAACATTCACTCGATAAATAAAACAGGCATTAAAATTATTAGTTAATTCTTGATATCCCACTTTAATTAACGTAATTATTGGTTATTAATTTATTGCTTAAAATTATTGCTTTCATTCATTTTTAAAAAGCGGAAACAATCTTGGACTCGAGACTGCATATCAGACTGAAGGGGCGTATGCAACAAAGCCGTCCTGTACTACTTCACTAATATTCTGCTGTATTTCGTGACGTGGCTCAAATTGTGGATTTTTAAAAGCAAAGTAAACCTTTTTTGATAATTCTTAAATTCTCATTAGTTAAGAAATTTTAGCTTGGATATTATCTCGAATCTGTGATGCGTTTGTACAATTGAGTTTGTTCTGATTCATCCTGAATCCCAAAAATTCCACAACATTGCGTTGATGAGGAGCCAGTGACTTATATCAGGGAGATCTCTTTCCGTGTGAAAAGTGTGGCTCACTTTTCTTGAATTGCGGGTGTGTTGCGTGTTCACCGTGCTGTGGACAATTTGCCGTGTTTGATCTTTACCATCATTCAGTTTCCACACGAAAATGGTTAGTAATTGAGCCATCATGATTAAACCATGAAATACGTTATAAAATAATTTTGAATGCAAATGTTATCCAGGTCCTGTTGGCTGCAGCAGTATGCAACAAAACGGGGAAAGGTAAGATGTTCGCCGCGAACCACAGTCATCTGTTCTTCGTGTGCCAAAGTGAAAGTTTGCTGTTTCTGCAGCGCTGCTATCCCGTCAGTTTGTGGATATGACACGGTCACGTGTCGAGGGATTACTGGCATCTTTTCCCAAATTGATGACCACGGGGAAGCAGCACACTTTCGTGGAGACCGAGTCCGTCCGCTACGTGTACCAGCCCATTGATAAGATTTACATGGTCCTTCTCACCACGCGCAATAGCAATATTCTCGAGGATCTGGAGACGCTCCGCTTGTTCGCCCGTGTGGTGAGTATTGTTTTGATGCACTTCGAAATTTGCTCGGTGCATAGTGACACTGCATACTGCAATTTTCTCCTTCTGGAGTTATGGGAAAACGTTTACTTTTTAATATTTTACTGTCGTTTTTTATTTTCAGTTTTTAAATTTAAAAATTCGAAATATTTTTTAAAATTGATTTTAATTGATTTTTCATTGTTAAATCTTACTTCTTTTGCGGCTGGCTGTTCAGAAAAAATGATTTTTTTATTTGGGTTGTGACGCAGTCACGCAGAAAAGTGCAAATATTGATAATTTTCAGATTCCGGAATATTGCAAGGTTCTGGATGAGGCCGACGTGATAAAGAATGCGTTTTCGCTGATTTTTGCATTTGATGAAATTGTGGCGTTGGGCTATCGGGAGAATGTCAGCTTGGCACAGATTCGCACTTTCACGGAAATGGATTCTCAAGAAGAACGCATTCAAATGGCTTTACGACAGGTACTGAATAATATGGCTGGTTTGACTTTATTTGTTTTGCCTCTTTTCTTAAAAACTTTTAGAATTTTACCGCTGAAATATTGTACGAGTGCTGCTTGTTTTACCATGCTGATAACATGCCCAACAATTTTGTAAGTAATACTGTTATGGATAGATCAGTCTCTGTCTGCTTATAGTCCATTTACACATATTTATATTTGTAAATTGTAATGCATGATTCTGATACGTAGTCGGGATGTTTGCATTGTAGTTACAGACTTACAGTTATATTTTTCCACTGCTGTATGGGAAAGTTTTGATGGTGATACGGTAGTTAAATTTTTAATGGTAATAAATTTTTTTAAGTACAGTTGAAGTACAATGTTTTTTAAGATTTGTGAATGTGGAAACGGTGAAACTCTCTGAGATCCGTTTGCAAAACAGCTTTGTTCAATTCATTAGACCCAAGAGCGTGAAGCGAAAGAGGCGTCCAAGCGCAAGGCCAAGGAACTGACGCAGCTGCGGAAAGATGCGGCGAAAACCGGCCGCGGAATGCCGGCCGGAATGGGCGGTATGGGTGGCGGTGGTCACGGCATCTCCGCGTCCAGCCCAGTCAGCACACCCATCGTGGAGAGTCGGGTGGATGAAAAGCCAGCGTATACGTCCAGGTAATACTCTCTTTGTGGCTGGAACTAGCGGTATAAGACATATAAATTATCACATCAATTCTGCAGATTAAAAATTAATATTTTGCAGTTGTAAACACTGAACAGTAGAAACTAATACAATTGTTACAATATTTTGTGTATCTTCATGAAAAAATATTCTGTAATTATAGAGTGTTTCCTCACTTTTAATGCTGCAACTTGATCTGTTTCTGGGTTACCGATTGCATATTGTATGCTAAAGTATGACAAAATGCAGTTGAAATCACGTATGGTACTTCGTATATAAAGTTTTGTCCGTACACAAAAAAATTGTTTCAGTTTCGTGCTCAATTAGTTTTTGCTTTTTCGTGCAGTCGGCAGGTTACATCCGGTAAAGCCATGAAACTGGGAACGAAAGGCAAGGATGTGGATCAGTTTGTGGATAAATTGCAATCCGAAGGAGAACGTAAGTAAATCAGTCTTTGAGATGCGTTTTTATTTGCCTAAAAATTGCATCAGATTAGCAGTGTAATATCCGGGTGTTTTTATGGGAATTGTTTGTTGTACTAGGCGTCATGTCGTCGACATCTACGCAAGTGCGAAGTGCAGCAGAAACACCGGCACAGTCTGCAGCATCTGCTGGAAAAGAAAGGTTTGTTAATTCAATTTAATGGTAGAAGGTGGTTGTTTTTGTGATAATAGCTTTTGCGTATTTTAACCAAAGCTGTAATGCAACGAGTTTGCATGAGGACTATTTGTTTTTGCCAGCGTGCACATTGAATCTAAGGAAGACATCAAACTGAGCGCCGGTCGTGACGGCGGCCTGGAGAACATGGAAATCACCGGTGTCCTCTCCTTCCGCGTATCAGATGAGCGGATGGCCCGTTTGGCCTTGAAGATTGATCTGGGCAATGAACGCACTCAAATTCAGGTGGGAGTTTTGCTATAAACCAACTTGACTGTTGTATTTATTAATGATTTCATAATATTGGAATCGATGATGTTTGTTCGGCAGCAGCGTACAAATAACCGATAATGTAGTGTAACGGCATTACAAGTACTTGTCAAAGTGTTGGGTGCTCTGTTTAGTTGATCAACCAAAGTTGATTTTGATCAACCAAATTTTAATTACAATTTGCACGCCATAAGAACGCAGGGCCAAATTACTTTTTGAAACAAATTTTTTGCAGAGTTCCTACATTCGATTCCGATTTTAACGGAAAATGTAGACGAAATTAAATAATCGCGCTACAGAGAGCAGAGAAAATACGGACTGTAATTAAGAATTTCGCTACAAAATTTACCGCTTTCGTAGTAATGCAAGTTCCTTGATCTGGGAATTTTATTTTCTGACAGCTTCATCCGAAATTCGATAAGGAAAAATGGCGAGCGGAAGGTATTGCCGCGTTGAAAAATCCCGAGGAGGCATTCCCACTGAACAACGAGATCAGCATCCTCAAGTGGCGCCTGCAAACGACGGAGGAAAGTGAAATTCCACTGGCCAGTGAGTGTTCTGGGATTAGTGCACAGCAATGAAAGCTGATTATAGTACAGTGCGCATTTCTGATGTAAAAATTTACTGTGTTGATTTTTACCATATCCGTTCGTGTAATCGTTTGTTTGTATTGCGTAGTCAATTGTTGGCCGTCGGAAGCTGGGAAAGGTTGCTCGGTGAATATCGAATACACACTGAACAACGAGGATGTGGAATTGCGCGATGTGGTTATAACCATTCCCATACCGTGAGTAACTGATGAGTTAATGAATGAAATTGATTTGCGGCAGTATTCTGTCGTTTTTTGTTTAAATATGAATTGAGTCTTGCCAGCTTGGTCCAATCATGACTTCGGCTCTGATTTTTTGATGCTTTCAGTTAGCTAAAAAATAGCTGGAACTCATTTTGAGAAAATCTGCAGTAAAATGAAAAATATTTAATTATTTTAACGGGGTGGAAGTTTCGCAAATATTATTGAACCTTTATTTAGCGGTTGATACGTCGCAGTAACCACTGTCCACGCCTAGGCCCTTGCACTACAAAACTAACGTTGTAATTTATTACATATCTGTATTCTTCTGGCAATAAATGATACCACGTGTCTTGTCAATACGTTTTCTTTCAAATCTCGCTGCTACGGTAATCCATAGAGTTTACAGCTTAAGAAAGCAAAAGTAGAGAAGAGAGATACGTAGATAAAAGTATAAAACTGACACAACCTGACTGTATTGTAGACCGGGCACCGGCAGTCCCGTTGTGGGCAGCTGCGACGGCGCCTACTCGTATGAGCGCAGTGCCCTGCACTGGCAGATTCCCCTGGTTGATGCCAGCAACAATAGCGGTACAATGGAATTCAGCACCCCCGGCGGCAAGCCCAGCGGATTCTTCCCGGTTAAAGTTGATTTCACCAGTTCCACGAGTTTACTGGGCGTCACGGTGAGTTGCCGGATGTGTACGAAGTACCGTTATATCCAGGGCACTTTTACATTGCGGAAATTTTATTTTACTGAACTTTCTATTCTCCGTTCGATCTTATATTTAAGATTATGTACGTGAATATGTTTACTGTCCGGTGTGTCTGGCTGATGCTTAGTGATGGCGTTCGCGTGGTACATTTTTCATTATTTATCGTAGCTTAAGAAAGTAGTTTATTCAGTAGTAGTCCTTATTGTAGCTTAAGAATTATTATTTTCTTGTGAATTTCCAGCATTTTTAAATTACTTTTTATTTTTTAATTTATTTTTTTTGTTTCTGTTTATGATAAAAATGGTATTTTTAATAAGTATCTAATTACTGATTGTCGGCGTTTCATTACAGATATGTATGATCAATTCGAGTATTAATTGCTAGGCAGGCTTTCATGTTGAAAATGTAGATACAAAGTTGTGATCGTTGCTGCTTTTTGGTTTGCGGCTTTTTGGTTCATTGTCGCTGATCGTTTCTATTTTTTTGCAGATTGACGAAATTGTCACGGCCACCACCGATGAACCCGTCAAATTTTCCACGGATCATAAATTAAATGTGTCGAAATATGAAATTGTTTGATGCGAGAACTGAGAGAAATTGCTGGTTTTTTAAAACTTGTATTTTTTGTAATCTGTTTTATCACATTTCGGCACGCTATTTATTCCACATTTTACACGTCGTTAAAGGAGAACTGGGTTAGTTGGATGTAATGAAAATGTCGAGTGTTTATTCAGAGAGAATCGTTGCAAACGGATCTAGAATGAAAATAAAGCCATTAAGGGAAAGTGACTCCAGCAGGTCGGAGTGTGCAGACGACAGGTAAATGATTTCGCACCGCATTTTTCCAACAACAGTAATCGGTTATCTTATCCGTTGATTGCACAGCCAACAATGTTGGAACCGTTTTTAAATAATAAAAACCGTGAATCAACATGGGTTATCAGGTGCAGCACTGCACCTGCACAACTGACGCACTGTCAATAATCAATGTTATCATTCCGGGGAAATATTCGCAGCGACGTGCTCAGTATTAGACGCGTCAACGGCGTGGAATGCTGAGCATTTCATTTTTCACCGGAAAATTGTTCACTAATTCTTTGTGTTTCCGTAAACCAGTTACAGGCATTTTTTCCCGGCGTTTTTGTTTACGATTTCTTTTGGAAAAATATTATTCTGGTTCAGCAATATTATTAACGCGGGAAGACGTAGACCGCGGACTGGAATTAATGTTTCTGGAGAGAAAAATGCCGAAAAAGACGGTGCAGACGACGTCCATCCTGAAACCGGTGGGAACGTATTATCGCGGTCAGTTAGCCACATTACACGTAGCGGATTACACATCCAACGGGCAGAAGATGCACGTGATCGCCAAACAGAGCAAGTACACGGAGGAATTTGATCTCGGTGTGGCCAAGATGTTCTGCGATATCCGGGAGGAGAAATGGCAGCCACTGTACGCACTCAAACATTCCAATGTGGTGCGGTATTTCGATGGCTTCTTCAAACATATGCTCGTACCGGAAGACTCCGCACCGCAGGCGCTACTCATTATGGAATTCTTTCCCGGTAATTAAACAACCTGAAGCGACGAAGAAATATTATAACAGTACAGAAAAATGTTAGTACAATATGAAGAAGAAAGGAGATAAAATAATCAGATTGATTCAAAATGACACTACAATTGTTTTTGGAGACAGTAGGTAGTATACTCTTATAGGTATCTGTATGTCCTTACTGGGTACTTTTATATTTTTAACTTTTTTTTGTAAGTTACAGTACGTAGAAGTATCCGAAAAGCTACTGTATATAAATGTGTATAAGAAAAGTATATCATTTATATACAGTATTTATGTAATACATAAGCCAGAAATTGCGAGTCTGTAGCATCTGTCCTTACAATGCGTAGACGTATATTTAGCGGTTGGCAACTTCGGCTTTGACGAAATGTGTGTTGAACGTAGAGCAGTGGCGAGCATAAATCTTGTGAGAGCATCGCCAGCAGAGATAATTCCTATTACAGCAGATAAGTACTGTGTATACTTTATACTATACATTTCCGAAGTGAATTTTCAGGTTCATTTTGCCGTTGTACTTCATGGCAGTTCATGCAACATTTTCCCTACATTTTTTTACCGAACATTGTCACATGCATTTGGCTCATAAAATTCACTGCCCACAGGTGGTGACTTGCACCGGTTGTTGCACACGGCCGATCTGCCGCGCACCCTCTGCCTGGACTATCTCAAACAGATCCTCCTCGGCCTGGAATACCTCCACGCCAACCGTCTCAAACACCTGCATATCCAGCCGCGCAAACTCCTCCTGGATGACGCCGACTCCGTGGGCACCTACCGGACCATCAAAATCGCCGGCCTCGACGAGTCCGTCATGCTTGATACCCAGCACCCCCAGAGCCTAGCCACCCTGCGGGAAGCGGTCCGCTACATGTCACCGGAAGTAGCGCAGTTTCTATCTTCAACAGACAGTCAAAACGCCGCAACCGACGAGTTTCCGGTACAGGGTGTATCCACCCGCAGTGATGTGTACAGTGTCGGTGTGATCTTCCTGGATATGGCGTTCTACACCGGGAAAACCGTGTTGGTGCGGAATAAAACACGACCGCTGCAAAAACGGCAGCTGGCGGTGGACGATGAGACGGACGCGGAGACGGTGGTGAAATTTCTCGTGGAAGGCGGATATCCCGAAGTGCACTACACGGCGTCAGCGGTGTACAGGGATTTCGCGGAGCGGTGTTGTATGCGCAGTGCTAAACAGCGACCAACGGCCGCTGATTTATTAGCGCATCCGATATTCGCGGCGGCTGCACGCCGCGTCAATGAATATCTCATTTAAAGTTTTCGCTCGGAACGGTCTTCAATGTTTTTTTTAGCAAAATCTTGGCTGTAGCATTTGATCAAAGGTCAAATTTCAATAAGGAGAAACTGAATTTTGCATTTGCTGGTTGGTATAAATAGCTGATACAAGTACCCTAATAAAAAGCGATCGTAATATTAATACTTACCATTAGCACACTGCGAAATTGTACATAGGATAGTCAAGTACTTACTGCTAAATGGGATATGCTTTATATCGTTAATAAAATACAGGACTACGTACTAATAATCATGAATCCACAAATATGAGGGAAAAATGCGCATGGACGTGTTCTGCTTATGCAGACTTTGCAATAAAGTGACGGACAGGGTTTGAGATGAATGCCCAGACGAAATGGAGCCCAGCGAACTTTGCGCAGAATAGTAAAAGGTCATACTATGGCTATCAGCGCGTATATGCCCGCCACTTTAGTTTCATTTGACTGCCTTTGAACGGAAAATAAGTAACGTACTTATTTAGAGAAGAGAGATACATAAACTGTCCGAATTTCGGCTGACTTTTCTCTCTCATTTTCGGGATGTTCGTCCGTGAATCAGGATTTTCGGATGTCATTCTGTCCACTGTGTGCCCATCCACACCTTAACCAAAACGTCCGCTGCATATTTTACCCTCTACCTTTTTTTTACCCTGTAGTGTACAAATCATTTTCGCAAACGGAAGTTTTTTCATGAAAATTATTTCGTGCCGGACGCTGCCGCATCGGAATTATTACGCGGCAGGACCGGAATACCAATATTGCTTGCTATTGGCAGTCGGGCGTTTTCGGCGTGAACTTACTGTACGTACTTCGTAGTTCGTACCGGACATTCCTGCTGCATAGTGGTTGTCAAGCTATACTTCTACAGCAAGAGATTTATTGTCGAACTAACATTAATTTTTTTGTACCGACATTTGTCAAAAACTTAATGCTAACATACAGTAATGTATGAATTAGAGTGGACCCTGCACCTACTTGTACAGCGTGGCTTAAAGATAATAAGTACAGTACTGTAATAATATTGTAATAATATACACCGTATGGTGGTGTACTAAAGGTCAGTCTAGCACATGCTTATACACAATCAACGCAATTTTGTACGTACTTATTCAGTATGAAATTACTAAGGTTAAGTACTTAACTGTAAATTTGTACGAAATAGATGCAGTACATAGAGCTGTGTAGGTCGTAAACCGAGTGTTCGAATTTTATAAAGGTCATCTCTGTACACGCTTTACACAATAATATATTGTAGTACGGAGTTAAACGTCATGTACAAACAGCAGCCCCGCGATGTGCGGAAACTCTACTTTCAGGAAGCCCAAATTGAACATGACCGGATCATCAGTCGTGCCTGGCAGAGTAAATACGGCCGCCTACTGGACGAGCAAACCGAGCGTATCGGCACGGTGAACGTGGTGAAACCCGGATGGTGGAAGGAAGCTGACTACAATATCTCCGACAGCGCCAAGATCGCCCGCGACATTACCGTTCTCCTCCCGCGTATCAACTACCCGCCCCGGGTGCGCCGCTTCCCGCCGCACCAGCCCCCGGGACCGGAGGTCACGGAGCATATCCCGCCGTTGTCCCTGCAGTACCCGGTGCCGGCGACGGAAAAAGCGCCACTGACTGAATACCACGGCCGATTTCAATATTTGAAAAATCGCTGGGCGTTGCCGATGAATCAGCGTTTTATCGTTCCACCCAACGTCAACGGGGAATATGGTTGGGAGAATGCCGGGCAGGCCGGGAAGTCACATGAGGAGACTCCCAAGAATTTCGGTGTGCGGCCGGTGCTCGCCAGGGAGTTCTACCGGCAGACGGGTGTTGTTAATCATAAAGAAAGCAAAGTCAAACTTGACCTTAGTGCACGATAACCGTTGCTAGTAAACCGCTTCTGAACGTATACTTATATATTCAGTTTTTGATGCTCTAGCAGCTTATGACTATGTACATAACATCCAGTATCCGGTTATGTGCAGCGTTACGTTAAATCTCCCGTTACGTGTAGCGCTCACAAACCACACTGAAACTGAAATCCGTAATGCGCTCGTAAAAGGCAACAGCTGCACAATGCTCTAATCCGGCAATGGGTCGTGTGCGGCATATATGTAATCTTATCGCTCAGGAAAAAAACAATACAAAGTAAAAAGGTCAGCTCAAAAAATGCACAACGAAAGCAGATTCCCCAGTGTCCGTCGTAAAACAAATCGCCAGTAGCCAGATCCAGAGGTACACAGAATGCTCCGATGCCAGTGACCGACAAAAAAATGGAAAAATACAAGCGCTAAACGGAACATATCGTCCTTTTTTGATTTGCGAAGCCTCCCGACCCTAGTTCTCATTCATTCATATATCAAGAGCAGACAACCCGGTTAACGGGACTTCAACGTCTGGTCGCCTGCAAATATCACGGCGTTAAAAACACCGATTTTCAACCAGCCTTTCTTATTATCACCACATAAAAACTACAATTCAACAAAATTATAAAATCACAATTATAAAACTAATATAAATTCAATTCAATTTAATTACTGGGTTAATATATTCAATTCAGTGAATAATATACGAGAAAAAGTTCAGTAAGTAATATAAAATAAATGATAATATAGTAATAAACAATAATATAATAACAATATAATATGGATTTTCCTAGTATGGATTACGTATACACTCACCACGTGAGATGGGGAAACTCATTGTCAGCCGGAGCTGTTATTGTTGTGCTTTATTTTGCATAATAAAATTAATATATGTTCCAAAATAAAACAATCATTTGCACTAACTATAAATATTTATCAAATTTTTCTAAACATTTCCTTTGTTTACGAAAATCAACAACTCCCATTACGTTTAAGCTGATGGCTTATTATTTTTACGAGCACTTAGTGTAACAGCCAGTGCACTACAAAACACCATGAACATACCAGCCGTTTTACACCTAGCTTCACAGAGCGTGATATGCATCATACGCTTCAGTGGTAACGAGGAAATGTGTGACATAAAATTGACATAAAATATAATTGTCATAAAAAATTGTCTAATTACCTGCTCACCAAGTTTACGGAAATAAGAACGTTTAATACAGCAAAATCATTATGCATCGATTCTGATCGTTAATGTGCATGTAAGTATTACTTATGGAAACGAAACAGCCAGTACAGAATGCAATTATCGGATTATTACAACTGCCAAACTGATTACTGTCATTTTATTTCCCTGGTACAATCGGAATGAGGTTTTTTCATTTTTATATATAATTTTCTGTATAACAAATGCTGTCAAAATACTAAACAGGAAAATACCGGTATCGTACAACAGCTGGCGCATACAAATTCCCTGTAACGGGAACCATCCCCGCATTCCCAAGCCTTAACTCCAACAAGCACACCCGCAACGTGCAGCGCTCACACAACCACACTGAAACTGAAATCCGTAACAAAACGCGAGTAACAGCCACAATGGTCTATCCCGCAATGGGACGTGTGCGCGCGCACACAACCCTGCCGTTCAGGAAAAAAAACAATGTACAAAGTAAAAAGGTCAGAACAAAAAATGTACAACGAAAGCAGATTCGCCGGTGTCCGCCGTAAAAACAAATCGCCAGTGGTTCAGTCCAGAGGTACACAGAATGCTTCGATGCCAGTGACCGACAAAAAAAATGGAAAAATACAAGCGATGATGAAGCGTCTGCTAAACGGGACATATTGTCCTTCTGATTTGATTTACGAAGCCTCCCGACGCCAGTTCTCATCGGTATTCTTCCGCCTGCAAATATCACAGGGTCAGAAAAAACCGGTTTTCAACAACTGAGCAATTTCAACCAGTCTAGTCCTTTGCTGTCACTACGTGAAAATCTAAATCTGACATTGTTCAATTCAAAAAATAATATATTGTTGAACAATATTAACGTTATTGCCGAACTTTATAGAAAAAATCAGTTTAATGCCGGGAACTGCAAACCGAATCATTATGCGCTAAAAGCATGATTCCATAAAAAGCCCTCAAGAAATTAAAAAAATCGGGAATTTGTTACGTACGCAAAACCAGCGTATAATTATAATTTCATACCTACTGCAAAAGTTAAAAAAAATTTACAAAACGCGTAAATTACCAGGAACATACAAGCGTCACAATGTATACATTACGAAAATATTAAATTCAATAATATTCACGCTTACTGCGACGTCAGCGGCTTCAGCGACCCGCTACCACGCGCCCACGTCCGCTCGCCTGGACCCAGCGTCACCGGCGGAGATTCCGGTCCCGCATCGCTGTCCCGCTCCACCTAGACACAAATAAAACTTAAAACTTATGAAAATTTTTTAAAAAATTTTTAATATCACGTAGTAAGACCGCGTACGCATTGTGCGTTATTCATTCAAGGATTGCTTTTAAAACAAGCATTTTCTATCTCATTTCACGTTGCATTTACCAGCATCCAACTTACACTAAGTGCAGTGAGGAACTTTTTGGTCTTGGCATTGGCGGCTGGCTGCTGGCGCATGCGATGTCCATCCCCGGCCGCGGCCGCCGTCGGCTCCGATACGGAGTAGGACGAGCGGAAATGCGGCTGCCGGATAAATCCCGGCTGGCCCTGGCCGGCGGGATGTTGAGGATGGAAATGCGGACGTGTGTTCTCGTTAACCGGCCCGTTGCGCGGTATGTCGAAACGCTGGAAGGGATGTCCGAGGTAGTCGCGAGCGGCGTGCTTACTGGGCGACTGCGCGAGATGCTGCGACGAATCACCGGCGTCGGTACGCGATGGGAGGATGATGTGTCGGGGCGCCGGAGCGAATTTCTGTTTAACAATAATACAAAAACTTAATAATACAAAAACTTAAAAACCTTATTCTGAACTATGTAGATGTAAGAGAACTAGATGTAACAGCACCAAAATAACAACGTTAATTACTGGAATTGAATGCCCACACACTACGATTTCGCCATATTTCCACTTTCATGACCACTAGAGCAGCCAAGCATGTGAACGAAGCGTACGTAGTCCATTGCACGACATGATAACCAAAAACATTTTCGTATAACAGAATTTCAACGCCAACAATTTCTGTCTTCCAAATTTTTCAAAATAGATTTGCACGATTACAGAACAAACAGCATTACAACGAAATAAAGGCCAAATTTCAAGCAATTCCTTTGAAAATTTTCCAGGTGCCGTGCATAAAGACAAGAATTTTTAAATAATTCTCACGCAAAAACAAAAACCATGAACACAATAACGACCGCCACTGACCTCGAAATGGGACCGCCCATGACCTTCCCCGATAATCATGGGCAGCACGGGACTAGTGCTCTCCAGCAGGCGTTTCGCGCCCATCTCACTCCCCACCGCCGACTCCGAGACATACCGCGGCCGCTTTCCGCCGCCCTCCCGTTCCTCCTTCCGGACACCCTCCTTCTTAATCACGTCACTCAGCAGCGCCACCAGGCGGGGCTGGGCGCCGTGCGCGCGCACCCGCTGCTCAATGGCCAGCAGCACCTCTCGGGTGTACGTGACACGCCGCGGGGCCTTCTCGCTGTCCACCTGCGAAAGCGGGCGGATCAGACGATCCCGGACGGTCTCCGCCGGCCGCACAAAGGCTGGTGGACGGGCGTGGAGGTCACCGGGGGTCAGGGATTTGCGCGGGAGGGGCGCACTGCCGTCGGCCGGCAGATGGCAGAACCGGTGGAAGCCGTCCAGGAATTTGGCGGCGTGCGGCTCCCCGGCTTTCCCCAGGATGGTCTCCAGGCCGCGAAGGGTCTCCGTGGACTTGTCGATCATTTCCAGGCAAGTGTAGATCAGGAAGGTCGCACAGTCGTAGATGTTCGGCCAGTCGACCGTCAACTGCGCGATATCCGCGGTGATTTTCTTCGCACTACAAAAACAAACTCAGTAACTACCGACAAAATGTACGGTATATATAAAACATCTTCTATGTGTTTGTTCTATTTTCGGAATTATTCCTTAAAATTATTCTAGATTCATTTCACTGAAAATTATCAATAATAATTTTCATCTTGTTCGATTTATTTTCTTATAACGACGGTATTCTACCAAAAATGACCTTATAAAATCATGAACAAACTGCACGAATCTTCGCCTCTCGTTAATCTCTTTCTGAGTAAGAAGCTTTGCCTCCCAACTTCAACTAATTTCTGATCGTGGTAGTGATTAATTTCCTATTCAAAATATAATGATGTACAATAGCTAAGTTTCTAAGAACGTAGCCCCGTGATTTTGCGCAGTGGCTAAATGTGGCTTTCATGCGAGGAATTCAAACGATAATAAAAGTTCAACAGCAACACCGCTCATAAATCGACAAGCATACCTCAGAAAAGTAGGTTAGCGGTTTAACGAGCAGTCAACTATCCCGTAAATAGTAGCAGTTGAATAACGAGCAATTAAAATTTATCTGTTTATGTCGCCAGCAACAACCACCGACACCAGCACACACTGCACAGTCAAACCATTTCACTAATATTGTAAATTTTTTAATAGCTTAATGGGAAAATTATCAATGTCATTGCAAAAGCCGGCGCATTCCTTGAAATATCTTGCAATAAAAGTAGCAGATTACTTATTAAATGTTGATCCCGCAGGCTGTACCGGAGAACGTTTGTGCCGCTCAAGGGAACATTTATCATTCATTGGTAACTTGTTATCATGCGGTATCGGCTATGAAGGTCAAATTTGTATCAAATTATATTGCAACACCGTCACCTTTCCATCAATTTTTAATAATGACAATATAAAGAAATAAAATTAATGACACAATTCTCAACTTTATTTTAACATTTATTTTAGCATCTGAAAAGTTATTTTGAACTATGCAGTTTCTTTTAATTAGTCAGTAACAGTTGAACAGAATTAACAACAACTATAATTATTTCCAAACCGCAAAAACTAGAATAAGCTTTCAACAATTTACAAATCCTCAACTGTAAAAAAGACGATCAAGTCGGAATCAAAGGCGAATAGTCAACGTTCTATTTAAATTACAACGTTACAAGTTACAACTTAAAATATTCAAAACGAATACAAGTAAAACGTTTTAAATTTTTCTGCAGTATTATTCGTTATTCTTTATACCAATTTACATCTTATTTTTGTTTACAAATTTTTTTCTTAATCACGAAACCGCGCTTGCAATTTTATTAAGTATTTGTTTCGATGGCTGTTGTCTACAAAAGTGCCTTACTAAAATTCTTAAATAACCAGATGTGTTCAAGAAAATTGAAAAGTCACATAAGCATACCTTTGGAAAAAGTGTGTCTTGGCCAGGACATTCTTCTTGGACAGCTCCTTAATCAGCAGAATGATCTTGGGCTGATCCTCACGGCGGGCCTCACAGTACATAATGATCAGGTGCGTAATGAATTCCGCCCGCTCCGCAGCGGTAAAGGTCGACATGGCCCGTGCCACATGCTGCACGGCATCCTGCACAAGCGAGGAATTGAATCGATATGTTGATTCGATAAAACGAACCATCATACTCCACAACGCCTACACAGTTACACAAGCCGCAGCTTACCGCAATCTCCGAGCCATCGGAATTGGTCAGGACGCCGACGAGTTTTTCCACTTGCCGGCCGAAGGCGTCTGGGTCAGGACTAGGAGTGGTGTCGGGTTTGGGCGACGTGGCAGCCGGCGGACTGGGTGACGGTTTATCCACCAGCATCGTATCCGAGGTAGGAGATTCCGGGGCGATATTCTCCATGTCCTGACCGGCTACATATACACAAAGTCATCATTAACAAATGACAGTATTTATCGGAAATTATTCATGCCGTTGAACTGAACCTTTATCCCGATGTAAACTAACTACCCACCGAAATTTTACAGAAAAACAATAATTTCCTGTATCTCTTATAAAAAATCAACCAAGGGACCGCGAATACCGGTTCCTTAAAATTTACTGTAGGCACAACACCGACAATGATAATACATAGGTATAAAATTATAAGACCGTAAGCAATCACTTAACGAAACATTACGGTATTCTCAATTTTCAATTAATGCAGCCATAAATTATTACAAAACATTTTCTAATCACATTCAATTACATGAAAATGTGTTCCAGTTGGACAGTACCGAACGCCGAATTAAATCGATAAAATTTATCTCGAATTTATCCCGTATACTGCAGTCCTAGATGGCGCTTTGGTGAATGTGAGAAAAATCGAAAAATGTTTAAACTCTTCCGAAAAAAATTCTCACTTCAGGATTACTCTACTATCCACACTACATATACGAATTACCAAACGTACCTTGCAAGAATAAAGCAAAAGCGTATTTTAAATGTAAAGCGGTAAAAAAATTCAACCGAAAAATTCAGGAAGAAAATCGGAAATTTAAATTTGAGCTGTTGAAATAAAACCCTGGAAAGGCCAACACACAGTTCACAGAAGACAGATACTGCCGAATGTTATTGCCAACTAACTACCAAACGGATATCGCCGATAACATTGGCGGATGTATAATTATTCCAGCAAGCGTACGAGGTATCAGCGATAATAGTAATCCAGGGACACATTTTCACCAAACTGCCTGCATACTACGAAGCACAATAGCCCTGCACTGACCTCACCTGATCGCTGTTATTACCAGTAATAATAATCCGATAACCGGATAATGCCGATACAAATGAACACCAGCTAAAAATGAGCAATACGTTGCGGGCGGGTATTTATACGCTTTGCAACAACTGTATGGTCACGTTTTTCCTGATCCAAAAATTCCACTGGCAGAATTATATTTCCTAACCAGTACAAATCGCGTGACAGCGTATGAAATGCGCCGCGATTGTTTTCCGGATAAAAACGTTTTGGAACGCGACCAACATTTGATAAACAAGCCAAATTTCGACAAACATCCGTTAGGCAATTACGCTATCACTTTTGCATCAGCCACGTCTAACCACTCCGGTAATGCATTTTTTTTTGTTTCAATATTCTTAAAATTTTAAAAAAAACCTTTAACAGTTACATTTGTAAAACCGATATTGCATTCTAATCGAACTAAATCAAGAATTTCGAATGAAAACGACCGTGAAAACTAAATACCGCGATTATGAGGAATACCCTGTACAGGCACCCTTAACACTGCATTATATTACAGGCTTTGTAGAGTATGAGCGTTATTTTATTCTTACCTAGGACGCCGTTCGCGTCCATGGAGCAGCGCCGACAAATTCCTTCCTGCAAAGATCATTTTTGAATTGCAAGCATCCCACACACTAAATCCTTGAAAAAAATCATTTACGGCAGTCATATCGCGCAGGGGATGTCCGCAGGTCTGCAGCATGAAGGGCATTGTGTGGCTTTGGATTGGGTTACAACGTGGAAGCACCGTTCAAAAATCCGCACTGTTTCCCTCTGGCAAAGGCAGGACTGCCAAACCGTCGAGCACCACACTGTTTTCTTTGGAGATAAAGAAAGAAAGACTAGGTTTTGTTTGATGGAGGGGAGCTGACCTAGAATCCAGGAGATTTCTGGAGACTGCACTCTTTATGCGCTGTCAGCAACATGCATTCAGATCACAGATGCCTCAGACTGGTTTTGCAGTGTTTTGGTTAGAATATTATGCAGGCAGGCACCAGGCAGGCAGGGCTTTTTGATGAGTCTGTCTGCTGCTCTTACTCGAGTAGGCCTTCCTTTTCTTCTCGCTTGCCAGTCTGTGCTAATGCACGGCTCTGTCTGTTTCCTATCCGATGTCGATCAGTCACACAAAGAATCGATTTACGAGTCAGGCTCAGTCAGCTGACAGAAAGTCATCACAAGGTGAAGTCGAGGTGACGCCACGTCCCAAGCGGGCATCAGAACTGGCGTAACCGATTTCGTTACGTGACTTGTGAATGGCTCAATAGTGCCATATGGAACTTATAAATTCTTAATCAATATTAATGTGCTTTGTATTTGTTCTTTGTATTAGTAATAGCATAAAACACAGTAGTTAAAACAATTTTTCAATCCCTTCCCCGCTATAAATACAAAAGAACCATTTACTTACTAAAAATTTTAGTGGGTTTAGAATAATTTTTCGTCATAATTATATTGACCAGAAACCTGATAGAACATTGGTGGAAATGGTGTGTTTCTCGCCACTACACCACAGAACTCATACGTGAATGTCATATGAACCATGATACTACGATAAAAACCCACAAATTTTGGTTGAAAAATTATGGAAAGAAATAATGTGCTTCTTACCTTTTTGATGTTTATGTTACATAAATATTTATATCGAATTATACGAGTATTATAATTCCTATTTGTGAAGAAACTGGCAAGACAACAGGATCGAACTAAACCACTTCATTCATAAACGCACAAAATTATATCCGCAAGAAACAAAGAGTGAACATCCATCCAAGAAGCCAAAAGCAACACGAAGTGTTTTCGTTCATTTTTTCGTTAATTTAATTTCCCGGGCAGAGAAGAGGAAAAAAAGGGACAACGCGACATCAACCACACGAAAAAAAGAAAACACAGAGAGAGACATCCGCCGCAACAAACCAGCACAACCCCCGACACCAAACCACAAACGGAGCCATCCATCAGCTCATCCCGGGAAGACGAAAACAGCACAATCGGGCCGTGTGGGTGCCAAGATGATGGGCGACTCTCAATCCTCCAATCATATTGCCGGCATCCAGACGCGCGGTCCATCCCGTATAAATTAATATCAAAAATTGGGTGAAATATAGACGCAGATAAATTCTGTCCCCGCAAATTTTCTGTGTTCTCGGACTCTGGATTAAAAAAATGGATGATGATGGCCGTCGTACGCGTTTGCACCACACACACACGCAGGGGGATAATTATGGATGGACTGTCCAAGGGATAAAGATCAATCTTGAAAAATATAAACGATCCAAATTCCACCACACCGCCCAACCAAAATCAATCATCAATCTCTCTCTCACTCTCTTTCCATCCGGGACAAAAGTAGAGAAAAAAAGCAAAAAATAATTAAACATGTGTCAATCAAATAAAACAAATTTCTTTCCCAGTAGGTGAGGATATTGTCCGGTTAAATTAGCATTAGAGCGTATTATAAATATGCACGTAAGAAAAAAAACGTATCCCCCCATAAGCACAATGTAAGGAGGGTACCGTATTTAAATTTATCAATTTAGCCAAATTATTATGCCACTTTTGCACAGTCACCGTCAGAGAAACCAAACAAAAAAGAACATCGGACAGACAGCAATCTCGGGATTGAAAAAGCCACCATCGACATATCATTCGGCGTCTGGTCCGACAGAACACATTGAGCAATTTCTCTTTAACCTAAAAAAATGAAAAGTTCAAGCGTTTCAAATAATTTAGAGAATTAAAATAATATCTGAAAATAATGTTACTGTAGCTAAATTCTTAAGCTTTTCAAGAACACTTTAAAAGCGGACGTACACTTCAAAATCACGATAATGTAGTACAGTAGTAGTGAGGAATCCCGAGAATATGTTAAAACTTAATTCTAACAGTTAACTGTCACACAAATAAAATATTCAAACTATATCCTAAATTTTGAACAATTTCCAAATTTTTATGATTTGATTTACCTATGAAGAGCCCAGAATTTTCTGGCCAACAACCGGGTCCCGGTTAATCATTTCTTCCTTCTGCTCTGGTGACAGGCGCGCATCGAGCCATTTGCGGAAAGCACCGTGGTATTTGGGGATATGAGCGGGAGATTTACTCAGGACACTGTCCAAGGCCGCCAAACTGAGGAGGTTGTCCGCCAGCAGCGGCCCAATCAGGTCCGCAGTATAGGCGTACATTTCCGGCACATCCACCGCGATGTCATCCGCTGCCTCCACAATTTGGCCCATGCTACAAACAAAACATCCATGATGTCAGTGCTGTATCGCCAGCGATTCAGTTTGAATTAAATGAATCGTCTTCGATTATCAACACTATTCAACAGTAAGATAACTTTCACAAAACGCTCACCAACTGCGAACTGCTCAACAAATCAAATTTTCATCCCTGAATAAAGTCAATAAACCAACTTCCACAGCTATAATTTTAAAACACTTTTAAATACTTTTTGATTTTCTAACATTTTTCTAACGAAGAAATTAAGAAAACTATGTAATTGTTCTCAAATCTATCACCACAGAAATATAACTTACCCATCTGTCAGGACATCTTGCGAAAAGAGTCCTTCCCGCGCCATCCCCGATAAAAACTCCACATACTTCTCCCGATCGCGTGACTTGGCTTCAAATGACTTCTCCATAACGCTTTTTATAAACGACGCCTTCGTCGGACCCGTCCAGCGTCGTAGAATTCTCACAGAATCTAAAATCACCTCCTACAACAACACAAACGTCAATCCCCATTAACAACAACCGCTCAAACTAAACAGTCCCAGACAAACTTCGATTTTACCCGACTCTCTTCGCCATCCAAATTCGTGGCCTGCGTCAGCATCACATTGGCCTTCTCGGTCACGGCGTCCGCGTCCAGCTCCTGGTCTTCCTGCACCGGTGAGCCACGGGACGGAGTGCCGGCCATCTGGCTGGGTGTGGCCGTACCCGATGCCAGCGGGGTGGCGGAGCGCTCCACGGAGGTATCCTCCGGGAACGTCGGGGTGTGAGTCAGGGAACCGCGCGGATTCATGCGGTTCACGCTCGACTCGCGACTGGAAGAGGCCGATTTATTCTCGGGCAACCTGCCACAGATATAGACATAAACAACTTGCAAATAATTAATTTCCCTATTTATTTATGTTCACCCAACGTTACTTGTAGAAATATTACAGAAATAATATGATACATACGAAAATCGAATTCAGTAACGTAGTGCAGTAATAAAAGTACTGCAGTATCGCAGTAAACAGTGACTTTCATGAAATTCACCTAAAACCGATTTGAAATGAAATTTACCCTATTAAAATATATTCTATCCCACGGTGGGATTCCTACCGGTAAATACGATAAAATAATATTATTAACAGCAAAAGAAATAAGACAGCGGATTGCAATGGAATGATACTAAAATAAAGAAGCTCACGAAAAAACGACTAAGTTACCCACAAAATAGAGAAAATAACATCAGCATATCAGAACCAACCTGGCCGTGCTGGCGCTGCCTCTCATGCCCAAACCGCCTCCGCTTCCGGCGCCCCAGGAAGGCCGCCCAGTACCCAGCCCACCCTGGGGGCCCAGCATGGTCGTGTGGCCATGTGATGGATCGGCCTAAGAGAAAAAAATCGGTAACTCAAATGAAATATATGCTTTAACAATATGTACACTCAACAGCAACGATACAGAATCCATATGCAGAGACTCTCAAAATTCCATCACACTACGGAAATTGTTCCATGTCATGTTGTCACACTGACCAAGTGATTTAACTACCTGTATGATCCATTCACTTACCAATAATCCCAACACTTTCCGCTTCCCACCGTCCATCATGGGCTGCACCGCGGGACGTCCACCATGGCGCGGCGGCTGCCCGCCGCCCATGGAGGACAGCGCATGCGGCACCGAGCTGGGCTTGGTCAAGCCGCGTCCGCTCTGCGGCATCAGACCGCCGCGGCCCATGGCCATCCCGCCGCGGGTAGGCATCTGCTGACGGGGCGGCATCAGAATCGCCGCATCCGCCACCGCCTGCTTAATCTCCTGTTCTTCCTTCTGTTTGGCGGCGTGCACCTCCTTAATGGTGGTCGGTTTGGCCGTGGTGGTCTTGCGCGGAACGTAATTGTTGTTCTTCAAGTCAATGGTGTCTTCCATCAGGAAGCGGATACGCGATGAGGTGACTTTGGCGTCGATCATCTTGCGCAGCTGCTGGAAAAACACATCCACCGTATTCTGCAAAGTGCAAACACACCGGTCAACCAGCAAATATGGTTACATACGTTTTAGTGTCAACGTTTACCTGTTCCTTAATTTTAACTGCGCAAGTCTGTAGTAGCTTGCACAGACATTCCACTTTATCTTCATCGACATCTTCGAACGTTTTGCTCTTGGGAAGCAGCTTTTGGAAGCAGCTAAGGATTACTCTGTCGGTCAACATCTCCACCTTGTACAGCTCGGATATAAACCTTCAAACACACGTGAAATACATTATCCCCTGTCAAAATCTATAATTAATAATAAAATATATGAAATAATTAAACCAATTAATTATTAATTAATGAATTAATTTAATTTTTAATGAATTAACCTAACTAATTAAACTAAAAAAAATATTTATTCGTTAGCAAAGACATACCGAATGTTGCCGAGGTAATGGCGTTTGGCCCGGCCGCGTTTCTCCTGCAGTGCTTCCGGATCATCCTCGCTCTTATCCTCCTCTGCTTCATTCTCTTCCCTTTCCGTCTTCTCAAAATAGTTCTGCGACTGTCGCAATACCACGGTACGGAATTTCACCGGCTGACCGGAGGCATCTTTAGCTTCCACGTGGATCAGATCGCGGCACATCATGGCGTAGAATTCCGCGTAGGTAATTTCTTCCAGCGCCTAAACATCATCAACAAACTCTCCTATTACTTATTGTCACAAACTTTCCATACTTCAAGTATTGTAGGGTTGCAATTCAAACGGTTTTCGGGCCGTTTTCGAAATTATTTAAAATAAAACAAAATGTGAAAATAAAAAAATTAATATGCATTTTTAAAGCTTATTCTAGAATATTTTTCGGTTGTGAACAAAGATGCGAGTACTGAGTGACAGATCAAATGTTACGTTATTTTCAACAGCCATTTCCTTGTGCTTTATCGAATTTGTCTATTTCTTCCATCTAAGATTACTTAAAGAAATAAACAATTACGTTTTCATTTCAAATCTTTGAAACCTCGCTTGATTTAAAAAAGATTTGATTGAAATATGAAATGTGACACGTTTGTAACTAACCCCAATATTACTAAACACCATTCATAACCACTGATGGTTCATATCGTACTTTATCAAAAATCAGTCCCACGGTGGAACCCAGTCGTTCCGCTGTTTCATTGAACGGCATTCGCTTCATATCTTCGATCAATTTCCCATAATTACTCGGTGTAATTTTGTTAAGGAGAGCGCGCACATCCAGGAGGACTTTCTGGAATACCATGACACTGTATAAAATTCCCGGTTAAAAAAAAAGCTGGAAGACCTAGCGCACCTCATTTTCGTCGAGGTTCTCCTTCTTCTTATTCATCGGCTTCCAAGCGTTTTCGTTGGTAGGAATGATCGCTTCGGTCTGCAGCTGCAGATGGATGACTTGCTGCCCCCCTCGCGGTGTCGACGTGCCCGGTATCCGCTGCTGATGACCACCTCCGCCGCCTGGACCACCACGCGAAGGCTGTCGGCCATACATTTCCGGCTGCAAACAAAAACAGACACTGCAATACAATCAAGAATAATACAGACACATAAACGTGCCGATTTGCAGTTAGCCATGACAGCGATTTTCAGTGTATCATCGTATCATCCTGAATTTCGAAAAATCCTACCTTCACACTAAAATTTCTAAAAATAAACCTATATGAGCTTTAAAAAATCATTTAATCCAACAAACATATAAATAGCGGGATCTGTATAAATCAAAAAAAGATTTATTAAACATAATAAATAAATTGATGCATAACAGACTATTAAGAACTATAACAATTAAACAGATAAACAAATAAATAAGTAGGTAAACAACAAATAAATAAAGACCAACAAATAAATAAGTAATAAATGGACAACTCATAAATACATGCAATGAATTTGCAAACCAAACATTCATTACACAAAATGGCGAAAGTACTTACGCGATTGCCGCCACCGGGTGTGCCCTGCTTAATGATCTCACTGAGCTTCAGCGCCACTTCCTGGGAGAAGGTATGGTGGCCGCGCTGTTCCAGCGACAGGAGCATATCGCGGCTGTAGGTCTTGCGCACCGCCGACGGATCATTGACGGAATGTCGGCGCTGATGCTCCTCCTTGGTCCCGTTCTCCGTCGGCGACTGGGCACCATCCTGGAAGCGATCATCCGGCTCCTCCACAATCTTCACCTCCTCGACGGCGGCGGGGGCCGGCGGTTGCGGCGGCTGGGGGGAGGTCTGGGAAGGCACGACGGGCGGGGAAGCGGCAGCTGCGGGTGAGGCCTCCCGCAGGGTGGCCGGGCTGGTGATGCGCATCTCCATCTTCTCGGGAGGAGGAGGGAGTTGAGTGGCAACCGGGCGGACCGGGGCGACGACCTCCATCTCCATCTTGTCGCTCTTCTCGGGTGAGGAGCGCACTTCGGTCTTCGTCTCCACGGGTATGCTGGGCTTACGCTCACCTACAAATCCAACTTTGCAATCAAGTCATTATAAAAAACGCTATCCCTATAATTATTATTGTGATTTTTTAATACTGTTCATCTTATGAATTTGACAGTTATTACATGCATGTTTTTTATGGTGCCTTTTGTATCATCCCACAGTTCAAACATTAGAATAAAAAACTATTAATATTTCACATTTTTAGTTGCTTCTATCGTTCACCGATAGTTTCAATGCTAGAACGAAGTAATACTAAAAGAATATCTAAATATTCTGAGCGCACTCAGCGCAGTAGAAGTAATGAAAAGCAATTATTTTAAAACAAGCGTTTAAGTGTGTTCGATTGCATGGGTAAAAATGCTCCGTGCTCACGCAGTTTCAAGAAAAGTATTCTGAAGTGAGCATTAAAAATCTGAATGTTTACCGAGCACGGCTTCACCGGGTGCCGCTTGGCTGCTCAACTTTCGGCTTCCTTCCGTAGGAACTCCATTCTGGCCACCTGCAAAATGATCAACATGAACACACAGTGTTTAATGGACATCCATACACATCCAGCGGGATGTTCATACCAATTTCGGACGACACGGACAAGGCCGGCGACGCTCTACTGGACGTTGTGGACACCTCCTTGGACGTTCCGGCGGTGTGCCGAGTGAGTTCGGCCACCTTCCTCTGAAACTCATTCTTAACTTCCTCCGCGGCCGCCGTACTTTCCGATTCCGACAACTACAACCGACACACTTACGAATAACATCCCTGAACCACAGAAGTCCTTAATTTGGACGTACCCTCGGCCCGGAACTGTCCCGCGACACAGTGGACGCCGGAGGCGCGGCAGCCGCTGGCACCACCGGCGCGACCGCTTTAGCCTTGGCCTCGGCTTCGGTTTTCTGCGGGATGTCCACCGTCTGATTCGTATCGGGATTAACAAAGACCAGGACGTTCTTCTTGCGTTCCGTGGGGGCGGGGACGGGGACCGCCTTGGGCTGATGGGCCGTCTGGGCGGCGTACTCCTCCGCGGTCAGCAGCCGGTCATTGTAATAGCGTCTCTGCTCCGCGCCGCTGGCATCTGCCGGCTTCGGCCCGGCCGGAGCGGCCACCATCCCCCCGGGAGCGGGTCCGGCGTGGGCGGGGTTCGGTGGGGGCGCCCCTTGGGGTCCGGGACCGGGTTGCTGTTGGAAGGACGCTGGACAAGAAGAAATACATCAATTTTACAAAAACCAAACAATTAAATAAAATTCCTACCGTTCGGCACGCCCACATTCTGCGGAACCATCCCGGGCATCACCTGCTGATTGGCGCCCTGCGGCATCATCATCGGCTGGTTTCCGGGGTAGAAGGCCGGCTGGAAAACAACAATAACCCATCATTCAAGCTCATGGGTGTCTATGAAATCATCGAAAGCTCGTGTGCGCTCGAAAACGCGACACACACAGCAGCCGGTCAACGAGCAGTACACTGTCCGCGTCAAAGTTCATGAACAACATTCACACCGGTGTACACTGTCTCTGCACGGCGGATTATCGACGCCATGCATTTTCCCTCCTCTAGTCTATCACACTTGAGAGATACTGCAATCTCCCGATTGTCAACATCTCACTAAACGCAAAATAATCCAAATTTTTTCCATAATCAAATACTCTAACCCAGTAAAATCGTTGTTTTACAAGGATAAGAGATGCTCGACTCCCCGCTGCTACCGGCGGCAACATCAATTCGGCCTACATATTTAATTATTGACGCTGACATCGGCGGCCCCCCGTTCACGTTATGCAACACACACATCTACACCACACTGACGTGACAGACACACTGATCTGTCGCGCAAATTCCCCGCATCCGCCACAGACTGCGCTCGTACATCAGGGATTACAACTTGTCACTTGTGTGTCAGTGAGCATGTGCCAGACACTGTGTGAATGCAACGTATCGCTCGTTCAACATTATCACTCTACTCTAATATGCACAACGGGTCTGTTTCATTCGCCGGGAAGAGAGAGGAGGAAAAAAGATGACCGAAAAACCATCAAAATGGGGTTCGCGACGGAGTCTAAACAAAGCTGACAGGGACGGTGAAATTCTACGCCTTTCATTCACAGACATTAACATTCCTCTCGCGATATCTTATCAGAAAACGTTATTCACAAAAGTGAGGAAATCATCGCCGGAAGGATGCATGCAGCCGCGATAAAGACCCGACAACATAATAATTTAACCAAGTTCGTCATTACGAATGTTTCGCACAAATTCATATTAAAAATTCGCCACTACACCACACTCATTAATAATTAAAAACATTCACGGAAAGCCTGATATATTTGCAATTAATTCACAGAATCGGTAACACAATACGAACAGCCGCTACACCACTACACTATGATTTCAATCAATTCCTGTAATGTTCAACAAACATCTAAACGGCTCTACCATAAACTAACGGAAATCTTGGAAAGAATTTTGTATATAAATCGGTGAACTCACCCGCACGCCATACTGATAGACCTGCGCCATCTGGGGATTATTGACCACCTGCATGTACTGTTGGGGAATCATCCCGGCCGCCATCATCGCCGCGTACTGTTGCTGTTGCTGATGGAACTGGCCGGGCGCGGGGTAGATGGGCTGACCGGGGAAATGCTGCTGATACTGCTGCGGCGCCGGATGATGATTATGCTGGCCCCCACCGCCCTGGGCCCCTCCATAGCCCCCCTGGTAGACGACGCCCGCGTCAAACGACTGCCGCCCACCACCCCCTTGGAACGCCCCCGGGCCCCCCTCGTAGCCACCCCCGCCGGGGCCGCCCTGGGAGCCCTGCGAGGTGGTGCGGGGTTTTTGGGGTCGCTGCTGGTTGTTGTTGTAATTCTGGTGGTTCGGCATCGGTCTTGTCTGAGGTTCCAACCGTTCCATGCTGTTGAAGGAAATTATCTGAAAAAAACCAATAAAAAAATTGGGATTTTCCACGGTTATTCCATGGACAAAAACAGGCAGTCGATCAAGCTAAAATGCGATTAGGGAAAAAATTCCAATGATATTTACCTTCTCTGGATGAGTTTCCTGTTTATCAACAGGTTCTAATTTCATAGCAAAAAGATGATATTCATTCAGCTGAAGAACAAACAAGAAGGAAGCGCATCACACACAGAAATCACACAATGTGGACGAGTTTCATCAATGGAGAGAAAAACATGCCCCCTCGAAAACTGACAAACAGGGTTTCTGCGAGGAACCGGCGAGTTTTGTTACATAATCTCCCCTCTCTCGTGATGCTGTGCTGTTTACCTCTACGTTCTCATCAAATTCATCCGACCATCCGAATGAACAAGACCGGAGCAACGTTGGTACTTCATGGACGCCGATGCTGACAAATGATTATGGATAAGAACTACAAGAACAACACACGGCCTGATTGATCAAAGCAGTGACGATAAAAAACGGGGGCTCCTCGAAGAATTCCTGGAAATTCCACGGGGAACTTACACATTCATGGACTTGGGTCCGTGAACCACGATCAAACTCATGTACACACACATACACGACCGATAATGATCACAGCAAATCAAACTGGATGAATTTTCCGATCAAATTCAGTCCAAAGTATCCAATCGTGGATACAATTAATAAAGTGAAAGTGATTGTCGACTGAAGAGAGAGATAAAAACACAACCGAGGGAGAAAATATGTAGATTCTTTCCCTGAAATTCTTATGTAACGGTAAATTCGCGCACTGAATTATAGAAGAGTAAAGATTTTTTTCCACCGTCTTACAAACCTACTTCACGGATATAAACCGTAAAGTGAAGTGAGTCGCGTAATGGATTTGAATTTTTGCGGACCGACTAGTTTACTCGTTCTTTTCGATGTCGGTGTGTGCTGCTGCTGCCTATAGCATATTGCGTACAGTCGTGTTATAGAGATGAGCAGACTTTTCCAATTGAGTGCAAAAGCGGTTGTGACCGGCCAGACTGGTCCGGCGGACCGATGCCGCAGTACAGCCTGCTGGCGCTGATTGGTCCGCTGGGACCAGCGTGCCAAATCAGCCACGAAGTCGCAGTGGACCACGTGACTGTCCACCACGTGGTGGCCCCGCGATATCGTTGGCCGACGCAATCCATGCAATCAGCGAGTGCTGCTGTATACGAATGTACAGGGTAGTATTTCCGGGTAGACCGCATTGACTGTGCGGCTGATTGCGAAAGATTCTATCGTTGATCCATCATAACCAGAAAAATAGAAACTCACTCACGATACATTCCGGATTCGTAAAATAACGACAATTGTTCTGATTTATCTAAAAAATACGTCGAATTTATCTAATTTTAAAAAAAAACTGCGTCGTCGAAAATGCCAAGAGAGTGCCACTTGCAAAAACAAAACGGTGCGAGTCGGTGCGACTGCTCATTTGTTTCTACAGTAAGCGTAATCTGAAATAAATTATTTTTTCCGTGATCATCACAATCAGATGTTCGTTTCATGATGTCAGCATGTAAACCATTTACGCCAATTATCAACCATTAAGCATGCTTATATATTCTTAATTTTGATTTTTTCGTATGAACATTCTTAATATTTTGTTCTTCTCCTATATGCATAAATAATTCGTTTTTCGTTAGCAATTTTCGAGTTCCGGATTTTCAGCTTTTTCTCAACCTGATGTGGATACTTATTCGTGTTTTTGAAGACACAAAAATAATTTCAGCAGAAAAATTATTAACTTTGACTTTCAAAAAACACTTAGCGCAAAAATATAAACTACTGCACTGGCGAATATGCTACCACAAGTAAACAGGGTCTAAAAAAATTAAGGACATTTTAGCCATATGTGTTTTGTGGGTAGTCGTGAACTGCGAAGCATTTCTGCAAAGCATCGCCAGCATGCTTATCAATAAGGCTTTTGTTCTTCCATAAAAAATATCAGATGCCATGACTCGCCAATTTCCGCCACTAGACACTTTATTAAACTGATCGATCAACTCTGATGGAGAAGAGCAGTCACGAAGACAATAACAAATATGAAAACATCCAGCATCTAGTTTAAACGTTTGATGGATACAGCATCTGCAAAAAAACAACGAACAACCGTCAGCAAAATAATACAGAAACCGGGTTTAAACGTTTTACGATAACAGGATGAAAACCTACAAATTTTTACAGGTTTAATTCTAAATTCCGCACGTTAGGAAAGAGATTAAAAATAAAATGAGATTACTGTACAATTTTTTTTAACAGCCATCGTCATGAAAATTCTGTCTATGAATAAAAGAAGCAAAAAATAATGCCATTATGTTGCTGGAACACTGAATATACCAAGCACTCCACTGTAAAATTTTCTGAATGATTATTTCAATCATTTAATGCTTTATAGCGCTCAGATTTGAAAAAAAAAACGTGCAGGAACTCACCACGCGAACACGTCGTCCCATGGCGCTAGGAGGCAGATTCCGGCGGAATTTGGCGCGCACAACACCACTGTTACCGTGCGGTCGGGTGACTTTGCCGAAGATCACACGAAGACGGGATTTCTGTGAGGAACCCGGTGTGGATGTCGCACTACATATCACCCATATTCGTTAAAATTTGTATTCACAAGTGCTTCACGAAATTGCGTTTAACGCGGTTCAACTCATCAACTGCAGCAAAATAGCTCAAAAAGCTGGAAAAAAATTGCAGCGAAAAAGATAAGAATTAGAGAGAATTATGAACATTACTGATTACGTACGTAACAAAAAACAGAAAGGGAAAAGCCGGATAAATTTCTGAAAAAGTACGCTGAAAACTGGAAAATATTGGGAAAAAGAAGAACGATTCACAACTGCAATTAAGTACTAAAATCTTCTTCCAGCAATTTGAATTTACTTCTTCAACTATTAAGAAAGTAGGTATCGTGATAAAACACGCACTTTTTGGCTTTGTAAACGAAAGCTGTCCGTTTTCCAAGGTAAAAATGAACATCCTTCCGTGTGAAAACCCCGTCAATTTTCAGCAGCGCGGTGTGTTCATGTTGATTCCGGAGACCTCTTCGGAAGCCAACAAACACAGCTTTGGAATATAATCTGCAAACCACACCATAAATTTCGTTATCTTCCTGCGCGACGCTCGCAAAAAAAACTTATTCAATCTCAGAATCTTACCAAGAACTACAAACCACAGAAAATCAACACATCAATATCACTATGTTAATTCGCTCAACTAGGAACGTCTCTGTACTTTAGTCAGTTAACCAGGCAATCTGTACTGGGAAACTATGTGGTGCTGAGAAAATTGCAGCTGGAGAACTACTTACCGTCCTACGCGTCCGCCACTCTTCCTTTTCTCGACGGTCTCCTCCTTAGCGTCCTTAACTTTAGTCTCCGTCTTCTGCTGCTTTTCAGCCATTGTGATGTATGTGATAAAAAATGCCTAGAAAATCGAGGATTCCAAGGCGCGAGAACTAATCCGGTGAAACTACCAGGCTGCGAGTGCGAACACCACGAAAAACGATAAAGTCAAACGATAGACCGGTCCAACATGAAAAGTAGTATGGGCAGCGACAGTGCGGTTGTACTTACCCTTCCATGCGATCAAAAAGTACGTACGTGCCAAAAATTAATAATACCAAGTAGTAAAAATTTAATAAAACTTCAGAAGTAAAAATTACTTGCTCTTGTTAAATATTGTTACCTTCGAAATTAAAAATCTATTCAAATAATACCTTATTTCTTTGGTTCATAAAAAATTCTCAAATTTTGCAGTAACTAAAAATTAGGAGTGTTATTCAATTTAAACGGCTATCTATTGCCGAATGCATACAGATTGTAATACGTACTGAAGAAGTCTGAACTCTGAAGTCGAAATTGTGTCGGTTCTATCACATTTCTTTAAAATCTTTTAAACTTATTCTTCAGACAATCTGTATTTACTAATTGACATACTTTATGCGGAACGATCAAAACATATCTAAAGCACAAGGCAAGAAGGTATACACGTTTCGCGATCGGATATCACTAATTCGAATTCACACGCATTTTGCATCAGGTTTTATGATTTATCCTGATATGTACTCGTACTCGTAGTACGTACTCATTTGGCACAATCAGTTAGAACCAGAGTAATTATTATACATGTAATAATAGCAAAAATAACCATTTGTAGTTTTTTAATCAGAAAATAACAATTATGTACGACCGAGCGCAGGTAACGGCAAGCTCTACAGAAGGTCAAAAAAATAATTATGTTAACATTAAAAAGGTCATAATCGTGGTTCATATATGTACAAAAAAGTGCCGCTCCTTGAGCTTTAGACGCCATAACATTTTCCCATCAGCCGCGCGTATCCTTGTAGACAGCGTGATCCCCTGCAAAAATTAATCTAGGGAATGGCATGTTTTTTCACTTAGCTACAAGTACTCGTAATACAATTACTATTAGCTACAGTAATTTACAACGTAACTCACGCTTCTTACTTTGTAGTGTTAATTAAGCGCATGTTGTAAAACAGAAAATCCAAATACAAAATTAATATTCGGCTATTTCCTAGTATGTACAGACAGTAGAGCTATACTCTGCTAAAATACACACCAGCGTCCAGAAACAGTGCATCCCGATGAAAACTCTTCCACATAAATGTTCGATTCAGCCATTTCATATCGTCTAATCTCGTTCACCGGTTTCTGGAATATAAAACAGACGAGCTAAGTCAAACTAAGAAGAGCAATTTCGATAGTTTTAACGATCGCAGTAGGAGCTATATCAAGTTAATCGATCATTTAATCGATTAACAGCTATTAGATATTACAAAAAAATAATTCAGCACCGATCATGTACATCAACACATTACACTGAATCTGATATCAGCATGCATGTTGGTTGTTTACGTACCTCCGGTACCGGTGCAGCACCAAGCAGCGCGTTATCCATCGTCGTATCCGACGAGGTGGACATGGTACGCGCTTTCTTCTTGCGCTTCTTGTTTTTCGGCTTTTAGAAGCGCCGGTATTTCGCGAATGGCTTTCCATTCGGCACACCGACATGCGCCGGCTCAAACTGCGCATCTCCCGGTCAGCGATGTCACTGGATGGCTCCGGTGCACTGGCCGCCGCACAGACGACCGCTGCCCTTGGAGCCGGCATCAACATGCTCCTCTCGTCCGGGAAAACGCGCAGCAGATACTTATCGGGTTTCTCGTCCCAGGCGTACCGGGCATTGCGTATATACGAACGCAGCAGCGGCGAGATGTGCTGGGACAGTTCCGCTTTGCTAAAGACGCCCTCACATTGTTCGCGGGTCAACTGCAACTTACAAGAAAACCATCACCATTTTTCGCTTTCGCCGAGACTGCAAACTCGTACACATTATTATTAACACCATCATCGTGCCGTAACCACAGTAAAAAATAAAAAATATATAGTTATAAAATAAAAAACAGTTATGCTGAGATTGAGAATATGTATAATGGATCTTACGTTTTTGAGTGTTGACTGAACACTTAAGCGATGGTAAAGAGAAAAAACACATTCGGTTAGTTCAAGTTTACCCGTTTGTACAATGAATTGTCGATGTCGTACATAAACGGCACGCAGCGCTTCACCAAAATACACGCCGCTTCCATTTTGTCCTCATCATAGTGCACCGAATACTCATCCGGGGGCAACAATTTTTTGATGCAGCACATAATGATTGTTGCCGGAATGAGCTTATGGCAGAAAAGCAACGACAAAAAACTGCGAATACAAAAACCACGAGTATATTAAAGCAAACATAATTCGTACGTACATATTTCAACATTAGCAGAGGCGAAATCACCGAGCGGCCATTAGTTTAATTACAGTATACGGCTAAATGATAATAATAATAATTATTAATAATTACCGAAAGCGATGACTTACTGCATTTTTGACATGTAAATTTCGCGGTTTCGTTTCTCCTGCCGAACAATTTCCAGTGGATGGATGTCCATGTCACCGACCTGATCCACCGCTCCACTGCCGAATTCTTTTTGCATGCGCTCCTTTAGGCGGTTCTCAAAGGTCACACAGATGCCGGACTTTCTGGACTTCGGCTGTACTTTCTGCCGCTCGATCTGCACCAGTTTCGCGCACATATCCGCCCACATCGTAGTGTCTTCCCAATCTTCCATGACCTTAAATCACAACACATTTATTTGAAGCGTTTTCTATGTAGCCAATCGTCTGGTATTGTGACTACAGCATATGCAAGTGTTAGTATGTAAAAATTAAAAGCTATTATCAATTCAACCTGATCGTTGCCTTAATCGATTCATACTATCTAAGTTAGCGTTTTCAAAGATCGTGAAAGGAATTATTTCACACGTATTAAAACTGACCTTTTCAATAATTCGGTCCACTGTGTAAATGATCATGGCCGACCCATCCAGTATCGGGACAGATTCCAGTTGGAGAATCAGCTTGCCGCTTTCGACGTCTTTAACGTATTTATTCACCGACATTTTGCCGAAAAAATTGTCGACACGCCGACGTTTCTATCCAAAAGCAAAAACCACAATAATATTCACTTTCAAAAGTTTTATTTTCTTCATTATCAGTTCGATCCATCAGCAATATAGTTCAATATCAAATGCCCGTTGCGCAAGTTTTGACTGGTAGTAATAATAACTTCAACACAGGCTAAATAATTTGTTTAAAGCCGCAAGAAAAAATAAAAGTTGAAATGAGTTCAGTAGAAATAAAACGCAATTTTACAACATTCAAAGTTTTGCTGTTTGAAAGTTCAAAAATTAATGGAACTTCGTTGCTGACACCGCCAAACGGTGCATGAATTATCCGAAAGTAAGGCCGGAAAAACAGCTAATAAAAATATTACGAGTATACAACGGAAAATCTGGTAAAATACATGCATGAATTTTTCGAATTTATGTAATAGCGCTGCGCACCTTTTCATCGTCATTTTCTTCAGAGACTTTCTTCTTCTTGGCATTCGCACCATCATTCTGCATCAGAAAAAATTCCCACGTCAAAATCAACACAGTTTTACATATCAGAAGAACGCATACGATAAAAAGGTCAAAACCAGGCAGAAACCGTCAACACACTACAACAACTGCCATCGATCCGTTTCTGACCTTTATTTCCCCTGGCGCCATCATGATATCCGTTACGGATTCACTGCTCAGACTGCCGTACGTCGAATCCATCTCGGAAGAACTGCGTTCAGCCTCAGCGTTTCCGATGGGACAGGCAAAACTGGCGTTGGCTGCTGTCAGCTGTTGTTCCTGCAGCAGCGCACTGTTTGCCTCGTTTGCACGTTCCATGACGTCAGCCTGCAGCCTGGATGTCGTGATCGCGAGTTGGCGAAAGTGTTCTTGCAGCGCATGCAGATTACGATTGAATCGCGACGATCGCGGCCGGCCACCATCAGCCAGTTCCTGCATGCAAGGAAAAACGTGATACGTGATCAGAAAACGTCAAAACAGGCTGATAAGCAAGGCCAGAAGCGCAGCACGATGAGTTCCTTCGGCATCGCCGAAGTTATCAGCTAACGACATAACAGATAAACGGCTACAAGCCTGCAATGCAGGAGCAATAAAAACATCAACATTCAACAAAACAAATTGTGCAAAGATGTTGTTGATTGGAATTTTTTGCACTGATTCTAGTTTTGCAACTGCCAGGTCAGCGCTGACAATGCACCAGCAGAAAACAGAAAATTCGATCGCGAAAAATCATCTGTGAATCAGCATGATTAGTATGAACTACCGGGAATTCATCGCTTCCTTTCATGTACTCCAAGGCGAGGTCACAATATTAACCGTAAACAGAGTGTTACACTTACAGTACTGTTATTTCAGGCAATCATTCAGACGATTAATAACTGAAGAAGTACAGTAAGTAATTTTAAAAACACCGTTTTGCAACTGAAAATAATTACTGGTACTCATCGTCAAAAGTGTCGCTTTCGTTTTATACCAGAGTAGTCGCCTGTTGTCGCGTTTAACGGTACTCGCGTACGCAAAACAGGAACGCTTGCTGACTCCGAAGTTCGTCAAGGTGCATAATCTGGTATTTCTGGCGTATCTTATCTATGACGTAAGATGTTTTGTCCTGACACTAATATTATCGGGAAGACGAGTAATTCTGATTTCTGATAAGGGAAAAATTAAAACAGCAACATTCAACATTCAAACTCGCGAAAACTTACCCATTCGCAACCCTGGGAGCAATCTTCGTCGTCCATTGCTTACTTCAATCTTCTTCGTGATTCTGTGATATTTTGTGGGGAACACTTCTATAAAGTGTGCAGTTGCACAAAAAATACAGTCCGCTACCAAATTCAAACCCAAACAATTTGTCAAATTTGCCAAAGTCCAGTTTTTCGAAAGTTGTCAAAAACTGAACCTTGATGCTACTGGTCACTGATCCTACTGCGGCGCGCATTGGTCAAAGACGAAGTACACGAGGATGTCGCGGTGGGAATGAATGGCCAATACCGCGCATACAGCATGCAAAAGCCTCGTACTGTTTGAATTCGTACACATCACACCTGTACGACTAGAACAATAGGACAAATACACCGCCGACATGGGAACGTGTGAAGCTAGTACGTACAATTTGATCTGACGTCCTGTGATTCAACACCCGCAAAAGCATTTCAACTGTCCGCGCATCCTTTATATTTTGTTCTGTACTTGGTATTTTTTTGTAAGTACATTTTGAATCCGTAATAATATTAAATAAATTAATAATAATATTATTATACGCGATTATTAGGTTGCACACTTAATAATGCTATGTAATATTAATTTTAGTGTAATGACTTTTTGAGTCCCGTACGTATTTTGATATGCACCAATTTCAGTTTTGCTGTGCAATGGACGATTTGTATCGAAAGGCAACCCAACAAAGTTTGCAATTTGCACATAATAGATCAGTTAGAGGTTCAGCAACATAATTATATTATACTGTTTTAATTACTGTTAGTAAGTACTGTACGTATATACAAACTTGATCTCAGGTTATGTGAACTGTGTTAAACTAGATGTGCAAAAATGTGTATGTAGTCAAATCTTGAAAAATCAAAAACGCTTACTGAGAAATGATGAATCAACTTGGTACCTTTTAAATTTTGAATGTCAGTTAGAGTGCAGTTTCTTTAATTGCTTAAGAGAAATGATGAATCAACTTGGTACCTTTTAAATTTTGAATGTCAGTCAGAGTGCAGTTTCCTTAATTGCTTAAGTGAAATGCCATACCGGTAAACGTTTACAACAATAACAGACTTACTGCAATAATAAAAACTGGACATTTATTAATATACAGGAAAATAAAGGAAAAATACGCGGATAAAACTATATACACATAGCGTATTACGAGTAACTTATCTGTACAAGTTAGCTGAAAATTCTTAGCTTGCAAAAGATTTTTATCGCATAGAACTCATTTACATTTCTTCGTGGCACACGCTATTTCACAGCCGGCTTCGGCAGCTCCGGCTCCCCGGTTACCAAGAAGACCGGGTCGGGTGCATCGGTTGGTGCATTCGTCCCTTTTCCTCTTGCATTCCTCTTTCTTCGTCTCCCTCTTCTCGCGAATGTACGCCCAATCCTGGGACAGTGCAGCAGCTTCCGCGGCCCGTTTCTCCAGTGACCTTTCCGCACCAGCCTCTACAAGTTATACAAAAACAACGTTATTCCTTTGCTTTTGACCTTTCCAGATGCAATATTAATTAGTTGATAACAACGCAGGCTAAATTGCTCATTGTTAAAGTGAACTGGGTACTGCATATACCGGATAAAAGAAAACAAATGTAAAGGTCACAAATATTCGACAAACCTTCGGCTAAAAGGGACAGGGCCACGGGCAAGACGAGAAGAAGAGACAGGATGATTGCGGCGGAGTGGAGCATGGTCGATGCGTTCAGTTAGCTCCACCAAATAAAACGATGAGAGTAGACTCGTAGCAAAATGCAAAATGGCTAAGTTTCAAAAATAATGGTAGGTGGATCATAATTTGTCCGGCAATCGTCAGTGCTTAAATAGGCATCTGTCGCCGGTCAGGCGCAACCGTACAACCATAACAGGCTATCCGGGATCCGGATTGCTTCGAAGCTAGTGATTACCAAATTTTTCGAAAGACTATTCCACGTAGCATTTCTTTCAGAAACGTGCAATGCGATTTACAACGCCGCATTTGAACGCGGGGACTCCAGAATATGGGTACTGCGATACAGTTCAGTTGTACGTAACTGCAATCGAGCCTCTATATGGATTATGGAGCACGTTAAAAGTTAAAACCATCGTTACTTTCAGGACCGATAGCACGTTTTTATGCACGTTTTTTAGCACGTTTTTTTTTCAAAATTTTAAATATTTTTTAAAAGGCACTAATGGACAGCAGAAGATACATTTGTGTTTCTGTTTCTTTATCGGTATACCTAATGTACATATGGTAACGGGTCTACTCTGTATCTGTAATTTTTGGCTAATGCGATACATCTATGCACAGAGTATATATGCCTAGCGATGAAATAAGAAATGTTAATAATTATTAGTTATTTTTAGCTGTAGCAGGACAATGCCGGCCTGCTGTGATACCGACCGTATCGCCGGGAAACCGCGTTCGCTTATTTTACTCCAACACGATTGTGAATGCAATATTTTGATTTCCATCATCTTTAATTAACAGGTTACCGTATGTATAAATACTCGTAGATTTAAGGACGTTATGAGCAACAGCACAGCAAAAATCTTCCAGGCCACAAAAAACAATGAAATCCAAAAGCAACAAATGGACAAAATATTACCGAAGACCGATACTTATGGTTAGTTAAAACAATTCAGTTGTCTATGTAGAAAAGGACCACCAGTGGAATTTGTAAGTATTTCTCAAAAAAGAGGCCATAACAGGTCACGTGACCGTGCTTATAAAGTACTAACGGTAAAAATCTGACCGGAAGCCAAGCAAATTGCATTCCACAAACACCAAGAAGGCGGACGGGCGTAATTGTAATTAACCAGAACAATCGACGTGGCGTAGGAGAAACGGACATGATTTACGACAAGAGAGTCATGTGGAAGGATCCGTAACCGGACGACGCGAAGGAACCACCGGATGCGGCACAGCTCGGCATTTCATACGGCGACGGCATTTCGACAGGGCGTTGTCCGGTGTCTGCAGGATATTATGCGACTGCACATGGCCCTACACAACAAAATTCTTCACTCAACGATTTTTCACGGTATTGGCGATTCAATACAAGATTACAATTCACTGAACAACTGTTTAAGCAATTTCGACTTAAGCAAAAGCAACGGATCGAGCTTATAAGTGTTTCCTTAAAACATTATCTGATAAACATAAAACTAAGTAAGGCTTTCCGCAATCCGAACAGTTAAATTCTTTGCGCTTTAAACTGACATAAACATCGTAGAATATGGGCTACGTTTCCGCTCAAATCTCTTTAAATCTCTTTAAGCGTAGGTCAGGCGATTTTAGATTTTTAGCCTAAAAACCGGCAATTAGTTAAAGGCTAAAAATCTAAAAATCATTTTGTTTCGACACTACATTTTTTATTTGACCTTACACAAAAACTTTACCGTTCGCGGCATTGTTTGCCCACGCGTCCCGGCAGCTCCTTGGCGATCTCCGACCAGCGTGTACTCAGTCCGCGGCGTTCCTGGCGCGTCGTGGCGTTGGCGGCGTCGTTCAGGTACTGCTCCACCAGCTGCGCCAGCCGGCGATCCTCCTCCGCGCTCCAGTTGCCCTTGACGATGCACATGACGCCGCCGCAACCGGCTTTCTTCCCGGAGCGGCTCGCGCCGGGGTGTTTGGCCGGTGGCGGGGTCACCTGCAGCGGCGACGGCATCTCCAGCATCTCGTCAATCTCGGCGAAAGATTCAGCACAGGTCACTAGCGACAGCATTAAACGGGGTTTGCCTCGACCGGGTTTCTCCTGACTGCTCATGGCGGGGAATTAAGAAAAGGAAAGAAGAAATTAAACATCTTTTCTATGACGTCAGGCGTTTTGTCTTGACACTAATATTATCTGGGGAAAGGAGAAATTAATAACAGCAATAGTCGAGCTCGCTGAAACTTGACCCATTCGCAACCATGGGGGCAATCTTCGTCATCCATTGCTTGACTTTGTAGTTTTTCAATGCCGTTCCGATTCTAGGATATTTGTAACAGTATAAAATCTGTACAAAAAATACTGCAATCCGCTGCCACATCGCACCCAAACAATGCATCAACAAAAGGTAAACAAAATGCGCCAAAGTTCAGTTTTTCGAAAATTGACAAAAACTGACCGCGAATATGGACTGGTCACTGATGGTATTATTGTTTTCGGCTGTCTGATGATTCTGATCCCACTTGGTGTTCACCAATCAACACCCGCAGAAGCACTGCATGCAGGAAGTATACACGCCCTTTTTTTATGTATTTGTCCTGTATTATAGGTATCTTTTTATACATTTTGAATAGGTAATAATAATTAGCCGCTATACGTAATTATTAAGTGGCATACTTAAATGCTAATTGTGATATTAAATTACCTTTTTACACTGTTACAAAAAGATGTTACTCCGTATCCAGTTTAGGTCGTACTCAATATCAAATTTTTAATTTTGCAGTGAGCGCAGTGGACGATTTGTATTAAAAGGCAACTCAACGAAGTTTGCAATCTGCCCATAAAATATTACTTAATTAGAGGTGCAGCTAAATAATCAAATTTTTACATCATTTTTATCACGGAATAAATGATGAACTAACGTGAGAACAAAATTTGTTCCTGTTTTTTTATTAAATTTTCCAGGTTAGTCAGAGCGCAGCGTCTTTGATCGGATAAGTGAAATCCAGTTGAAACGTATACAGCCATAACACCCTCATATTAATATATTGGAGATTTGTTTATACTGTAACTGCATAAAGACAGCACAAAGCACGCAGATAAAACTGCAAAATAAAGGTAAGCACAAGGTAGGAAATACATAGAAGTACACAAAGTGTAATTAACTGTAAATTTTTAGCTGCAAACTTGTAGAAGACCAACAGCAGATCGGACAGAACTCATTAGCATTTCTTCAACGCACACCCCACTTCGCAGCCGGCTTCAGCAGCTCCGGCTCCCCGGTTTCCAGGAACCATCGGTTTTATGCATCGGTCGGTGCATTCATCCTTCTTCTTCTTGCATTCCTCTTTCTTTGTCTCCCTCTTCTCGCGAATGTACGTCCAATCCCGGGACAGTGCCGCGGCTTCCGCGGCCCGCTTCTCCAGTGACCTTTCCGCACTATCTTCTACAAATTACATTAACAACCTCATTACTTTCCTTTCCAGTCTTCAGTACTAGCTGCAATTTCGATTACGTTCCATCAGTGCAATATTGTTAAGTGAACAACAGCTCAAGAAAACATAATAAATTTAAAGGTCATGAAAATGCGACTAACCTGCGGCTACAAGGGACAGCGTCACGGGTAAGACGAGAAGAAGAGAAAGGATGATGGCGGCGGAGTGGACCATGGTCGATACTGTTTGATTAAATATGGAGCGAAACTATGACAGTTAACACGTATTGCAACACTAGCAAAAGGATTGAGTTTCAAACTGGCAAGTGCAAATGATAATCCGTCCGGCAGTGGTTGGTGCTTAAATAGGCACCTGCCCCCGCTGAGATACCGTCCGGAATGCGGCTTACGTCGAAAAAACAACTGCCAGATTTCCCAATAGTTTTTTTCCGGTTACCAGAACTTGCTTAAGGGTGCAATGCCATTCACAACAATCGCACTTGCACTTACAAATATTTACCTTCCACCGAAATTAATTACGTTTACCTACATGTACAGAGACATCGAAATAGAAAAGAAAATAGAAGCAATACGTCTACAATACAGCATGGCGAAACAAGCTTGAGGCGACTTTCATCACTTGCAAAAGTCGACGCCTCTTGATATTATTTTTTGTTTGTTAAGCTGGTGAAAAAACGCACGGGTGGTTTTCCCCGCACAAACACCGGGTCATGTGCTATATCTGACAGCGTTAAGTAAATGCAATTCTATTAATTAACTTCCGTGCGGGGTTTCGTCATTTTGTTTTTCTATTTTTTTCTGCCAGTGGAAAACTATTCCACTGGTAATAAATGCAAATTGCAAACCAAAACAGCCCAAAATTTTAATATGTAACGCAAAAAAGCAATCGTAGAAAGCAGAAGATAGTTTGTTTCTTCATAATAATAAAGAAGCTAGTAGTACTTTCTTTATATAGTAATAATAAAGAAGCTAATACTTGAATTAGTTGAATAAGCTAGTATACGTATAAACATGTATAGTCAGTATTCGACTCATCGTCAGTAACAGATATTGTTGCAGCTTGACATACTTTTACAAGTATGGTGGCTTTACAGAAGCTTTCAAGCTCACAAATTACAAGGTGATGCCTACAAATAAAAAGATGCCTATTTTTGATAATTTGTAATTTATTTTTCAATATGCACATCAATGAGCGCCACTCAGTAAATACAATCAAATAAAGAATTTGTCCCAATTAACACGAGAAGGGACTGTGCACAATACACTCATATTTTTACTGCCTATTTTTTTTCAAAGGTTAAATGTTCAAATTCAATCATTATGATTTTAATATCTTTTATGATCAGATTAGCGTCATGTATAAGATGTATAGACATTATAAACAACAGCACAGCAAAATTCTTCCGGGCCAGAGAAACTAAGAAATCCAAAAGCAAAAACAATTAATGCAACAAATGGACGAAATATTACCGAAGACCGATTCTTTCAATTAGTTAAAAATACAGTAATCCAGCTGAGAATAAACTCTGTGTAGAAAAGGACGACCAGTGGACTGTGTAAGTGTTTCTCAAAAAAACAGATTCCGTAACAGGTTGACCGTGCTTATAAAGTACTAAAAATCAATCCGGAAGCCAAGCAAACTGCATTCCACAAACACCAAAAACTCGAACGGGCGCAGTTTAATAACCAGAACAACCGACGTGGAAGAAGGAAAGGACAACGTTCACAAGGGAGTCATGTGGAAGGATCCGTAACCGGACGACGCGAAGGATCCACCGGATACAGCACTGCTCGGCGTTCCCCACTGGTCCGTTAGACGGCGACGGCATTTCGATAGGGCGTTGTCCGGTGTCTGCAGGATACTATGCGACTGCACACGGCCCTGCCCAAACGAAATTCGGTCGCCTTTTCTTTTAAATACTGACGAGACGATTCGATAAAGCTTACGAATATGACACGATACACCGAAAACTGGTTTACGCAATTTCAACCCGAGTCGAGCGTTTAGCATTTTCATCTAAGAAAATAATGTTGTTCGTAACACAACGGGAAAGGTCCTCGATTCCAATGTCTTAATAACTTAATGTGCTCACGAAAGTTGTTTAAGAAAATTGCTTAATCTTCACGTTAGTAGATTAGAGATTTCGAATTTCCAACTTTTGAAGCATATTGATTAAGCGCGCTGTCTGCGTGAATCAGGGATTCACAGGGACAAATCGTAGTAGAACGGCATTTGGGAACGACTACTACTAAAGAAGTATTCATAGTACTATACGAGTGCAGTTTAAAAAAATGTATGCCGTCGGTGATGGATTTACTCGAAATGGGCAAATTTTTTGCGATCTGCATAATAATGACAGCACTGACAAGAACAAATCGGCACTAATTTCTGATTTTAACGTAATTCTTTACATATTTTTTACCAAAGCATCACAATCTACAGTAGTTGCAACTCACCTTATAATTCGCACTCAGCTGACTACACTGACTCAGATTCATCTCTCCATCAATCAACTCACTGGCATCGCTGAACAATCGATTCGGACTCTCCAGCTACAACACAAAAATTTATTTACTACTGATCAAATTCCATTTATTAACAATTATTTAAATATAACACAAAAATTTAATTTATTGTATTGTATTAATTTACTGTAATTTATTTTTATTGTTTCACAACATTTACTGTAAGAAACCAACCTCTTCCGGGCTCAGCGTTCGCCGACTGGAATCCCCGCGCGCCAGCGCCTCACGAATAGGCTGCGGGGTGACAATGCTGCTGAGTTTCACCGGCGGCGAGAACATCATGGTCTCCTCCGCCCGGTACTCCGGTAAATTGTCCTTCACGGGCGTCCACAGAGATGTCTCGTTCAGCGTGGACGACACATGGCTGTAGCAGCGCCGCACCGGCGACATGAAACTGGCCGGATCGTCGTGGCTGGTCAGCAGGCGACCGCCGCCGCTCAGGGGACTATAGCCGCACTCGCTCATCGGCACATTGAAGGTGGATGTCTGTTTCAGCGGCGTGGAGGTCACGGCGCGCTGCGTGTAACGTGGTGAACAGTGGAAATCGCCCATGGCTGCTTTCTGTTGCAAAAGAAAAGAAAAGGAAAAATTAATATAAAACTCGGGAAAAACGGAAAAGATATCGTTTATGCTGTTGGTAGCTCTAAGCCCATTAGAAAAAAAGCCCACAACGAAACAAACACACCAACCACAAACAACAAAATTAAAACTGTCGAAAAATATAAAGAGACTGACTTTTTTGACTGAATTTTATCGGTTGAATAAAGTTTTTAGGGTATTTGATGCCTTCCGGTGCAATCTTGAAATTGCCATTGCACTACAATCTCCACTTATTACCAGGGTCAAAGAAAGGAAAGTACTGAAGCACTTGAACCAAACGTATGTCAAATGAAGACAAAGTAAATCGGACAGGTAATCAGAACCAAAAATTTCCGACACCTTCCATATAAACTGCGCAACGTTTTGCTGTTTAATAATCTACAAAGTATTATTCATGAAAATAAAAAAAATCAACTCCATTGACTTTATTTACAACATGCAAAACCTACCGACAACAACGGATCGCAGGAATTATTCAGCGTGCGCAACATCTCCTCGCCAATGGTGCCCGGTTCCAGATCTAGCGGACGATAGGGGGAATAGTAAAAGGGATTCCCGTCGTGATACTGATACTCCATGGGATGCATGGGCGACGCCAGCCCCGCCATGTCGTGCTCCACTTTGATGTAGGGCTCCATGCCGCCGGCCGGCTGATGGGCCATCGGCTGCGTATACACCGCGTGGACATTGTGCAGGAACTGGTTCTCTTCATCGAATTCCCACTGCTGCTCCACCGGTTCCTGCCAGGTGCGCTGCTGGACCATGCTGACGCCGGTGGTCGCTGGCGGTGGGCAGTGGCGTTTCTTGGTCTTTTTTGTCTTTTTGACAGGTTTCTTGTGTTCGTGTAACGGCGGTGCCTACAAATGCGCAACTATAATCGTACGGTAAAAAATAAATTCAAACATCTCACCCATATTTTATTAACGAATCTAAAACAATTAACTAATTTTTATTTGTGCTTTTACAAAATAATTAATTCAACCAGTAAAACTGATTTATCAAAGCGCACATCCAAAACTGGATAGGCACGATAACATATGTAATTAATTTGCATTAAAGATCTTCCGACGTAAAAACATCAGTGATGCACTCACATGATAGTCACTAAGCAGATCCGGTGAAGAGACACTACGAAAACTGCCCCGTTCCTTGCGGTTGCAGGGCGTGAAAAACGGGATCTGTTCCAACTCGTCACTGTGATCCTTCAGATACTGTGTCACATGGGGCACCAAGGCTTGCTGGAAGCAATCATCATCCGCCTCTTCCTCCTAATAAACAAACAACTGCAGAAAAATCAGCCATAACATAAATTACAATATTTTGCTAATTAAACACGCAACGCTGACCTTATTCCTAACAGTTAGCGAAAATTTCATTTTTGATCTTCTTACTCTTCTTTATTTTATATCTTCTTCTGCTTTGGTTAGCTCTGATACAGTTTAGCTCAAAGTTGATAACTTTAAAGTACCAAATTTAAACTAAAATCCAAATTATCAAAATTAAACAAATAGTGAAATTTAAATTCACAATTATTCCGAAAACTCACTCCTTCCGGCGGCACGTAGACAGTGGACAAGTACGCATATCCCTGCATCATGAAATCGTAATACGGTTGATCCCGCTGCAGCCGGCGTTTCATATGGCAATTCCAGTGGTTCTTGACCCGATTATCCGATCGGCTCTTCAATAACCGCGCAATCCGCGCCCACTGACTGCCCCAGTGCTTCCAGCACACGAAGATGATGATCTCCTCGGAGAAACTCCAACGGCCCTTGTTAATGTCCGGTCGCAGGTGGTTGTGCCAGCTATTGACAAACAGACAATAAAAATACAACGGTGCCATCGTAAAAACATTGTTTACCGGCGCGTAAGCGAACAGGTGCACAGCAACTACCGCTGCGCTGTTTTACACGGGTCAACACAAAACAGTGACCGAGAGAGAAGCTGATACACCGCCAAATCGAAGACCAGGAGCACGATACACACGCTTGTAGTAATAACGCAAATGAATTTTCAAAAATCAATGTAAAATGCGCAAAGTTCACCATAGATTCCACCAGTACAATGTAAAAAAAAAGGCTAAAAATGTATAAAATTTTTATTTCGTTGCCATATTTTTTTGTTTGGACCTTGTAATCCTTACCGTTCGCGGCATTGTTTGCCCACGCGTCCCGGCAGCTCCTTGGCGATCTCCGACCAGCGTGTACTCAGTCCGCGGCGTTCCTGGCGCGTCGTGGCGTTGGCGGCGTCGTTCAGGTACTGCTCCACCAGCTGCGCCAGTCGGCGATCCTCCTCCGCGCTCCAGTTGCCCTTGACGATGCACATGACGCCGCCGCGACCGGCTTTCTTACCGGAGCGGCTCGCGCCAGGGTTTTTGGCCGGTGGCGGGGTCACTTGCAGCGGCGACGGCATCTCCAGCATCTCGTCAATCTCCGCGAAGGATTCAGCACAGGTCAGCGACAACATTAAACGGGGTTTGCCTCGACCGGGTTTCTTCTGACTGCTCATGACGGGAAATTAAGAAAAGGAAGAAGAAATTAACAGGAAAACATCAACTCAACTGCAACCAAGACCGAAACCCGATTAAAATAAATAATCTTTTTCCAAACTTTAGACGAAAGACTGCAACAAGATTTCAAAGTATGTATCGAAACATTATGAAGACTAAAAAAATTTTTCAATTATTATTTTCAATAATCATTGAAGTGACCACAAAACAACCAGTTTCAATTTAATTATAATTTGTATCACAACTCAGGACTTAAAACAAATTATAAGAAATTAATAAAATCAACCTCTTTAATACCGAAATAATTATGCAACACGCCCAACAACAAATAATCGAGGAATTTTGTAAAAAAGAAATGTAGCCTGCTTACAAAAACATAAGAATATGCAATACTGAAAGCAGATCTTTTCATTTGAACTTGTAAGACCTCGCACAAATACCTCGAAGATTTCCCGCCCAGAATTTTCAACAGTATTATCAGCCGGGTATATTAAAAATTCTACAGCAATTTCAAGAACTTTACAGCTTTTATATACGCGCCACCATCAATTATTGAAAAGCCGCATCCAACCGTTGTAAAATGCAATACTGAAACATACATACAGCGCGACAACAAACGATTAAATTCACATTCAGTCCCCGCTGCCGGCACAAAAGTAAGCGCGCCTTATCGATTTTGACAGCGCCTGACAAACAAAGAGAAATATGTACGAACATTTATGTCCCTGTCTGCCATAACTGTAGTCTAAACATACAAAACATCAAAATCGCCTGTCTCTCGGCTCTCTCTCTAGTCTCTACTCTCAGCACCACAAACACACAGCAACACCCCGCCAAATTTACCCAGAAATATGTATGCGCGGTGATGCGCTACTTTTCTCTCGTCTTGTCTTGGTACTTCTAATGCATCTTGTAAACGGATTTATCGCCGGCATCACACAGTTACAAACAAGACCAATATAATCGAACATTTCAGGACTTGCTGCAAATTAAAACAATTTGAAAGTGCAATGCGAAAGTAATAATACGCAAAAAAACCCTGAACAAATCTTTTCCAGTATTATCGACACCTGTAAACGTACATACATACATTCGAGATCACATGCGCATATAACAAATCAATTTTAAGAACAGAAAATTTTTATTCAGCGTAAAATTAAGCAAAGTAAGTTTAATATTATAAATAAGCACAAAAGTGAATAAATAAATGAGTAAACATAAGCAGAAAACAACGTGTTTAGGCAAATAGCCATCACAAATACCCAAATGTGCCAGTGCGGAAGCATTCATTCAAAGATAAATAAGCGATATAAATTACGGCCAGTTTAGAAAATTAATAACAAAAAATATGGTTGTATAGATTTCTATAATATTACGTATTTGAGGGATAGTAATCGATATATCAGTATTAAATCATAAATCACCTGAAGTCAGTCGTACTCGTATAAATCAACCGGAATTACTGCATCAATATCAATATCTCGTAAATTTTTTATGCCGAAAAATTGAACACTTAATAAGAATTTAATAATTATTATACAATTTCATTAATCCCAGTAAAGCTGAGTAAACTACAGAAATAAAACAGCTCGAAAGAAATATTTGCGGCCAAAGATCTTTTTGCCCCAAAGATCCCGCACTTTTTCGTTTTCCCTTGAAAATTCGTCTCAAAATATAAGTATTTATTTATTAATAAATACTTTGTTGACTGGCCGATCGAGTTTCCGATAGGAAACTAGAACAAATTCTCTTTTCCAAATAAGGCACCGGAAACCTTCCCACGCGATTACGTCAGGGGCGACAAAAATGCGATAAAAAGGCGGCAAAAATGTCGAAAACGCAATTATCAGAATTATGCCACGGCAATTGATCTCTGCCTGACGTACCGCACAGTAATCATTTGACAGCGGCAAAACCGCAAACGGCGACATTACGCCCGCTTATCAGGATAATATTGACAATTAAAAATGTCCTGCCTATCACGGTATCTGCTAAGTCAACGCGACAAAGAAAACGATACAACCTCAGTTTGGTTTTCACAAACGATAAATCGAACAAGCGCACGTCATGCGTTTTATCAGTAGCTTTGTCGCCATCCACGCTCCACTACGACGACAAGCAAATTTAAATATTCATATTTCTCATGGAAAAAATGCGCACAAGATCAATATTATCGCAATCTCAAAAATTTTCGAAATCCATGTGAAATTAAGCACCGCAGAAAAAGCTCAAACATACTGGTTCCTTCAAGAATAAATTCGGCACTGAACAGAGTGACTTCGGTCACATCAGGTGTTGATGTATACGCACGTAACAGGGAACTTCACCACTACTGCCGGGATTAAAAACCGTAGGCGCGAAAATCTTCGATGAGTTCTTAAAATCTTCCATTTAATATTGACGGATGATGACATACCGATAAAAACTTACCAATAAAAATCCACAGGGAATTTATAGATGACTTAATCGGTCCACGACATATTAATCAGTAAGGAGTATCATCCAGCTTTTACTGCAACATCTTTCTAACATTAATTAGCGCAGGCTGCAAAATTATTTAATCAAAATGGATAAGAATTCAAGGATGGAGAACAAAACAACGATAGTGTGATCACGAACAGATCCCCGGTTTTTATAAAAACATTTTAGTAAAACTAAATAAATATGCCACCGAAAAATTAGATGTCAGTGAGTACGGGATCCCATCTGAAATTATCAGGATGAGATCCAAAAAGGAAGAGAAGGAAAACTGGGAAAATCCTCAGAAAATTATTGGTGTTCGTTTTGCTGCATGTGCGATTGTGTGAGGCTTCTTATCGGGCTCAATCTGGTCAGTCAGCTGAACGATCGGTCTGTTGACCCGCTCACCGGCATAAAGAATGCGCTTTGTACGGAGTTGTCAGCGTTACCAACCCGCCAAAAGTTGCTCACCACCACCCATAGGGTGCACGGTTACTATAAATCTGCGTATGCAACCGGCAGCGTGCTCTTGTGGATCTTTCACTTTAAAGTTTGAACTTTAAAGTAATAAGCATTTATAATACATAACTAACATAAGCAAAAATCGAAGTAATTGGTTAGATTTCCAGGAGAAACTCAAAAAACTCTAAAAATAAAAAAAAAAACAAAAAAAGGGCATACCGAGAATCGAACTCGGGTCGACGGATTCAGAGTCCGACGTGCTAGCCGCTACACCATACGCCCTGTCGGTCATACTGTCCAAGAAAGTTATGTCGTACAAAAGAACTCGTATTATGTGATTCCTAATATTTAATGCGGCTGACACTTGACGTATTGCGTAATAAAATTATAAAAATATGGCGCATATCGCACGCTTTAAATTACAATACGAGTAACAGAAATAACAGCAACAGAAGTACGAGTACTTATATCAGCTTTTAATCGAGCCATTATCAGGGCTGATTATGCGAATCTTTCTGTTATCTTGGCTTTATGCAGCATTAAAATTGACGCATACTTATACTAGGAGCACTTCTACCGCATTACCCAAAAAATTACCATAGAAAATAAATGTGTAGGTTGTGTAGACTTTTACTTTCTATGATTTACTGTAAGTACTGCCCTCACTCCCGTACACGTATTTGGTAGCTATCATTACTATTTACTAAGTTATAAAAATCAGAAGTATCGTTATCCATGCACGTTCCACCACTACTTCTGATCCCACGGTCGTGACCAAGTTAAATTATGAACATTTCGAAATCCATCATGTTAAACTGAACAGCCGGTCGGTTAGGAAACTTTAAACCAGATACTCCCTAACTACCCAACATTTCGTGTTTTATTCCATTTTTTTGGAGTCAATAACACTTCGAACTACTGTACAATGTGCGCCACAACGGCAAACATAAGTGACCTGCAAGCCGCGAAAAACCATTTATACTACACAGTATACACACATACCATCCAACAAGGCTAAGACGATAAAAAAGCACAAATCCAAAAGAATAAAATTAGCAAAAAAAAACCAAAACCCATTTTAAATTGCAAAAGCTAGGAACCATCCCATCACAATCGATCCTTATTCACCAGCCCGAAGAAAGAGAGAACAAACCGCTCCGCAATCGCGCAACATAAACCATCAAAACGTTAAAAACACACACTCTCCGATTCCATTAATAGTGTATCGTCTCCTTCACGGGATGATTTCCGTGGACAGGATGACTGGGACTGCGCGCCAGACTCTTTTTCGGCACGCGTTCCAGCATCTGGAACAGCTCCGGAAATTCCTTCCGGTGCGGCATCTTGGGCGACCAACAGATACTGATCATCTCAATTAATTCCCGCGCCGCCGTCTCATCGATACTCGGCGACAATAAATACACCGGCGCATGCACCGGGGTCGGCGGCGTCCCGGGCGTGATGGTCAGGGTCTGCGGCGGGGATCCGGGATGCTTCGAACCCCGTGGCACCCCACCCGGGGTGGAGGTGCTCCCGGAACGCGGACCCTGCCCCGTTCGCGAGCGGAATAAACGAAAAATGGGATGCGCCCCGGACGCGATGAGGAACAGCGCTGAATCCAATGATCCCGGGAGGTTGGGATCGGGAGGCCGCGGGAGCCGGGATCCACCCGGGAAATTCAGGCTGCTGGGCGTGGAGGGCGGCAGGCTGGTGCTGGGCGTCGAGGGGGTGTCGCTGGAGGGCGTCCCCACCCCGGAATGCACGCTGGAGGTGGACATGCTGTGGACTAGGCGCTGGGCGTTGTTGGCGGAGTAGAGGAGGGGGAAGGTGCCGGTGCACAGTTCGTACAGCACCGTCCCGAAGGCGTACACGTCGCTGAAGATGCTGAAGGGGACCAGCGGCTCATTGTGGTTGCTGCTGGCGCGGAACGCGCGCTTTTGATCGCGCGGTGTGCGTAGACGGCGACAGATCTCCGGAGCGAGGTAACAGATCCAGTTTCGCGGGAACCAGAGTAAATCGTCACTCCTGAAAGAACGATGATATTACTCTTCCTTCTAATTACATTCGAAACTCTGGCACTCCAAACCATGTCGTCCTGCCATAAGTTTTCATCAGTCGAAATTAACGTTAAATGGTTTTTACTTCAGAAAAAAACACGACTGATATCATGCAAGATTGTAGTGATTGGGCTATTCGTCAAGTATGATCTTCTTGGACTGAATACTGGTTAATCCTTAGAGAAATGTTTACAGTCTCCTAAATGTGATTTTGTTTTTATATATCCCTGCTGCCTATGATCATTTAAAAAGAACCGAAACTGCAGAATCGATGCTATTTACTTAATACTGCAAAGATTATTTCAAATAACTACGACATCTGTCCGTTTTTTCTGTTACTTAAATTTTAATACAAACCTTTTCCGCAGTTTTATTCCAATTGGCACCCGGTATTTAATAAAACGAAACGATTTGTAAACAAAATTTTCTAGCTTGCTTTACCTTCCATGTTGCGACATCTTGCTGACACTGAACAGCCCATAATCCGTGATGATACACTTTTCGTGCGTGACGAAGATGTTCTTGGATTTCAAATCCTTATGCACAATACCCCGCCGGTGGAGATAGCCCATGCCCTGGCACACCTGGCTGGCAATGATCAGCAGGCGATTCAGCTGGACTTTGTAGGGTGCCGTGAGGGATTTGCCGCGGGCTTCGTGGATGAGATCGTGCAGGGTCACCGAGGTGCTGGCGGTGGAGCCACTGGACAGGCCGCGCGACAGCAGACTGGTGATGATGATCTGCTGGTGTCCCATGTGCGATCGCTTCATACAGGCCCCCATAAACAGCACCAGATTGTCGTGGCGCGTCTTCCGCAATGTCGCTAACTATAAATAAAACATTAATTTTGAGGTATGGTACCCAAGTAACCCAACGTTATTACAGCAAGCATCAAGAATTATCGTAGTGATGAGGCTACAGACTTGATATTTTCCGGGATTTCAGAGGCGACTGTTAATCTATTCTGCATCTTTATCTTTACGATAGAAACATATTTACAATTTTCTAGATAAGAACTTGGAATTTTTCTATATTGTCTATCACCGTTAATTTGAGAGAGAACTTTTTGCAATGTGTTTTGAAAGCTTTCAGCATAAAGCACAGATGAATCTTTAATCATCATCGACTGAAGATTAAAGATTCAGACCAGTGAAAATAATTTCGAACGAGCATCGCAAAACTTACATCTTGTTTAAAGGCCTCATGCACTTCCTCCGCGTCGCTGTACAAATAATCGTCATTGAGGGTTTTTATCGCCACATCCCCGTGCCACTTCCCCCGGTACACCTGTCCAAATGTTCCCGGTCCCAATTTCTCGCCAATAATCAACTGCTCATACGGAATGTTCAGCTCACGCAGGTACAACTGAAAACAGAATTTCAGACTGTCCAAATCATATGTATATAAAACTGTGACGGTTGAGTAAAATTTGTGTGTTCTCCTTAATAAATTCCATTTCGTAACCCTACCACGCAAGATCGTAGTGATTGGGCTACAGTCCAAGTACGAGAAAGAAGGCATTCAACTCTGTTTTCACAACATGAACAGATTACTAGAAACGAACCCACAGTTTTTTCTTCTAGGGTTTACTGATAAAAACACAGGAAAACTAAAAACGCTTTCTCCGTGTTGAGCGAATCATTAACATTCTAAACTTAATTGTTTATTTAACAAACCACAATATTTTCAATTTCTATCATTTCGTCTGCTAAACTTACACTCTGCTGCCTGCGCCACGCGATAGGCGACGTCTCCGTATGATCCCCGGAGATCTCACTGGAATAACTGGGCTCATTATCATCCTCCACCTCTACGGTCGGCACTTTCAACGCCGTCGTCCCCCCGGCATGCTCCGCTTCCTCCTGTCCTTCCAACAGGGAAAACCGCCGCGGTCCCTTCTTCTCATCCTTCCCCTTTCCACTACCCTTCACCGCATCCAACAACGCATTCGGCTGCACCAACACGGTGGGGAACGTATTGGACGGCTCCGAGGGAAACGAATCCTCCGCTTCCAACCGCACCGACTCCTCCTCTTCCTCCGGCGTCATCACGCGCTGCCGGGACTTCACCCCGTCGTACCACTGACTGGCCGTCTTATCCTCCGACCGGCGCCGGCTGAACACCGGGGTTTTCCGCACTTCATGCGCCCCGTCCGGTGTGTCGGTGGGGCTCTTGGGGACGCTGCCGCTGGCGTCTTTGGTGTGCGGTGCCGGCCAGGGGAAGTGCGATTTAATATGGTCTTTGACGGTTTTCATGAAGGAGCGGTAGTTGCGCGGATGCACAAAGGAGGTTAAGGCCAGCGGCGAGACGGGTGCCCCGGTGGAGCCGGAGGCGGAGCGACCGTAGGAGATGCTGCCGGGCGACGCCGGCACCGATGCGGAATTACTGGAGGGTAGACTGCTGCTAGGTGCGCTCAGCGAATCCTGTAAAACAACACTACTGAAAAACTGAAGAAAAAAAACAGGAAATACAACACGCGCAACAATGCAGAGCGAACTACATGAATGTAACATATGTTTCAAAATCAAAATAGTAACATCTCTAAGTGACACTGAGTTTTAAAAAAAAATTCCCGACTCCGCCTCTTCCCAATCCTTACATGTACAGTAAAACCTATTCTTTCCGCAATAACGTCCTTTCGGGGGCCAAAAACAAAAATCCGTTTTTAATCTAAACACTTTCTCTTTCAGTCAAGAAAACATTTTGGTATTTCTCTTTCAGTTAAGAAAACGCTTATGTATTAAACTATTTCTTATAAGCAGAAAAATACTTCGTACTAACATATTCAGAAACAGGATTTAATTTGAACAGGATCCAACTGTAAAACTTTCCATGAGAGATGCTACCGGCCATCGTACTACGCTATTCGCATAACGTACAGAACGTAGTTACGTAAAACGCAATTACGTACGATTCAGAAAAGTCACAATATAAATAAAATCACCTAACTGTGAAGCATGTACCTCCATCTGCTAAATAAAAATTCAGAAAATAATTCCTAAACAAACAAACCTGGGAGTTATTTCCAGGTGACGTCCCGCCACCCGTCGACGACACCGATACCGTGCGTCCTTCATGCCCTCCCGGACCCTTATCCATCAGCGACGCTCCAGATGGCAACCGAGTCCGCGCTTTCTCCCCGTCCACTCCGCCCTGCTCGGTGGATAAACTATGGAAACTCTTACTGACTTTCGGCTCATCCTTCGGCAGCACCAGATTATTCCGCTTCCGCCGATCTTTCGGCAGACTGAAACTCCCACTAATCCGCCGCACAATGGGTGACTTGAGATCCGGACTCAACGGCGGCGTGCGTACCGGTGTCGCCGGCGATTTCACAATCTCCCGCGCATTTCCGGTGGACATACTCCGCTGTTTCTTCAACCGGGTCTTCTTCCCGCTCGGACTATCCAGCGGCGGCGGCGTCTTAGAGGCGAACCACTTCAGATTGGCTCGCCACGTCTTCCCGCCCTCGCGGGCTATCTCCGAGCCTTTGGAAATCGTGGCAAACTTTTTATGCGTCGGCAGTACCACCTCCACATCCGAGGGTTTCCGCTTGGTGAACTCACTCAGTGTATCATCATCATCCTCCACTTTGACATCCTCCTGAACGGTCGTGGCGTCGATACTCCCGCTGCCCACTCGGAAATCCCGCGACCCGGGGTTAATCGAATGATAATACTCGCGGACCAATCCGTCTGGTAATCCACACGACGGCGGCATCTTCTCGGCGCAATCCGGGTGGAACCGCAGTTTACAATGCCGGCATTTTCGTCCCAAGCCGCGCAGATGCTTCTCACAAAACCCGCACACCGTCTGCGTGAGGAAGAACTGATTCTTAAAGACGTGGTGAATACTGTGATGCATCCGCCTGGAATTGTGCACCTTCTCCGGCTGCATCTTCGCCGCTGACGTAATATTACTGTTGCTGCTGTTATTACTACTCCCGCTGTTCCCCGTGGAATGATTGGCCAACGGCATCCCGGTTTCATCGGAATTCAGACGGTGCCGCAGCGACGACTCCAACGACGAACTTTTCGTGAATTTAACCAGCTCCTTCCGATGCACCGTCGGCGCCAGGGTCAAATTTGGTTGCGGCGCGTGTGGTTGCGCCGGATTCGTCCCGGTTAACAACAGCGACGGGGTGGAGGAAGACGGACGGATGATGACATTCTCCCCGGGCGAGGGGAACACCGACTGCGGGGAATGCGTATCCCGCTCATCCACTCCGGCGGCCGCGTACTGCCGTTTCATCGTCGCCGGACTGGTGTCGTACTGCTGCACTAACTGCAGAATATTGTTGGCACTGGGGAAGACCGAGTTGGCGCAGGATGACGACGCCGACGCCAGATCGGCGAACATGGATGCGCCGTCCGCCTCGTCCCCGGTGGTGGTCGCCGTGCTGACCGAGGACATCACCGACGACTGCGACGTCAGGCGGTGCGTGGTCTTGGCCGAGGGATTGGCCGGGACGGGATACTGCGACTGGGAGGTGGAGGGGGAGGAGAGAAAGTTGTCATCGGAGGAGAAGGAGGATAACATCGACGGCAGCCGCTGCCCGGGCGGACGCGGCTCCATCATCCCGTAGCGTTTGTCCACGGCGAGATGGATGGAGCAAAAGGGAACTTGCTGTTGCGGGGATAAAGCATCCCCACCGGATCCGGGATAATCGGGGACGGGTGGCGCGGCACTCGACGGCCGATACCGCCAACTATCCCAGTATAAGGATTTCACCGATTCCTTCCGCACCAGACTGTTGGGCGGCGTGGCCGACGAGGAAGAGGAACTGGGAATGGGCATTTGTGCGGAGGGGGTGTGCCCGCTGGGACCGGTGGGTAGGTCCGCGGGGTTGAGGTTGGCCAGCTCCCGGAGATCACTATCGTCAGCCAATAATCGATCTGTCAAATAATAAATGCAATCAAATCATGCGAACCAAATAACTCGTACTACTACGCAAAAGGCAACATCATCATTTCATTTTATGCATGAGTAATATAAATAATTGTGGGATTACACATAAAACAGCAGCATTGTATTACTTTTATAACAAACCACACCCCGAAGAAAAAATAATTTTTAAAATATTTCCGGCGCGACAAGACAGTGTATTCGCACCGCACCCAAATCTGCCATTATTAAGGCGCCAAAAAATTATTTTAATCCGCCTCATTAACATTCCCGCCAGGCACAAATTGACAAACAGCATGCAGATGATCGTCCGCGAACCAAATATTCATGAATCATCAAAACAAACCCACACCTACTGCCCATCAGCTGTCATGTGGCCAATATAAATATAGAAATATTAACGCCGGTTATTTGTAATTTTTCCCACTTTCAGAACACCTACCGGTATAGATCCTCAGCAATCGGCAGGCGGTAATCAGACGCCGGACATCTTCCCGTATATGGAAGGGAAGTTTGCCTTTTTCCTTGGTGTTCCCGTTCTCCACACGCAACGTGGAATCTTTACGGCTGGTGGTGTCCTCCGACGCCGAATCCGGCACGGTCTGGCTATCATCGGAGACGTCCGCCGGGCGGCATGTACATACACCGCTGGACGAGACAATCACCGCCTTTAATTTGGATTCCGATGTCTGTAGCAGTTCCTCCACGCTGCCCACTAATTCCATGATTGCCTGTAAGAAACAATACCAACTATTGAAAAACCAACCAGAGAATTCACAAAGTTAGGTAAAGAATCAAATCAATCTGGTAGCATTTTTGTAAATTTTAATTCACACAAATTTTCAGTTTGTTTTAATTTTGATCCTTCTTGATTTGTTTTATTAATTCTATTATTTCTTAACTTTACCGCTTCTAATTTAATGCACACAAGTTTAACACATAAGAAATGGTCATAAGTAAAGCTGACAATATTAAAATTATTATCAGATAACACTAATAACACGTATTTGAGTATTTATTCACTATATTAAAATGTGGCGCAGATTCGTTAGAAGACGGGTCATACTTTTTCCAGCCACCATGCTACGATTCTGATGATAAATTTTTCGTTATCCATGACAGCCTTAAAGGTGCAATGTTAAAAATACTGACACCGGAGGCATTAAAACGACCATTAGGAAGCCCATACCCCTGGGAGCATCTAAATTTAAACTCAAGAAACAAATCAACGTAATTCATCCGCTCACACAACATCAGGCATATTAAACAACAACCGACTGGCGCACGCACGGCACCATCGACGCACTTAACTAACGTCACCAAATACATTAAAGAATAATCTGCAACATCATACAGGCACCACGTGCTCCCGGCAATGCACAATGTGTCCTTTATACCTTTCTTTTCGGTATTCTATAGTGTTTTCTCCGTTTGTTTTGCATTTGCTTGATGAATTCCAAAAGGTTTATCCTTCTTAATTCTATTCTTTATTTGACCGAACATATCTGTCAGGATAGACAATTCTGAGCAAAAAGATCCGCACATGTAGTCAATTTCAAAAAGAGGTCACATTTTTAAACAGAACGTTACTGTATTACCTTCGGTTAAATGCTTACATGTTACATAGATTTTGTTCTTAAATTTCATGCTTATCCACAGTCCACTGCACTACGGCACATCGCTAATTCGAGGTTTGGTCTTTATTGGTCAAATCAATGCGACAATACACAAATTTGAAGAGAAATAAAGAAACATGCTAAACTATAACAGAAAAATTTCGTTCAGCTTATCCAGTCCTTCCATCGTGCCCAGCACTGACGCCGCATTTCCTCGTTGAATTTCTATGGACAAACGCTGCCGCAGAAATTCGTGCGAGCGTGCTTCTCCGGTGTGCTGCTGCAGTTTTTTTCCCAGTTCTTTGATGATGGCAATCGCCGACGGTCCCCACGGGCCCAGTGTTTCAAAAGCGATCGGAACGAATAGGTAGCGGCCGGCCAGATAGGAATATAGCCCTGATTTTCTTAACTCTGCCTGGATGGCGGCCGCACCAGCTGTGATGGAAGTGGCCTTGACATGCGAAAGCGCAACCGTGTCTACACAGGTCACGTCCCAAGCGAGGCATAATCCGCGTTTCCATGCAAAAGTCGTGCAGCCATCAGGGCGGCGTTCACTGGTGTGAGAAGTGCCGCGCGGTTCCAGTTTCGCTGGCACACCGGCGGATACTAAGGCTCGGCAGAAGATACTGTTTAAACCGCCGTGGCGCGGATGTCGACCGGCGGAAAAGGCACATGACAGCCCATGGTGCCCGTAACCACCAACAGGTTTGTGGCACTTGACGCAGTCGTGGGGTTCGCAGATCGTGGCACCGAGACGGAGGCCGATGCTGATCTTCAGTTCGTCGTCACCCAGTAGATTACCGATGTGAGCGGACGGCAAAGCGTTCAACCAGATGCCGGCCTCTGGCCTAGACTGGGCAAGCAGGCGCGCTGTGTTGACTTCGTCTCCTTGAAACACCTCCAGGAGAGCCGCAAGAGATACGTTGCATAATGGCAAGTCCCAGGCCTTTTGAGACGTTTGAAATGCAGCTTCCGGGAGTACAGGTTGGCGGGCTTTTAATTTCCAAGACTCCGAGGCACCAGTAACGTCAACAGCGGTGCGGTTAGGCAGCAGTGCAGAAAGCAAACCGGATACGGAATGAATCGAAGCCAGGAAGGCTGGAAGGGATAATTCTTCCGACCGGCGGATGCCGATTCCACCTCTGCTAACCGGTAATGTTGCTTGACGCCAAGGCGGGTAGTCGTTGTGATTGGTCCGTACATTCGACAAATTCTGGAAGCAGGAGCGCATTGCTTCGTCCAGCTGGTATAGTAATGCAGGATATTTCCATGCATTACAGCACCGCAACATGTAGATAATCTTCGGGGCGCCGAGACAGTTTTTTAGGAGAAACAACGCCTGATGGCTAGGTAACAGCTGAAGTCGTTCACACATTAATTTCGAGTTTTCAAAGCAGCATTTCATTTTTCGCTGTCGTTCTTTTTCAGCAAACTACGCTTATGATACATGCGTGTTGTTTTTACGACTTATTATTTACATATTCAATACGTTTCCGGTATGCTTTCGCATGTTCCATTTCCCGTGCACTTTACAAAATAACATACTGTCATTCATTTCCCTTAAAAGCCCCCGCATTTTCCCTTTACATTTCCCCTAGATCAGCCGAACACTGTTATTAAAGGCTGCCACCCGGATAAAACGCACCGGCTAATATTGCCACCGTTTATCGTTCAACTGATCCGCACTCGATCATCGATTTTCCCCTGCTTCTTCCCCACTTGAACGACCACGTAACCAACGCCACCAGCCATCCAGGTGCCGCCATTGATTTATCCCCATCGAAAAACAACAGCCCCAACCGGGATGTATCCAACTGACAACACAGCCGGTAGATGTGCCCGAACATTATCGAAGGAAAAGCCGAATAACACAAAGCAAATACACGACGTCTCTCTCTTCCCTGCCCGCCGCGCGCGCGCCCAGGGTCGACGTATACATACGCGTCAATGTGTACCGCCCCACTTCAAACCTGCTGTCAATTCAGCAGAAAAAAACAACAACCTGACGCTCATCCCAATCAGCCCGTTCACCCGGCTGCAGCCGATAAGACTGGCACCGGCTGCTGGTGTACTGCCCGCTTGTTTTTACGGCACAGACAATTCCCGGAAAAAATGAGCACACTATTCCTGAATTACACTTGCACTTAGTGTTTCATTCAGCCATTACAATGATTTAATACGATCCGATTTTTTTTATTTTACAGACAGTTGGCGCACAGTTCTATCACGGTACCACCGGAAACCACTCAAAATAAAAATATGCCGCTAACAAAAAAATGTTGAAGCATAAAAGTCATGCGTACTAATGTGATAAAAGAAGCACAACCCCAGTCAAATTTTTTTTTATCAATCACGGATAATTTTCAGGAAGAAATAGTTAAAAAATTTACTGTCACGCAATTCCAGTTATTGATTTAACTAAGCGTTAACCCAGTAAACAAATTTTTTGACAAAAACTGCTATCATAATACGGCAGAGCCGAATAAAATACATTAGTTCAAAATGTTCAACGTGAAATTCTAAACCGTCTCCCGAAAAATATGCTGTCTCAGGAAATACAAGAGCATCTGCTCGCAATAAAAATTCGCTCGTGTTCCATAAATTAACCCGAATTCACTAAGCAGAAATAAACTTATTTACGTCCAGAAAATATATCGCTCACATCTGGCAAAAAAAGGGTCGTCCGTCGATAACGTTTTTTTCATCGCTGGATATGACATGACAAAATCTTCAGCCAAAACATACGGATGTACTTACAAATCGCATAACGCTAGACCCTTCTTTCAGTAGCCAGTGTAAACACCGTGGCGATCGTACGACGGATCTTTACGTAATTTCGTATCTACGCGCGCGCACATGTCAAGATATACTTGGTGATTATCGCGCCAGCCATGCAGAAAATACAAAGCAAACACACGCGGCCATAATAATTCGTTGAACGTTTACGAGTGCAGATAACCTTGGTGTTTATGCAAATATTAAAACGCTTAAATCGCCCTAATTTACAGCTGATCCGCATGCCTACGCTTTAATGATACCCCCTGCAAACCGATCCGCGCACAAAGAATTTCGTAGAAATTGCAACAAAAATAGGCCAAATTGGAGCGTAAACATTGAAATATGAACCACTTTTATAAAAACATCCGATTCATTGGTGGAATAAAATTACACCTCTCTTAAAGAATACTGCATCAAATAATTACCAGCTATAAAATAATATATTTTTTTTCTAGAAAGAAATTTATGCGTCAGAAAATAAACAGGAAAGTTAGAAAAAAATGAAAGCATACTACAAGGAGAATCTAATCAACATCCAGGCGACGAAGTTGAAAACCACTTCGAACAAACGAGATACGGGCAAAAGGGGTGGGCGATATAAAAAAAAGATTAATAAATTGACTGATCGTATATTAACACTGATTGTCAAAAATGATCAAAATCAAAAGTGAAACCGGGAAAATTTCCAGTACATACTGCATTAATTGACTGCGCATCAGGTTAATTTCCTCGAAGCGTACCTTGACACATGCCGGTTGCAGTCCAACGATCTCCAGCCACTGCTTCAGACTGGGCAGCTGGACCAGTTCCTCGTCGAGGATGAGGCGGATCTTATCCAACACACAGGTCACGGCACTGTCGCCCGTTTCCGTCGCCAGGGACTCCCGGCTGGACACCTGTGAGTCGCCGCTGATACTGGCATCCCGCTGCGCCACAAACACATCCAAATCAGTCTCCAAATACTGCGACAAATTCAACTCCTGGGAGATGTGCGTAAAGTGCTGACTGAGCAATCGCCGTACTGCCAACTGGCGTCCGATGCGCTGGATCAGTTTACCCTGTGTAGAAAAAAACGAAATTGTGTAATATTTGACGGAGTCATGGTGGACAAAAAAACTATCCTTCCACACATCTATTTCATCCGCTCCGCGAATTAACGAAAAGTTAAATGCGTCAGTACTACACATACGTCATAAAATGTTATCTTATCAATGTTGCATCAGATAAGATTTATGTACAAATGTAAAGCAATTAAAGAGGTACAACATTTAAAACAATCCTTTTAAGATGTAAAGCAAGCTGTATTATTTGATCGGAATCGATTTAATAATGTTAAGTAATTCTTCGCGTGCATTCCGCACAAAGAAATCCCTTGAAGCGCATTACGTTACAAAAACGATACTGGCTCCAACCTTTCGAAAAAGCGGAAAATCAATCCCTCACCGAATACGTAAAGTTTTCAAAGAAGACATCAACGTTATCGCGTCGTTTTACGATTGCAAGATACGAGAGATTCCACAATTTCAAAAACAGTTCTAATTAATTAGCCCGAAGCCTGGCTATCGTATCTTATCATTTAAAAACATTTCCGCTGTCTGGGTTGTGCATACAGGCTGACATCCGGTGTTTTGTTTCGCTAAATCAAAAGCGCCCAATCTTCCATCGCTTAAGTTGTAAAACTATGATGTAGAAAGTTTTTTTAAGAACAAATCCTGTCTGGCCCAGGTTATTGTTCTATCGTGCCAGTAACCCTAATCAGTTAAACGACATCCTGCAATCTTTGATCGAACCTTCGCACTTTCACGGAAATACCAATGACAATCACATTCTTCGATCAGCTGTAGAGAAGAAAAAGGCCGAAAACCTACCGTGAAGCAATGTACGCCAAAGCGACGTCAAGAATGTATTGTGCAATGGCAAAATTCCGAAAGCGAACAATTTTTATTACGAATAAATTCATATTAATTTTATGAATCACTGCCAAATCGATGGTAAAACCAATACACAGAACTGTACAAAATACAGGTACTTTCCCAAAAAAAATTTCGTTTCCGGTTTTATTCCGCTTTATTCCGAAGAAAAACTTTTTTTAGTGATTTCTGATTACCCATTTGTTGCATATTTTTATATTAATACTTAACTTACCTACTCATTAACAAACGATAATAATCGGTAAAATGCGCAAACAAGTCGATATAAAATTAACAAAAATAAAATTCCAGAAATTTTTTGAAGGGTATTGATTTATGAAATGTCTCCTTACCTCAAGCATGCGGATCTCATCTTTAATTAGCTCTCGACTGGTGGAGCAGTGCGTTCGGAATGCATGCAGGGACTGCGCCGAGGTATCCACGAGACTCTGCAGTTGCATGCACAACTCCAGCTTACTGCTGAAGAGCTCCTCGACGCGCTGCAGAATGGCCAGATTCTGCTGATTACCGTTCACCTGGGCCATTGTTGCTGCATGTCCCCATACAGGAGGAAAAGCCGTGTGTTCAATGCGCGTCGTTGGCAGGGAAAGTGGCTGCTACAACAATAACCGCTTGACGACGCTCACCTGGATCATTCTGTCTTCCTTCAGCATAATCCTGCAACACTGAGGCAAAATATCACAGGAACGAGGGGATCATGTAGCGTGGGATGCTCCTTGTCAGGGCGATGACGACATCGGATGCTAAACATCATCCGCAAATAACCCCATCCATTACTCGCGCCAACATCGGATTTCACTGGTTCAATTAGCAGCGAATGCCGTGGTTGCGCGGTGGATCGCGTTGCGCATGGCCTTCACGAATCCAGCAGGTGATTAGTAAAATTTTAAATTTGCGCAACCGAATTAATTTAAAAACAGCCGAAAACGATAATTTAAAATCTGAAAATAATGATAATTCCACAATTATCTTACAGTCTGCCGTGCAGAGTGTTTGCTGGTGTTTTCGAAACTGAAAATAAACAGATGAAAAACAGTGGGAGAAAGCTTCAGAGAGAGCACAGTGAGTTCGTGTTCGTGTTTGAGTCACAGTGAGTTGTCTCTCCTGCGGCTGCACTTACGTAAGTACGGTACTAGTACGTACGTCGCATCAGCAACGTAGCCGCCCTCTCGAATGTAACTTGAGATGCGTGGTAACCACCACCAGATGCGGAAAGTCAGGTATGACTTGGGCAGTTTTTCCATGTTTTGAAATCTTTTTTAGGATCGAATACTTAATCCGACGCAACTATAATCTTTTTTTCAATTAAGTTAATTACATAGTTTAGGCAGCGGCAGAAGTTTTATTATCGCTTTCTCGTCTTTAAGCTTTTAGCCTTTTACGTACCGAGGATGGAAGGAACAATGGAAGGAGCAGAAAAGTTTAATGAAATTTTGATGTTGAAAAATTAAGATGTTTTCGGTTTTGTGTAATACGTTGTACCTCAGGTAAATAAAGACACACCGAGGATTCACAGAATTATAATAGAGGACAATTCTTGCATTTGTGCGCACCTCTGCCTTGCAGGTTATTAAGGAGCCGTGGTATCCCGGCGGATTGCCGAACTATCAAACATATAGTATTACAGTATACAGATAGTAGATCGATAACGTAATGTTTTATACAACTTTTTTTCTACATACTTATATCTATATACGTACTCGTATAATATACATACAGTGCGTAATTCTGTTGTCGTGGGACTCGTGTCTATCGGTACCGGTTGCGGCACTACCCTAGTAGTTTTGACTATTCTGCTTTTGCTGTACACAGTTTATTTCAGATTAAAATGTTACCAACTTACCACTTAATACTTATGTGTAAACAGCGGCAATTTATGTATACGCAAGGAAACTCCGCTGCCGTAAACTGAAATTAAAACTGATACTCGTAATTAAACACAATTTCGGTACGTATCTGCCGCCGACCGATCCGACGGACCGATATTTGCTCGTTCGGGGCAAAACCCTGTACCGGCATCCATACATCCGACTATCCGAGTACCGGAATCCTGTAGGATTCCAAGTATATATATATACGCGATGCGCAAAGTGACCTGTGACCTTTTCAGAATTCCGCTTCCGATTCTTTTACGGTCGATCCTTTCTCGCCTTTCCTCTTCCGCGTGCGGTATACGAGGCTTGATCATGAGCGGCGACGGAATATGCAGTTACCAGCGTCCGAGAGTTGACTGATCGAAGATAACGCGGTGTGGAACTAGCTTCCCACTGACCATGACTCCATGAGGAACGCGCACCATGCAATTGTGAGTCATCACAATGGCCGCGCGACGGTGTCCGGTGCAGATCCTACAGTTCAGCGGCAGGGAGAACTACGTTTTTAACCAATTTCAGTTTGGACAAAACAAACCGAATATGAAGCGATATGATAAACTGAGCCGTAGATTACAAAACTTTGTTAATTCTTGCCAATATATGCCCCAGAATTAAGACAAAACCCGTGCGTGTGTTAACGAGACTTATAATTAGTATAGTACTAGGAAAATGCAGTATTGCGTGCAGTGGTAAACCGGAGCGCAGCATGAGAGGTGGAGATAGTTTATTTCTGGCTGGTTCACAAAAAGCGCTACTTTTACATTTTGTAGGAAAACTTTGGTGCGGCCCCAGCGGCAATCCCATTTTCTCGCGGCTTTTTGCGACACACCCTAGCTCCCGGCGCAGGGACCTATTCCAAAACACTTTGCTCTTGAAGGGAAGGGAGGTGCGCGTACGTACCCCCCTTCCCTTAAAAACAGTGCAGTGCGTACCCTGCGTACCCCTTAAAACCAGTGCGTACCCCTTAAAAACCGGTCTGAATTACTGAATTTTCAACGCGTACTTGATTAGGTGTTGAATTTTAACAGCGTACCAAGGCTTCCATATATAGATATATGGAGGCATTTGTTATACTCGATCCGAAACCTTTTTTAGGCGATTATATATATAGCGCCCTTCTTTCTTGATTCGTTTTTTTCTTATCTTTGTGCCGGGAGGAAAGGAAAACGGAAAATATATCCGGTTAAGTGCATCAAAACGTAAACAATTGCGTACATAAAATCATAATGTACATTCATGGAGAACTACCCAAACGATTAATATACTGTATACGTACAAATTGTTTGCTACTGTTATACATGCAGGCCGGGGATCGAGTGGAGATTTATCCGCGGGTCACCTTTCCTATCACAAGTAAGCCATTATTATGCGAGCCGATATACAATACACATACGATATAGAATCTCTTATATGGAGATTTGCGATGCACTTACTGCACTGTCATCCGCTTTTTTGGTTTCTCCTCTGAAACTTGCACAACCACGGAAACTAAAGCAGTTTACGCGAGCATTATTTCCTAATTTTCTTGTTAGTACACAATAGTTTCCCACGATCCCTAAATACTGAACACTTACTACTTACTAGTTACTACTTTTAGTAAGCTAGATAAGCACAGAGTAAAGTACGTTTACTTGTGTCAATGATTTTAACCAGGCGTGCATATACAGTTGTATTATTTTGTACTTATCGTTATTACATACAGGTACAGTATTAAATGCATTCCTTACTCACTAACTGCTATTTCTTAAAACCAATCTGTTCATCTTTTCATCCAAAAGAATTCGGGATCCTCTCTAAATACGCGGTTATAATAAGATACCGAATTCGAAATTACTTTGTTGAGCGCCCGAAATTAATAAAATTGTTTACTGTATATTTAATGCCAAATTAGTTAATGGTACTAGTACCGTACTACAAGTAATTTAAGTATTATGTTTGCCTTGGTATTTAATTATATCATTCTGGTACTGGAGTAAAGAAATTACTTACAAAGTATACACTCGTCAGCCGTATGACACTCGTATAATATCTATATATAGATAGACGTACAATATGATACATATATATATACGTCTAGATCTCATTATCACATTTACGGCAAAATTAATTCTACTCCAGGCAAAGTTTCCATTTGTGTGTGCTGTTGATGCAGTGTTTTTAACGAGGAAATAATTTATATTGTCTGCGCCTACAGATACGTCGGCACTTTTCATAAATTGTAACCAAGAGCGGGTGCTTTTTCGATTGAAAAAATTATGTGCGGCTGTCCTAAGCCGTGTGGTCAATCAATACTTTTGAAACTGTACCAGTAACATACAGATCTGTATATCCAAATTCATGCACTTTTCTTCTTTCGTCCAAAGATTCGAATTTATTCATCCCGGGATTAAGACAATCCGGCCGTTTCAGTCTTTCATACTCTTTGCGGTAGCATATTTCTCAAGCAGGATAATGTCATTTCCTTTTCAATCATCTCAGCGTAAATTAATTCTGAAATGTTTCAGCTGAGCGCAGCATGTCGGCAGGCGTTGCTTCAATGTGGTTTCCAGTTTTCACCGCAGATGGATCAGAACCGGCTGTCCATCTGGCCAAACAGCAAAGATACACGGTATTATTCGGTAAAGCACATGCTGCATTAGTTATGGTTTCTGTATTAATTCTTTTTACAATAGAGTTAATTCCCTTTGTGCAGCAGCATTGTTTGCGCCTGCGCTCTTTTCGAAAGCTCCAGTAATCTGCATTCCGGCACGGTCAAATTTGCACTACAAAGGATAACGGCAAATATTTGTATGGATTAATTAGTAATGTCTGACAATTGTACTAATTATTATTTATGAAATTTCCGAGCGTATTTTCATAAAAACTGCATCCAAAGAATTTGACATTAATTTTATGATTACTTTACTTCGCAATATTTTAATTATGACAGACATGGATAGCAGGTCAAATGTGCGACAGTTAACCATGTTAAATATATACGTAGTAAGTGTATTGCTACCATATACAGTTTTACGCAGAAAACAATTGTCTATTTACGCGTATTTCATGAGCGTAAAAAATTTTGTGAATAAATGAGTAATGTCAAGTTTACTTTTCATTAATGGATGTACATCATGTACACAATTACAAACTAGTAACACAAATAAAATAAGTGTTGATCACATCGCGAATTCACAATGATTTTGGGCCGGAAATGGTCTTCATTATAACGAACAGAATTGCAGAGATATTCCGGGTAAGAGATATGCAATTATGATGATACTCTGATCAAACAAAGCGTTGAATTGCTAATCCGCGGGAGGCCGGCATTTGGAGCCGCAAGCGCAAACCGGCTGGACACAATCGCACACGGTTATTTGAAACCACTCCAATACACACAGCATTTCCATACAGATGAGAAACAGAGACACCGCTGCCCGCGCGCTGTGCTGCTTATCAATACACACACATTCGGCCAGCTGAACAGCCCTCTGACCACTGGACAATAATGAGCCAATCGATCTGTCATACACCGTACGTGTCAACTGTGCAGACAGACAGCGCAGACAGGCACACACATACACAACTGACAACTGTGCCAAATGCACTGCGTTATCCAATTTTCCCCCTTTTTCGCTGCCAGCGCGTCGGATTGCATTGTTACAGGGGATTATTTTTCCTTGTCCTCAAGCTGGCTTTCTGTTCGCGCTGTGCTTTGTCTTTTTAATCAGCCTGCAAGCTGCATTCTGGCAGGAAAAACTCGGCGGTTGAGGGGTAGCTAATTAAGGCGCGCAGTCAGCCGCGAGTGGACGGCATTGCTGTCGGACTGTTTTCCCAGGGCTGCTGACGCCCCTCCCGGGCCAAGGTAATCCCCTGGACTTGATTAATCTAATTAAAATTGGCCCACTTTTGTTCGCGCCAGCGTCCATGGCGCCTATTGTCACGATGCTGATGGATTGCGACCTCAAGGCAGCAGCAGCGCTGTACGGGATGGGTGAAACTTGAGTTTATTAACGCAAATACACTGGACAATGAATTTTACGACTTCAGCGGCTTTTTAATGGGGTGTGCGAAGTAATCTCTGCTAATTTAAGTATCATTGATTTATCACACTCTGCTGGCGGATCCGGTGTAGTGGACCAGTGGTCATGCACTAATTCGTGCACTGTACAGCGAAATATTAAAGATAAACTGATCACAATTTAATTGCTGTAGTGCAGCACATGCATATGCGTCAACAAGTTTACAACCGTAATAGTTATCGTACGACTTATACGATTACTATTGCCTTACAATATACCTTTTACAGTTTACAGTCGATTGTGGTATACTTATTGTTAATGTAATTTATTCTTAAGACAGAACCAGGAAAAGGCAACAGTTTGTTCAAGCAGAGCTGAAAGCTGTCCGGTTATGAAGCCATAAATCACGAGCAAATCATTCTGTCATTTGGCTTTACCGCTTCAACAGCTTCTTGAGCTCTGTGTTTAAGTTGTTAAGCTGGGCCAGCAGATCGCTTTAGAAACTGACACTGTAGGCCAAAATTGAATATGTATTAATTTTACAAATTAGCAAACTCAAATGGTGCACATAAAACATTTATGGTACACGGCCATAACCGTATTCATGCGTCATTTATATGGAATTACTGTACAAGCTGTAACGCAGTTTACCGCAAATGTGAGTTTACGTACGCAGTATGTAGATGATTATGCTTGAGTTACAGGAAAATTGGAAAATGTTAGTCGTGTTTCCAAAATATTGTTCAAAAAAAGCATAAGTTTTATGTTATTGTCGTTTGCAGTACTTGTTGAGTTAGTCTAGGACCCATAATTAACTGGTGACCTTTGTGAGAAAATTGTGAGAACTATGAATATCGATTCAATGGTCGTAATTTCGCAAGTCAGCTAATCGATTGGTATGTAAGATATAAGTTCTGTGCTGTTTCGATAAGCGATGTTCAGCTGCATTGTTATGCAGCCCAGAGATAAAGGGATGCGATAAGAAACATTCCTTTTAGGCACGCATTTTCGAATTATGCCCACAAACGTGCGTGCCGGGTTAAAATGTGTTTACAGTTGAGTGTTTTCAGCGCCAGAGCGCTTGATTTGGTATGCTATATTGGAAAGCGTGTTGATAAGCCGCAAGAGTAGAAGCAGACACGTTCTGGCTGATAAGAAAGCATCCAGATGTCGATAGATTTCTCCAAATATGCCACTCAAAACCATCCACGGATAATAACCCCAAAGCCACACCACCACAGCCAAGACATTTTGGAAACGCATGAAATGCTTAAAAGTGTATTTTCCTTTCGCGTCGGCATGTCAAGTGTATGTTTACGAAATGGACCAATGGCTATATTAAAAGGGGGCGTTGGTCACTATAATAAGGCAAGTGACGCCGGTGGAATGATAACGATAACACGCATTACAAGGAAATTGTCAGCGCAGTCTGATTAGGCTTATCTACCCGCCATTATCAAAATTTGGGGCACAAAATTTTTCTCAATCGAAGGCAATATTTTGCAGTGCGTTATTTGCACTAGCGTACAACTCTTTATACGTGAGGTTTATTCCATTTTCTGCGATCAGAACCTGGGTCCAGAATTTTCAAGGCCAGCCGCGGTCGTGGTCACTTCCTTGTGCGCAGACGGCACTGCTCCCTGTACTGTCCCCGCGATAATGAATTAGCCAGCAGTCAAAAGCACTCAGAGCCTCTTTTCGCCGTGGATGCCCCAGTGAAAAGATTGTGGACACCGCAAAGAGCGCACGATGATCGTTTGAAGAATAGTTAGAGGAGAGGAAAGACGGGCCTCGCGGGCAAATGGCATTGCATGGAGGATTAAAATCGGCTCTGACCGTCGACGCTCTTGATGCATGCTGATGAGTGGAGTCGCGCCAGCCGCGGTCAGTTGCATATACAGTTGAGAGAGAAGCCACAGCTGCAGCCGTTCTATCTGTCCATCACGCACATATATATACACAGTCCAAATTCCTGCATTTCTTATTTCCACTTTGTTTTGCCAACGATTGGAAAGATCTCTGTCTCTTCAGACCCGCTCGTCGTGATAATATTTTATGCGCTGCAGATTACAGCTCATGGATTTGAATAAATATTTTTCCATTTTCATCCGCTTAATCGATAGATGTGACGGAACGCGATGAATCGATGATCCTGTGAAGAATCTACAGTTTATTTACCACTGCCGGAATTCGGTCGACTTTCCTCGACTTTTACGTCAGCGTTTTGCCAGTCTAATTTCCCCTTCTTTCGTTATCAATTCGTACGATATTTTTCCGGTCATATTTATTGCGGTCAGACCACTTGAATGGTAACCATTCTGTGATTGTACGCGTGGATGTCAATTATCGTTCAACGCGGACAATCGGCCGCATTTTTTTATCAGTGGAGATTAATTGTTGATCTGCACATACGATACATGGCTGTTTAGTTGATTGTTATGGCGGTGATAATGGTGCCAGGAGAACAGTGAAGGAGTTCCGTGGAAGATTGTTATTGCCAGTATTATATTCTGTCTGGTGGCCGCTGAAGAACGCGCACCGCGCAAAAGAATATCCCGGCCTGTGCAGAAAGAAAACTGTCTGGGCATTTTGCAGATCATAAATCGTCCGGCCGCGTTCTACTATCCTCTCGCCAGTGATAATTATTCTTCCTTTGTGATTGTTCTGCACAGCCACTAAATCACCGAGAATTGCCATTAAAACAACAGCCAGCATCACGTTCAGTGTCCGTAATTAGATTTATGCGCTGCTGATTGGGATTTTTAGTGTTGTGGACCGTTGGTCAGCACAAGCCAATATAAACCAGCCTCCTTGAAATGGAAAAGGTACGCCTGGTACAGTATTTAATTTGATCGTGCTGCTTTATGATCAATTTCGTTGCAAGTGTTTGATTTATTAATTAGTTAAGCATTTTTACTTAATGTGATTTATTCATATGCACGTTCACGAAAAGCCCCAGCACCAGAACTCCAGACGGCTTAGTGGGTTTACGGTTTACTTTGCACATATAAACTGTTAAATGAATCATTCAGTGCAATAATTAAATCATTGCACATAACTGTACATAAATGCGATTTTACTGCATTAATCTAAGTTCTTAACGATTGCAATTATTAACCACGCAGAGGTTCCAATTTAAGTACTTGAATCTCTAATTTTTAGCAACAATTAAGCTGACGGTAAATCGTTTCGCTTTAAATTGCGTACGCATCAATCTTTTGAAATAAAACTGCAGTAAGCAGGTAACACGTATTGGATGTGATTTGATAACTTCCACTGCCGAAGTTAGAATGTGCGTAATTGGCCTCTATTAAAATATTAATGATGTTATTTGGTATTACAGCATTTTATTATGTTTGCGCGATTTTGACTCTTGGTAACTCATTAATATACACTTGCCGTGGTAGTGAAAATTTTGTTACAATTAATCTTTAAAGTTTAAATTATGTACTTGCAGTTTTGTTATTTTGACCGTTCTATCCAGTTCTGGTGCAGATAGGCTGAGATAGCCAACGGTGTCATAGTGATTAATTTGGTATCTGATTGATTTCATTCTTTTTGTTATGGCATTTTAAAACGAGCCGTTCCATTTCAATTCTCACCAAACACCAAGGTGACAATTATCCGATTAATCTGCTCCCGTATATTTTAACCGGTTCTGTGAATTTTTAACACAAACCCGGCAATTATTGATAGGCCAAAGTTGACGCCGGGCCTACCCGCAATCACCACACGCTCAATGGACTAACGGACAGTGTCCGCCCTGTGAATAGAGCCATCCATCGCGCATCAACACGCATCCACTTCCTGCCGCATACTGTGCTCATGCTCCTCATCAGCCTACTGCATCTTCCCATGCATGCCGCCCAGGCCGAGCAGCCACCGCCGCCCGTTGGCCCGGCCGTGGCCAGCAGTGAAGCGCAGATTATCTTCCGTGAATGGGATCTCCAGTCGCATCAGACCTGCCAACCGATCCCGGAGAAATCCGGCTGCCGGGTGATGCCCTACAACGCTACCACCACGCCGAATTTGGTGGGGCAGTATGATTCGCGGGAAGCCGAACAGTCGCTGGACTCGTACAGTCTGCTGGTGAAGAACGGTTGTTCGCCGCATTTGAAGTTTTTCCTGTGTGCTACTTATTTTCCCATGTGCACTACGGTGCCGCCGGTGGATACGGTTATTATTATTCCACCATGCAGGTAATTGTCCTAATTGACACCAGACCACAAAGGTCAATATTGTTATACTGTAAAAACGTAATATTTCCTTGTTCTCGATATCACTTTTATCTCAAACTGAATTCCGGAGTAGAATACGAATAACTTCAGTGTGTGTATGTGTGTGGATCATCGGTGTTTTATAATATGGCGAATAACAAGAAAAACTTAATAAAACTGTAGTATTTCTTTGTTTTTCTGATTTTTGGAGTCTTCTATGGCTGTTCGAAAAATGCAGTACGACTATTTTCCTTTTCCGAGTAGTGTCTGCATAACTTTATTTTACACTAACCTTTAGTGGTGCGGTTTAATTTATTTGTTGAAGTACAGAGAGAGCTGTTGAGACTTTGTTGGTCGTTTTATGAATTACAGTACAAAATTCGTCCATTATTTTTGGATTTGGATGTTGATGTTTCACTACATCTCCAAATTTTGGTTATTTCTTACTTCTTAGTTAGTGGTTGACTTTCATACCTAAAAGTTCGGAATTCATACTTATTCTCGTCTTCTTACAGGGCGTTATGTTTGGCCGTGCAAGAGAAATGTCTGCCGGTGATGCAGGAGTTTGGCTACCCGTGGCCGTCCGCGCTGGACTGCGACAAATTCCCGGAAGCCAACCGCAAGGACCAGATGTGCATGCCGGGCCCGATTGAAAACGTCCGCCAATCTTCTCCCAAACCCCGCTCCTCCAGACCGCCGCCGACCTCTCCCGCCCCGCCCGCACCTCCCGACAGCCTCGTCTGTCATCCCCATTCCGCGTTCATTCGCCTAAACGCGTCGCGCGCCTGTGCCTTCGACTGCGACGCCAATTTCATCACCACTGAGGAGGACAAACTCACCACCGACATTCTCCACGGTGTCGTCGCATCCTTCGCGATCCTCCTGGGAGGGGCGGTCTTCGGGGTGCTGTGCTGTGCGGCCGTCCGTCTCGGTCCGCTGGAGAAACCGGTTGGCTGGGTGGTGGTGTGTACCATGGTCATGTCGACGGGGTATCTGGTGCGACTGATTGGGGGACGGTTCCTGATGGGCTGCACCATGGATGAGGAGCATGGGCGGGCGTACGTGATTGTCGATGGGGTACTGGAGGTGAAAGGCTGCATCGCCGTGTTCATCCTGCTGTACTATTTCGGGATGGCCGCCAGTCTGTGGTGGCTGGTGATGACGCTGGCCTTCTGGATGTCCTCCGGAAAGGACGGAAAGGTCCGGGAGAATCCGGGCTATATGAAAGTGGCGCATCCGGCTGTGTGGCTGACTTCTGCGGCTCCCACCGTTACTGCACTTGTCGGAAAATATGTCGATGCCGGTAAGTTTGCGCATAACTGCAGATTTGAATTTCTGATCGTTAATGTATGCGGTAACAATAATCATCTTTCCAAGTTCTCAACGCTACATTTCTCTGACACCGGTTACACTGGTACATGGTTGTAGTGTGGTGGCTGTCATTGGCTGATGATATGTTGTCCATCTCTCCAAAGTGATACATTGGTACAGAATATTATACATACGTGGATGAACCACAGCTAGATTCGACTCGATTAGACTGGGCTAATAATCAGAAAAATAACAGTCTCCTTGTATTTTTCGAGAGATTCAGTTTTTGTGTGCTGGGCCGGTTGGTGTTGTTTTTCCGTTTTACGCTTATAGACTTTTCTTCACCATTGTTTTTAATCAGGAGCAAATATTAGCTGAACTAGATAAGCGTAAAAATAGCCCATTTCCAGATGCTGAATAGCTAACGTTACGCTCTTCGACAGATGAATTATCGGCAACATGCTCCGTGGGCCAGCAGAACCCGCAAGCTCTCCTCTGGCTCCACCTCTTCCCTTTATGTCTTATCACGCTCCTGGGCATTGTCGCCCTGACCCGCGGCGCCATCCTGCGCCGGCAGCACGCCCTCTCCGACACCAAAAGCATGAAGACCACCTCCTCCGACACCGGCACCTGCAGCCTCTCCTCCAAACGCCCATCCCGCCGCCATCACCAACTCAGCGACCACTTCCTCCTGCCGAAATGCGCCGTCTTCTTCCCCTCGGCGGTTATCGTCATCATACTCTACAGCGTCGAATACTTCCACCGCGACACGTGGACAGCGCCCGGCGTCCACGGCCTGCCGGTGGTGTACTACTTAACGCGGGTGCTGATGCAGTACGCCTTCGGGATCACACTGTCCATCTGGACGATTATGGCGGCGCTGACGCCGCGGGTCTGTGGGACCGTGGTGAAGAAGCCGCTGCCTAATCAAGCGGTTCTGCCGCCGCACTACGCCAATGTCCCGCCGTTCCCGCATGTGCCGGACATGAAGGGGGATTTTACGCGGGTGACGTTGTACGAGAGTAGTTTCCATCCGTCCAGCAATGATTATGCGTCGGTTAATATGCGGGTCCCGGCGCCCACGGAGGTCTCCTATCCGCCCAGTGTGTCGACGGCGTACCATAGTGTGGGACATCTGCACAATAATAAACTGGCGGCACAGCAGCAGAATCTGTTTGCCACGCAGGATATGGGCAGGAAGTCCATGGTGTCCTCGACGCTCAAAGACGGGAGACACGATTTCGTATAAAATTCTCGCGGGATGTTCCGTGTGCCGATCGATATGTACAGATTTCGCACCGCTATTTAATTGTTGTGCTTTAAAGACGTGTGGATTTATCTACTCTGTCACAATAACTCTGATTTGCATTTACTTAAAAGTTGCTCGATATGATGTGTATAGTTCTTTATTTTTTTATGATTTACCGTACATGTACTGTAAAATATCATTGATAAAATAAACGCAGAATTTTGCCAGGAACTGAAACTGAGGAACTCTCGTAAAAAATCACATAAAGCCAAATAACAGCGAAAAAGCAAATAAAACATCATAAGCGACACCACGAATAACGAAAACAAAACAAAATGTTAAAAACTGTCTTGGCAGGAAGCAGTTTCATAATACCACAAGGTCATGAGCGAGAAATTACAAAATAACAGCACTAGTACTGAAATTCTGATTGCAACCCTGCTTATCCCAGAACGTCCGCAAATCCCTGCGCTTCCCTTTCCCAACATTGGTATGTAATTTTTCACATAATTTACAAAACGCCAACGGTGTTCCCCACGGCACCACAGTGTAGACTTTCCGCCATTCATGGAATGAATTATACAGCAGCCGATCGGCTAAGATCCGCTGCAGATACTGCGCCAAATCCGCCGGACTATCAAAATCCAGAGCATTGACAAAGGAACCCGGCGGCGCCAGGGCCGAATAGTTGGCCCCGCCCATCACGACGGGAATCACCGGATAATCGTGAACCGCCAGGATCTTGAACAGCTTTTCCGTTACATAATCCGGACACAGGGAATTCTCCAGGGCTAAATAAAAATGGTATGATTTCAGGATGTTGTCGCAGGATGTTGTGGAGTTGTTGTCTTTGCCGCAGTCCAGCTGCCCGCACCGGCCGTATATGTCCACATCGATGTGGGAGGTCAGCTGGTCGACGTAAGTTTCCCGGTGGGAATGCGACTGGCACCGGCTGACAATCCACGCGATGGGCGCCAACTTCCGGTAGGCGGCCAACTCGAAAGCACTGCAGTTATTAAAGAAATAATGTGCTATCAATAATTCAAATCAAGAAATAATAAAATTCGTATACCGCTGGGTTATACATTCGTATTTGTAATATTAATTATTTAATTGATGTAAGAAATACGAATTCATTCAATAAGATTTCAGAAAATTTGACTGCCTAGATTTTTCTGAATAACAACTAATAAATTAACAGAAAGCCAGAAACTGCATGCTTTCAAAATTTCTTGCTATGTAATGCTAATTTAAAACACCGAATTTCATAGTTTTTTCGCTAGTACGAAAACAGAACATCATATTCATTACGGACTAAATATCACAGATTTCACTGAAGTGAAAATTAAAGACAATGAATAATGCGGGAGATGTTTTACAGTATGCACCGAAATTCTAAAATACCTATTACATATGATTTGGAATTTTGGATGATAAGCGCATAATACGGACAGTGGACAAATGTCGTAGCCTAAGGTCACTACAGGCGATTCCTTCCTGCATGGTGATTCATATAACACACAATAAAGATACAATTAGTTGTAATTTTGTATTTACTACTTACTATTGCATAGTGTGATTGATTTTTTTCTCGAAATAATCAGGCAATTTTGTTTGCGGCTTGGATCGTTTTGTGGAAAATCCATAAGGAAACAGAATATCGGAATCCAGCCGATACGTCATGGTCCAGTCGAACACACCGTCCAGTAACTGCTCGTCAAAGTAGGAGTATACCGGTGATTCCTTTAGGCAAAACACCCATTTCTGGTCGGCTGAGCGCGATTTCGGAAGGTGCTCCAAACGGGTGGTTTCCCGCAGTGAGAACAATACCGCGTTGGCTGTCGACAGGAACTTCCGGTCAAAGGTCATGCGGCAGTTGGGATATGTGCATTTGAAGCGCTGGAACATGTCATTTCCGGTTGTCAGCGAAAAGTCAGGAAATTTGTCCCATAATAAAATTGTGCGCATCGTCAGAGCATTTGCTTTTGATGATTTCTTTTGACCTAAAAAAATTCACCGAATTATTTTTTGGAGAATTACATATTTTTGAGATAATTAATTAGTACATTTTATTACATACTCAGAATATGTACTTACACACTCTGCTATCGGTAAATCGCTCATCTTACCATAAACCAGAAATTTTTACGCTATTAATTTTAATATTTGTGGACAATTACGCGTACCGAATCGTGCGCGGTTAGTTCGCATTTGTTGAATTATTACAATATCACGGATATGTGCAATGATGGCCGTAGTTAATGGAATTATGACTGTAACGTCGCGATTTGAACTGAAAACGTACATTTCTACTAAACTACCGCGTATTTCAACTGAACAGTGGTACAGAACTACAGATACCGGTTAACTTTTTATTTTGAAATAAATACGCTTAAAATAATTAAATATTAAATCAATACGAGTATTGTTCGTTCAGATTATATCCTGATACCGGCATTTAGGGTTTAAACGTACACAGTAAGTAATTAAAGTGCGTTTTTATAAAATTAAGACATAGTAGACATTACCTCGATCGTGTAAAACGGCATGGGCCCCGCTTACACAGTTGAGACTCGTACTATTTGCTAACTTGGATTTTAATATTACTTAATTACTCAAGTAAGTATGTTTTGCACCAGATTTTATGACTGCAGCAAATGCATGTAAACTGTAAATCGTACCAAAAATTTGAGCTAAAATACTTAACAAATAAATGGTTTCCGGCTACTGCTGTCTGCTGGGCCCCCAGGCGGCGGTGGTTACGAAACCCAGCGTGCTCGAAGGCATAACTTCGTGTTTCAGCTTGTTCCAGCTGAAGTCTTTGGTGATCAGTTCATTCAGCTGTCTTTGAGTCAGACAAAATTTATCGGGAAGTCCTTTTGATGTCATAAATTTATAATCACATTCTTAGTCAGCGTTCCTGAATGTTAATTTTGACTTGAGATATGTAATCAATTATCATCCGTCAACAGAGTTCCTGGTATTTGTGTAGCGGAGTCTCATTTGGGTTATTATCGAAATAATCGAATCCATTACTACCAGTTCACATCATTTGTTGTCTCGGCTGATTATGCGATTACCGATTGTTATAAAAGTGGGGGGATTTCCGGAAAAGATATGACTCTATTTATTTATCATTTATTTTATATTGATCAAGCTTTGTGCTACGACCTGCGGAATTCCAGAAACATGTATCTCCAACGAGAATTTCTGAGCCAGTTTACGACTTTACGTGATGTGAATCAGTGAGTGTGGTTAACTGGCGACTCTCTGTACTGTACCTGCATACTAGCCATGTAAAGTACAGAGAGTCGCCAGAAACGCCATAAAAGTCATCAGGCTGTGGATCTGCTCAGCTTTTTTTGCCAACCCAGACAGTACAGCAACAGGTAAGTTACCGTAAGTAAAACCTACTTGATGTATTGGTCCGTTTAACCAAGACACGGGAACGGTCCTTGTCAACATATCTGGGAGGCTCCGGTTCGTGATGGTGCACAATCAGGAATGCCAGTACAATCAGGACGGCCAGAATGCCCAGAAATCGACATCTCCCACTGCGGAACAACATTGAAATTTACTCCGCGCGTGATGTAGCATTACACTGTCTCAGGTACTCGTAATTCTTTTTGCATTATTATTAGATTAGATCGGTCCAGGGAAAGGTTGGTTCAACTGTTTTTCTCTTTTGAAAAAGACAAGAACATCGTTATCGTACACCCGCGCTGGAAAACTGCTTATTTTCACTTTTTTTCATTCGCTGTGTTCGGTTTACTACGGCTTATTCGTACCAGCCGTACGTGAATCGTGAAACCTGATCGTTATCATTCTGTATCCACTTTAATATCATGAGTACGAAGTATTGTAGTTTCAGAGATGTTTTCTTTGTGTAATTACTTCCCAAAGTACGGCGCCACTGACGTGAGATTTAATAAATATTACGTATCTAAAAATTTGACTTTCAATTCGTGCTGAATCATTTATACAAATATTTTTTAAAAACATATATTTTAAAAAAACATTTTTCAGGTTGCAGAGTGCAGACTACCAGATAACAGTTTATTGGTTTAATCCCGGTGTCATTACTAACTTAGTAGCAAACTTTTTATTGTTAATTTGACCACAGACCACTTTAAATTAAATAAAGACAGGAAAATTTCTTTGTTTCCTTCTCCGCTTTTGTTTAAAATCGCAAACTGTTACGCGATATGTCTTCCATGCTTGTTGCTCCGCGGCCGAACGTGCAGTTTTAAAATTAAATAAAACCCAAGTACCTAATACTACCTATGCCGCTTTTCTCTGGCAGCATTGGCTAGTGTCCACTGAAAACGCAAACGAATAACAGAAAACTGCTCTCACTGGCGATTTAAGTAAAAACGACAACAGCACCCGCCCACGTGCCCCCTCCGGAATTTTTTCCAAAATGGGTACTTCGAAAAAGTAAAGGGGGATGTACTGATTAGAAATGCTAGCCGATTTAGCAGAAAACGGAAGAAATTACTATTTTTGGTTGAATTTCTGGTGATTTTTGCAGTAAAACTGACTGTTGGCTTCGCGCTCCGCGCGAAAGTACGCTATAGTTGTTTAATGCACATCATACAAGGAATTTTTACTTCCGGTGCGAAATATAGGCAAGGTACAAGGGTTCACCATATTCTAAATACACAAACGGGTTAGTGAGTCAAATACACATTAATTTTATTAATTAACCATGCTCCAAGAAGTGCTTTACAAGAAATTCGTAATCATTTAGTATTTTTATGGAGCTTCTAGCAACAACATGGGTCCGCTTCGCGCAAAAGTTCACGTTTTCAGTAAACTCTTTACATAATACAGTCTTAGTTCTTGCCCTTTAGCTTTCGCTGCAAAACAAACGAATTATTTTCTGCAAATTTTAATGGATTTTCTAGCAATTTGGGCAGCGAATTCGCTTGCTGGGTTCGCGCTTCGCGTGAAAATGGATAACCAATGTAATTTTTTACCCGATACTTTGCTTCAAAAGCTGAGTACTTTTTACGAGTACGAAGATGTGCATTGCTTTCTCTCGTACTCCTAGAGTAACCGCAATGGATGGGCATCGCGTAGGAGCGGCGGGCTTGGGCTTTGGCGGACATCTCCGCCTTCAGCAGACACTTGCGACAGTTGCCCGCTCTGCGAAGGCGTGGTGGCAGAAGCGGGAGATCTCCACACCGATAAGGGCGGCCGCCTGCAGCACCGTTGTTTGTGGGATCCAAAATGTTTATCGCCCTGCAGTTGCCCACTAGAGGCAAGTCTTCACCCTTAAGGAAAGAACGGTTTCCGCTGTTTAAAATTTTTTTTGTTATGCATCAATGCAACAGTGCTTTCCTCTTGCATTTTGATCATTACGAATTTATGACCGGGCGTCTCGACCACTCGGCTGCATGAGATACGCAGACCTCTTAGCGCCCGGCTAACGTAGAACTGTGTTTGGAAACAGATCCATCATCCCTCACAATTTCACGACACTGCGGGAAGTTCTGCTCACCACCCAGGAACGTATTCAGCGTAAGCGATCATCCAAGCCAAGCCAAGATCAGCGAAAAGCTAAGATAGCTAAGTAGCGTCTAGAGTAAATACTAAAATTAATAACTTTGGAAAGCACTAGAAGTACTAGGACCCTTCTAGGAGTAGTACAGTACAAAAATTAATCATACAATCAAGTCTAATTATGTACACCGTATATCGCGTTCTATATATGTGCATAACACGGTCGATGGCCAGCGATGTACCGAGGAGCATGGTTAACGTTATCGAATCGTTTCCTGCACAAAATGGCGACCGAAAGTCTGTACAGGTTTCAGAAAACTTAAGAGGCATTAAAATTTTTTCCTGACCAGTTTGGAAAGCGATGATTATTCTCCCACATCTAATATTGAAAACGTGTGCTAAACAGTGTACTTCTACAGGTGATGTGCCAATTTGCCAAACCATGTTTGCAACAGGTACAATTGTACTTACTACTACTGAGTTGATTACGTCGTCACTCCTGTAATGTACTGGATTTTAAGTTGCATAACTATACAACATGGAGATCAAAAGATTGGACTTTTGGCAATCTGTGCAGCTGCGAGTGATCGACTTTTCCACAATCGCCTGGAAATTAAATTTTGCTGGAAATTAATTTACTTATCTGCCGGCTTTGCAGTGGGTGTAACTGTGACTGGCCATAGAAATTACTATGAGAAGTGTACCCTGGCGCTGACATCGCAGACAACCTGGACACTCGTATCTCCTTATCGATGCAACTTTGTTGTCCACAGGGCATAATTAATGGACTGAGCTCTAATTTTTTCATTTCTGGCACTGTAAACTTCAATCGGATCAAGAATCAGATAAAAAAGATCTAACAAATGGACGGTACTAAGAATCTTGCATTGGCCCGCCCGAGTGTGTACTCGTCTCGTATGTATATAGATGTTGTTGGATGCACATTTTTCCCGTACACGAACGCTGTGGTATAACTCCTACCAGCGGGTTACAGTAACAGTAATGGACGTGCTCGAGGCCTTGAGATGTGTAACCTCGCGATCCACTCGAATTCTCGCAACCTACCGCCTGCCAAACTGGTTGCAGTAGTTTTTTAGCTAGAAACGTGACTTCAGGTGCAAGATTAAGGAGTGATTTTCAGTACTCCTGGAAACTGCAAATGATTTCCTTCGCTTTCACCCCTATCCAGACTCTGAGGAAGGAACATTTAGCAATCTGCCGGCTCTGAAGATGTTATCATTAAAAAGTGGTCTGCAAGAGCCCTATAATGTACTTTGTATAAGACCGAGACATGCTGTGATTACACTGCAGTTGTGAATTCGGCTGGCGGACAAGCACTGTGCCACTAATTCTGCTACCGGCGAACGATGGTGATAAAATTGTGTAGTACCGTCCTTATGCCTTCACTGGCTGGATGCCCAAGCGATCAGACATGCACAGAGTACGTGCCGATTGATTACGCCGTTGCTGTTCCCTCCGGACCGAGAGCGCCAGTCGAACATTCGTTGAACGCTGAGATTTTGTTAAAGGTCGCGGTAATTTCGATTTTGTGCGCATGCACGCTTCCATTTTGAGCGCTTTTGTAATTAATCGGTTGCTTTACTGTATGTCACCTGTTATGGCCACGTCAGATGCACATTTTATTAATCTCGTTGCACTGCAGTGAATCAACGGAATGGATAATTAATGTAATAACTGCTGCGATAAATGCTGGTACACGGCAGTGTAAATCAAAGTCAAATATTACTGTATTACGTATATTAACACGATATCCAAGAACCACATAGAAATGCCGTTTTCACAGAATTACATCGGATTCCGTGTGTGTGCGGATCGCAATGAGCTAACTAACAGCTGTACCGTAGATTAGGGACTCAGACTTCAGAACGTGAACTGAACAAGAAAAAATTAATGATGTTACAGTACACGTTTTACAGTACAATGAAATGTCAGCCACCATATTGCAGCCAAGTGCAGAATGAAACACTGTGGCATTACGTGCGCTTTCAGATAAAAAGCGAAATTTATACTTAATACACTTGATGATTTGAATCAGTTTAGCGCGGTACTCCGAAGCCTGTAGAATACCGAGCGTGTTGATTTGAAAATGGATTTTAAACAAGTACTGTAAATAAGGACACCAAACACAAAACAGTAAAAAAATACTCTACAGGAAAAATCAAATGGTTGCAAGGAATCGGAATCAACAAGTTTGTCGTCATCATACGTATACTGTACTCCAATTAAGGACAGCAAAAATGCATAATTACTCCAATTGGAAATTGTTCTAACCACATTTGTTAATATCTTCGGGGAAGTTAATCAACTGACGCAGCTCCGTAAACTGCAAGCTGATATTCGTCTGATCAATCAAACGCCGGGAAAAAAAGCTGATGCCGTAGTTGGGCGTTGCTGGTAGATCAAGATAATCTGTACTTTGCAAAACACCCTTGCTTGCCTAAAACAGGACCGTAAATATTTAAATAATATAATCAAAAAAATTTTGTTTAAAGAGTTTTTTATTCTTAATCTGTACCTCGTAACCATACTGTAACAAGGTCATCCCGTGCAAGTTGGCCATAAAATGATCCTTAATATAGTTGGTGTACTGCAGAAAATAGTCCAGAATGCGCGACAGTGGCGAAGAACAGTCCGTCGCTGATCTGTCGGCAAGTCTCTGGACTGCCCTTCTAACGATAAAACATCCATTAGTCAATTGTGAGACGATTACACGCCGAACAAAACCTTACAAAAATCCCATCCAGATTTCCCGCGAACCAGAGAGCGCGGCTTCTTTGAGCGGGATGACCTCCGTCGGGGATACATCAGTGGCAGACTGCTCGGCCTGCTCCAGGGTGAAGGCGATGGTGTGGTTAAGCCAGCCGCGCCAACGCGTCACAAGGGCATCGCTGTTAGCCAGCGATTCCATGATGGTTAGATTATGCAGCGCGATGGAGATGCCCGCCGCCGGCTGGGTCACACTGGAAATCTGCGGAAGAAGGCAAAATATGTTTTCCCTAACAGAAAACACCCGTTGACGAAATCCTACTCGTATTAATTTTGTGTCAAATTGGCTATAGTACAGAATTAAGTGCCGTTCTCTGTACGAGAAACGATGCTACCAAAACATAATCATCTAATTGTTTATTCGGCGCTTCGAAGAAGCTTCGGCGTTTAGATCGCCCCTTATAATAAGAACGGGAAAAAGAGAACTAATATCAGAGTAGAAACAGCCAGGTTTCGGTACATCTGCAGTCAGGATATCTACCGTAATTATCGAATTAGAGCCCCAGGGTTACAAATATTTCAACCGCCTCACGGGGTGGGCTCCAATTACGGGCATGGGCTTGTATTCGGAGGGAGCTTCAATTTTTCAAACTACTTTTTTTGGCATTGGCTAATATAGGCTGTATAGCATTTAATTAAGCCCATGGGCTTATATTTCGGGGGGAGCTTATAACTTTCAAATGACTTTAAGGGTGGGCTCTAATTACGGGGGGAGCTTCTATTTCGGGGGGAGCTTATAATTCGATAATTACGGTATGCTCATGGGAGCTCGTCGAAATAATTAGCGGTCACGCGATGGTAAGCATAACACCTCGTATTTAACAGCATCAACACTTCGGATTAATTACGCTAGAATATGCAAACATCGCTCACCATGCTGTATCTTTCGGTAGCTAGAAATGCGCATATCTGCTGTCAAAAGTCAAATTTCAAAAAACATGTAGGTACAACGTTTACCAGGATAAAGCGCTCGCAAATAGCCTGGAATTCTTTGTGGATCACGTCCGGGTCGGCTTTGACTTTTTAAATAATGCCCAGTGCACTGTTGATGGCAATCATCTGCTTCAGTGTTTGACAAAAGGTTATGGCGGCGGCATTCTATCAGAAACCGGTGTACGTGAATATCCTGCTTTTACTGCAGCTCTGACTGTTCGTCAGGCAAAATAAAAGTTGTGGAATTTGGCGTAAAATGAATACCGGCCGATAAAAAACTAATTACACAATTTACGGCCGCACTCACCAAGACCACTTGGATCTCGAAGGACAGCTGGACAGCGACAGCTTTAACCCATTCAGCATATTTGCTGGCGAATTCATACACGAACTGCAGTGTGTGCTGTATAAGTAAGCCCTATTAAGATTGTTTGCGTGTTAAATAAGAATGCATGGGGGCTTTTAGACTGTATTCGTACATTTTATTATGCGTTTTCTGATTTTAAAATAAACTGTTAACATGATTCTGTGCTTTACCGTTAAGCGGCTCGTCATAGATGGCAAAAGATGTGGGATCAGGGAGCTCGAGCCACACAGCTCAACTAGACACTGACCGATAAACTCAGTTAGTGGCTGCCATTGCAGAGCAAGGTGGAATTTTTCCGGTTGCGAAATTGTGGGAATCTGTAAGCTACATTCCGCACAAAATAAAAATATCGCACAGGTTGCAGTTTGTTACGATCTGTCATCCGTTAGCATTATAATTACGTTCGGTTATGCCGGAGATAGAAATTTTCCAGAATTTCGGGTATAGCCAGTAGCATGCCGTTAGCAATGGAGTGACCTAACAGCTGAAAAAAACATCAATATTTCCCGGGCAAAACATTGCTTAAAATAAACGCTAATCTTTATGGTGTGACATCAAAATCTAGTAAGTAAAAACAACAGATTCGGTCACAACGCGAAAGACAAACGGGTCGCGATTGGTCAAACGAAATAATCACAAAAAATATTGCTTTGATTACCCGGTCGACTTTGTACGAGTTCCTATGGCTGAACTATTTAAGTCTCGCGTTGACTGCTGAAAACCCATGAATAATAAGTAACATGATTAATCGAGTCGTTTTTTACCCCGATGTGAACACGGAATTCGCGGAGAACGGCAAAAATGTTTTCTTCGTGTAGCCCACGGGGCAGTGAGCCGTAATTCCACAATAACGTAAACACGGTGTCCAATAAGTTTCCATGCTGCAGCTGTAGCGGAATGAGCCGGCGATCGCAGTGCGGGCGAAGCAGTTTTTTCAACTGCTGCAGCGCTAAGGCCCACCGCTTTTCCGGCTCCATGTTGCAGTACCGCTGCGGATGTTGCTGGGCGGAGAGCGCCACTGTCGCTGGAGGGGTTTCCCGCTTTCTGTTGGTTTTAATTACAGTTGGTACTTTGGTACACTATTGTAAAAATCGTAGTAGGTATTTATGGAATATAAATGAAATTGCCATAACTTGATTACAATCGGCCACTCGGCCAGTGTCTGGCTAACCTTGCTCGTTTCCGGCGAACAGCTGTTGGCTCGGGTGCCGGCTCGTCGGCGGAATCTTTTGGCAACATCCCACCAAATTTCCCATTAAGATTAACCGCCAATCCGGTATAATGGTAGACACACAAAATTATACTGATGGTATAGAAAATTCCGCGGCATCGTCGCTTTCCGGTGGGTATCGAATTTAAAGTTGAATAAGAGCCAGTCAACCTACCCAGAACGTAGGTATTATTTATAAATCGCTTATACAAAAACACATGAAACTATTCTTCATCTATTTAATTCGCTTGTACAATGTTACCGCTTTACCGTGTCTTGGTCGAAATGTCCTCCTAAAACGGCCGCTACACTTGTTATATCAGGCATTGTACCGCTGATCGGTGTGGCAGACATCGTGAGATGAAATTAATAGTTTACAATTTAAGTTTATTATGTTAACAGGTAAGTTGAAGATATTATTATATATATAGTTTTACTAATCTATTATTATTATTACATGAGATTTCGGACCAAGCGAGGTATTTCTGCATATGCAAGTGTAATGCAGCCGCTAATAATTCACATAAAAATCTACTAACTCAAAAACAAATTCTGCCTTCCAGGAAACAACTTCTGAAACGTGTAAGCATGTCAGAAAAGAGGAATACGTCGAAAGTAATGGAGTCGAAATCTGCATTCTTCCCTGATCCGGTATTGTGCCCAGCACGCACACAGCGTTTCTACTGTACATTTGGCTCGGGATGGAAATACTTTAGGAAAATTCTTTAGCGCGTGGCTATCCTGTGGCGCCAGCGATAAGACGATCAATTTTGTCGACCAGTTTCTTGGCACCGTCTCCCCAAGGTCCGTATAATTATTTCGAAGGCTGCGGGGATGAAATTGCACCTTGGCTGAAGCCAATGTATAACTGGAAGCCAAGTTAATTACATTAAGCGGGGCGGATCAACGTCTGCACAGGCAAGACACTAGTCGACCGAGCCGTCGCCGGCGGCTGAACGCCCTGGCACAGCAGGATGATGGCCTGATAGCATAATCTAGTCAGATCAACCATCTGGTGAACCCTCTCCAGTGACATCTCGAACTATCCTCCCGATTTAGTTTTTAAGGGGGTTTTGTCATTTGTTCCTCCATGGTTTCTGGCAAAAACTCGAATTTTTTAATGGGCAATACCCCCTCGTCGAAGTAGCTCGTGTCGCTACTGGCTACTTGCTGCTTGTGTTGGAATTTGTAATCAAGTTTTCCCTGGCGCTGCGTTGTTGTTTCCAACTTTTCACCTGACGGAACTGGCTCAACATCAGCGTAGATGCATGTTTCCAAATTTTTTCATGCGATAAGTTACTCGAATACTTAAAAGTACTTAGCTTGTAACAGTTGTAAGAAGTAACCTGCAGTATTTTCAATGCCGGCCAATGCCGTGTACTGGTGGAGGTCAATTACATTTGGGTAACTGTTGCGCGCCGGGTAATGGACAGACGCGTAAAAAATTAGCCATGACTCAGCAGAAAAACAATCGTCCAATCGTGAGTCGAGTACGCTTCCGTGCCAAGAAAGAAATTGAACACCGACGTGGAACTGAAAAACTCATTTTTAATGCTGTAATGTGGTAAATGTGGTATTACGTCAAAAACGTTAATTATGAGTTTTGGATTGTGACTCTGGGTCGTTGGATTTACTTTTGGTCCAAACATACACAAATTTTGTTGATCTGTGCAGGAGAGTTACGAGTTACTCGTGGTTTGGGTAATGGTTGCGCTTCGACGTCGAAGCGCAACGCTTACGCGGACAAGTAAGCTGAAAACCCATCCCAGATTTTGTGACGGCGAATCAGAATGTTTGCTTGGTTACGCGCTGTTACGTCACATTTTTTACGCGTTTTCCCGTTACCCGACGCGCAACGCTTACCCAAATGTAATTGACCTCCACCACTGTTTATGAGTTTGTCACAAGGCATAAACAAAAGCAACTGTGCAATATTTTTCGGATAATAAAGCCAGTGGCCATCAAGTTATGATATTCTGTATATACAACTAACTGCATCGACGAGCCAAAATTTCGTAATTATTAACAAGTCAAAACTCAAAAGAGGGCGTAACTAAAATTGTAAATATAATAAAAAATTAACCCTAAGAATAGTGCTTATCGCCAAACCACTTCGGTGGACGGTTGCATTACTTCCCGCAGACTGCAGTACTTCCGCTGTGCACTGATGCCTCGACGCTCGCGACAATCCTCATCACTTTAAATTTTCGCGTGTAATCGTGTCGCGTACAGACACTCGAACAGGTGTCTGCTCTTCACAGACTTGCGGTTTATTCTCCGCCACTGGGTATCACAATGGATTGCACCGTATCATCGATCCACTAATTAAGTTATTAAAAATTTAAAGTTATAGTAATCGATTGATGTACTGATAAGAAACGGCGTTCAGACCGTCCGTGTCACCCTGCGAGTATGGACCAGCAATCCTGGGAAAGTTAGTTCGCTGGTTTTGTTTACATGAGACTATCACGGCCGCCTGTAACATGTGCCCCTCATGTTCGGAGTCCCTTCGCTGTTTTTCAGGCGCCAGAATGCTCCCGGATGCTTTCTGCCATGAACACCCACCAGCGTTTGCCTGTGGAAATGTTGGTCTATTCGGTAAGCAACCCCGTTCTCTTGCTGCGCACAACATGAGCATTAAAACCCTGAACCCCGTAGTTCGTCATATGGACGGCAGGGAAAAATTGAAAAAATAATATCTTCTCCACGCTGTCCACGGTGGAGGCTCCATCTTATATATTTTATAAAAAATGCTTATATCTTTTCCATATCAGAAATCATTACAACTTATATGGATTTTGTGAACTTGTTTAGAAATGTTAATTATATGTCGGTTAGCACACCACACAGTTTTCCCTTTGAGACCTTCTCGGTATTTTCCAGTTCTGGCATAGCGAAATTTTAGCTTGTCTTTCCATGCGCATTGGCACGGCCGATACTCCCCACATTAAAATAATAAAACACCATATTTCTGTGTAAACTTTTGTACTTTTGTCACCGCTACGAAGATTTCGCTGTTGTGGGCAGTCGTACAAGTTTAGTAGTTTACGTAATACGTACTGTACGCTTTCAACCGATAAAGTAGCGTACCGACCTTTGCCGTCGCTATCCGTCATTTTCTTCTGCTGTTTTCCCAAGCGGTATCCACCAATCTGGAGCGCTGAATTTGTATTTTATGCTATGGTGATTATTTGCGACTATCGAATGTCGACGATTCGAGGGGTTATCCAGCAGTTTTGTCAGTCGACGCGTACCAAAGTCTCGGTCGAACGACCGGGGAGCTAGTCGAACCGCCGAGCAGGCTAAACACAGTGCTTAGCCGTATAAATTTCATCGCCCCTTCCAGTCAATGTTTTCAACGCAACCGCTATAGCGGCCGTGACACCGGTCAGCAAATCATTTTAACTTTTTCTGTCTATGACGATTTTTCAACTTTCGCCACGTGTCGATATTAACCAAGAACTCGAGAGTGCTCTGGCGGATTGTTTATGAATCGAAAATTTTGTGCTTGTTGGACAGAAGTGGATCCCAGTATGCACGCCCATACCATGGACTTTCACGATATGGAATATCTGGATCTGGACAGCGGCCACTGTATTCCGGGGACGGCGGCCGCTTACCGGCATGATGGTGGGCCACCGCTTTAATATTACGCGTTCTTTTTAATACAGCAACGGAATGGCTGCTTCCAGATTTTATTTTATATCTATTCGTTTATAGTGATCCACGATGAGGATCATCTTATTGTGCCCATGTGGCATGCCGATGTGGTGCCGGACAGCGATACGACGGCCGATAGTGGACTGGCACTAACGATCGCTCCCGTACCAGAAGGCGAGTACTAATTGCGCCATAATTTTAACTATACTTTATATTACCGTATATTAAATTTTATTTTTATGTGTTAATGTTACTGTTTACTCGTATTCTGTCTTTACTTGAACTTAAGAATATCCTGCACTGGTTTGCTGTTTGTCTACATGCAGTTCATTATAATTTGTGTTGATTTTACTCAAAATAATATTTTAATTTTCTCTTACTGACTTGACTTGAGTGTCCGGAGAGTTTTGTCTTCCCAGTGCATATTATAAACTAATCTCTTTATAATTTTAATTATTATATATGATATTATTCACGTACTTACTGTAAGTGTGCACTTGAATTTCAGTGGTGCCGGGCATGCAAATGAATTTACAACGAACATACGAATTATACGAACTTTTATCATACGAATTTTTATTCCACGATATATTTCGATTATTATTTGTGTTGTACGATGTTTTAAAGCTGGTGATTGCAGTGCATTGCTCAGGACAGTGCGTAACTGTATAACGCAACCTATACCATACAAAATATAAGTACAACAACACTAATCATAAAGTTTTCGGTAATAACCTTGTAGTATAAAACATTGCTGTAAATACTCGTACTAAAAAATATTATTACTGACGTATACAGTTATTTATGTATGCCGTATTATTGTACAGTATTCGAAAATCGAAACCAAGTTTTTTGAATGCCAAATTAAGTTGTTAAGGACGATAAACCTATTCCAGTTTTGTTTAAGACTTGTAGAGGACTTGCAGCTTAAATACGAACGATAAATATCAGTGACATCACAGCTGTTGTAAACTGTTTTGTATTAATGCATTTTTCCGCATTTGTTATAGGACAAACAGCCACGTCCTCGTCACAGGGTTTTGTGGAGGATTTTCTCGAGCCATGTAAGTCGTTACTGCAATTTTCTGGAGCAGTGCAAGCAAGCCATGATTGCGGTTTTGTTTACAAGTTTTGATTGTGAGTGATTCTCTTATTACTCGTACGACCCGACAACGCTTCTTACCACTGCATCATATACAATACATAGTAAGCTACTAAACCACCAAACATAAAGTGGCAAATGATATTGGTAAATAAAATAGGGTGTTACTTTAGCCACCCTTGTTAACCTCCTTCTTTTTATGGGCACCTCTTGTCCGTCCCCCCATAAGTATGGGCACCCTTTTTTGGTTAAGTGATATTTTTAAACACCTGGATTTTTTATATGCAGCTTTTTCGAAACTACTTATCGGCCCAACATATTATGTTTCGGACTGTTCTGCGCAAGCGATTAGGGTCGTACGGTTACAAAGCGCGCAACTAAATCATAATAATATTGTCCAAAGCGTAAACAAACCCTGTAGATATAAACACGCTGTGTGCAGTATTGACCTTTTACTGCTGCAGAAACGATGTTTACTTTTCCATTTACTTTTTCATTCGTTGGTGAGTGAAGCCTGATTTGCATAAGAAATGATCTGAGAAGGAATGGCTTGTCAATAAGTATCGCAGCTGAAGTATAAATCGTCATTACACGCAGAAAATGATTTTGTATCGCTCGGAAAATGCTTTAAAATTGTGTAGATATGATCGGCAAACACAAAGTGCAAAATAAAATGGGTGTTATGGGTGTAAAACTCAGGATCAGAGTGTCCCAAACTCAATTATATTGTTAGAAACAAGGGTGCCTATGAAAAACAGGGTGTCCGCAAACAGGGGCGAAAAAGAGCGGTTATACTGGTTTTAGAAAACGCAGGAATTTTGCATAATTCCTCTAAGAGGATATTAGAAAATGCACTTCTTAATTAACAGCACTAGTAGCTACTAGCAGATAATATATAGTGGCCGATAATTACTTACTAGTGAGCAACTGAGCATATTTCGAATATGAGAGCAGTTTTGTTTCAAGCTTCAACGTTGTACTCGTAACCTGAAATTATGCATTCTTTAAGGTTTTCTTAGGTTTCTTAGGTTTTCTTAGGTTTCTTAGGTTTCTTAGGTTTCTTAGGTTTCTTAGGTTTCTTAGGTTTCTTAGGTTTCTTAGGTTTGTAAAATAAACATATTAAAAAGGTTTTTTTAAAATAAACATTAAAAAGAATGCAGAGGTTGTAGTTGTTTAGGATGTAACGAATATGTACCGCAGAAAATTACTTAATACGGGTTAGTCACTGCTGTCAACAAACGGGAGAGTTGACACTGTACAGTACTACGATAGCGATATAAACGTAGATTAAAAAACGCTGCACAGTGTTGATTAGTATCTCCCTTTTGAGTACGTACGTATGTGGGCTGCGGCATTACTGAGTGCCGAGTGGTACAAGCACTTACTGTACTTCTGCAAAATTAACAATGATTATTTGAATTTCCCATAATTACAGTAACTGTATAGATGTTTATTTAAAATTAGTATTCAATACACCCTGGTTTTTGTAGCTCATGAGGAGGCGAACGATGCCACACGGTAGGATATCCAGTTTTGAAAAAATTAAAATATTTACTTCGAGCCCGAAACTTTTATTTTTTCAAACATTGATATTTTCTTCAGAGCTTCTCAGGAAAGTGGCGGATCCGGTGCGGATGGAAAGACCCGTGATCCTTTGGATGGTTTGGTTAGTTTTATTAAAATTACCAAATAAAACGAAATGTTCATGTTATATGCAATTCTATGTCGTATGTTGACAATATCCTTAAATGCATAGACTGAAAATACATACACTGTAGGTCCTTAAAATTTCCTTATCTTATTTAACCTTATTATGTTAATAAATATGTCTAGGACGATTTTCGTGCCCTTTTGGAGGCCGCCGAGAACGACGAGATACTCAAGGGCGGGAAGAAACGCAGCAAATCCCGCAAGCGCCCGACGGCGGCTGCAACAGCAGCGGCCGGTTCACCGAAGCGGCGTAAATCCAAGGCCAAGAACAAATCACTGACTACCCTGGTCAGTGAATGTCTGCCACAGCTGCAGCAAGCGGATGCCGCCGGCACCGGCATCGTCCCTAAATATCGTGCGAAGAACCGGCTGCGCTCCATTATTAAACGCAAACCCGGCACCCAGGACACGGATCTAATGAGTAACAACGTGGAGATTCTCGGCGGGCGAGTGGACAAACAAACCGTAGGTGTAGCAAATGACCAGCAGTTATGGGCTGATAGTACTTACATTTTTCAGTACGTACAGAATATGCGCCGACTTTGTTAGTTTTACAATGCATTTTCCTAACAAAATCTCCGTTTATTTCCTTTCTTTATTGAATCGTTAAGCGTTTATTTTACGCACATCGACGAAAGTCGTTTACATACTGAGAAAATTATTCCGAACGTATACATATACTTAGACAAAACCGTTAGTGTATTACTTTTAGTGATAAAATTATTCAGTTTCGTGTATGACAACGTAGAACAGTGTCTGAGATTAAAGTTGGGAAACTGTAGAGAAATTAATCCCGTCTTCCGTTAAATATCTATTGACTGCATATTATGCGTCTCAGTAATATCGTTTTTTCCCGTATAAAAAATCGAATCAGACCAATGTTATGGATTTTTTGTACCGTGAAATTATAAACGCCATTTGAAGTTGTGAACCCATGAAACGCATACAGTACAACATGATGTCAACATCTGTTTTAAAAATAAGATGCATGGCCAAATCTTTTAGGTGGTCGAAGATATCGTAGGACGGTCGACATGCTCGACCGAATCATCGAAAAACTAATACATACAGTAACTGCGGATTTGAAAAAAGAACCTTTTCATTGCTTTTTGTTGTCTTTTCTCGTCTGGCATACCGAACTGGAATCACTACATATTACGATTTTTATTATTATTTGAGAAAAATGAAATTGTCACTAATGAAGCACATAATGTACGTACACTGAAATACAACTGTACGCTGCTTAATAAATGTACAACGTGGATTTAATAAAATCGTCCATCTGTTGTAGTTGGCCTGGCTGCGGCAGAATTTCGAAGAACAGACGGGGCAGATTATGCGGCGGGAATTCCTGTATGAGCGCTATCTGGAATTCTGCCAAGCCACCGGACGCGAACCGATGAATGCCGCCTGTGTGGGCAAGGTGGTGCGCACCGTCTTTCAGGGATTGTCCACGCGACGGCTGGGTCGACGGTACATCCTCTCTTTTAATATCCAATCATTCGTTAAATTTTTATCCTTATTTTACTTCGATTTTTGTCATTATTTTTTCATCATTATTAAATGATTTTACTACGTTAACCTGCGTTGTTGTGACTATGAGGGATAATTTCGCTGTTTCAGTGGCGGATCCAAGTATCATTATGTGAATCTACAAGTGGCAGCTAACAGTCCCTTCGCCGGTATGAAACAGTCTCTGGGCAGTGCACAGAAAACCGGTCGGAAAACCAAGAAGACACCGAAAGGCAACCTGTATGTGTATAAGACGGCTTGCGGTGAAATTTGCTATATAATCGTGCAGCCTAACAGAACAACCGGCAACATCGTTTCCGCTCGAAAAAAACTATATATTTCAAAACATATTAAATTAGACGTTGCAGCAAGCGTTAATAATTTAGTGTTATTTAATAACTGAAGGTTATCAGCTAAATCTAAATGTCAAATTAAGTACTATTTGATGTTAAGTTAAATTTCTTACTGCGTGATTTTGTATATTACCAATGTCCAGTTAATGTCACAGTGTTGTTAAATCGGCTAATATTTTTTTAAAGAATGCAGAATAAACCAGATACAAAATTCCAACATGCATTTTGCTGCATCAGGGGAAATATCTGGAATGACGCGCCGAAAATCCTGGATGAGCCGGTCGCCGTGGACGACGGCGCTTCCACCAGCGGTCCGGCGCGTGTGTGGACGAAGAACCAGAAGAAGCTGGAAGCGGTGGAGCTGGATTTCGTCACATCCGGACTGTCGGATGAGGAGCGCTCCCGGCGCAACATCCAGCAACTGGCCACCAACTGTCTTTCCGCGGCACAGCACCGCGCCGACGATGTACTGTTCATACCGACGCCGTTGGCGTTGGACAGCAACTGGAATGTGGAGTATCTGCGGGATAACTCGCCCACCGTCACCTGTGATGAGATTCGGATCTTTCTCCGCTGTTTTCGCTTACATATTGGTGTGAGTCGGTCTTATTTACCGATTTTTGTTGTACAATTTTCATACTTTTGGATGTATCAAAATAATGTAAGTTATTTTTCTTATATAAAGATATATTTAATACTAGATACTAGATAATATATATTATGAATTTATTTTTTTTATTTGTTGTGTTTATTTGTATATGTAATTTTGTATATATGCATGTATTTATTTGGTGTTTATTTGTTTACATAAGAGTGTAATGATTGCGTATCTCATCAGTATATATAATTATTTGCGTATATAGTATACGTACATTTATCTGTGTATTTATATTGTGTTTCGCTACATATTTTTCGGAATTTGCAGATGCTGGGTGGTTTGATAATCCGGCTGCACTTTCACTGTATTCCTAATATTATCCATAATTTTTGGCAGTTTCGCGAGAAAAGGTTAGCATGATTGCTCCTTCTCATGCATTCGTCAATTACTAATTTGCTAACGTTGTGTCGTATTGAATGGCAGTTTGCAAGTGGATGATACGCTGGATGCGGAGACTTTTCGGAGCATTATACAACTGGAACCGGTGATGCTGTTTATCCGAACGTTTTATCTGCATTTATTTGAGAAAATTGTCACGTTCTTCTTTCCGTCCAAATATGAACCCGTTCCCGGTAAGGGTTTCGAAAAGCTTTTAATTCTTAATTTGAAGACGATTAAGAAGCCTCGAATGTTATTACGAAATTATATTCGAGACCTGCTTTTTTATCCAAGCCGATGGCGTGTGCATAGACGCTGGACATTAATTCTACTACCAGAATAAATCTGAGTTCAGTTTTGATTTGCGTTGTTATCGTAGTGTATGGGATGTGCAGCCGAACCTCAATCGCGTTCATAAAACATATTGCTTATGGCTTTCTGACAATAGTACTGTTAGAAAACTTAGAATACGAACGTGTTTTTGCATCCTGAATTTTTTTTAAATGTACGAGTATAATGTTTGCATTACTCTTTATTTCTCAATATGTGCAAAGCGAGCTTCGCTCAACAATTATAATCAAATGAAGAATGTTTGCATTAAAACGTATATGTATATGTTTATGCATAAATGTTTACACAAATTAAAACTTACACAAATTACACAAATTAAATGTTTAAACAATGCTTCGTATATGTTTTTGCATAATTGTATGAACAAACTAAAATGTTTCTGTATATGACAAAGTAATGATAGACCTAGTGTTGTTAACTATCACAAGTTAATAATTTAATTAAAATAACTCTGCCTATACATATGTTGTTGTTGGTGATGAAAATTAAGGGCGAAGTTTTTATATATACATTAACAATTTGTTTGCAGATCATTTACGGGCGGTATTCCGTGATGTGACCGCGAAATTCGACAAATGGATGGCCATGGCGACACAGAGTCTTCCCGAGCGCCTACGAGATTTTCTGGTAATCACGTGGATGCAGATTATCAAAACGATAATCTTCGTGTACATACTGTATCATGCATTATATGTGTTAATTCGTTTCAGTAACTGTCTAATGCGATCACATGTTGAATTTCTCCTAAACGGGAATAATTCTTTGTCGGTACAGGTATCGTGTGCTTTCGGATTTGGTCGGGTGTGTGAAACGTTCCTGGATTTATCCTGCCATGCTGAGCATTTATCCATGATTGACAAACATAAAACCACACGACAACCCTTCCTTAACGCCATCGACGTGGTCACGAGCAACGGCTGCGTACGTGAATTTTCGTACCGTTTTTTTCCCAAAATAATTTCATTATGAGCAAATTTACGTTTTTGCTGTATTTGCGTCAGTTTTAACTTTCATTGATATGATCAAAATCAAGGATAGAAAGTGAATAATAATTATATAAGAGATGGTGATATGGCGATTGGCCAGTCGATATTAATAATCATTATAAAATATACGTTAAGAATAAGAAATGAGTAATAATTATTAAAGCATTGATAACCAGTGCCAGTTAATATTAATTATTATTATTATTATTTTAATAAAAATACTGGTAATAATAATGTTCGCCAGTTGATTGGTTAGTGTGGTGCTTGTAATAGTTGATGCCGGCGTCCACCTGCCAAGACGACCGGATGAGTGTCGCGATTTTACTGGGGAAACTGCGTGACCTTTCGGACAGTCGCACGATGGCCGATGCGTGGGAACAGTGTGTGCACGATCATCTGCAGCAGCGCTTGGCGGCCGTGATGCTGTCGCTCAATCCCGAATGTATGCCGCAGAATCAGATTATCCGCCAGAAAGTGCTGGATAATTTCGGCGCCGGCTGGATGCGGGCAGTGTAAGTGCAACCATCGTGTTGGTACTTCAGTTCTTGTACGCGGTGCTATCGTAGTGTACGGGACGCTGATTAGGAATAAATATAATAACTGTTGCCATATTCATGTGTTATGTAATCAGGGACATTTTGTTGCAAGCGATACGGACAACATTTCAGTATCTTGAATCAGTTTATGTCCTGTATTTTTTGCATATATTCGCTTAATTAGAGACTGGTCGACACTCCCAAAGGCGGTCGTTTTTGGTGCTGTAGTTCGAGTACGGCGTGATGTTCTGTTGTTAAATTGGGTTTACCGTGTCTTTAAATTGCGCTGTATTTATTTATTATTATGTACTTATTTATATAGTATTTATATGGTTTATGTATCCTCTGCTATTGCAGCCTAGAATTCGAAGGCGCCTCCAAATTCCCGGTAGGCGGTGGCTGTACGTCGTATCAGGGCGTCGGACGATTTCTGCGTGATTCGGTGGCCTATGTGATCGAATGCGAGAAAGCGGCCATCTGGGACAAGAGCCTCCTGGCACTGAACGCCGAAGTAAGTAAAACATTGCTTGAAAAATCAAAGTAAAACCTGGAACATGCAAAACACTTGACAGAAAGCTGTTTAATTGTCCGTGATATCGATTCTTAAAAGCGTGTTTTTTCAGTTTGTCGAAATTCGCCATGCGGTGTCCTTGAGTACTATCTATAGCTAATTATTTAAAATTAATCTGGGTATTCGAGAGATGTGTGCCGGTACATGATACCGAATTCGTGAACTTTTACCTGTTGCGAAAATTTTCGATTTTAAACACGTTTTTCTTATTATTTTATGACCCCGAAATAATAAAAGTTTTCCAAAATAATAATAAAATTTTAGAATATTTGAAATCCAAAATTTAAATTAGAAATGGGAAAAACACAACAGCTAAAGCAACATCGCGTGTAATCTTAGTGTTAACAAATGCATGGTGAAATGACGTTAATATCGTAGAAAAGGGGATGTGTTGATTGTGTGACGTCGCGCATAATCAGCCGAACATTGTTAAAATAGATAAACCTGATGCCTATTAACATTGTGTTGAAGAGCAAATTTTTTATACGTGAAAATTCAGAAAAACATCACGATTTTTTTAGAACTACCGTAAAAATTAAAAACTTGCACAAATATTATCAATTACTGGTTCGCCGGATTGAGTGGCCCCTCTGTAAAAAGGGAATTCACTGATTTTTTTATTGCCTCCAACAGGCCATTGAGCACAGCGTGGGCATTTTGTGCAGTCACAGTGCACCGTGCGACACCAGTCTGGAGCATTACATCCAGTGCGGCATCCCCATTCCCCTCGTGGACAGTCACAGTCTGCACTTTTTCCACTCCATTCCGGAGCTGCGGCCGTGGTTGCCGGTGGCTGCCGACAGTCGTCCGGTTAGCAGCGAAGGAGAGCTCCACGTGTCCCTGCCCGGCTCACCGGAAGTCCCTTTTCCCGAGTCCATCCCGCAGCCGGGATCAGCGCGCACCAGCTAGCCGACGCGCTGGTGGAAATGTTTGTTTTTTGATTTTGCTTTTTTTAATAAATGATTTTTGCTGTTACCAAATAATATAGGGACGTGATAATGATTGTGAGAATTCAACTGCCTTTCGTGATGCTTATTTTTGCTGCGGAGATGAAATAAAACATTTATCAGTGATTTAATTCTAATTCTTGCATCACTGACCGGAAAGCTTCTGAAAAAATATCGCTATGCTTCGATAGGCAAAATATACTATAAAAATTTTAACAAAAGCAGACAAAATTTAAAAAAAGCACAAATGTGAGAAGTGATGCTTTTTTTGCCACGGAAATTAATTAAACATATTTTAGCGATTTTAATTCTATCTCTTTTTTTAAATTAACCGGACATTTTTTGGAAAATCATATCGCAATGCTTCGTAAAGCTTTAACAGATAAAACAGTGCAAAAATTCTCAAGCAAGCAGACAAACATTGGTAACTGCTTTTTTCCAAACAAGAAATCATTCCTCAGAAAATATATTATGTAGCGAACGAAGCGACAAATTCTATAGGAAACATTAAGCAACAATAAAAACAAAATAGATGAAAGCCATATCAACCGGTTTTGTTGAGGGATTCCAGGAAGCGATTGACATCGTACTCGGTGTCGTACTGGGCGGAATCCCAGAGATCCTCCAGATTATCCAGGGCGGCCTTGAGGCCTTTGACAGGAACTTTTGAGGAAGGATGCTTAGAGCGCCAATCATTGGCCACGGCGTCCACCGAGAACAGATCGACAATCTGCTCGGTGCCCATCGTCTGCAGGGCGCTGTTCTCCTGGGTGATGATCGAGTTGGCCACGTGCAGCTTGAATTTCTGCAGGCTGTATAATCAATGAGAAAAAAACTCAACTGTAACTGCAATCGATGGTTTTTAATTTTTAGAAAATTATACACCGTAAAGCCCGTAATCATTAATTTTCACAAACCATTTCACGTATATACGACATTCATAATATTCAAACAGAAGTACGGCAAACGCGCCGCGATTGCATAGAAAAATCTCAGTGAATTCCAGCCGATACTTTCTTACTTTTTATACAATTATACACCGTGATGAATAAACATGATGCGACTTTTTGACGTGTATACCACTGTATATTGCCAAGTTGCAACTTGCCAACACAAAAATATTATTCAAAAGTTCAAAACAATAATACAGCAAAAACACTTCGATTCACTACGCTAGTAGGGTAATAAGGCATAAATCGTAAGCAACTATGTAGATTGAATACGCTAACTTTCATTTGTGGATTTTTTCAGCGGTTTCTTCACCGCCTCTGAGTGCTACGTACCCCATAATTTTTTCTTCCAGTGTGCCGCGCGTAATCAACCGGTAGACATTCACCACGCGTTTCTGGCCAATGCGATGCGCGCGATCCATGGCCTGAATGTCTTTGGACGGATTCCAGTCGTGTTCCACAAAAATCACAGTATCAGCACCGGTTAAATTCAATCCCAGCCCACCGATGGCCGTTGTCAACAGCAGCACATCGATCGACGGATCGGTATTAAATCTAACGAAAAACAACTTACATTCAAAATTTTCTAGATTTTTAACGCTTTTTAACGCAGTATCAAATGATACTAGTACAGTACTACTGTACTATTAAGGTGATTACACATAAAGATAAATTATCTGCACAACCCTGAGAGAACTGTGACCCATTGCACTACACTTTCATCCCACTAAGCTACCACAAAGACACAGCGAGAGTGCCTTCCTTTAAGCCATTACCGTTACGGCAAAGTTTTAAAAATTATTTTATTATCTTTCTCCTCATCAACTGCATGAAGTATGAATCAGTAAAGCAATACCTTTCCACGATATCCTGCCGGTCGCGAGCGGGGATGCTTCCGTCCAGCTTTAAATACGTCACTCCCGGCATATGCGTCCTGTCACATTCAAAACAATTCGAAACGCATATTTTAATCACAACTGTAACGCTTAAGGGAGAAACATGAAATTTCCTGTTGCATTTACCGGAATAAATGCTGCTCCAGCATCTCCAGAACGGCTGTCAGCTGGCAGAAAATGAGTGCGCGATGTGTATTGACCACACTCAACTCAGCATCCTCCGTGCCAATCCCGCATTCCAGCAGTAACTGCTGCAGTGCCACGAATTTCGCCGCATGCTGGATATCGAATAAAGAAGAATTGTCGCGCTGCAGATCCTTGACGATGTGTTTGTACTGCGGATGCTTGTCGTTCAGCACCAGCGCCGGATGATTGCATACTTTGCGCAGATACTGGAAGGCCTGGAAGACGTGGTTGGTGGAGGCGGATTTGGCGCTGCTGCTCTCCTCGTTCAGCAGGCTGTGGATGACCTCCTTCTGCGCTTTGGATTTGGCGAAATCCTCGTATAAACGCTGTTGTAACGGACTGAGATCGCAGTAGTAGTCTGCAATAAATATTGTGTACAAATGCAGTTCATACTTACCAAAAAATCAACCCACACGTATAATTATAAAAAAACAAAATGCAAATTAAAATATAAATAAAATAAGAATAAATTTAAAAAAAAAACATTGTTTAAATATTTGACTTATGGTAATGTCACCAGTTCCACAGCCTTTGTGGGCCATTACGACGGCAACATTTCAAAACAGCTTGACAAAAGTGTGCAACACCAATACACTACGATCACCCTGCAGTGATTTATCCAGAAGACACGGACGGCAAGGATCAGCGCAGTTTATCTGTACTCAGAAACTAACACGGAAAATAAATTTAAAATTAAATAAATACAACCCCAACGTGCAGTCACATAAATGCAGATAATATTAGCATCATAAATGTTAAAATTACCTTGAATAATTTTAGGTGGAAGGTCTTTGAGTACGTCGGATTTCAAACGGCGCAGAATAAACGGCAGCACCTGCTTGTGCAGGGTTTCCATGGCCAGCGCGCCCTCTTCAATGTCCTTAGAGGACGCCTTGGGATCTTTACTGGAGTCGATGGGTTTGGCAAAACGCGCATTGAACCGTTTCTCCGTTCCCAACAGTCCCGGCATCAAAAAGTCAAACAACGCCCACAACTACAAATCACACAAAAATGTCTAAAATGTAGAAACTTCGATAAAACTAGAACAATACATCCGCACATCCTTAAAACAACAAACAGGAAAAACTGTAATCCAGACTCAAATTCCTCATTTAGTATTACTTATAGAAGTATTCAAGGCGTATAGGAAATTACGTAGACAACTAAAACCATAGTACTACGATCATACGTACATCCTGGACATTGTTCTGCACCGGTGTACCGGACAGAATCAACCGATGATTGCACACCAATTGTTTAATAGCCTTAAAAACCCGCGTGCGAATGTTGCGAATGATATGCCCTTCATCCAGCACACAATAGTTCCATTTAATATCCCGAAAAAACTCCACATCGTTCTTGACAATCTCGTAGCTGGAAATAATCAGCGAATGGTTCTTTACCGCCTTCCGTAATCTGCAATATCAAATGGTTCACTCACGCTCCGTTTTCGTAAAAAAACGGCTATTTTTGTAAAGATAATTTTTACTTATTCCGCTCGGCTGGCGACCCTTCGTATTGTAATGGATTCAGATGTTCTTTGCCGACAAATCGTCGTACTTCGCGTGCCCAGTGTCCAATCAGAGTGGCTGGGCAGATGACCAATGAGGGGATCGGATTGCAGGTGGCGGATTTAGTTTCCTGCAAATGCGATTTTGCTAAAATATCTTGGTTACAAAATTCAGAATCGCGCAATTTATATTACCAATTATTTTGATTTTATACATTTTTTTAATGCAGATAATCAACTACATATTTTAATCCCCAATGATTTATTGACGACTTATGCATAACAACTTTGTAAAGCGGAACAACACAACAAGAAAATCCATTTCTTCATAAAATTCACTTACCTGAAATTTACTAGCTCGTAAATAATGATCGGCAGCCACAATGCAGATGGTCTGTAGTGTTTTCCCCAATCCCATATCATCGCACAAGATCCCGTGCAGATTGTACCGATTCAGGAAGTTCAGCCAGTTCAGCCCTTCCTAAAAATTAACACCCAACATTTTCCCCATGAAACAGCAATCGAAAACCGCGCGTTTTAATCAGCCAAAATACATTAAAAGACGCACTTGTTGGTACGGCCGCAGCTGTGCATCCACCGGCATCGGCACCACAAACTCCTCCATCTTCCGGCTATCCAACAGCTGTTCCAGGAAACTGATTTCCTCCGGACGCTGGCTGTACCAGGCGTTGGTGGACTGGCGCGCAGCGGCCATCCCCAACGGCATCAAGCGCACCATCGAGCCAAAACACTGGCTAGCCATCAAGCGGACCGCCTGGTCTTGGTCGGTCATACGCCGCATCACCGGCACCGTCAACAGGACAATGTACGGGACAATACCCATTCCCAGCCGATCCAAGACGCAACTGTTCAAAAGAATTGCAACATTTGCATTAAAATCAGAGGTGCAGACCCGTCTCAATCAGTACCGCTAAATTTTGAAAACGTTATTATCGAAACAAAACGGGGAGAAAACCATTTCGCTAAATGCTGCAAGTAAATATATGGCCAGAACGGCGCAATAAATAATCCTACAATTCTTAATAATAAGTCCTATGCTTGTTCAGGTTTATTTCTTTCCTAAATACCGTAAAAGATAAAAAAGACAATCACCAAATTCATTCACCAATTTTCTTGAACAGTTAGCAAAAACTTCAAAATAAACGACATACGCCGTACGCGAATTATTTAATGGCCACAAGCAATTATCGATGCACTAAATAAAAAAACATTCGAAAAGATAAACACTAAAAACTATACTTGACTTGTAAGCAAAAATTATCTTATCGGAAGAACAATTATGTAATATTTATCGATGCCAACAAGCGTGAAGGAACACGGTGCTACTATTCTTCCGTAGCCTTCAAAAGAATTATAACCGTTACACTACAAAATCAACTACAGGATGCAGCAAACATGACCACAAAATGCGATAATTGTATCGCCAGCCAAAGTTCCCGATCGAAGTAACAAAAACAATACAAACTAGTAATTTTACACCACAAACCCGAGCACAATACAGCACAACTAACCCACCGAAAACCATAAAAATGGAAAATATTCAAAGGAAACATGGAAGAGAACAAATTAATGACAACAAGAAACTACACATTTTCTCGCACCCGAATATTTCTATTTGGCCGACAGTACGTGTGTAAGGCTTTCACCGACAGCACACCAATACAGCAGGATATTTTCGTATCAACATACCCGAAACCGAAAACGTACCGAAACATTAACATCCTAAACTCACCCAATAACTTCGATGGCGCCTTGGCGCGCCACATGGTTATCCAGCACGCCCAGCACCTCCACCACCTTCTCCACGACAAACCGCATCACCACCTCCTCACACACCACCGCCATGCCGGCCACCACCCGCGCCGTCATATGCCGTACCGCCGTCAACGTATGCGCCACACCCTGCGCGATATGCGGCAGCACCGCCACCAGCGCTATCCGCACCGTCTCGTGCAGCGGCTCCACCAACTTCTCCAGAATCTGCAGCGTGTTAATCAACTCCTGGACAGCATCAGCGGAGGCCGGCGCACTGTCCGCCAGCGGTAATAACGTCTGGATCGGCTGCAGGATGCGTGTGTGGATCAACTGCGGGAGATTCTCCGCAATGTTCAACCCGAACGTCCGGCAGATGGCGCTCAGTCCGTACTCTCCGCCGAGTCGCTGCGTCTCCAGGGAGGACATCTCTTCCGGAGGGATAAACGTCCCGGGCGATGGGGCGCCAGCGGAAGGGGCGGTTTTGCGGGCAGCGGCTGGTGTTCGTGCGCCGCGATCTTTTTCCTACATAAAACATAACAAAACGATGTACAATTACATAGGTACGGTGAAATGCAAACAGTATTATCGTTATTTCCACTGCCTGAAAGGAAAGATTTCCTTTAGGCTGCCCTGTGATTCTGCGAAAATCCTTTTTCTATCCGCTTACATTAAAATTTATTCCAACATAACATGAAAGTTAAAGGAAAAAAAAATCATTAAACCAAAATTAATGTTGCAATATTTTTCCGCACCAGAACATATTTTCTTGTGATCATCGATACAACACGTATCAAAAGCAGGCAAAACAACCAAGGCTGCATACCGTTACACTACATTTTTCTTTCATCGCTGGCTACGAATGATCGTGCAGCGTAAATTCGTACACAAAACTGACCACGATATCGAAAAATCATAAATTTTACGAGGATCTCAGAGCTAAACAATTTGAGCAAATTAATTTTAGGGACAGCTCATGCGGATTGGTCAGATTTATGCAGTACCAACCGTCTCTGCCTGCGCGACGAACAGGGAAATGCAGCGCAAATCGTACTACACTAGTAATTGTGCGAGTGTAAAAAGATTCAGCGGCGTTTCCCATACCTTTGTCAATACACATAGCGACAAAATTCCATTAGTCGGAGTCACATCGTACTCCTCATCACCGGACGACGGCCCGCCGTTGTTATTCCGCCATCCCGCCAGCGGATCCTCGGGACTGGGCGTCTGCGCCGGATCACAGCAGAGATAGGTACAGAGATTCTTGATAATCTTATCACATGTCGGCTGCGACGTATCACATATCCGTATCATCAGATGCGCCAGGGAATGCGCGGCTAATTCCTGCTCAAACGCATAACATCATTCGAAAAACCGTCCCACAATTTTCTTTTTAAAAAATCTGTCGCTAACCTGCAAAACTTTATTGTCATCCCGTTTCAGAATGTCCATCAGCGGTTTGACCAAAGGAGCTAATTTCTCTGGAGTGTATCCCAATGCGATTAACGCCGTCGCCGCTGTTAATCGCACCCTGAAAATCATTAAATTTCGACTACAGAAATATACAGCATAAAGTTGAACTGAAAGCTACCGAGTGGAGAGTTTGAGATATTCGGATGCTGCTTGCATGGTGGCAGCAATGGCTTCGTTGCGCTTCTGGATGATCGGCACTTTATTCACCTTCCGACCCAATCCCGCCAGGGCTTTCTCCGACACGGTTGATACTAAATTCTGGCACTGCTCCATCGTTAGCACGGGTCTGTCAAAATACCACATATGCACATAAAACTGAAACAATATTCCAGAATACAGGCACGTAAAAGTGAAACAGAACTTTAATGTGCTGTAATTAATTCAATCCTACTTAAATTATTTGCTGCACATCAATTCTGAAGCTGCAAATACAACGCTAACAATGCAAATGAGATGGACGACTAAATCCACGTGAAATCCACTAAACGACTTTACTAATAATAAAAAAGTTCGAAAATAAAATTAACGTCAAAAACATCATGACGAAATAAGTAATAAATAGGCAGTGCAAATACGCATTTAACAACCACGACTTTATCAACACCTGGAAAAGTTTGAAATAATAAACAATAACAACCATACCAGACAGAGCAAAAACTACAAGCAATGTACAGTCTGTATTGTAGAAGCACTGTACAGTCTGTATATTTACAAATATATTGCATAATTATTAGTTAACAACGGTCATCTTGATTACGCACAAGCCAAACTCAGCCGTCACACTACGAAGTTAACCACAATCACAATCCACCTTGACCGCGATGACAAATATCTTCGTCGGTGTTAATCTATGCCTGACCAGAAATAAGATTTCAAAAATGAGTAAAAGCTAAAACACAATTCCACTACATAAGCACATGCACCTCGAACATCAAAAGACGTTAAACATGCCTTATTTAGCCGAAAACAGCCATTTAAACGCACGCTATTTTTTTTAGTGTGACGGCTGAGTTTGCCTTGTGCGTAATCACGTAAGGAAGATGACCGTTGTTAACTAAGAATTATGCTGTATATTTGTGAATTTAACGCCATTGCCTATTACAATTAGGTACAGACTGTACAGCGCTCTAGAAATTAATTTGTGGATATTCCAGTACAATGTTTGCAAATGCTGCAATATATTCCATTCATTTCAACCCATTCGAAGAAATTCTTACCGGCAATAGACAGCATCCACAGCCGCATTGCCCGTACGAAGATCTTGCACCAGCGCAGCGCAGCTACTCTGCATGGAGGTCACCGTCAGGGCTAATTCATCATACGGCATGGTCTCCTCCAGACATCCCGTTAGGAACTTCATCGCGGCATCATCAAAAAGCCGTTGCTACGAAGAAAAACTCAAACCAGTGGTACCTACTCTGTATTTTCTTTATAAATAAACCCAACAAAGGTTGAAAAGATTTTCAAGCGAATTTATTTTCCGTTTTCCAGTGATTCGATATCTTTTTACAGTAAATTATTTTGCCAAAAACTTCAATGAAAATAAAAACGTTTGATTCAAGTGAATTTACCAACGCAGGATGCCGCGGCATCTCCACCGCCAAATGATACATAACCAGCCCGACGGTGGCCTTCTGCACAGCGGATTTCGACCGGAAATGATACTGCATCACCGACATGAAGAGATTTCCGGCGGCCAATGTGGTATCCAGTTGAATAACCCGTGCCGCCATCTCGCTGATCATCTTGCTGGTCAAGATGCGCGTTCGGATGACGGCCAGATCCCGATGCAAAGGGATATCGTTGAAGGATTCGTTGCCGGCAAAGTATATCACTTTATCACTGGGACCGACGCGTACCGCTCCGGGATGGGTACCCACGCCGAAGAGGGTGGGATCCAAGGGATAGGCCGGCGGATGCATGGCTAAGGACAGCCAACTGGCGACGCACTGCTGGAAGATGTCTAGGAGGTGGGCAGGAGCAGCGCGCTGTAAGCAGCTCAACCACAACTGCAAGAATATCAAACGGAAAACTGGCAGATAGTTACAATAAAAAATGTCCATTGTTTTCATGAAATTCAAATACCTAATTTAAAGTTAATGAATAATAAAGTCAACAAGCACTGGGATGGATGCGTAAGTAATCAACGTAATCGTTATCAACAAAACTAATGTGTTGCCTGTACGTTTTCATGAATCCATATGACGTCGTAAACCAACGACAACGATATAAAATCGGTCAGAAAAAATAACATATAAAATTAAGAAAGATTCGTGCTAATCAATGCCCAATTATGCACTTGCAACACAATGAGGATAAGGAAAAGACCCAAAAGCAGTGCAGCGAAAAAGACCCAAATATCGGTTAAAGTAATCTTAAAATAAAACCTTTAAGAAAAAAACTGAATTCTCTGCAAATTTCAGGAACTGCATCGTATTTACACCGTGTCAATTTATTTTGCGCTGCACGTTGTACTTTTCAACTGGGTCGAATTGATACACCGTACTACGAAACCCACTGGCTTGCGAACACCCACCTCATTAACCGTTGCCTGCACCGCCGGACGTTCTTCCAGTACACTCCGCTGAAACAGCCGTTTCATCAAATCCCACAATATCACATTCAGCCAGGAACTATCCGTATCCCCACTGTTGCTGGTCCGCACCAGCGTATTGACTGTATGCAGGACGGATGAGCGGATCTTCTCCGAGGAATGATCCAAGAAGGGCCACAGACGCGGTAATAATTCGTGCAACGGTTTCTGATTGGTGGAGATCTCCTGCGGATCGGATTTCGTCACGATCGTCGAGAGGAGACTCATGAAACTGTTCGTCCACGATGTCAGATCGTCGAAATCTAATAACCCATCCCACAGCAATGCCAACACTTTCGGAACCTGGAGCATTATGCATAAAAATTATTATGCATTTGCGTTAAGAACCGACACAATATTTCTGGTAAAACGAAACAGGTCCGACAAAATTATTCACCTCTTGCGGCATAACGCGCAGAAATTCATCCATCACAGCTTCGAGCGCAGCAGCGGCCACGGCGCACACGTCATCGATGGGATCTTTTAGACTGCCAACGATGACCGCATGAACCTTAGGGAACAACTCGCCAACAAGATTCTGAAAGCAGAAAAAAGTGCATTATTTAGCCATATTTACACAAAAAAAATACAAAAAATTTTACGAGTGTACGCGCGGTTTCGCGCTATTTACGCGCTCGTATGATAAAAAAAGGCAACTTTTTAATACAAAAAAAAGACAGTTACACAAATTTTAGAGCAGTACCACCTATGGTGCATACTTCTATGGATAATATGGTGCATATGGATGCCAATATAAGGCGGCAAAATACGAGTAGTTCAACATCCAAGTTTTAATCTAGAAAATGCTCTCTGAATAGTGTAACACCAAGGCACATCACGAAAATAATAATCGGAAAAGGCCCTTCTGTGTGATGAAAGTTTCGCAAAACAGGGCAATAATGACGGGAAAGTTCGTGTAACTGTTTTAAATTGTGTTAGTCGTACCTGTTTGACGACTAGTACGTATTTAATTCCCAGGATGGCACCGTGCCGCGTTTGCCAGTTGGTTTGTTGGGTCAATTTCAGCAGACAATCCACTACTTGGTCGACCAGAGGGACGGCATCCATTTGACCACGGCGCCTAATGCCTGCGCACAGCTCTCCCGAACTGGCGCCACCACTTCATAGGAAACGAAATCACCGAAACGATCCAGTGCCAATACGCACAGTAACCGCAGCGCCACATCCTCCAACCACCGCTCGTTCGCTTGATGCATCTGCATAACATTAAGTTATAAAATGATGATTAACAATAACGAAATAATTAGGGTATTTAAATAAATTATAAAACATTTTCCTTTGATAGGCTGTATTGATACACAATCCGGAGAAGTAAAACACTAAGCCAACCTTCTGGTGTTAAAATGCGTCGCATGTTCAAAAACGCTCAACGCAAACGGAGTAGCAATCAAATTAACGGAAGTGCACGTTAAATCTAAAAATAATCCAAAAAATTTAGACAAAAAAAGCACTGTAAGTATGTAAGTACAGTATTGACCGTTCATCATTTAAACGCGTACTGTACTGCAGTCACATACCGAAATTGCACGCCAGTTTCTTATAATCGTGTACTGTGTATGTAACCATGGGTAAACACGGAGTAAATTTCGACTTATTAAAGAAAAAAAAAATATTAAATCTCTTTTACATTAAAACATTAGGATAGGATTTTAACAAGATTTTGAGAGTATTATTGGAAAAATAATATGTTTTCAATTTTATTCATATGAAAAATGGTGGTAACATAAATGTTAGGGCAGTAAATACAGTGCATCATTTTTGTAAAACAACAGAAAGGATACAGACCCATTCGACAACCACGCCCAAACACTACAACACTTAGGTGTTTCTTATGTTCTTATGTGTCTTACTTACGAGAATAACGTATACCATCAAAGCACACATGTACTGCTAGTCATTTTGAGTCGCATACCCGATCGTAGGCAAGTTCGTGAGACAGTCCCACACTGTAGCCGTGTACACGGATGATTTCGCGAATGCCGGTGGCCGCACCATGGCGAATGCGCCAGTCGGAATGAAACAGGTCACCGGACAGCTCTTCCAGCATCCGCGTAAATGGCCACTCCAAACACTACACACAATTCGAAATAATTCATCATTCCCAAATCCACTCGCATATATACACCCATCTACCTCATCACCGGGCGCATCGCTGGTATCGCTCAGGGATTTTGGACTATCATCCACTGATCGGGGCTTTTTGGATGCGGTTTCTAAATCCAACTCTCTACAATAAATAAAATATCAATGTCAATCAACGAATTTTCATCGACTTTCTATGCTCCTTACCGACGACAATCGACAATGTTATTACAAACGTAATCAATCATTGAATTCAAGGCATTACCTTAGTAATACAATTTCACCCATATTGTGAAGTACAGCGCATCAGTATAAAACCAGACATATGTCAAATAAAGCGGTTTACAAAATCACGGACATCGATTGTTTTATCTTGTCGGTTTTATCCACAAAATTAATATAAACTAACATATGCATTTCGACAGAACAGTATATATTCCGTACATGAATGAAGCATGTTCGCTGTTTAGTATCGTTTGCTAATACCGAAGTAACAAACACAAAATAGCATTACGTTAGATTTTTCGGCCACAAAAACATTACAAGTAAAACGGAATTAAACTAGAGTTGCTTCTCTTACAATGGACTGTCATCCATGGATAAACTCCGGCTAACCGATGACTTGAGTTTCCGTTTAAATCGATTCCGTTCCCGGGCGCTCACCGAAAGTCCGGCTGTACCCACTGGCATTAAGCGCACCTGTTTAACTACGAGTACGTTTGTTTCCCGGAGGCACCGTGCCGCGTTTCCGTTGGTTTTTGTGTCAAATTGCAGACCTCCACAGTTGGTCGAAGAGGGGACGGCATCCATTTCCGACCACGGCGCTAACGCCCCGCACAGCTCTCCGAATGATCCCACCACTCTGTTCAACGAAATTCACCGAAACTTATCCAGTGAAACACCACAAAATTGGCGAAACTCTTCCAACTTGCCCTCGTTCGCTTGAAATTACAGACATTAAATTATAAAAAGCAATTTACGCAAATTTTCTTTGATAATTATCGTACACAATCGGAGTAAGTAAACACTAAACAAACCTTCTGTCTTAAATTATGCGTCGGCATTTTCAGAAACGAAGTGACAAATGTTCAAGTAATAAATATAATAATAAATGAGAGGGAACTGTTAATTAAAAACAATTCAAAAAATTTTGCCAAAAAAAGCGAGCACTGTGCCAATCGCATACCGAAAAAAATTACACACCAGATTCTAATAACCGTGTACGGCGTATGAAGCCTGGCGCGACATCGAAATCTGCTGCGGGATCTGCAAAACGGATATGCCATATGATTACTGCGGCGAATCAGAGCACAAAACCTTTCGCCACAAGTTTTACTAAGTGTTCAACGACCCGAACTACAAACGAACTAAAACCAATGATTGCTGCAGAACTGCAGATTAAATAGTTAATAGCATTTAACGCCCAAGCGTTAAATGAGATTGTAACATAAATTTTATGGCAGTACATAATACAGTGCATCGTTTACTGGAATTAAGGCAGGCTCTCAATTTCAACAGCAAACCGGTTTATGGTTACCCATGCCCAAGTACTACATTATTTAGGTATTTCCTAAATGTGCTGTTTATAACACTTTTAGCACAGCTAGTCGTTGAGTCGCATACCCGATCGTAGGCAAGTTCATGTGACAGTCCCACGCTGTAGCCGTGTACGCGGATGATTTCGCGGATGCCGGTGGCCGCACCATGGCGAATACGCCAGTCAGAATGGAAGAGATCGCCGGATAACTCCTCCAGCATCCGCGTAAACGGCCACTCCAAACACTACACAATCCCAATCACTTCAGCATACATGCTCGGGGACATTCGCAAAAATACACACATCTACCTCATCACCGGGTGCATCGCTGGTATCGCTCAGGGATTTTGGACTATCATCCACTGATCGCGGCTTTTTGGACGCCGTTTCTAAATCCAACTCGCTGCAATAAAAAAATAAATAATATACTAATTTCCATCAGCGATTTTTCATCGACAGACAACTTCTTTTCGAGGCTGAAAAGTTAAGCAAAAGGTGTAACAGACAGTGACGTACATACTTCAACAACATAAGTAATTCCAATCAATTAGCAAAAAAACCCATCTGTACGAAATAGATGGTAGGTACATGAATACATGATATATCGAACAAACCAATAATTATTTATAATACAACAACGCAAGCCCGTTGATGCTACCATTAAAACTGACAAAACTGGTGTAAATACCATAATCTTTATTTACTATGCTGATTTAACACGCCTTTCGTTTTACAAAGTAGTAATCTTTACTAATTAAAGCAATCGAAAATAATTATGAGTAATTTAAATACGAAAAATAAACTTGGAAGCAGACCGATAAGAAATTTCATTCCTTACAGTGGACTATCATCCATGGATAGACTCCGGCTAACCGATGACTTGAGTTTCCGTTTGAATCGATTCCGTTCCCGGGCGCTCATCGTCTGTCCGGCTGCCCACATGGCATTCAACGCCACCTGGCAAAAGCGCACGCAGTAAGACGTTTGCATCACGAAGAGCAGTGCATGTTTACGGGAATTATTATTTTTCATCACGTCATACTCTCGCAGAATTCTCTCGAGGAGACGGTGCGGGAAGGAAATCCTCATCCTCCACCAGTTCATCGGCAAACGCCCCCAGGCCGGCTTTCTCCGCAAACGATCCCAGACCCATGTGCTCGTTCAACGCATTGCGCCGACTGCTGGCATTATCTGATCAAAACATCCACAAAATTTAAGAACCAATTTCAAAATACTGAGAAAACCCACGTATTATCTTACTTCGTTTTACTTTCACAATCAATACATAGTTCCAAAATGGCTTTATTTCATTGTATATCTATATATAGATATTCGTATGCATGTGTACTTACAGTGCACGTTTTCGTTCGCGTAAAAACAAGAGTACACGAACGTCTAACAACAAACAATTCATCACATTTGATTACGTTCGAGATTTTCTGTTGGCTGTGTGGGTTTGGCGCAAATGTGACTACAACTGTTAAATTAAATATAAACAAAATCATTTCACAGTCCCTGTAATATTGTTCAACAAAAGGAAGAGTGTGCAATTTTATTGCTCATCTTACGTTGATCATCACAATCGTATTCCCGTCCTTCGGATCCCAACAACTGGGCACCGTTTAGCAGTACACGTTCTATATCGAACTGGTCAAACTGCATCTTTCCTGGCGCGACATCGAAATCCGCTGCGGGATCTGCAAAAATGATATGCCATATGATTACTGCGACGAAATCAAAGCACAACGCCTTCGACCACAATTCAAACATTTACTAAGTACTATTTAGAACATCTCACAGTTTCGACAACACGAACTAAAAACATATATATAGCCAGAAAAAACGGCACATGACTGCAACCAGAATTAACCACTTAAAAACAAAGCATCAAACAAACAAATGTATGGATAACAAACATTGTTATCCATACCACAAGTTTAACTTTTATATGATAAAGTTAATAGTCGTAAGCCTTGCATTCAGAAAAACCAGCACGCCATCATGAGCGGAAATTGTCAGCGTGATATCCACTGTAATAAAAAAAATGATAATTCACCTTGATTCCACATTGCCATAGAAAAAAAAACCGCACTTTTAGATGAAAAAGAATTTAAATAGTTACCACACTTATGGTAATTAACTGTGCATTCGCACAAAAATTCACTTGCACATATCATAAGCGCATAAATAAATACATTTATCTAATCGACAATTGATTCTCACAACAAAAAGTCAATAACTATATCTATGCAAATGCATGGTTTTACTTTTACGTTACGTTACAAGAAACAGAAACGCACAAAAAACCCCAACGACAAAAACAGTGGGAAAAATCTTAATAAAATCCAGAATACTAAAATCAAAGAAAATTTCCAGTTACAAAACATATTTTAATCTTCAAAATAGGAAAACAAAATCCAAAACAACTGCCAAAAAATATTTTAATTATTTTAGTTAAAACCCATTAGTGACTACAGCGGATCACGAAATCTAGCGCGGAACATCCGACGCCTACCTGTTTTCAGCGTGGACGGCGCCGGATTCCACACGGCGACATTCTCCGCCACAGCGGCCAGCGCCTGGCCGGCCGCCACCCGCGTATCCCACGAGGGATTGCGCAGGAGAGCGAGAATCTGGAACAGCCACCCATGCAGCTGAACGAAGCTTCATCGTTGAGTATCATACGCGCGATAACCGTACAACACGTACCCGCGTCAATAGCGTCTTGAGCTCATGCGGATGCAGACGCTGGACTTCGCCGAGCTGTACCGCCGCGGCTTTCCGTGTGCCCACATTGGATCCGCTCTCCAGCAGGGCAAACAGACGATCCAATCTGCGGATCATAACAATCAGCATTTTCTTGCGCTGAGACTTTTCCCCGGGAATTCCGCAATCGGATAATGATCCGACCAGACACCTACCTGGTGGCCATGACTGCAGTGCATAGCACAGAATATGCAACGCGATAATTTTTAGTGGCAATTAATCGTCATTGACATACGGAGACCTAAGAGCGTACGGAAAAGTACTTAAAACCAGCACAGCGCTGTCTTTGATGGCTCCTGTGATTACGATTGACGCAGGCTGTGCCAAAAGTTCCAAAACAATAAAATCCAGATGCAAGACTTTGCGAATTCAAAAACGAAGGCAACGATGCACGATTTAACTCTGAATAAAAAATTATTCGTTGGATATTTTAAATTTTCTGAATATTTATCATAATTTATGCATTCTGTGCAAATTTCTACACAACTGGCAACTTGCAACTACGTCAAACATCACACTTGTTTTCCGAACGGGTCGCTTCCGGTGATGCGTAGCGGGCCGAGGTACGCAATATGCATGACATTTGCATGCTTGCTACAGAAAGCACATCTTTACCGTATTTATTTATAAAAAAACTGGTTATTCAGTTTCCCAGAGTGCATTTGTTCGGAAATGAATTTTTTCGAAATTTTTGTAGTATACAATTTAGTGAATATTCGAGTGTGTATTAATATGATCGGTTCTTATAATTTATTTTTGGAGAACGGTTACGTTACGCAGACTAATAAACTCCGTTTCTACAATCGACAAGATTTTTCTTTTACTGGCATTTGAAATATTTTAAACCGGTTATTATCAGAAAATCTTGTAATACTGTTCCTGTGTAATCGGTGGAGTATTGCCGATAGTGAATCACTGCCTGTGTTTATGACCAAATTGTGAAACCATTGCACCGTAATAAAAATTTCTCCGTGCAGTTATCAATCTTATGATTTTGTGCTGAAATCGCTTTCCCTAATCGTGACTCTGCGGCATCACGAAATTGCCTGATAGAGATAAAACTGACCACAACCGGCAACCAGCAAATTCAGTTTTCACTTCGGCTATTTTCCAAGCCATCAAATAATCCATCAGCGGAAAGAATTTAACAGATTTAAAAATAATTTACGATCAAAAACATTCAAGCAGTTACAGTTAGCAACCGATTAATAACACAACGCTATCTTCATGCAAAAATATGAAAGCACAAAACGAACACACGGAGAAAAGTCATAAAACCAGCAAAGCAAAATGGCACCGAAATGGCAGAAAAAAATTTACCGTACTGCAGGCACGGGTTAAAAAGCGGGCAAATGGACACATGCAGAAATCACCTCTCCCCACAACCAAACCATGGTAAAAACTAAAAACTTGAAAGGTTAAATTTCCCCCCAAAAATCCTCTTCCTTCCGGTGAGCCACGGTGAACCAGCCGCGCGCGGACGGAGGAAGATATCTCCACAGATGAAAGATATACAACAAAATGGGCAATGGCCGATGAGATAAAACGGGGTTAAATTTTAGCAAATAAAACTTCCGAAAATTCCCTCCAAATTAATTTCCCCCACAGAATTTGGACACGCACACAAAATACACAAGATCCTCTGCGGTGCAACAACATTGTCCGGGTTTCAGCTGTGATACGGTTGGACGTAGGTGGAGGGAAAGAGTCCGGAGCGGCCGCGCAGTTCCCCCTTCCACCAGCCCGTGGTGTTGCGATCACGCACCAGAATCACATCACCGCGCCGGAATTCCAGTTCGTTCTGCTCCTGCGGCGTGAAATCATACTCGGCAATCACTAGATGCTGCAAACAATTACAACAAAATATCAGTATTTGTATGCAAATTTTGTTGGGTAAGCCGACATTGACTTAAATCCAAATTAATACGAGTACCACGTACCCCGAATATATTAATTCTACTCAAAAATTAATTACAATTAACAGAACCGTCGTACTTTCATGCCGGCTTTAGTTACCATCGATTTATGAATTAAATACCAATTTTTAACTGCTATTTCGTAAGCAAAATTACAGTAAAAACGAATACTCTGGCATGTTTGCTTTCCTTCTAGCGGATAAAATATACTCGTATAATTACAGATTGTATCATTTATTCACACAAGCCATTAAAGAGTAGCTGCCACTTGACCCGAGCATTGTTTACACACCGCCATAATCCTCCAAACGTAACCCGTATTTAACGTAACCCGTATTTTATTGGCCACGTACGAATATCAATAAACGCGTAAAACGGTATTCGTGGGCCTCGTGGCATTATTTAATTACGTCTTAACCACTTTCTTCACTAACGCGCATACGAAAAATATTCAAAATCACAATGAACTAATTTAACAGCTACAGCATTTGGTAGTTCGGCAAGCTACTCGTCCTAATTTTTTCTGTACAATACCAAAAACGATCCACCAAGAGATTGTCCTTTATAAATACGTCAGTTTCTTTATTTATCTTAGCACCAACAAAATTCATTAGCACAAAGTCCAATCTACATACAAGTGTACAGTTAATAGGGCGAATTGTAAAATGTAAATAAATCTCAAGCAACGTCATCATGCATATCGATAACATTACAAGCAAGTCGATACTACGCATCACACGATCAAAAACGTCATCTCTGAAACACTTCAACCCCAGTAAAAAACGCTATCATACCGGAAATCAAAAGCCTAAAATACAAATAAAATGTTCAACCATTTAAAAAGATAAAAACAAAACCCGGTATAATCAGGAATGAACTAACCAACGCAGAAAAGAGATTAGACATTTTGAGTAAAACACAGGCATTTAAGGATAAAAACAATTTAGAAAGAAAAGGATAAAAGTCACCAGTAATAAGCTGATCGTTGGCTTCAACGATCAAGAACAATGCTCGTGATTTGTAGAATTTCGCCGGAGGGTCTTCCTGCCGATTTGACTTCCTATGAATAAACATCAATTTTACGCTACCTACAAGCTTTCGAACGATTTAAAAAGTAAATAGTATATCAAATTTTAATTCGCTATTTTACAGAGGTTATTTTCACCAAACCCTTCCTCCTTAATATAAAAATTTCATTAAATTTGGTTAGCCACCGCTACGTATTTACCATTTAACCACAAAGTCAGTTTTAAATTGGCATGACAGTCGTCATTTCTGCACTAACAAGCAGATTTCCCTTTGCTTTCTACTGCTTCGCCTTTTAACCACCACATCAAGCGCATATTCGAAAGCAGACAGATTGCTATTGTAATGGAAATTGCGAAAGAACAATTTGTAATCAATATATAACTCTTACCTCCGTTAATTCCATATCACGCAGTTTCAAATCAATCGACCGACTGACGGAAGAATTACGGTGATAGGCCACCAGCTCATTCAGCGAGTTGAACTTGACGACCCATAAGAAGAACTTGCCCTGGGTATCACGTAAGACTTTGAAATGCTGCGCATCCTCGCCACATCTGTTACATGAAAAATAAAATGTTAAAAAAATGTAATCAAAGAAAAGGCACACTAACACAATGAACAACGAATTAAAAAATTATGCTTAAGAAAAAAATGCAATTCCCTTCAAATAAATGCAATTTCCTTCAAATAAATTTTCTTTAAAATCAGTTGTGGAATCAGCAATTTTATATAGGCGATATGGAGCATGCTGGAAAAAATTATAATCCAAACTGACAAGAATCCATCCATCAAGATACAAATTTTTAAAAATATCACATTTAATCTAGCTCTTTCTCATTCACTTAATTTCCTTTAAATTCCACCTGATGACCATAAAAAATATGTCTGATTCAAAGTCACGCACGCCATACATCATGTCCCTTACTTGACAGACAGTGAGAAGTCTCCCGGCGACGATTCACTGGCCCGTATTAAGAATGCCCCATCGTGGGCCTGCTTCTTCAGCAATCTGGCCGCATCCGCCCGACTGAGCCGGCCCATGTACCACCTACAATCCACATGCACACAGTCAGACCATTGTGACATTTACCACCACCAAGATCCACGTCATCGTCAAGGACTCACTCGTGGGGCTTCATCTCAATGTAGTTACTGGGAATGAGGCCTTCCCGTCCTTCTAATTCCGCTCTGTACCAGTTCTGATCATCGTCCATGTTGAGTACCTGCCAACAGCAACCGATTTTGTCATTTTGATAGTAGTTTGCATTTATACGAGTAATTTCCTGCCACAGTTAACTAACACTAACGGTACACTAATTAAAAACGAAACAAATGTTTTAAGCATTAGAAAAGCTACGATTTCTCAGTAACTATCAAGTGCCGTTACAAAATCAAAAACATTTTCTGTTTTATCCAGTTTGTATTTTGTTTTACGCTTCGGTAATCTGATGCCGCCTTGAATAAGGTTATTTAATGACCCACCGAAAGAATAATGAAGGATATAATTCTATCTGTTTACCACAATTTAATTATAATAATTATTTTTGTTATAAATTTCAAAATGGTTATCATTGGCGTTGCAACGTCTCGTGCGGCATGCTTTCACATCAGGACGCGCTCGTCATTCTCGCCGCGGAATGTAAACAGTTCCTTATCTCATTGAGTCACTTGGTCATTTTCCGGGCAAATCCTGATAACACAAAACGACTTCGACGGAGAGCCTACCCGGCAACTCTGCCGGTTATCTCCAATTCGAAACGCACGTCCACTTGTAATCACAAAATGAAATCTATTATTTCACCTCCAAGATTAAAATTACTTTTTTATTATGGATAACTCAAATTCTCCTATTATAATAGCAACCAAAATTTATGGCCTGTTAATTAGAACCGCCTAAAATATCACCAAGCATGTAAAATGCAAAGGTTGATGCACGGTAGGAATAAACTCGATGAAAAATATTACTGCTGTATTTACGTAAGATGTCATTTATTGCTCGACACGCCATCAAAGATTTCCTACTTGAAACCAAGTTATTTACACATGTGTGAACCGGCTCCGTCACAGACCTCAAAGCATACATAACGAACCTGCGAGGTCGATAGACGATCAGTGTCAAATAACATACTAACGAAAACAGAAGAGCATTTGCGTTATTAAATAACCAGGTTCTGACAGCTTCCATGATCTTCACATAACAACAAAATCTGAATTAAAAAGCTAGCATCATTATTGTCAACTGCTATCAGAAAATCAAACAAAACTCCAAGCTCCAGTAAAAACGCTAACACTTTACGGAAATATGAGCTGGAAAGTTAGTATTCCGTTTTCAAACAAGCCACGATCAGCTGTCGGGAAACATCAAAATTTTATAGCGCTGAATCAACGAATAAACTCCACAGGAGAACAATTAAACAGTCGAAATAACGAAGCCAAAAAAAGCGTGTGAATCACACTTGAAATATCCGAGGGGATATTCAAAACATTTAAGCACTTATTTCCGAGGCCATCGACAGAGAAAAAATGTAATATCTTGCAGCCAATCATCATAATCATACGTTTTTAAGCGGTAAGTACCTAGTCTGAATATCTGCTAAACAGCAACAAGCAAACTTCTGATTCTGTTTCTCTAACTTACTTAAATAAAATTTTTAATAATACTAATGAATTCGTCGTTGGAACACATTAAATAAACAAATTCAAGAGGAATGTAATTCAAAGACCAGTACGAGCATAAAAATAATCGCAGCAGCCAGCAAACGCACAATTAAAAGCCCTGAAATTTATGAGATAGTGCAGAATGCAAACCATTATAGTTTTTAATTACGACTGTACGATTACAAAATACAGAATTTATAAAGTGGTACTGTATTGTGGAAATGAAAATCCTGCAACCAGCGTTTCACTGCTGCATTTTATAATATTCACGGTAAATTACCATTTATCGCTTCACTCATTTACTTTACTCAGCAATTGATTTTCGGTAATTTCACTAATTTACCTTCAACAACTGTCCTCGTCGGAAACTTAGTTCATCATCGGCGGTGGCGTTAAAATCGTGTTTAGCAATAGCTTCCATGATGATCAAAACTGCAAAACAAAGGCAAGCTGTGATTAATGTGACGTGCTGTGACATTAATACTTCCAGCGACTATCACAAACTACCTTAAATTTTTTATACGTCCTCGCAACCCAAAAATGAAATCAATATCCAGATTAATGAACAGTACTGGTATAGAAGTAGTCTCAGTAGTGGCAGTGTAATTACATGAGGGCATTATATTTGACTATGGTAGTGGTATCCTATCCGAATCTACCGACTTGATATTTAAGGCCCTAACAAAGCCTTTTAATTTTATTTTCCGGTACCGTATCAAAATTACGGTGTTCGTTGTTGTTTGAATTTCAATCTTTTAAAATTTTAAATGTCTAACAAAGTTCAATGAATTCTAATTCTGTCTGCAAAATTTCTGCATAATGTCGTCAGACGATGTTCCATGTACTACATTACATTTGAAACGAGAAGTTAAATATTGCTATCAGCAGCAGGAAATTTATGAAAATCCGTGATAAATTTAAAGCCGTTTGAAAGGAAACCTCTTTTTTTAATTTTCGTAAAGGAAACTGGTCCCTGGATAAAATCAAGAATCAAAAATCAGATACGCCAGTGGAGCAAAATAATACCCTGTACAAATGATGCGTAAAACAATCCACTTACAGAGAACTCAGAAGCACGCTCCAGAATGATACCAATACAATCAAAAGACAGTCAGGTCGGGCTGATAAATGAAAAATCTGGAATCAACGCCCGAATAGTCAGAATTCCAACATCGGATACTTGCTGACTTGCAGAATAATCAGCATAAATAAGATTTCAAAACAATAAATAAACAAACCGCAAAAGAAGGAAAGTGGACGGGTTTCAAAATCCACAGCTACATACCAGCAGCCAGCGATTTATCAACTAAAAACAAGATATTTTTCCAACTCTAGCGAGACAGTGCAGGCACGCACGGTACACGCACCGTGACGCAGTCCCGCCTTCCGTCCTGCGGCAGTCTCTCTCACAGTCTCGCTGCGATGACTCAGGTTTTGACTCACGAGGTGGAGCCCGAGCCAATACCGTGCGAATGCAAATGTTGTCCAGGGTGTGGCGGCATTTTGGCCCAGTGGCACACATCAACATGTTCTCTTTTCGATGCCTGAAATTCCCAGATTTCAAGAAAAAAATTCAAAGAAGTAGAAGTATGGCTGTTGCCTGTTGGCTGTGTGTGTCCGTGTACAGCGTATGTATATTTAGTAATTAAAATCCATCCGCACTTGCACGAACGACACGTCGGCAGCTACGTTACTTACTTCAGTAGTTCAGTAGAAGACTAGATAGAAGTCATACAAAATTAATTTTGCCTTATTGAATTTATTTTGACTTATTGCGGGAGGAAACAAAAAGATTCAGATCCCATTATTTTTTATAATTATGAGTTATAACGCCGGAATCCGTACTGACTCGTAAAATTTAGTAGCAGTCGCATCTGATTGTAGACACGGAATTTTGAAAACAGCAAAAAAAAACAGCACACAAAAGGCCATTTAGCGGTTCGGGTCGGACCACAACCGAACCGCTTTAACGAAAAAAACCGTATAATGACCTTCGCTAGACTGCGCATTCGCGTTTTCCAGAAAGTCCCCATTGACAAATTAATTTCTAAGACAGTTCTTCCAAATTTGGTGTTGGGGTGTTGATGGTTAGTTTCTTTTTAACAGTTTTACTGCACCCCTTTATTTCTGTTGTTTTGCTACGTTTCCGCGTTGTAGTTTTCTGTCGGAATTTATTGCTGTCCGTTGTTCGGTTTGTTGTCATTTGAGCATGGATACCAGCTCTGCCGCGGAATCGTCATCCGTTTCCACGTCGTCCGAGCAGGAGCAACAGGTTTCGCTGCTGTACAATGTGGCCAGTCCGGGTCCGAGTAGCGTAAACAGTGGTCCTGTCACCATCTATTCAGGGAAGAAACTAGTGGCCATCCAGCCTTCGCGATATGTCTGCAGTGTGTGCGGTGACAGTGCCAAAGGGAAACATTACGGAATTATCAGGTTAGTCAGCGCTGAAGCATCGTTATGTAATAGCGCAGAAGATGTGGTATTATATTTAAATTGACCTACATTTTTGTGTTGATTTATTTTGTTGCGTCCGACATTTTGACGCGTCCTTTGAAATTCCCAGCGGCGAATTTGATTGTTTTCGATAATTGATAAATCCCTACTTCCTTCAAAATATTGTTGACTAAAAAGGGAAAATTTTCCAGAAAACGTGAAATAATATTACATTTTGTTGCGATTGCGGCGAAATTTGTATTTCTTATTTACTGACTTGTTCTATTTAGCTGCGAAGGATGCAAAGGATTTTTCAAGCGCAGCATTCGCGGTGGCAAGGAAGCCGACTATGTCTGCCGTCTGAATCAGAACTGTTCCGTCGATCGGATTCTCCGAAATCGCTGCCAGTATTGTCGCTATCAGAAATGCCTGAAAATGGGAATGCGCAAAGATGGTATGAGACTTGTGTATTTTTTCGGTAGCCGTTCGGCATCCTGCTTTCCATTTTGAGCTTCGGTATGGACGACTTATTTGTTGTCAAAAGTCAAAAGAGTCGCCCATAGTGGCGCGCTGACAATGTATTCCAGAAGAAAGGTGTGGCTGCTGCGCCTTCTGAGAAAACAGACTGATTATCATTCTACCGAATGATTTTTACATTCGTGCATTCGATAGGTCATTTACATTTACAAGTTCAGATCCCAAAAATGATAACTTTTCGCTAAGATATCAAAATAAGAATATTTGTGAAATCAGTTTGTTGTAATTATCAAGTTTTAGTTACAACGTTAACAACGGCGCAGAACAAAGTGCCCTGCACCGTCCGGAAATTAACAGTAATTTGGTAGTACATGGCAATTAATCACTCTTTATAGTTTACGATATTCCCGGTGTTACTGGCATACTGGCAGTGTGTAATGGTAAATTCGTTTTCAGACCTTGTAATGCACTGAAATATTGGAAATTTGTGGGTTTTATTTACTGTCAGTATTAATCGTAAGTGTGAATGCGTATATGTTTTCATTATTGTGGTAGCGTTGCAAGGGAAAACACATCGCAAGCGTAATCGTCGCACCAAATGCCCGGACAACTACGATCCCACGCATGGTCGCGTGAGTGTTCCGGAAGTGGCTGCGGCTTGTATGCAAGAGGACGATGCCTTCCACATGCTGGACGTCGAGTTTGAACCGACCACCAGCTCGTTCGGACTGAGCGGCATCTCCACATCCTCGCCGGACTCCTTCTCCCCGGCATTTGAGGCGCAGGATTTGATGGTGATGGATGGACAGAGTGACGCGGATTTCGATATGGGCCAGCTAATGTATGCCGATAGTTTGCTGCGGGGAATGATTAGCGGGGATCAGCAGGCGCTGTCCCTGTTCGACGGTTCCATGCTGGATCATGCCGATATTCTGGAGTTGTGCTGGAAGGAAATCCATGTGGCGCTGATGTACGTGAAGAGCTGCCCGGTGTTCGGCCTCCTGGATGTGGGTGACCAGTTGGCGCTGATTAAATGCGGTAAGCTTTAATTTGGTTGTACATGTACTGTACTGGTACTGTCAATTGTCATGTAGTGTTCATAACAATTAGCTGTCGACTGCATGTGCAAGTGCAACGCGTTTCCTTACTATCCGGACTGTGGTTAGTGAACTACGTGTCTGTGATAATTGTAATAACATTTGTATTAGCGATAGGTTTTTGAATTTTGCTACCACTCGCTACTGTGACAAATGACGCTGCTCATTGCTGAATGACTTGCGTGCGTCGCATCTGCTTACATATGCATAAAATTATGTCACCTTGTCTTCTCGTTGCAGCTTGGAACGAATTGCACTTATCGGCGATGGCCGGACGAACGCTGCTGGCTCAGCGCAACGATGGACTAATTTTGTCGTCTGCCGTCTTATTAGTTGACGCCGCCGTCGGTGATGAATTCGGTTTGGGCGGGTTGGTGGAGCGCATGTCCATTGAGCTGGTCAACAAGATGGCCAGCATGCAGATGGACGCAGTGGAAATGGCGTGTTTGCGGGGGATTGTCCTGTTTAATCCAGGTATTGTTTAACTAATGCCATGGCCGAGTTCAGTAGTGTATCATCAGTGTGCACAATGGACTTCTCGCATGTTGAATGCTCTTAGAAGCGTTGATAAGTGTAAAGCGCTAATTAATTTTAAAGAATCTAAATGAAGAATGGTAGAGTATTTTGTTGTATCTTAATGTGTATTGTACAGTCTTCACTAAAGGAAATACCAAAACTCGGCAGATCTGATAATTTGTATCAAATTGCTTATTACATGTAGATAGCATGGCAAATCGTAGGTAACGGCCATAAAATCTGATTCGCTTAGTGGCTGTCTATGTCTGGCCGCATGATAGTTTTAAACTCTAAACAATTTTTATCGTCCTTCGGAATAAATTAATGAAAACTCGCGTTTTTGTGCTGGCACGGTATATGGTAATAACAACAATTGTGATACAGAATCGTCGTCCTTATGTAATTATAATTGATGGCTGCGCTACATAATTATTTTCGTTTGACAGACGCCAAAGGTCTGGTTAATGTGCACTGCGTGGAGGCCTGCCGGGAAAAACTGTACACCGCACTGGAGCAGCACTGTGAAGCGACACATTCGGCGGATAAATCCCGGTTTGCTAAAATACTCTTGCGCCTGCCGTCACTGCGCAGTACCAGCCTGAAATGTCGGGATCTGCTGTTCTTCTCGCAGCTACTGCCGCAGTTGGCGATGACCATTGATCCGGTGATGGCACGTTTACTGGATCCATCCAACGGGGATTTGCAGACCGTCATTTCCGAATTGTGTGAACAGAAATTTGACTTACGTTGCTGACGCTCGGATATTGCGGATATTGATTATGCAGTTTATAACAGTTTGATAAATTTCTCAGGAACTACATTTACGGACAAATAGAATTTGTGTTAAAATGTTAATTTGAACCGCGGTACTTGTACGCGTTCTGACTGGTGGTTTTTCATTTTTGGAATGATAGTTTTGCGGTATGATTTCACTGCGATTATTTTTATAACTTGTTCCTCTTCGGTTTTTGAATTAGATTTGCTTCTGTTTTTACCTTGTTAGCGATTGTCTGCGTTGATGTTATAAGATTTCATTGTTAATTTTATGACAAAAAGGTTTGAATGTGAATAAAAATTAGCAGGCTGTGCCCGGCACACACGTGAAACATTGCACTCTTTCCCGTTGATTGGATTCGTAACCGTACAAAAACCAACGAAATGAAAGGATTTTTGCAAAATGATTTATTTATCAGCCATGTACGAGTACATTATAGCCGTTGAAGAATATTCTCTATTGATTGTGTGTCGAGAAAGGCAAATGTGGCCGAAAACAAAGCCATCCGAACAAGTAACATACCATCACTCCGCCGCAGATGATGACCACCTGTCGGCAAAAGACGAAATGTCACTAACTCAGTAACTCTTAAGGATTTCTATGTCACCAGAAATGCAACATATTACGGTATATTCATATTTGCGTATAGTAATGCAGCAGTATAGTAATAGGGTAGCAGCAGCAAACAAAATTTTCGTTTGCTTGCTTCTACTGTAGTTCGTACAATGAGCGCTCGTGTATTTACTCACGATTTGCATTAATACTGCGCGATGCATATTAATCGTAAAAACCATGACATTTTACAGCCAACAAGAGATCGCAGTTGTAATTAGTGTGCATGAAGTAATAGTCGCGCTGTTTTACACAAAATAACTCGTACGCGCACCTGTATGGCTGTATCTACAGCAATTTTAGTATATTATTAGTACGTATCAGTATACAGATAAGCGTATATAGTGCAATGTAAATCTAAAACTGACTATTCTGTGCAGAGCAAAAATCAAAAATCGCTGTACCATGCATCCGAGAAAGATTCCAAAGAATTCCATTAAGCGCAAGCCGGTACTGAAAATTTCAGAGCACGATGAATATTGTTAGTACTTATAATAATTCTAAATGGACACTACTCGAGTAGTACTTAACTATTAGTAGTGTCCGTTAAGCGGGCCTTTCACACAATATTCGACGCACCTGTATTGGACATATGTTGAGAAATCGCAGCAGTATACCAGCAACGCGCTGTCATTTAGCGGCGCCTTTTTGCAACAATACGCACCATCCTCGGGACCGTCAGTATTGTCCGTTGACGGGCATGTCAGGGTTGTTCCGCACTGCAAAACGTCACTCTTGCATCCTGAAAATTACTTTTTATCGTTATAATACAAGCATTAATTGTGGCTACTTTCGTGTGAAATGTTCGCATGTCACACAAACTGGTTTTCAAATATATAAGCATTAATTCAAGTGTTAAATGGCTTTTGTGGACAGTGACATAGTGCTAAAATGCTTAACTCACGAATACACATGAATAATACATCCATCAAATACGTTTAAAAGGTCATCGCAGTCCTGCGTGTGGAGATACAACCAACAACGTTCGATTTGACCAGTACACGATTATTTTTAGGTTCCAAGTTGGATTTTAATTGTGAACATCTGGAGTTGTCATTTGAAAGCTCTGGTGCTATACGAGCAATATTTGTGTGATTAGCTAGTGCACAAGAATCACGCACCAACCAGTCAGAATCATTGCCAGTCGTAGTGGCATATTCCACAGGTAGAAGCACTGGATTGTTTTATAATGCCGCTGCATTTCCCACGTTTATTATGGAATGGCAAAACTCCTATTTGGTGGAATTAGCAGGATAAATGTTGGTGGAGCAGTATTTCTATACGTAACAGGCTGCTTCATTTTACATCGATTTGTCGCTTGACCTTTCGGGAGATCCCCGCATTGCTCGCGATCGATTGGAAAAACACGCTTGGGAATAATAAACGATAACGAGTAGAGCTATATTTTATGATAGCATGTAAAAACTGTACCTGGAATTCTATGCAGGTACAGTACTGCAAATCCCAGAATTGTCATAAGTCTCTCAATGAAGAGCCAACACTGTACAAAGGACTATGCTATACTATTATGGCATTTTTGTAAACAGTCAGATTCATAGTACTTACTTGCACTGTACAATAATAATAATAGAAAAACAGTACTTACTAGAGTGATTTTTGTAACTACCGTACAGACTGCACATCCCATACGCGTACTTGTATACGTAGTGAAGGTAAAAGTTTGCAACAGCACGTAAAAATTGTTGCAGTATTATTGTACAGTATGTATGTATTGCACAACTTCCAGTGAGTAATTACTGTATACACTTTGTTTTGCCTTTATTAAGTAATTACATATTTCTGCACTAATCAACATGAAGCTTTTATGCAGTGAGAGTAGAGCGATATTATAATAAAAGTGTTTGACATCTTTAAAGAAAGCAGAAGAGTAAAAAATGCAAGGGAAACGTCGAATTGCTAAATTAAATGTAAACCACGACCGCACAGTCTGCACTTGTATAAAGCACAAAACGGCGCTCCACAATGATTTCACAGAAGCAATTAGAAAATACTTGCGCGTGTGACCCTCCATAGAGTTTTTCAAACTAGCAGAGAGAAAGTTCTACATTTATTTCTGTTTAGTATTTACAACGATGTAGAACTTGCGGGATGATGTATAAGAAATATGGCATCAAGCAGTTTGTCACGGAATTCTCGAGATGGCGCCATCAGATGGTACTTTCCTTGTCCGTCGGTGCGAATCAGATTCAAGCGTCGTTTGGAGAAATGCAATCGATCACGGCGTTCTTCTGGTGGATATGTGTGCTTGCGCGATTGCGGCTTCTCCGTCATGATCTCGTTTATGTCAACGCGGTGAGCTATCGGTTTTTTCTGCCATAATTGCTATTAAACAAATAAACAAATGCGAATGTTGCACCAACTGACCGTCTAGAAAAAAAAACTGTAAACCAAATTATAACAATATGCAGTTACAATATTATTGTACAACACTAACTATAGCCGCGTACTGTAATATTATATACGCAAGCAATCTCGTAAATATCGGTAATATTCAACATATTTAAATACGCATATGTAACGGTATTGCTCGTTGACATAGCACTTAATTTAGTGCAAGGTAGGTTTAAACTCATTTGCTTGCTTAAACTGCTTATAAATAGTAAAAATTTATATAATACGTGCAATTTGCATAATACTTTACCAACAAATTCTCGGCATAGGTAAAGGTGAACCGGTGATTTCGTTGGTCGACAGCAATATCCAGCGGGAACCACAGATGATATAGTTTAATCTGGAAGCCGGTGCGCATAACCATTTCCGGGAGGAAATCATTATGCTGATTGTCTAGTACACCGGCTGCCCATTTGATGGCTTTGGCTCGATCCTCTTCATTCAGATCTTCATTGGTCCAGTAAGGTTCATTTTTCTCCACGGTTAACTCACTGGGCGGCAGATCCAGATGCGAGGCCGTTCCCAGATTGCTGATAAGCGAATCCGATGGTCGCTCGGCTGAGGAGCTGGGATAATGCGCGGAAACGGTCTGCGAGGGCAGCGGAGGAGGCGCAACTGAGGGCGGCTGCAGGGCCGGTTGGATGATGTGCTCGGGATTATCATGATGCTGTTTGCCGACGTAACCTATGTCATTAATGAAACGGTATTGATCTGCCTAGTACAACGATTCAAGTTTGCAAAAGGTCACACGATGTTTTCAGTGTATATATACGAGAATATGTTGCGGCGTTCTTATTATATATTGCTGAAAGAAGATAATTTGATTAATTTTGAAGGATTCTGTTTCTAATGTGCCGTATATAAGGTGATGGATCGCAGGATATGACTAACGGTTCAATGCGCAATATAACCAGTAGTAAATTTTATCTACTGATGGTGAACAGTGTTTCACCTTTTCTGATAAAGCATCGCCAAACGTCGCATGAAATTGTCATTCGTATACAATACTGTAGATGCCCAAAGTTTGCAGTAAACACTCGGCAGCGATGGTCAAAGATTGTTTTCCATATACTCATGTTATAATGACAACACTTTTAAGTAAAGTGTAAAATTATAATCTAGCTTCTAGCATAATACTCACAATACAATGCACTTAATTCCATCATGTAGAACATTTTTAGACCATGCATAATTTGCACAGTATATCTGATATATCATATATACTGTGCAAATTATGCATGGTCTAAAAATGCTCTAAAGTGTAATATTCACCATGATGCAGCGGACTGGTATGAATAGCGTATTTGATGAGCGTAACAGGTTCATCGGTGTGACCTTTCCGCGGCGCATCACCAGGCGTATCACCGGAATGTGGCGCACTTGGTAGACGCTTCTCATTCTCAGCTGTACTGGCATTACTGAATTCCAGGTGTTTAGCATTAATAACCTCTGCCGGTATGCTTATACGGTTAGCGTTATCGTTAAAATCGGATGTTTGCAGAGTGCTTAACGATTCCCCAATGCGATGTGTCCGCAGTGAATTACTTAATGGGCGTTGATGGGTGTCGACCGTGTCGTTCATGTTGAGCAAATACGTACAAAGCGAGTAAACGAGATGAAACAACCTTTCAATAAAATTCGATGGGCTGATGATAGTCAATCTGGCCGTATGGTTTTCAACATGTCAGTCCGGTACAATGACGGCATTCGGATTTCGATGTGCTTTCTCTTTCAATCCCTTGCACAATGCACAGTACAGTACAAAAAATAACCTGACCAATTATTAACTAGTGTGCCGTTGATAATAATAAAGAGAGGGATTTACAACTTGCACTGAAAATTCATAGCACTATAAAGGAGCGGTTGCGTTTGTTGGATCAAGAGGTGCTGGGCTTTTAAGTTGATTCTAAATTACAAGCAAAGTGAAACTTCTGAAGCAGACGTGCAGACAGTGAGTGTATTGTACAATAATAGGTTACGCATAAAGGCTATTATGACACGATAATGCGGGATATGTGAAAGTGCAACTGGTAGCAAATGTATAAATCAGCTTATCGCTACCAACTTTGTGATTTGACTTGTTAAGTAAGTACAGTACTTATACGCATTACCGTGCATACTTGTACGTGCTCTTAAATTGTGAGCGATTCTTCGTAATTATGGAAGTACAGTATTCTAATTTTTCTGATCAAGTACTTACGCCTGCAATTAAATCTACCTGTATTCATCGTTTATTGTCATAATTTCGTGCCTATTTGCACATTCAGTGAGTACTGTAAATACATAGTTTTTATGGCGTATCACAAGCACTTGATGTAAAATTTAGTGAAACTGTATTTCGCATGCGTCGTTTCTACGGGAACAACGAGCAGCGAGCCGTCCTCTCCTGTCCCTTAAAGCTACTGTACTCGGGAGTTTCTTATTTTTAAGAACAAACTGAACTATCGTTTTATTAACAATGCAATTTACCGTAGGAAACCACAGTATATCGTAATCATTAGTAGAAGTATTCTTAGTAAGAAACACGAAGGAAAAAATTATTCACTCTATACCATTACCCCCATCTGTTACAGTGTAACTTTTGACCTCTCATGTCATGCTTAATTACTTGTTGTTAATTACGGTACCGTCAATCTCTTTACTACACAGTCATCTCTGGATACTTATTTTAAAGTAATGTACCTACATGCGAGACATATTAACAGTGAAAATGTTGTTACGTAGACTACACTAATCAATATTTATGTAAATGCTTGGTAAAATGATGTACTTCTACTGTAAAATCCATACTTAATCGCGTCAGGCTGAAACTAAACAGATTATGAATAACGAACATACAGTCTGTATACAATATGTAAGTACAACAGTTATTACAAATTTGATCCTATGCAAGCAGTTATTGCAAATTAGATCTTATGAATTTCCGGTACTGCGAAAAAAACGCTGCATAATGTAATGCTTATTCATTATTTGGGTCACATACTGTAATTTACAGCTGGTAATAATTATCAGAACAATACGTTAAGTATTATCGTACGCAAGGTTTTTTGTATGTAAATCTGTAATCACAATCGTACGCAAGAGGCACAGCCGCACAGGCAGTGCAGTACAGTGTAGCACCACAGTGCGCGTTTGGCCTTCAAAATTTAACCGTTTTCTGTTTTCAGTCTTCACTTTCATGAGCAAATCCTGCTAATCAGCCTAATCCATCAGCACTCCACGTCGCCATTAAGCCTCTTTTACCAGTTTTATTTTTTTATGATTTTATCCCTTATTTCATCCCAACGTGCTTTTGTGTCAGAGTGTAACTAAACAACCACAACACTTGTGCTGAATGAACGCTGTCTTCTTCAACAGAATCCTGTCATTCTACGATCAGTTTGTTGGCCAGCTTTCCTGTGAGATGTGTGTAGTTCCTGGTGCAGCTGGTACTCACCGAAGCCAAAACGCTATCGTTTTGCTTCTGTCTTAAACTTTTAATATTATCATCTCTCTCCTCCCTTATCAATACAACATGGACGCCAGCCATACCTCCATATCCCTGGACGGAGTGGAGCCCGATCAGTCCGTCGTGGCCGAGAATCAGGAATCTGACGTCAGCTTTTTCACCAGTCCGGCGGCCCCTACCAGTCAGCCGCCGCCACAACCACCACTCCGTACCCGTCGTTCCATCCGTCCACCAAAACGCGACCTCCCCGATGATGCCGTGCAGCACAGCCGTAAGCCGCGCTTCAGCCGCTGCCTGCCGCAATCCCTCCGTCAGTGCCGCAGTGTCCTGCGGGAAATGAAGAGTCTGCGCTGTGTCCACCTGAGTTATCCGTTCCTGCGTCCGGTCGACGAGGTGGCCGATAATGCGCCCGACTATTATCGGGTGATTGAGCAGCCCATGTGTCTGGACGAGATCGAGCACAAACTGAATACGCGTCAGTACCGGAATGCCCGGGAATTCGCCATGGATGTCCGGCTGATGTTCAATAACTGCTATCTGTATAACGGACACCAGTCGGAGATGGGACTGTGTGCCAAAAAACTGCAGGTTAGTTTATGCACAAAGCTTGACTGTGATCGTTATTCCGTTGCTTGTAAATTTTGCTTGCTTGATTTGTAAAATTGATTGCAGCATCGTCAGTACGCTAATAAATAATGTTTGTGATACCGTATGTTGATTTGTCCTGTGAAATGTGCTTCACGATTGCATCATCATAATATTCATTTTATAACGCGCAGCTGCTTTAATGTTAAACCTTACGATTTATTGCTTCATTTAATCATTCCTAAAGTACAACCATAAATTGCTTTTACACACGATTCTTATACGTGTGTAAATACGTAATCATTGAAAACTGGGATGCAGAAATCGTGAATTTTGTAAACTGTAATCACCACTGGCTGTTGGATGCATCGTGCAGGTGTGTTTGAGCATTACATTTGTTCAATGGAATTGATTTTTCTTTATCCTGTTGTCGTTGCTTTGCGTGGTGTTATGGTCACTTCGTTAGAGTTTGCGTCTGTGTTTTAATTTAGCAGTGTATCATTGTAGTAGCACTTGCGTCGTTCCTGGAAGGGAAGTCATGGCATGTCTGTGCGAGAGAAAATCGCTACTTGTTAAGATGTACTGCGCAAATACGAGCAGATTAGATTCAGCTCACTAGATTGTATTTCTTCATTTTGTAGGAGATATTCGAGACGAAATTCGAACAGATTTCCCAGGATGAGCCGGACTATGTCGCCACCCTGACGAAGCGTCCCAAGCGCAGGGAGAAGAAAAAGTCGCCAAAAACTGCCCACCGCAAACCGGCACATCCTCAGCCGGTGGAAGAGTCGTCGACGGAATCGGAAGCATCGAACGATAGCAGTGGTGATTCAGAAGCCGAGCAGGAAGAATGGCAGGTCAAACCGGTCTCGATCCGAGAAGTGGAGGAGAAGATTGCGGAGGTGAGAATCCCCTGAGTTGTATATGATGTGGTGAAAGTGTAATAACGCACTTCAGTGCTAAATGGAATACTTCTGATGACAGTTTACAGAATAGAATAGGTATGGTTTACTGAATTAAAGCCTCTGTAGCTGCGTAATTGCTAAACTAACTGAGTACGTTTTACGGCATTTTGTTCCAGTGTAGCGTTGTTGAGGTTTGCAATTAGCACGACATTGTGTACTTAAAACACAAAACATTGTGTGTACGGTATTACTCTTTAATTACACACTTCGCTTTACCAAACTTGCAGTTTTTAATAGGTGGCTATACTAACGAGGCTTGCAGGTATTATGATTTTATGTAATGTTAATTTTGAATATCTACTTACGTTTTACAAAGTAAAAGCAGGAATTAATTTCGCAATTTAGGAGAAAGCGTTTACTGCACATACTGGCATTGCAAAAGTCTCGTTACAAATTCGTTCTTGTGCATGGGTTGTGCGGCGTGCGCAACGTATAAATGAAGTGATTGTGTCCATTTTGTAAACCTGAATTTGTTTGGTTTTGGACTTGTTTAGATTAAGCGTCATTTGGATATGTTGTCGGAGAAACAAAAGCAGCGGGAGCAGCAGCGAGTCGAAATGGCCATGGATGAAAGCGAAACGGATTCAGATTAGTTCCGCAATCACTTGTCAGTGGATCCGATTATTTGCACTGGGCCCGTGATTGGACAGTAAAGTCACTGCGGTCATCATTTGCTGGGCTGTTGTTTTGTTTTTGTACTGAATGATGTAGGTACAAGGAATTGGGAATTGTTTTAATTTTTGATCATAGTGGAGACACTCGTATGTTGATTTGTACGTCTATCGTACAGTATGTACTAATACTTATGGACAGGCTTACGTAATTTAGTTCACTTGTTTTCTTGACGATTCGTGGAGCGAATTTTCGACTTAACCAACCGGAAAATAACCGGAAAATTTAACATTGAAATGGGAAAATTAATTCAGTTTGTTGTGATGACTACAGTCATAAGAGAAAATTGAATAAAACAGATATCACATCGATTTGGCGCAAGCTACAGTAACTTGTAGTGTAATTATGGATTTGAAGTCAAAAATCCGACGAAGAGCTTCTCTTCGCATTCTGCGATAATCAGGGGATTAATCGCCAACCAGACTATTTTACAAGTTTCCGGAAAGGTGTTTCTACTTTCCGTATTACCGCTCTCGTATAGGAGCGCATGTATTTACTAGTACTTACATACAGCAGACTCAAAGAAATAAAATGACCTTAACGGTGTCCATACACAGTCGTCTTGATTTCTTATTTATACCGAACTTCTGCACAAACAAAAGCATAAACAAATAAAAGCACAAGCATGCAAAAGTACTTACCTACAGAGTATTAAGCATTTTATCGCAGATGGTCAAAATATCACTCATACTTGTCATTGTAAGTACGGTACTTCTGTTGTTGCATTTCGTTTCGGAGCATCCGGGTCGCCATAAGGAGTTCTTTTAAAGTCTTCTCTAGACAACTTCGTCTAGAGTAACCCTTTTGTGTTTTTCGATTTCTTCTTGGGAATTTTTGTGGATAAATAGTGAGCCCTGCCATTTCTGGTTCGAACCAGATTGGCAGGGACAAGTTGTTCATAGGAACTACAGATACACTCTCCAGTGTACGAACTGCCTTCGGTTCTCGCAGCATCTTTTCGTGACTTTTATTCCTCTCATTATTCCTTACTTACCTTCATACTGCTCGAGTCATACGTCGGAACCCATTCTTGCCTATCTAATGGAGTCGTCAGGACGCTGGAGCCTGTGCTGCGGGAGCGACTGCATGCGCTGTGAGGGGACATTCTGGGGCGTCTGAATGTTGTGCTTCGAGTGATCTGGGGCTTGCCCTTATAACGCTTCGCGTTTGGCCCTTTTAACCAGTGATCTCGTCAGCGCGGCAATCGGTAAACCCCTAAATCCTGCTTTTATGGTAAATGCGCCCGAAGAACGTGGATCTGTGCTGTGGAGCCTTGTTGACTTCTGGAACTCTCACTGCGCGTTGGATCGTTTCATTTCATTGTTCATGTCGTTGGGGTATCGTGGAACGAACGTGGATCTCCCAGGCTCTGGATACGGATGGAGGAAGCGCGGATGTTTGCGGTCGGATTTTTCTGTTGTTACGCCCGAAGCAATCTGGGGGCTTGCCCTTACAACGCTCTGCGTTTGGCCCTTAACCAGCGAGCTCGTTGGTGTGGCACCTGTGGATTCTGGCTGCTTGTTTGTAGTTTTTTCTGTCGGTCTCTGTATTTGCTAGGTTCTCGAATGTCGTAAAATCATCTTAATCGTCAGTTGTTTTCGCTTATGTTGGTTTGAACCAGACCTGGGCAGTTAATTTTAACTATTTAACTTAACGCGAGTTTTTTTCGAGTTAACGAGTTATAACTTAACTTTGAAGCTTAACTCGCCAGATGAAAACTTAACTCTAGCGCAACTCAAAAAATAATAGCGCAACTCGTTTAACGTAACTCTGGAGGTTTCAGTTGAAAGCAAAAATGAAATTAAAAATAGAAAATATCAGAAAAATGTTATTTTAACCGCGGATCGCATAAATTGCCATAATTACAAAAGTATCTGTACAAAATTTCGAGCAGACGTACACTACGACCGCCCAAGGCTTTGACTAGATTAGGAAAAATGCACATGTGCATTTGACAGACCGGAGCGGCATTTCCTTTGAGTACAGTATACTACATTTTATATTACAAACTGTTTAAGTATTTTAATACTATTTTTATATGTTGAATAATGAAATTTTATATTATTTTGCAAAACGACTTAGGAACATAAGCATAGACTTCCAGTTACTCGTTGGAAATGGCTTACGTGACAACCTTTCGTAACGACCTTTCGTAACGGACACAAATCAACGAAATATTGACATCTACCTTCGCTACGCTTCGGTCGATGAATATGCATCGGAGAGTCCATGCTGACAGTGAGTGTGATCGTTCAATTTGAGCTCAATTAACAGCGTGCAGAGAACGTAATTTTTTTGCGGAGCAAAATTTTGTCAACGAGAGGACAAATCATGTTCCGCACCAAAATCACACGGGAACTGATCGTCTGTGCGCTACCTGCTACCTGTAATTGTTCGCCTGCCCATTTAGAAGCGTAATAATGCGGTCAACGCTGTCAAACAGCTACACTAACTACGGTAGCCATGTGAAGCGAAATCTTAGTAAAAGTTCAGGCGCGGAGCCCGGCGAGCGCTCGGCCAGGGTAAAAAGAGGAGGAATTTTGTCAGATAAGAACTTCTTATGTTTGATTTTTTCCAGTGAGAGCAGCAGGCAAAAAACACAAACACATTAAATACGTATATGTTTCATTCTTTTGTTTCATTCTTATTCTTTCTTATGTTTTATTTATATTTTATCTTCCTCCCTCAAGAAAAATGTGTCTCGCTCTCTCCTCAGGAAAAACATGAAAAAGGAACATTAGAAAAAGCATGAATTTTAAAAATCAGTTTTAAGAAAAAAATTAATAATTGGTCTGTGTCTCAAATCTGGTAAAAGTGATATCGGTATGCATAAAAGACTACTTGAAGTTGATTGTGATCTGATTTGCTTGTTTGTAGTTTTTTCTGTCGGTCTCTTATTTGCTAGCGTAACTCGCGAGCTGCGATTAACTCTTAACTCTAACTATGAGTCGAAATCTCATAACTGCCCAGGTCTGGTTTGAACATTTTCATGGTGTCTGATAAAACATCCTTGCAGTGAAAAAATAGTTACAGTCTCACATATGACTGCAGCTTTTAACTTTACGGTTTTGGACTTGTATCAAATTCGGTATGAATGTTACTTCCATGTTATATTCTTGTAGAAAACGGTTTATTTCAAAAATTATGAAGAAGATACACTGGTATAGGTGCAATTGACCTATACCACTATACAGTTCAGATTTACGGACCTTACTCACACGCATACCGTATCAGTCAGTTGTCCCCACGCCACAAAACTGAGCGAATTTGTCACTTTAGAGTCTAGTCTCAGGTGTTTTTTAGTCTTATCAGTCTGTGATTGTTTTCCAGTTTCCACAAAGCACGGATCCCATTTTTTTTATAACAGCACAGAAGAATTCTAAAGCGCGATACGGCCATTACAGATCGTAAAATGAAAGCGTGCTTTTCGCAGTACAGTATGGATGGTACGACCGTACGATCCTTTGAATTTGAGAAATTTTCAATAGCGCAAAAACAGTCGTAGGATTATCCACCACGATTTATCCTGCAGATTATTTCTTTTGAAAAGCTCTTCGATTTTACCGCTGAGAAATCGATCCAGAATGACCTCAACAGCGAAGTCGGAATCCTCTGAAAGCTCTTCAGGTAAAGTTACTGAACAGTGCAGTAATGAGTAAGTGTTCGAATTCACGCAACAGTTTTGTCGCTTCAAGGAGATCATAATTTCCGTTGGAGTACATTTCTGGACATCTTAAGCGCTTATTTTTTAGAATAGCATGGCTGTAGCAATTGTAGTCGGAAAACAGCGGCTGTTGGTTTATTTTACAGATGACGAATATCGCGTGAATTTTTCTTACGGCAGTCCCTCTGTTGAGATGGTAAAAGGTGTTCTCCATCTGTATCACGATAAGTACGATGGTCTTTTGTTACTTGGCGTTCTTCTGAAACCATTGCTCAGTAAATTTATTAAAATTAATTTACTAAAAATTGAAATTTAATATTGCTCGTGCTTTACGATAGTGAACGGACTTCCTTACAATCTGGCGAAACACGTCGTCGCAGTATACTGTTGTGCATGTTGTCTGTGCCAGCACGCTTGTCGACCAGAGATCTCTTGGCATTCACTGAAACTTTTTCGTAAGCCACTCTGACACTGCCCTGATTTTTGTTAGATGTAAAATGAGCCTAATACAATGCTGTAAATATTTTGTGTGTATTTGCAGTCCGGAAATCGAGCGGGTGCGCATTATGCGCTACAAGTCACCCAATCAGTACATGGTGCTGTTGCGTTTCAAAAACCAGGTACGGTGGGTTTTGTACGAAACTGGATGATTTTGTGATGATTTTGCCGACGTTGTGGTGTTTGCAGGAAGCTGCCGATAGGTTTTACGACCATTTTAATGGTGTTCGATTTGATTCTGACGAAGAAGAAACATGTCGTCTTGCTTATGTTGGAAAAGTGGATGTCGTCGAAGATATAGAGGCAAGTATTATGAAAAACTGTACTATCTTCAGATGTGACGGCGCGCATGTTTATAATCCATTTCCGAATTACCAGGGAAAAGGTTTCTGTATGCGCCCATTCCTGGGAACCACGGAACCACCTACGTGCACTATTTGCTTGGATAGAATGGTACATTACAGTTGGTTTTTGTTTGGATTAAGGTTTCTGTACAAATTTCGGTTAGTTTGCATTTATTACGTGCTTTGCTGATAAATTGATACGTCAGTGTCTGGTAATTTTATCGGTTTCCCATATTATATGCCAAAATGCTGCGTTTGCGATATCACTGACTTATAAGTACAAATGCTACAAATGTGATGGTCTTTAGGATGGGACTACAGGAATTTTTACCATTCTTTGTAATCATTCGCTCCACTGTGCATGTCTGCAGCATTGGTGCGATACAAGTTGTCCGATCTGCCGGTATTTCCAGACGCCGCCGACAACGGAAGAACAGACATGCGCTCAGTGCGGAGTGGTTTCTGACGTGAGGGGACTGATCGAGATATGAAATTGGTATTGTGTTTATGTTAAAAATTGAAAACGGTCTTTTAATTTTTACAGGATTTGTGGCTCTGTTTGATATGTGGTCATGTGGGATGTGGGCGTAATTCCGGGAAGCACGCATTAGTGTATGTGAAGCATTGCTCCGTTTTCCAGTAACACGTTCTGAGGTTGATGAAAACTTTTTGCTTTAATAGGCATTTTGAGGAAACTCAGCATCCGTATGTGTATAATATTAAAACGCAGAGAGTTTGGGATTACGTCGGAGATGATTACTTGCATCGGCTAATTCAACGTCATAGTGTCGACAAAATGGTGGAAATGATGGATAGATCAGGAAATATGGATCATGAAGCAACTGAATCTATGGCGCTCGAAGTATATTTGGTGCTGCTGCTTAAAGTTTTTCGTTTTTTTGTATAACAAACGATGGATTTACTGTTTGTGCAGTACAGTTATCTCCTCAACGTCCAACTGGAATCGCAACGGCATTACTTCGAATCAGAATTACGGAAGCAAAAGGAAGTGATTGAGACACAGAGACGGGAATTAGCCAGCCGAAAGAAAGAGCTTGATAATTTTGCAGCAGCCAGTGCGTTCGAGAAAAGGCGCCTCGAAAACCAAGTCAATCAACGTGAACTAACGATTAACAATCTCAGGAAAGAGAAACTGGATTTGGAAGAGAGATGCGGACAGTATAAGGAAGAAAACGATCGTGTACTACGCAAAGCGGAACCTACTCAAACTGGTCCGGAAGATTGTGCGGGTGTTACGGAAGAAAAGGAGGCGCTCGAGGAAAGGGTTAATCAGGCACGTAGTTAAGCTGCATTCCGCACTTTGAAGTTTAGGCGTTCTGAATGTTTCTGTTTGGCGCCTTGGATGGTTTTATTGTATTTTACACAGTTTTTTGTTTTTTTACGGATACCCCGCTCTTGTTTGTGGCTATTCCGTGAACGGTGTACTTTAAAGTCTTATTTCGCAAATATTACTCTTGATTGGTTTTTACGATTGATTACTTCTGTATTTGTTTCGTAGAAGTAATGCCTGTTTACTGTCAGGACACCATGTATCCAAATCTGCTTCTGAAACGGAAGAAGTGTCCGTACTCCGTACTAAAAGGTTAAAAAGGCATCTGTGAAAGGCAAAGTGATACATAAAACCAGAAAATCTTAGGATCAAACATCTGGATGCATTCAGAAGATTTCATGGGGCAAAATATTCTGTCCTTTTTGATCTGTGCTTTGAATTTGCTGAGTTGCTGGTATCCCTTCAGAAATATCGACACGGTAGAGGATCAGAAATGCAACAAAAACACTATAAATTGGCAAAAGTTGAATATTTTGATAGAAAACGGCATCGTACTTAGTTAGGTATGTAAAGTTATAAGCCTTGCATACGGTATATACTACGGGTAGTGCTACAATTGTACCCGTGAATAGCATTAATGGTTAATTAACAGCCTGACTGTACTTACATTACTACATAAAATACGATAATAAACAAGTCTAGGTCAACTTCAGCGGAAAATCTTTTTGAACGGTTTTGCTGTTTGCGGCACGATTGCGCAGTTAAAAGGCGACAGGAAACCGCCGCTATCGGGTGACTGACGCTGCGAATGATTAGTACTGTACCGAACAAGCTGGAACAAGTTGACTGGCAGTCTGGCAGTGACTGCACTGATAAGTGAACTGCATGGTTTGCGGTTTGCTGTCGTCCAGTCTGCCTGTTTTCACTTTTCCTTTTGATTTCTGCGATGTCGTGTTGGAGGATTTCTTTTGCTAACAGCGGTTGTATTTCTTACAAGTTCTTTTGAATCCTTAACTGAATATTTTGTTTATAGTTTCCATAACTTGTTCTACGTATGATTCCTCTCCGCTAAACCGTAGAACACCGTGTTACGGTTTTCCCGTGATCAGCTCGAATCTGAAGCACCTGTTGCTTCTTATCCATATTTGCTTTTTTTCTCCTCTCGTTTTCCACAATTGTGTGACAACCAGTTTTTCCATCCCGTATCCTCCCATAGCAATGATGCCGTCGAATCGTCGCAACACCGTCATGCAGCCGTCGACATCCCACTGTCCGCTGACCAAAACTCCGATCGAGATTCTGATCGTCGATGAAGAACTGGACTACAGCGATCCCGGTGATCTGCTCAACGCCAGCAGCACGAACGCCAGCGATCGCACATCGTCCACGGCTTCTTCCTCTATCAATGCCTCGCTACAGAGCACCCCGGAATCCGTTGAGATAGACGGAGGGAATAAAGAGAATCGAGGCGAGAAGCTGGTGCAGAGCATGCTGCAACATGATCGTTTTCATGAGGAATTGGATTATGGCGTCGACGAGGAGGATGAGGCGATCGCTGTGGATGAGGAAGAGATGGCGGCGGAAGATGGTGCAGTAGAGGAAGTGGGAGCGGATGGTATGGAGATGGCGGAGACGACGCTGAATCTGACAGGAGACGACCTGGATCGGTTTGTGGAGGATGTGGTGAATGGGTTGGCTGAAGGGAGTTGTGTCAATGAGGACATCGAGCAGGCCTTCAACTTCACGGGTACGGTGGCGTAATAACAATATTGTATTATTATTATTATTATTATGCCAATTTTGCTATGTGTTTATTACTGTAATCGTAATATCCTGTGTCTTTGTGAGCAAAATGAACGTCTTATAATTTTTTTAGTAATTAAGTTATTACGTAAGTATATAAAAACTGAATATGGTGAGAGCAAATTGTCGCACACAAATTATATCAATCAGATCGTGAAACTGCTGTTTGTTATTGTGTGCGCTTGGTGACTGAATGTGATTATTACACGGTAAATAAAAAAATCAGAAACCTGTTTACATAATCGGTAATGCGCGGTTAATGTGTTGAAGAATTTTGAAACTACTAGCATTAATTTTCGATGCGGGCGATATGGTTTCGGAGCATTGTTGCATTTTATCGTTTGCCGTGCGAATTATGTTGTTCGAGAAAGAATGCTATCTCTTTCACACGAGAAAAAATCATTAGAGCGTGACGAATGAGTATCTGATTTTAGATTCGGGTATCGGAAGCAGTTTGAGCGTAACCAGCGGTTCACCGACTGCGACGACAAAATCCACAACCGCATCCAATGCCTCGACTGCTACTCGCATCAATGACGCCATCCCGCGTCTGCCCGCTCCGCAGTCTCCGGAAATCTTCCCACCGGGGTACAACACTACGCCACCGGCTTGTGCTCATGCCGATATCACGAAGAAGCTGTGCTATCTGGCTTACCATGAACTGCCGGGATATCCGCTGTTACAAACCAGCTACACCTTTCTCAAGCGGCGCTATCCTCCCGTACGGCATCAGTTCCTCCATGTGTGCCACTATGAGACGGAGAAGGAGCTCATGCAGCGGTTGTGTCACTTTCTGACGGATACCTTTGATTACGATAAGGTGGTGATTATTGCGAAACGCAGTGAGCGGGCGGAGGATATTCGCAATGCGTTGAAGCATCTGTGTGATTTGGATTCGTTGCTCATTACGGGTAAGTGTTATCACTGTAAAAGAGTCGTCAGCGGCTACAGAGTACAGATGATAGCGCCAGATGCCAGAATATTTGTTTAAAAAACGGGTAAACCCAGATGCGCTAACGATAATTAGCTGCCCTAGACGGCAGCTTGAATTGATTAATAATTATATCGTGGAAATAATAATTATCTCGTGCAAAATAAGTAACAATTTTATCGTGTAAATTAGTTTTATCCTGCTGTCGGCATAATTATATCCGATATAGCAAGCATTGAGATTTCCAAATTCGAGGGTAAATGGCTTTGTCGAGATATGCATTTATCTTTATAGCCGGATTAAAGCGGTATTCTTATTGTTAGCCTGCTATTTCAGGCTGCCCGCGGCATTCGTCACAGACGTAGCAAATGTGTGAAGTGGCTATGGCGCTGACAGTCTCATTCAGCTTCATAACCGGCTTTAGCTGCAAAGCCTGTTTAAACTTCTAGCATTTTATCATCCATTATAGTACCGTAAGCATAGATATTTTCGTTGTGCCTGTGAATTGTTATAATACATGAGAGGCTTTTCTGTTATTATGCAGATGAATCTCCGAAGGAGCGGAATACGAAGATCTTCGATCATTTCCAGCGCGGCACACGCCGCATCCTCGTGTGTCCGGCCAGCACCCATCCACCGAGCCGGTGTCTATCCGGTGTTAATCTCGTCGTGTACTGGAACAGCCCGTGGACGGGAATCCATTTCGAGTGGATGCTGGACCGACTGCCCGCTAAAGCGCTCATCTTGATGGTGCTGAAGCAGCAGCATGACTGGAAATATCTGCAGCTGTGTAAAGAACGCTACGGGATTGTCTTCCCCGAATTGGATGTTGACTCGCGGAATGAGGATTATGCGGGATTTATTAACGCTCGCTTTCGCAAGGAAATCTGAGATTGCGCGACGCAATTGGAAGTTCCAGTTACGTGCGCCACCGGTGGTTTCTGGGCGGTGGTTTGCCGATGTAAAGGTACGTAACAGTGGCACCACTCCGTACTGTGTTGCGAATTTCTGTCTTCGGACTCGTCCCGGTTTATTTGAAGAACAGCTGCAGTCGCGGATATTAATATCCGCATATCGTAATTCTGAACGCTCTTACCCATAGAAACAGTGCTTTTATTCGTTCCAGATGTTCGTTCCTTTTACTATATATCCTCATTTGTTTTTTGTAGTTTTTATCGGAAAGCGCCAGAATTCGTCGTGAATCCCTGTACAATATAGTCGGTGGAGGACTGTGTAATTGAGAGTGATGGTGTCGCTTTAGTCTTCTATCCGCTTCTGTAGAAAAATCTGTACTTTGGTTGGAAACCTTTCATGTCGGTACTTACCAATTGTCTTTAGACTGTGAATTTGTGACATTTTATACTGTTTGATTCTGTTACAGATTACTCTATTTTGTCCGTTCCTCAAATCTAACCATCGAGGGCGATGGAAAATTATACTTTTTTTATGTTTGTTATCCTTTTAACTTGTCACTTTGGTTTTGTTTGAATAATTTAGTTTGTATTTTTTACAGTTACAAAAGAATCGATGCGATTAAAGCATTAGATGTACGTGCTAAACTTCGTTGGTCTGTTGCCTAAACACTTTTACGTAAATCCTTAATTGTGCTGAATGAAAAGCTGCAGTTCTTGAATTCGATTAATTTTCGTAACGGAAATAACGACGATAATGTTGTATTGGTTCAAATATTACATACCGGTTTTGAGTTTTGATATTAAATACAGAGGATCTGTATTATGTAAAACAGCGCATCTACGTAACCTCAGTTTTAATTCAGATTGGCACTTTGCAGTACAAAGGTCTCAAATTTCTATGAAAGAAAAGATCTGATTAATCGGCCTCAGCCGAGTCTGAGGCTATGAGCAGGCCCAATTATCAGAACATTTCGTCCAGATTATCCGAAGGTGTACTGTTCCCATGACAGAGACGGCGTTTCCCGCGTTGGAGTTCGATAATAATCTCAGTCACTGCACAAATACGAACAAAGCCCGTACCTACAACGGCATTTCTTCGTAAAATGTAAAGTTCCTCCGTAGAATTTCAAGGGTAAGTGCACTCTGCACCCAATGCACTGACTAACGACAACTACTTTGTGTTATAGCCGCACAAATCCGTATAAACGACGAACAAACACTGCAGTATTACATACATAGGCTAATGCAAATACACGGTACGGTAATGTGTGACTGGGGACACACTGAAACCAGTACTGCAAAAGCACAATTACCTTCTACTCAAAACTAGCACATTTCCTTGGCAATTTTTTTAATGCAGCGCATTCTGTTTTGAAAAACACCGTCATGAACTGTTAGAAAACAATCTCAAAATACTGACATTATTTGGCATTATCACCTTATTACAGAATTATTTCGGAATAAAAGGGCGTTAGTTCCATTTCGCGCATGTCTCACATTTGCATTTTGTACAACCGTAAATGCAACCATACGCTAATCTCTTTAACGATCCCGCGATAAACGCAACATCCCACATATCCTAATATCTGCCTTGAAATCAGTTCGCAACAAATTTCCCCACTTCTCGTTACTCGATCACGGTGCAAACGGCCGATCCCTCGAATAAGGAACTGCAAAAATATACAGTACACGCGGTCAGTGTATTAAAGTTTAAACCATAACATTTCAGATGCGGTATGAAATATTTCCAGTTTTTACACCAGCAAACAGAGCTCCACATTGCGTAAGATATTTTCTCACCCGTTCACTGGATCAGTAATAGTTCTGATAATCCCTGCTGTCGAATAAACACTGTGGATCGTCGCCTAACTCCCCTTCAATGTCCCTTTCCATTTCCAGATACTGACGCTCCAATTCCTCGGACGAGACATCACCGTCACTCTCACTGTCCGATAAACTTTCCCCGCTAGTAGGCAGATCTTCATAGCAGCACAGATGCTGCATATAAGGATCGACACCGGTGTGGCCGCTCATACTAGAACAAAAACAAACTATATAAATACAACACACACACTGCAATTCATCTATCTGGTTCAACGTTCATCGCCGCCGCAGAAAGCACGTAACAATAATCGTAAAACATACCGTAATCTTAGATCATGCAAACTGCACGGTTGCGGGGTTGTTTTGATGACAACAGCATCCTTCTGCGGTGCACCAGCTCCACCGTAATGTGGAGGAAAAAATGATTGCGCGCTAGGAGTGCACATTCTGCAACAACAGGAATTTGCTACACGATGTACCAGCAAATTAGAACCGATCAAATGAATCCCATTTTGTCGCTCACCGAGGATCCATTGGTTCGAAGGTATTCAGGAGCGTCGCTTGACGGCATGCCGTGACAACGGCATCCAGATCGTTATTGTAGCGATTACAGAGGAACGTCAGATGATACGTCTCCGGCTTCAGGGAAAAGCCAATATCGGGGAACATTCCCGTCTTCCAGCGGGACACGGCAACGTAGACCGACCAGTAGTCGATGTGCGGTAAGCAAGCGATCTGCATTAATCCGCGATGCTGCATTCGATAGCCAGACATTCCCTGCAAATCACACCAAAGTTATCGTCAATACTATTGCTTATTAAGTAATTAGCTGTAATTTACGAAAACCAAAAGAACAAGCGTTTATACTAGGAAAAATGCACGTTGGCGTGCATTTGGCAGACCGGAGCGCAGCATTTCCTTGGAGTACTGTATAATACTACAAACTTAGTTTTGAGCACTTAATTATTTGATCAGTCAGAGTACTTTACTTTATGTATATGTAGAATAATAAGATTTTATATTATTTTGCAAAAGGACTTAGCAACATAAACATGCACTTCCAATTACTCTTTGGAAATGGCTTTCGTAACAACCTTTCGTAACAACTTCTCGTAACGACCTTTCGTAACGGACAGAAATCAACGAAAGTATTAGTCTTGAATATAGAGGACCTTCGCTACGCTCCGGTCGACCAAGACGACTCTGATTTGGCAAGGTAATTTAGTCCATGAAATAGGCTTTTATTTGTGACAACGTAAACGTTCCCGTTGGTACACACAGTAAGTAATTACTAATCAGATTTTCACAGTGAAATTAACTACGGTTGTAAAGTGTAAACTGCTCAATTTTAATAGCGTCTATGGTAACATTTCCACCAAGCGAAGAAACGACTAACGCGAGGCGATTAGAAACAGCGTTTTCGTTACAAAAACTGGCATCCTCCATTAAATTCACCCACAAAATTAGTAACTCATGCAATAAAAAGTTAAAAAGTTATTAAAAAAGTACATTACTTTCAAAAATAGTAACTCACCATCGGTCCAATATTGAGCGTCTTCCTAATGGCCACCTCCCAGAGACTGACGGCATTCTGTTGAAAGTTTCTCTCCCATTGACGGTCGCTTGATGGAGTGGTCATCCATCTGGGCGGATCAAAATTAATTTTCCCCCACCGGCCAACCACATCGTCCAGCTGCTGCAGTGAAAACGACCAGGCCGTCGCGTCCACTTTCCTGTCGTTGTATGCCGTCAGACTGCCATCGGATCGCTGCAGATCCACGCCCAGCTCCTTGCCCAAGTGCTGCAGCGCCAGATACAGGGTCTGACGGTACATCTGCATGTGGCTGGGCACATCGGACCCGTGGACCATCGAGTTGCTGCGGCACAGTTGCTCTACAATCACACAAGCACTACAGTACTCGGCCGTCATCAGTGTGATTGCGCCCCAAATCTTTCTGACACCATCTTCACACAAAAAACCGCATTTTCACAGAACTTTATTTCAAAAACGAAGATCAACTGCAAACTACGTAGGCTAGTAAGAAATTTCACTAATAAAATGTTTATCGACAGCGGCGCTGTCGTCCCAGCGCTGAAAATTTCTTGAAAAATTGGTAAACCAGATAAAACTTAAACAGTAAACGACAGTTATTGGTCCGTACAACGAAAACCAGGCTGGTCCACGCTGCAATTTCGATAAATCAGCGAGAAAAGTACCGTACTATTAAAAGGCAGTTGGTAAAGTCTAGCGGACGCTCCTACCTGCGCGCGTTTTATTCAAGATTTCCATGATCAGCTTGCTGGTGGGTTTGCAGGCTGCGTCGGTCGAGGGAGTTTGTGGGGACTGTGTTTCGTGAGATCGCCGCATGGTTTTTGGGACTTCGACAGTTCGACTACCCTATTAACAAACTGGGACTACTGTGTTAAAACTACAATCAAGGTAAACCTTGATTGTAAGATGTATGCAGCAGATGGATTCCACACAATAAGTAATTATGCTATACAAAAAGAGAAAACGTTCAGTTACAGACTGTAACTTACAGTCGTATCTGTGTTACTTTTGAGGCAGCTCAGGCAGATAAACGATTTTTGTAATCGGTTTCGAATTCTCATTTGAATTCACATAAATCCCATCCGCACTTCGTACGGCACGGGGTTTAAAAGCTTACCAAGTACGAATTTACTAGTATACTTCGTACCTACAGACGATACAGTAGACTGAGTACAGAGAGCTTAGGTTTTGTTCGTATGTTGTTGAACCAGCCATTCTTCGAAATTTACTGGACGCAAATTTTTAAAGTTGTGAGCCAAGACAGGTTAACGACGAAGTAAACAATAGAGGAGAAAAGGGGCTGGTCTAGGTTTGCGCTTCAGCCAATCCCGCACGCCCGTTTCTAGGTTGATGAGCAAATGAAATCTTCGAGTTCGGAAGAATATACTGACGATGAATACTGATCATTTGTCTAGCCAGTCTCATTCTTGCCTGCGCTCCGACTTGTCCTAGCATTCTCATCGTCAGACGTTATCCTGATCAACGGCTTTTTCGCCTTGTTATTGTTTTTACGTTTCTAATTTTTTTAGCCTTTTACAGTGTACAGCCAGCTTCATTGAATAACCATGGCCTCTCTGACTACTGCCAGCGGAATCTGGTGCCATCGCCCGCTCGTTGAAGCCGTGGCCTTACGACACCCAAAGATCGTTGATCTTCCGTTTATCCCGCTGGTATGGACGGGATCTGTGATGACCCCGCACATCTTGGGATCGTCTTTCTCCACCAAGGTGAGCAACTCATCGTCCGTATAACGAGTAGATCTTTTTCCGTTTTTGCGCTGTAGTTTCCATACGATTTCGCAACAATTTCAGTATGCAGTACTTCGTTTGAGCGTTGTAGGTTTGTTTCGTATCATCGTGTGTGAGGTGCTTCATGAAATTTCAGATATTTATTCATAATTACTGGGAAACAGTTTGCTGAGCAGGTGTAGTCGTAAAATCGCCGAGTAGTAGACTAATTATGGATGAACTGCTACAGCATAATAAAGGATAATCTTCGGAATGTTTCTGACTTCCTTTTTGGGGTACTGTCGTTACTCGTAAGTATCCGTTCTGTTTGTGCCTAAAATACCGCTGTTTCATTATTTTAACGCACAGGAATAGTAGGCTGTTGGTGTTCTGGGTAATTCAGACATTAACAGGGCCCGCTCAGGCTCGCCTATCAGAAAAATAGTGTGATTGATGCAGTTCAGTACTGTACATACAGTATCAGCATCGATACTGTAATCTTTCGTTGTTTCTAAATACTTCAAATTCGGAAATGAAAAAAATGCTAGTATGATACTGCTGTTCACCTTTCTGAAACAAATTACAATTTCAGTATTGTACTACATCTCGAAAAATTTTTCTGATTATTCAAACTTTTTTCAGAACCACTAATACCATGAGTAGGAACTAGGAATCTACATATCATAAATTATTTTTAAAATTTACGGTAACTGCAAAAGTTTAATCTGGAATTAGGAGTTATTGTTCCAGGAATAAAGACGTAGCGATTTATGAATCTACAGATACCGCATCATGGTCCGCATGCGTACGTAAGCATCGCAGTTTAATTGCCGTACTTCGCCATTCTCATTATTTTAATCAACACCGCTGTAGAAATCGTTACTACATAATTATGCCCTTTACGGGAGCTTTGCACTTTGAAGTTTGAATAATTCTAAGCATCACATACCGACCGCCGTCGGTGCTCGTTTTTCATATAATGAGAATAAGCGGTTACAGTGAGTCGCTTCAATATACGTACCCATGAAGCCAGACAGAGAGAAAGAGAAGAAAGACTACTGTCTACACGGCATCCCCCCTCTGGATCAGACCAAACATTTGTCACTTGAAGATTACGGAAAAGATCTCAAATGTGCTATTGAATCAAACGGGATCTCTGTCAGATTTGTGTCTATTTATTCTGCTAAAAGTGGTCGTAAGAACAGCTTTTGTTTGCGCGTGTTGGTTCGTTTGCCCATGAATCAGACAAAATGTTCTCTCCTGAAAACTGGCCTCCTAACATTGGGGTGCGTGAGTGGCTGTTTGCCCCCAAGGAGGGCCAGCAGTGTCAGTCTTTGTTTGCTGTTTAAATTTTGAATCATTTTAAGTAGTTTCTACCTGCGCAAGCTCATTGTTATCTGAATAGGCCATTGCCAAATAAACATCATATACGTACCTGAAGCATAATTTTTTTGGTTACTTTTTCTAGACGAAAAATCGATTTTTATTCGTTCTCGTTATTGAATATACATGTTAAAATAATTTTCGAGTTTTTTGTAGGTTTTCGTGGGTGGTGTGCCGTGGGATATCACGGAAAAGGATCTGCAGTCCGCTTTTGCCTGCTTTGGAGCGGTAAAATTCGAGTGGCCGGTCGGGTTCGGACCAAAGAGCGCTGGCAAAGCACGGGATCTGCAGTCGTCCCCACTGCGGGGACCGAAATATGGTAAATCGTTCTGTTATTTTTTAATATATATTTCTCGTCTACATCTCTGGCGCCGGAATACTGTCGAGACATAATGATATTTCCCGTTATTTTTGAAATAGATGCATATTTAGAATTCTATCCTGCACACTTTCGTATATATGTGCATAAAGCGCAGGTGACCAACGGACACCATAGTTTGCAGTGTCTTGAGTCATATAATTATACGACCAGCTATCTTATGCGCATTTGATAGTAGGGAAGCGCATATACAGTTTGTGCATTCGGTGGCGGTGACCAACGGACGCTACATTTTTCATGAACGCTGAACATGGGGACCTTCGCTACGCTTCGGTCGATAATTTAATCCGATATATTTTTTTAGGTTATCTCTACCTGATTTTTGAAACGGAAAAGTCCGTTTTAAATTTATTAGGATCCTGCACGTACGAGGTGGAAAGACAGGGTCCCTGTTTTTTCTACAAGGTGAGTGCCTAATAATTAATTTCGTTTATTTGTGGTAAATTTTTCCTGGTGCCGAATTCGCAGTTGTTTATTCAGGTGTCCAGCGAGAAAATCCAGAAAAAGGCTGTGCAGATCATCCCGTGGCAGCTGAACAACGGGAAGTGGGTGCAGCCTGGGTATGTGCCGGAGGTGGATGAGGATGCGCCGCAGAGAACGGTGTTTGTGGGCGGGATTCACGGTCAGATCACGGCGGGTTCCCTTGCCCGCATTATGATTCAGTTGTTTGGGCCTGTTGGGGCGGTGGAACTGGACACCGGTGAGTTCACCGCGTTGTTTAACTTCATGGTGTGCTTTAGCTACTTGAATGCTGATCATGAATTAATTAGCTGGTGTTTTGGTATATCTGCAATTGTACTGACGCTTTTTGTCCCATTAGTCATTAGCAGAAATTAGTTTCAAGATTATTATAAAAATGAGGGCGCTGAAAGTGAAGTTGAGCCTGAAACTGCAGATTATTGAATGATAGACTGTTCACTTACAGAAAAACATCGTTTCCTCTGAGTACTCGATAATTGTCACTCTGTAGTCTGTACTTACCGGGTGGCTGAAGAAAACTGCAGTTTCCTGTTTGGTTTTTTTCTCGCAGGCCCTTTGTGGCACCGCAATCTTTTAAGGTTCAGTCGATAGAGAATTCTATTAGCTACAAACATTAGCAAAACGTTTTTCAAAACATTAAGGCGCCTTCGTCCCCAATGATGCCGGTTGAAACTGCAAATTTTTCATGTCCCAGCTCGCAAAACCTAGAATCTCGTACCATTTATTTTCCGTGCGGACTTTTTGAATAATTCAAGCTGTTTTATTTAGCGAAATAGATTTTCTTTTAATAAAAAAAAGTCGCTGGATGAGTTATGCCCGTCATGACAAATTTTGAATTTTCAGAGAAATGCCGATTTGTATTTTTTGTGAAACTTTTTGGTGGCATGGCAGGTTGCAACAGAAATGATGATTTATCGTTCAACTGCAGATAACACGTTGCCCTTTCGGACACAAAGTTGAATCAGGAAAGCTTTTACAGCGTTGATCAGAAATTTGCTCTCAAATTAAAATTGCGGATTTCATGAGAATTGCTCGTGCCGCGTGCGAAGTTTCTTTGTTCCGTGCAATGGCCAAACACTAGTGAATATTCAGTTCCTTACATTTGAAAAACGAGAAACAATCCCTCTACCTGAAACAGTAAAGTTAGCTACATTAATGTCCTTACCATTAGTTGAACAGCAGGGATTTTGAATTTAGAATGGGCAGTTTTAAATTTTCGATGCCAGGACATTCTCCAAACCCACCCAGGTGTTCCAAGCAGTTCATAAAAAAATTCAGCCCTAGGATAATTTGCACCGAGCGCGAAGCGCGAGGTGCTGCATTAAGTCTTCGAATTCGTCAAGAGCATAAAATTTGTCTGACGCCACGAAGAGCGTACGTCACGCTTTTCCAATTCCACAACCCCAATACCATTTCCCAGTGGTATTGGCGCTCGCGCTCGTGCAATAATGTGGTTCGCAACCAAGTCAAACTTAATTATCCTACGGCTGAATTTTTTTATGAACTGTTTGGAACACCTGGGTGGGTTTGGAGAATGTCCTGGCATCGAAAATTTAAAACTGCCCATTCTAAATTCAAAATCCCTGCTGTTCAACTAATGGTAAGGACATTAATGTAGCTAACTTTACTGTTTCAGGTAGAGGGATTGTTTCTCGTTTTTCAAATGTAACGAACTGAATATTCACTAGTTTTGAGATTATATCGATTAGGTGTTGGACGGATCCAGCGCACCATGGTAAATGACACTACCATTTTGCTCAGCCACCCGGACCCGGTACATATTTCAGAAGTCACAATCGTTAGCTGCTTGATTGGCGCTATACAATATTTATTTTACTGAGAATAATAGTTGTTAGGTTTTTTGTATTGAGTTTAAAATTTGAGTACAGTATTGTTAATTTTATACTTTCAGTCGATGCTGCTTGTTGCATGCCGGTGTCAGTTTCAGATTGTGGGTCAATTCATTCTGAAACTAACACCTGAAATTCTGAAATTAACACTTGGTGTCAAATTGTCAAAAAAATTTGAGTTCCCATTGAATTGTTTTGCAGATAAGACGCGCTATCCCATTGGATCCGGGCGAGTGGTATTCCGGGATCTGCGCTCGTACATGACGGCGGTGCTGTTCGGAGCGGTGGAACTGCGCACCAACCGCTTCACCAAGACTATCCAGATCGACCCGTTCCTGCACGATAGCGTCTGCAGCGTCTGCTATCAGAAGGTTGGGCCCTTGTTCTGCCGCGATCTGGCCTGTTGCCGCTATTTCTGCAAGGAGTGCTGGGAGTGGGAACACTCTGTGGTGGAGCTGCTGCGGGGCCATAAACCCATGATGCGCACGTCCCGCATCACCGGAAGTATCGGCGCCCCGGACAAGTCACTGTCGCCCCCGCAAAAGCCCCTGCTGCAGTCGTGCGTGAAGGCGCTGTGAGCGTCACCTGTTTTTGGAAACGCCTGGCGATGCTGCACCCCCGCTTGCTTTTAGGCTTTTTTACGCTTTTTATGCTTTTTTAACTTTTTTTACTTATTTATCCCGCATTTTTCTTTATATTTATGCGCGGCTATTTTTTGTTTATATTATTTATTGCGTGAACCGTGCCTTGCCCGTTGGTCACCGCGATGTGCGGCAAATTTTGTCGGCGTTGTGCCTGGTCGTTCCAATCCCCGTCGAAGCAGACTCAGAATTTTGAGTACCTTACTTTTTTAACTATTTGAATGTTTTTAATTTTGAATGTCGGTGGCCGCCGTTGATGTTTGCCAGGCTTGAACATTGAATGCTGTACGATATGTTTACGAAGTTTTGTGTACGATATTTGTGAATTCGGGTTTACATAATAATATCAATGCCGATTGTGGGAATCTAAGTAGTTGTATGATATGTGCAGTGGATTAAAATCACCCGGAAAAACGGATATATTGTTCTTTTTGTTGCATACTCTCGATTGCAGATTAAAATCGATTTGCTGGTAAAAATGGCAGCGCAGAGATTCTCCAGCACTACCCAAAATTATTTGCGAATACTTGGAAATCTGTTCATTTTCCGTTTCCCTGCCGTTGCCGTTGTTTATTTAATTCGATATTAATTTTTATGATTCGAAATTAAGAATGGTTGTCGCTTGTTTTTGTTGGTTGAGTCCAGCTGACTGTATTCATTTGATGTTAGCTAAGTGTTCATTTGTTAATTTTTCTTAGTTTTTTGTAGTCTTCGTCTCAAAAGTGCTACTACAAACTACAGAAGTACTCTAATTAGCAATTTAGCATGCAGTCATGCAGTATTAGCGCTTAGCGGTAACGCAGTGCTGGTATCAGTAAAGCGTAGTGCAGTGGCTGTTTACCATATTAGCCTTCATGATTACAAAGCATTCACTTGGTGACTTGTGACTATAAGTATAATCGTGTGTTTAAATTTTAATATTTTAATCCAAATATTGTTATACTGTCTTTGTGTCTCACACTGCTAGTTTTTACAGTGTTCTCATTGTTCTGTTTTATTTTGTGATGTTTGTCACGGAAAATAGACCCTATTACAGCAGTGTGGTAATAGCTCAACGATTTCGTGTTTAAAATGATCGCAAGGAGTAGGATTTCCATCTTCGTGCAGCCCTGGAGGCATGAGAACTCGTTGGTTCACTTTTCTAGGTGCGTCGAATCTGGCTGGAAATTCATCCCAGTTGCTTCTCGCTGCATGCTCGTTTTCTGTTTTATCATTGTTTTATGATTCATAGATTAAGTTTCCCCGTTACGGGACGGCGGTATCTGACGCAGAAACAGATGCGGAGTCCCAAATATCGGACCAAAGTGGCGACGGAGAGCGCTGTACGCGACATCACACTGGCAGAGAATCTCTCCGAGGATATGGCCGATTTCACCACGGGGTTGTGCCCACGATGCCTAATTTCACGCTGTGGTACAAAATGTTTACGGAGGTTACCCGCGGCGCCGATGTCTATGTTGGCGTGGAAGGTGCGTGTGAGGTACCCGCATAATTCAAGAAAGTGGCCGCGAGGTTCGCCGCGCGTTTTTTCCCCGCATTTTACATGATGTTTTTATTGATCACAATAGTTGTATTTATTTTATTTGTTTAGTAATTTATATGATTTTTTATAATCGTTTTACATTTTTTTGGTAATCTATGTTGTACTTATTTTTATAGTTATTTTAAATACGAAAATAAAACTGTTAAATCAATATATAAATCAATAAATAAATTATACATGAAGTCAAATATTAATCTGCTAATAAAAGATAAGCGAGTTATTAATAAAATTAATACGTTGTGAACCTTCGGATTGAAAATGCGTGGCGAAACTCGCGGACATTTTTGTCGGAATTAAAATTAACATTTTCTTTTCTTAACATTTAGAATGGGATACCTTCATAAAAACCTACCAGTTGCCCGAAACCAGACGCCGCGACGCCATATTCGGCAGTCTGATGAGCCTGGCCACCAGCTACAAATACCAGAAGCTGGGGAATTCCATCCGGGATTATTTTCTCAAAACCAACACGCCCATGCCGATTGTGATTGCCGCCAAGTATGTCCAACTGTGTGGACGACTGGAGGGCCCGGAGCGGGAGGAGAAGGTGTTGCAGGCTTATGCGGAGCTGAAGAAGCTGAGTCGGCTGGGGATTTTCGATGCGACCACGGCGCAGACGGTGATTGATGCGCTGTACCGGACCAGCCAGTGGAAAGAGTGTATTCGCCTCCGGGAGATAATCCAGGTTTTAGGTGGGAACATAAAAAAATTGAAAATAGTTTTGTTGATTTTTCTACGGATTTACTGTGTCTAAAATGTTACAGATAAGCGCCTATAATTTTTTGGAACTTTTGCTATTTGTTGGATTTTTTGCTAAATTCTGTGTTTATTTCTTTAATTTTTACCAGTATTCAAACTGTTTATGATTTCATTTCTCGCTTCTGACGCAGTTCATGTGCTTTTTTTAGGGTTTTGCCCACAAGTTTTTTCCCAGTAATTCGACTGGATTAAATTTAGTCCTGAAAAATACATATATAGTATGCATTTTAGCGTATGTTGCTTGTCAGCAGAACGAAGAAGCTGAGGACAGCAACCATTATTTTCTTAACCGTTTTAACTTTTAACACGAAACGATTGTTCCTCATTGTTTTATTACTTTTTTGGTGTGTTATTGTTTTTGAGTTCGATTGTATAATATGGAGATCTGCATTGCACAAGATGATTTTCCATTTGTATTTGCAATTTTGTCAAGTCCATCGGTTATCTGTAGACGCAGTGGGCCCGACTGTCAACGGGAAGATTGTCGCCGGGGCGTTCCTCCATGATGATCCGGACACAGCCGGGGAATTTCTGCGAGTCATACAGACGGCGAAGCAAGCCCTGATACCTGTTGCTCTGATTGCCTGGTATGATTATGCGTGCCGCATCGGGCAGGTAGAAGTGATGAAGATGCTAGAGCACACGCGTAACGCCGAGTGGTTCATTCCGCTGGAAGTGGCTAATAAATTGAAGGCCAGGATGGAATCGCAGGCGGACGAAGATGGGTACAGATGGCGAGGACGTTTTACGACCATTTCTATGAAGTAAGTAAAAATGATGGATATTTAGCTCATCGAAAAATTTAGAACTCAACAAAGTGATACCGGATCCAGCAAAATCGGCAGCATTTTGTAAACCACCTGAAAATAACTGACAATGTGATTGCTGAAAATTCTTAATAAGAATTTTCTTAAGAATAGATAGTTTCATTGCAGCATGGATATTTTTAAGCACGCAAATGACTAAAGTACCGTTAAGTGTAAATTAACTGCGTAATGCTTACAGTCATTAACTGTATAATGACTTTATGAACTGCACAAAAGTTGGCAGTTTATCGATGTAATAGTGTCCTGTCGGAAACGAGTGGCATGATTAAACTCGCTGCTTGTATGTAATTTTGTATCATTTGAAGATAAAATATGTTAATTTTCGCTGATGTTTTCTGAATGCCATTTTTCAGTATTAATTTTTAGAGGCGAATGCAAAGCGTGTGGAGCCTATCTGGAACCGATTACCATCACCAAGGAAGAGTTTCTAAAGTTGCGGGATAACTTTTTTCGGCTGGTCGTGGAAACATCCGACGTCTTCTTACGCAGTAATCCGAAGGAAGTGGCTGAGTTTCGGGAGTTTGTGGAGATAAATGCCCCCTTTGATCTGGTTATCGATGGACTGAACGCGGCCTATTTTCAACACGAAGCGCAGAGGGTCACCTCCAGGAAGTTAGCCGAAAGAGTAAGGAAATATTGGAAATAAAGTCGCAGATGGTTATGGCGGTTTGCCACGTTACTGGCGATATAATCCGGGGCTGTATATCGTTTCTTACAGTGGAAAATAAATTAAGCGGCTGTAATTTACGTTAATATTTATATGACCCGCAGTTGTGACATAGGTTGCATTTTGTATGCGTCTTTGAAAACGTCTGAGAATTCTTCGTTGAAATCTCCGTTGAAATTCGTGTTTCTTTAGCTTCGCATGGTCGTGGAGTATGTAACGACGAGGAATGTTGGCCCGAAGAAAGTGCTGGTGTTGGGTCGGAAACACATGCGCAGTTGGCCCATTGATGAGATGCGCAGAATTTCACGGGCGGCGAAGCTGTTCTACGCGGAAAACATGTGAGTTGGCATTTCTTGGTTTTTACAGAGTTTGTAGCATAGCAAAATAAACGATGGTTTGCGGTAAAGAGCGTCGCTGAGTTAGTGCTATAAAAAGTTTTGATGTGGTAGCCTTGTTAATTTTGTTGCTGTTAAACATTGCTGAACTTTGGATGCGCTTGCTTGTTGAAAAGGTAATTGTATTTGGACCGGTTTTGATAGCGATATTTGCGTGTACTGTGTATCTGTTTCTTTATTTTAGTACGTAAGAATTATTCGTTTTACACCTACGGATACGTACATGTAACTTAGACTTTTTATTTAATGGTTGTTTTATTGTCTTGTGGATTTGTTGTGTTGTCTTTTATCTGTAATTGCAATTTGCAGATCACAGGATGATCCGTTTCTGTTGTACGCCGCGCTGTTCAGTGGACCGCAGTGTGATTTCATGTCCAGTGATCTGATGCGGGATCATCGTTTCAAGCTGGAATCCAAGGAAAACCAAGATGCTTTACAGAAGGTGTTCCTGAAATGGCAGCGAACACATCAACTGCAGATTCTCAAAGTTTTCCCAGATGGTACAGTTAAACTCAAGGTATGCATAACGCCTGGTGGCTGCTTTTTGTCGGGTAATGTAATTTGCAGAAAAGAAACGATTGCTCGGTTAGCTAAACAAGAAACAGATCGCTAATGGTACATTTTATGCGCAGATGGTAATTATTCCGTCAGTGACTCAGTCACTGACTCACGTATAAATGATGTAAACTTTTGAAAACTGTATTGTTTTTGGGGCTCACAGCACATTTACTAGGTGCCCCGAAGTTTTCAGGCGCATAGAAAAGCCCTTCCGTATTGTTTTTAATGTAAACTTTCTGTTTTTGGTTGATTGATCATTCTATTGGTTCTTTTGTAGCCTCCGATGCGGTTTGATACCGTCGCGCAGTGGACGAAGGATTCCATGCATATACCGTACGAGAGCGGTGTTCCGCGAGGTCTGCATGAAATCCCGACGAATTGGCTGTGTCTGACGAAAGGTTCCGCCGACACTACGCGGATATAGGGGAAGCTTAAAGAAAATCTTGAAGAAAATGTTTTGTCTCAACCTGTGATGATGCAGAAGCTGTTGCTGTTGTGGTACTTAAATTAACCGATTTATACCCATTGTTTTCTGTATATGTTAACTTTATGATGCTGAATGCAAAATTTCTGCCATAAATGCGCTCTTCAGAAAATAAATTCAAATAACCAAGTCAGTTTTCATCGTTATTATGTACAATTTGTTACACAGTATTTTGCGGCATCTTCTTATTTTGCTTTTTCATTATAACTGTTTTGCTTTCAATTCCAAATGTTGATTACAGGTTATTATTATTACATAACTAAGATTATCTAGAACAATATCTTGATACATACTAATATTATTACGTATCTTATTGTTTTAAATTATTCTCAGGACAGCGTTACCTTAGAAATAAGCCTTGTTATATTCAAGCCGTGATCGGAATTGGTCTGCATTATCGTTATAGTTTATTTTGAAGGTTATCACACAGCAGCATGCGTCCGCCGTACGACTCGACCATCCGCTGTCCGAAGCACAGCGATCACTGTTATCCCCAGCGGCGCAATCCCTCCCTGGCCTCCTCCGACACCAGCCTGACCAGTTTTTCCGAACCGACCACCCAGCCCCGCGCGGCCACACCCACCACTCCACCTGCAAGACCACCAGCGCCCGCTACCACACCCTCCCCACCGACACCCACCTCACCGAGCTGAAACGGGTCAAACAGTATGTCCGCGACCTCCAGATCGAGATCGCCACGCTCCGCCAGAACCAGCTGCCGCCCGCGGAGGTCTGCGAGGAATGCCAGCGACACCGGCGGAAACACGCCACCACCAAACACCACCTCGGCCAGCTGCGCCAGCAGAACACCGAATTAAGCAGCGCCCTGGAGGAGGCCAATAAGGTCATCGCCGAGCTCCAGGACGAGAACACGGCGCTGTCGCATGCCACCCGCACGCTGAAGAAGAAAGCGGAGAAGCTCCTGCATCTGGCGCAGAAGCGGGATGCACTGCGGGAGGAGACCCGGCAGCTAAGTGGGGGCGCCACCGGCGCCGGGTGTGCGCATCGGCATTGTCAGCCGGGTGTCGGTCAGCGGGAGAAATACGCTGGACGGAAGAAGCAGCTGCGGAAGGAGCATGAGGAGGATATCGTGAAGAAGAAGTGGGAACGGTTCCGCAATGAAGTGGCCCATCTGAAAGGTCAAGATTATATGGAGGCGCCGCCGCGGCCGGTCCGGGATGATCCGGCGGGGATGATACCGCGCGCGCCGGATAACTGTCAACGACATCATGGGGATTATTATGCTGCCCAGCCGGCGGGGAGTGTTGGATTACAGCATCCACGCACTGCGGATGCCATGCAGATGATGCAGCCGGAGGAGACCACGCGGGGAATTAATATTAAGCCAGGTAAGAATTAATTCCGTGTAAAGGATTATGCATCGCATATAAATACACAGATACAGTGAGTGAGTGCTACGACGCAGTACATAATCCATATGAGGAGTAGAAACATCAACGCTCGATGTGGAGTTACATAAATAAAATTACTATGAAATTAATCATAGTTATATTTGTAATATACGATGCAGCTTTTACTTACTACGGTATAACGTCCTAATTGTAGTTAAAAATAAATAAATAAGATCGATGTATGAGAGTATAAGGAGACTGAAGGATTTTAATTAAGTACTTCGTTTAATCGCTCGACATTGTATTGGTAACAACATGTTACACATTTACACGCTAACAGTGCAGTATATGTATGATGTTGTAGATTAAGGATTTTTCTGAATAAGTTATAAGCGCGTTATAACTGCAATATCATGTGGCGTTTGGACATCTACCGGTTTTCATGATGTAGTATGGAAATTCGATATCCTGACTCCTGAGCAACGTCAGAGTCATAAGGTTTCACACGGTGTAGGAATTTTTCTAATCGCTATTCACTCTGTAGATTGAACTAGATGTATCAGTGAAAAGGTACTTATTTTTTATTTGCATTTACAATCCATAATAATCTAGCCATAAGTTTAAAAAATATTTCGAAAAGGTACTGTACTTGTTCCAGCACATAACATCAGGCTGTTTTAAGGTTGTTGTCACGTTGGAGATTGCCTGACCGCTGTCATCGCACTACGTCATATCACTGCACATACATAAACAGCATTGAATACTTATTGTTAGTTTATCACTATGCGTATGAAAAAATGCACGAATTACAGCATCAAACAGGAAAACGTGGGATCTGCTAATATTAATTATAGTATTTATAGTTTATTTTCCCCGCCTTTAATATTAATTTTGCAGGCTACAAACGCTGCTGCAACAACCCCGCCAACCACACTCACGACGGCTACACCCCCTACCCACCCGAGCGGCAAGCCGCCCGTCCCGTACCGACGCACACCAGCCACACCGCCGCTGCCGCGCCCCGCAAAAAGGTCATGTCGGCGACGGAGCTGGACAAATGGACGCGCTTCTACGCCAAGAAACAGGCCGGCGACGCGCGCCGCCAACAGCGCACCGCTGCTTACCTGGCGCACTACACCCCACCTGCGGGCGGGCGCCACCCGGAGCGCACCATGTCGGCCGGCGAGCGGCTGGAGCGTTTCCGGCAGCAGCACCCGGTGGCGGGGGGTCAAGGCGGCGGCGCGGCGGACGATTATGCGGAGCAGCATCCGCGGAATGTCTCGCTGGCCGGCACGGATGCGGAGAGTAAGGACCGGGGGGAGGGGCCGGCGGAAAGCGCGGTGGGTAGTGAGAGTGAGGACGGCTGCTTCGCCGAGGGACAGAGTGAGGGCGTGCCGGAGGCGGAGGGCTTCGACAAGGACGGCGGACTGGAGTGTGTGAATGCGCCGTTGCGGGAGATTATCTGCCAGATTGATTCCATGGCTAACGCTTAAATTATGCGGAATTAAATTATTTTTTTACGGTTTTACATTAGTTTTACGGAATTTTATGACCCATGGCCAACGCTTAGATTATGCGGCATTAATTGATTTTTTGATGGTTTTACGTTATTTTTACGGAATTTTAATAATGATGTGGCTTTTAGCTTGGCGCGTATGGCTTTTTTTATTTAAGTCTTAGATGTTGGCGGTGGCGGTAGCTCTGACCTTATTTAGTCGATACGCCTTGGCGCCTGCCCGGTTATTTAATGGCATTCATTTAATCGATATATTTACCTGGCCGGTTAAATTTTCGCTCGAGTTTGATACTCGAAAATTATATTATAACGATTTAATGTGCACTTATCATGTAAATGCTTTTTCGGTTGACTGTGCATTAAACTTTGTGAAAGTACTGACGAGTGACCTTTGTGAAATTTCTTTGGAGAAGCATGATGCATACACTGTAGCTAAGTATTGGTGACTGTAAATGTGCACTTTATCAAAAGCGTTCAACACTAGCAAAAAGAGCATTATGGTATTCCACTTTTGTATCGACGGAAATCGCCACAAACCACTAAACAGTGCTGGGTTTTAATGACGTGAACTTACATATTTCTGGGATTATTTTAGATGTTCACAATGACGTCGAAATGCTACACAGATTATGTAATTCTGACAGTTACAACTACGCTGTAGCACTTGTACTGCGCATGTTGACGACTTGATGCATCATAATGCTTGGTCAAATTTTTACTTACCTGTAAATTTTATTTACTCTGTTTACTTAGATTTTACTATTTTTATTACTTAATTTTAAACGCTAAGGTCTGTAACCGTAGTTTAGTAATTTTATAAACATTTTTGCACCGCGCGCATAGAACTTTTGACGCAATGCCGGAGCATAAAAATATCGCTCCTGAGTAGCAGAAAACATTTCTGGGAATTTCTGGCACTGACCTTTATTACTGAAACCATGTACTGTCTAGTGCAAAGAAGTCCAGCGATTAGTAGCAGAAAAAGGTCATTCGTGATGGTTCATTCCTGGTAAGTCCTGGATCTGTCTGCGTAAATCACCGCTACGCAGCTGTATAAGTTTGTCAACAACCTCGCGGCGCTACTTGAGCGATCGCGTCCACAACGGAACATCCCGTAGTTGTATTTTTATATTCCTGGCCAGATACGTATTCACAGTATTTTCCGGATGTGCATTAATAACGTCATTTATATATTTTTAACAATTTATTGTACAGTTACCGCCTATGTTGAAAACATTGCCGATATACAATTCGCTTGTGCTGCTGGTTGTATCCAGTTTTGGTATTATCATTTACCGGCATTTACGAATCATGGAATAGTAGATACTCTTTTCCGTTTAATATTTTCTATTATACAAAGTGGGTTATCAAGAGCACAGGCAGGTAAATCTTCACAAATACAGATATTATACTGTATATATTTTTCTTGGTTAGGGTTGCCATTTTAGTCATTTTTATACTGTACACTGTGAGTAGGGGCAATTGATTGCTATAATATGATCATGCAACGCTTTCGGTATATACAAACGCTTCTGTACACTCTCGGCATCCTGACGCTGGCCGGTGGACAGTTGACCTTTAGTCCCCGCTACGGCTGGCGTATGTCGTCCGTTCACCGTATTATTAACGGCTACAACGTCCCGCGTCTGACCATTATCTGGCCCCTGCAACCACCGGCCGCAATGTCCGTGTCATCCGTAGCGACGGCCGCGCACAGCATTGGACAATGGTCAGCGGCAAATAGTCCCCGCCCCCGTCCATCATCCGCAGCGCGTTTCAGTATCCTGACGCACTTACCGCTGTTTGTTAATAAAGGGTCAACATCGCGGGTGAATTCATCCAAGCCGGGAAAAGTTCGCTATCCTAATAAGAAACCCCGCTCTAGTGTTAACATATAGAAACCTTTATTATTAATCTGCAGCTTTGTACATTATTTGCGCGTATATATTTTTGTACGAGTAATTTTTGCGGTTTGTGTATACATTCGTGTACATGTACACGTTAGCATTTAAACTGGTTTCGAATGTTTTGGCACAATTAGCGATGACTAGTTTCTGATGTTACATAATGCAACAAATGCCGTAGATGTATGCACACTTATGTAATCTTACCAAAATAAGTAATCAATTCCTGTGCAGGTTTTCTATATTGTGACAGATTTGTTAATTCAGTTTTGCAATAAATTCTTGTATACACATATCTGTACGGTGGACCGCTTTTAAGCAACAATTATTTACGAATGTTGTGAAAAATCTGAATTACATAAATGATCACAGCATGTTGTTTTGCTGGATGGCCAAACATAAAAAAGGTTGACACAGAATAAATGTGCGTTTATATTGTTCTTTTAATTTAGGTAATCACAGCACAATTTATCAAAGATACGCTGGTATACAGCAAGCGAGAATATTGATTTGTGCACATAGCACAACACTCTGCCACTATGAAGTAAGGAAAAAAGCCGCTACAACAATAACGAAATCGTAAACTGCGGTGTTCGCGCGATGACTCTTCTACCGGTGCGATAAACTTATAAAAATGTCATCGCGCGTCACACCCATTTTTGAAGCATCGCAAAACACAATAAGTAACAAACAACCGTTGAGGAATGTAATAATTAGACATCTACGGTATATTTTAAAATTTGCCGTGTTTACCGGCATCCTTGTTCATATATACCGATCCGGTATTTACTCGTTAACGATTCGTAAAATTATTTTATACAAATCTGGAACAGATTCAAACCGGAAAACAGTTCCACTTTAACACATATATGTACATACTTGTCAATGATGCCGATTGTCAGATCAGTTTACCACATCCGACGCAGATATCACAGACAAACAAGCGCGGGCGCAACACGGAAAATTGGAAACCTTACAATATCCGCTATCCCATATTACGTCCATAGCGCGCGCAATAATCCCGCGCACCTGGCACGTGTGATTGCAGCTCGAGGAGCGTCCCGCTAATCCCTTTCCCACGTATCGCTCGCTTTCACCATCATTCCGAAGAATATTTATTCACATGTAAAACGACAAACATCCGTTCAGTCAGAACTGCGTCGAAATTTTCATACAAATATCTTACACGCACTTACAGGCTCGTAAGTTATTTATATATACACCAATCCGTTTATACACTGATTTATACTTAATATATACAACCGCTCCTAGAATAATTTTATCTAACTTTTCTCCGTTGACCGGATGTGTTTTTAACAACTCGTATATAACGTTTGTGCCACATTATGTCCTGCGCGATGAAAGTGTACATTGGCATTTGTGCGGTGTTAGCGTTGATCGGTATTGTATGGTGCAGTCCGGTGCCGGCGGAGCATTTCCAGTTCAGTCCGCTGGTCGGTATCTGGCAGACCCGGAAGCTGCCCACTTCGACGACCGGTAGCAGCTACAAGGGACGCCGGATCAGTTGGATTCCCAGCAGCGGATGGGCCGCCGGACCCGGCAAGAAGCGTTCCCTGCAAAAGGTCATCGAGATGCCGGTGGGACCGGAAACGCACGAGGAGGATCTGATCCAGCTGTGTAATCTCCTAGAACATATGTTCGCCGAGCTGACGGATGTGTCCGAAGAGGTACTGCACAATATTCCGTACAATTAGTCACGCATATGCATACCTCGATACATAATTTTTTTAGCACACAACTTCAGTGCACCTATATAAATTTATTCAAAATTTATTGTGCATCGATTTATGATTCTTCTGAAGTGTGAAAGTAGTCCAGTATGTCGTGTAGGAGAGTGTAGTGTAATTGTAATGGTGTCCTTTGGCTTATACTGTTGCGGGTATTATATCCGTGCTTTTTGCCGGAATGCCGATGAAATTTGATACCATATCTAATAAAATTTGTACTCTGAAGGTACAATATCTTAGCCGTATGCCTGCAACAAGTCTAGTTAATTAATAACAATACTGATGAGTAGCACCGCGATGGAAATGAATCTATTTAGAATTCTCAGTTTATAGATATGATATTATGGCATATACAGAGTAGTTGGTCCAGGACTGCAGTGTTTATTAACAGTAAGTAGGCAGATAAATATTAAGTACATACGAGTGCGTAAGCATTCGCACCTGACTTATTGTCGTGCGTGTCAGTAAGAGCTAACATCCTGACAATACGTTAAAGCATTAATATTTAATGTGCTCTGCAATGATTATTTTACTGCATTTTATTGGTTATAATTTCCTTTAATAACGTATGTGCTAGGTATAATAACGTGTTTTCGTGTAACTGATTCTCTACGGTTTACTTCATAAATCATAAGTTATATTAGGTTCAACTAAATCCAAGTTACTGCTCGCAGTTCAAGCAGCCCTACTTTTACACTCTACAAACACTGCGTATAGGGAAAGTGTGCATAAGGACAAGTGACCTTTAACTGTCGATAGCTTATGTATGATGTTTTTTGCATTTCTTTGTAATCTTAATATATGGATTGTTCTCTTTAAGGTTAAAGAGCTGAACCAAGTGTGCAGCGAATTCCGTGGCAATGCCAGTGCCGATGCGAAGGAACCGCAGTGAACCCGCAAAACCCTAAACAACCTCCGCGGGAATGTTTATCCATGTTGCGTTCTCTGTTTACCGGCTTCTCGCGCCAAAAATGACAGTGTAATGATGGAAGCTGTGTGCATAAAAAATGTATCTATCCGTACAGTTGATAATACTGTGTAGTAACTGGTTTCCCTGATTTCTCGCTAATATACATCCAGGTATGTGGATGGAATTTCGTATAACGACGTGACAAAAATGTCATAAACGTCCATTTTGATCGAACGACGTGCTTGCACAATTGTATGGCATTATAAAACTGTACATAAATTAAAAATTCAGCACCTATCCAATGAAAAAACTCGCTACCGGCAAATATTGAACCAATTAATTGGAATTTTCCAATTCATACGCCACGTGGCGGATAGACGGGATGTATTTATTTGTCAATGTTAATAATTCACGCGGCATGGTCTTGGCAGTTTCTTCCACATATGAGCGCCGGTTCCAGTTAACGGAGCATATTTGGTAGTAACGTGTAGTTTTGGATGCTCTCCAAGTCTGACGCAACCCTCGTATAATTCATAAAAATATTTTTTGACAGAAATTGATCAATTAGCGTATAATGTAGCCGGAATTCGGTGCACGGCGATGGCGCGTGGCGGACTACCGTGAAATACCGCATCTTCCAGGCATCTCATTGTAGATTCGTTGAGCTTGTTTTCTGTTGATACTATTATACTGCAAGTAATTAGTTGGCGACACATTACTTCAACGCTAATTACACGTATGCGCACGACAGCTATCCTTTTGGCAGCTGCTAACTATAAACTACTTTGTAGTATAAAGTTCTATTTCAGCTATAGAAATACATATTAACTGGATTAGCTAATGATCACAATTCTCTAGAAGACTTATTGACTTATGTACAGATGCGTTAGGCTTTCAAAATTGTCTGTAAAGGTACGTTAAACGACAAAAATATGTATTTGTTTGCTTGCGAATGTGTTCTTATTACTTATTTGCTAACGAAACAGCTTTTGAAGCAACAGCTGGTTTTCGTAATAAGATTAGAAATTTAAAAAACGTCCTGAGTTAAATTTTGGCTATCTAGCAAACTCACTGCAGGCATACTTGTATATAATTTTTGTGTATGGATCGTATATACAGAGTACGTTATCAGGTACAATTTAAGAAGGAGTAAGCAAACACAATTTTAAAGCAAAGATTCTGCGCAGATATAAATACTTAAATCCGGAAATCATGGTAGAATTTTGCATTGTGTGTATACATAATATGAATGTACATCGTATAAATGACAGACAATTACTGGCACATTAGCTGACGTATTTGTTATCTGAATAATTATTGACAGCTAAAGGGTAAATTTAAGAGATACAGAACTATTACATGATTAGCATGTTGTTTTGATTCTGATCGTCGTCGTCGATCATCTGCTTATGCTAAAATTAACCCCTTGAGGAACAAATAAATGTGCATCTCACGTAAATAATTGATTTCCGTCATCTGCCCATCAAAGACATTGCATTTACTATAACAAAATAACTTGCGGTACAATACGTATACAATTATACATGCTTAATGTTATGCACGTTTTTTTATAAAAAAACGATATACATGGACACATGTCGGCACAAGGCGTTAGGAAACGAAAGAATAATCTATACAGTGGCAACAAGTGTGGTTACAATTGTCCTTGACAAGTTAATTATGCCCCGTACGCGTCTATGCGTCGGCATTATTGTGCATAATTGCAAATCACAACGGTGCACGCACCTGCGAGCTGAATTGGATGATAAGCGGCATGTTCATGTTTTGTTTAAATTTTTTTGTGGCAAAGATTAGGCGGCGCCCATATAACAGTCTGAGATCGATACAGATCTATAATGCCATTAGGCAGTCTGCTTTTGATTTCATCCAAGTAAATTGATCGCGCAGATGACCTTGACCTGTCATATATGTCCAGCAACCATATTTTCTTGTGTTTGCAACAACAAATAATTTCACAGTAAATATTGAAAGATGAGCAAAACAAATAAAAACGCCTTTGGAACCGCTAACGTTTACACTCAGTTTTAATAACAACAGGCAAATACCGCTTTAAAATTATAAAAAATTAAGCAAAAACATAAGCTTGCATAATGACACGTGATAAAATTTTCTGTACCTGAAATTTTTGATGTTGGTACATTGGCTGCAATATTAAGGAAACGTTAGAATTTTGGAAAGGAGCATTAGACTCTGAAAAAACTAGAGAAAATAAGGAAATGTTAATAAAACAGCGCCGACAGTCAATAAATTTAAATGTTTTGTTTTAAATGTTTTCAAAATACCACACACAAAAATTATCATAAAAGGTGACTGCTGCATTAAGCGCAGATAATTATTACGACCGATATATAAAGTATTTATTGCAAATATTTAAGCTTATTGTAGACCATAATTATTAAATTTGTACAACCGGTGGTGTACTGCATATCTGTATTTTGTTATTGCCTGTTCAATGTACGAGTAGTTACCATAGACCACATCGCTTGACATTTATAATTATAATGTACTCTTTTTCTTACGGTTTTTGCAGCAAAAGGTTGCAGTTCCGGTATAGTCATTGCTAGCAAAATTTTATAAATTCAGTGGCTTGCATAAGCTGCATACAATCCAATCCACTTACAACTGGAAATGATTATACCGTGTACACATTTAGCAAAAAAGATTCGAATTATCAAACAAAATATCACAAGAATCCGTTGACAAGCCTTAATTGCGTCCAACAATACTATTATTGTTGTCTCTAAGATGGAATGCAGGAAACACTATACTTTGTCAACCAGTAATTACCGGCAAAAAATTTTTCTATAATATTAATCATCGACTTCGTGGCATTTGGCTATGGACACAGCTAATCGCATTATAGTAAATGTGATTGTTTGAAAAATCAGCACGTGCTTTTTGGATTCGTCACCGGAAAAACTTATCCACTTTGCATTGTAAGTTTTGTGTTGGAAAATAAAAGCGGCATGGCCGAACGTTGAATCATTGTTTAAAATTGTACCTATGACAATTGCCGCGCGACGAGATAGTGTGCCCGGCGGTGATGTTGGCAGTCAATCGTAGAATAAACGCCAGCTTCGCCGTTACTGGACAAAATTCCAGTAAGATTTGCAGTGTCGATATCACTCGCTGCAGGGATTCGCTTTTGGAATTCGACTCGCGGACAATGAAATTAGCTAATTAAGCTTAAGCTGCATTTAATGCCATTCGAACAAATTAAATCACCACGAAAACTAAAATAAATTTCAAAATAATTACTATATCAGGAAAAACGTGAGCGGTAAAGTCTGCGAGTGCTAAAAACCCAACGTACAAATATCACAAATTAAGAAAAATTGGTACCGTTCCAGAGTAATAATTATTATAAAGCAAATCACGCAGTAAACAGCAATAAAAATGGAATATCTCTTAAAATGTGTTTAGCGACAAAGCTGTTGATTCCTTTGTTTGATGCTTTGCCGGCAGAATGCAACTAACATTGCGCACTAAGCAAAAATAGCAGTTCAACTGCTCGTTTGTAACCTCCTCAGTTTTTAGGTTCGAAAAATAAAAAAATCATTTGTTTATATGGTTTGTAAACCATGTTTTAAACAAAAACTATAATACTTTCTTCTAAATTTTTTAATTTACTTACATTAATAAATTTTATGTTTACGCAACACATTTGCACATCCTTGCCTAATAAATTAATTTAAAATTCTTTTGCAGTAAATAAATAAAAAAACAAAGCATTAAAATGAAAAACTGCATGTCAGAGTTGCCGTTCTTTATAATATAGAACGTGTGATATGTACATCCTATTTTTATGTACGGCAAAACAGTTGCTTTTCTTTCTTTGGTGCATAAAAAAATTGCAACTGACGTCTTGCAAATCCGCCAGCAAATGTCCATCACCGCGGATACCGGAGGCGATATTGGTTTTAATGCTAAAGTTAATTGCATTATTAGACCGTAAATAGCGGATTTCCCCCGGTAGAGACAAACAAACAAGCAAAAATCCTTCGCTCAACAACAATGTCAAAAACACGACGCCATAAAGGTGAATTATAGTGCGCAAACTAACCATTGTCCTTTTGACATTAGCCGGTAAGAGTTTGCAGGAGCAATAATATTGATTACACCGTTATATAATAATAACGCGTGCAAACGAAAATTCAGGAAATAATATGCGTGACGTCAGCGCGAACGAACAAAAATGTTTAGGTAATTTCTTAAATAGTGGTTTTCGTAAATTAAGTAATATGTTGCAAAATTTAACGTAATATTTTGCAAGAAAGTGGTGAAAAAAATGCCAGCATGCATTTGACACGACACATTCTTTATTTCCGGTTTGTCCAACAACCGTATAAACACTACGAAAATATAACAAGAAAATAATCAACAAATTGCCCTTAATTCGTAAACTTTAGTAAAAACCTGGGAGCTAATTCCGACGGTGCCACTTGACGTGTCCGCAACACCGAATCACCGGGAAAACATGCCGAACAACAGGAACACGCAGCATTACATAACAACACGATGCGCGCCGACCCTGACTCACATATTAATTGTACGCACCTCTACGCTAGACTAACAAAAACGACATTAACAGGATTAAACTTGCTGTTTCATGTGGTTGATTGCATAACACAGCGAAAAAGCGCCCGGGAACTTAATGGACACCATTTGGAAAAACCATATAAAACCCCGAACCCAGCCGGCATTCAAAATCATATCCTATACTCACCGTTGTACAGTTATTAATCCGGTCTTATAAAGCACCGCTGCCGTTGTGTGGCTTTAAAGTATTATCGTTTCAGTGTATAGAAGAAATCCTCCTCTAGTCATCATGAAATTCCTGATTGTATTAGCCGTTGTTGTGGGCCTGGTGTCCTGCCAGAAAGCCGCTCAGAAGGGTGGTAAAGCCGCGGCGGCACCGAAAGCCGCTGCAAAGCCGGCCGCCAAATCCGCAGCTCCCGCGGGTGGCAGCAGCAGTGGCAAGTATGTGTGGGATTATCTGAAGCCGGCGCTGGATGCCGCTGAAGTCGCCGCTATCCTGCAATCGAAATCCGGTGACTATCCGACCCTGGCGGCTATTCCCGATGATAGCAGCTTTGATTGCAGCAGCAAGAAGCAGCCGGGTTTCTATGCGGATGTCGATACCAAGTGCCAGGTGTTCCATCGCTGCGATATCAACGGGAATAAGACCAGCTATCTGTGCGTCAATACCACCGTCTTCAATCAGGTCACCCTCGTCTGCGATTATTTCTTCAATGTGGATTGCGCCAAGTACGTGCATAATTTTCTATTATATATGCTACTCGTAGCAGTCCAAAGTTAATGAATTTTATATCCTTACGCGTAATGAATAATTGCAACAACTGTAAATATTTTAAGGAAAGCTAAATTAGTATTAAAATATATATTAACTGCTCGGTTGCGTAACGATCTGCAATTAATTAACGGTAATACGCCTACATAGTGCGCATATATAATATATAAAATTAATATATAGAGTGTATAATTATATTTAAAACATATTTATATAGCACATACATATGTAATATGCCTGTACTTATATAAGTATAAATATATATGTCATGCATGAATATAAAACTGTGGCCTGTATCGCAGATTCGCCGAATACGAGAATTTCGCCAACTCACGATTGTACACTGACCAGGATCTGTTCGACACTCCCCCCTGCTGACTATGTTGCTCCCCAGAGCCGATCCTTAGACGACAGCGGCAGCGGTAACCAGGTTGCGCCCAGCCCAGCCGGCAGCAAGACCAAGGCCACCACCAAGAAGGCCGCTGCCAGCAAAGCCACCACCACCGAGGCTACCACCGCCGCACCAGCTGAAGACACAACTTCCGCTGCTGGTGAAGACACTACTTCTGGCGCTGCCGGTGAAGACACCACCTCAGGAGCCGCCGGTGAAGACACCACTTCCGGTGCCGGTGGTGAGGACACTACCTCCGCTGCTGCTGGCGAAGACACGACTTCCGGAGCTGGCGGTGAGGACACTACTTCCGGAGCTGGCGGTGAGGACACCACCTCCGCCGCTGGAGGTGAAGATACTACTTCCGGTGCTGGAGGTGAAGATACCACTTCCGGTGCTGGAGGTGAGGACACCACTGCTGCTGCCGGAGGTGAAGCCACGACTGCCGCCGCAGCTGGAGGTGAAGGAGAGACGACTGCCGCCGCCGGTGGGGAAGATACCACTGCTGCTGCCGGTGGTGAAGGAGAGACGACCGCCGCGGCTGGCGGTGAGGGAGAGACGACAGCTGCTGCTGGTGGCGAGGAGACGACCGCCGCGGGTGGCGAAGAGACGACGGCTGCCAGTGCATAATTGACCAAAAATCGTGATCTACACTGCCAAAACAAGAGACTCGCTCAAGACACTTGTGTCACCTTTGAAACACCGCTATAAACTCGAGTAGTATTCGCACTTAGGGGGGCGGCAGGGTTTTCCGGGTGCCTTTGTCCTATGCCTTTGTTGACCTTTGTTTAACCTAAAACTTTTTTCTGCTTTTTGCTACTATGTATCTGCTTCCGCGCTCTAATTATAATGTAAAATTCATGTACTGCAGCTTGTCCACTCGCATTACTGTATGAACCGTGTATATGAAATCATGCTTCGATCGATAATAATAAACATCTGATCAGCTATACAGGACTCTCGACGCCGCAATAACGTTCCAACAACGAAAATGACAAATGAACTAATTCAACCAACAAGTGTAATTACGAGTACATGTAGCAATAAGTAGTAACCGGCCAATCACTGGCTACGGAAACACGAACAATACATATGGAAGCATAATTACCATATATCTGCAGGCAATCCGTACTCAGAACGCAGCTTAAAAAAATTTTAAATAATTCGTTTTGGAATAATCAAATTGATGCCTCTTCTATCGTATGAAAGCCAACTTTGGCAAAGTTATTGAAGCTAAAAATTTCAAGGTTTTATTACGTTGCATAATCTGTAAACCAGGTAGAGTTCGTCAATATTAACAAGTGCTGACAAATGTCCCTACGAAAAATAAACATTCGATTAATTATCCCGCCGCAGAGTTCATGGCGGGTGAAAACAGCCGGCACGGACTCGTTACATCTGTCACCAGAGGCGTTTTTTGTGCATATTAGCGGGAAAATGGCCGGCACCACACTGTGCAGTGTGCACGTTGCGCCGGAGTGACTGTGTACCGTATAGTGATATTTGTATATCCTGATTCCAGGGTACAATTATCCCGGAGGAAGAAAGAAAGTATACGAGTTCATATACGTATTCGTCATAAAAAACTATGGTTTCTCTGCGACTTCTTTAGTTGGTTTTCTAGTCTAAACCAACTGGCATAAATTTCAGAATTTTAAATAAGTTGAGGAATTTTAAATGAGCGCCATTGTTCCCACGCTTTCTGAATTTTAAAAATGCATCGAAATTACTTGTTTCTCAGTGTCAACGCGTAATTATTTTAATAAACAGTACGTGGGAAGGAGGCGTGCACGCCACGTCGTTTGTACCGACCGTATTATTTAATTCACCTGGAAGGAAATTAGGTGTTGATTTGTGGTGGTGCATAATGCATATATGAATATCTATATGTAGGAAAGCCATACGTAAACTCGTGATATGCTAATGCGCAGAGTCGTCGTAGATAAATGTAAATATCTATATACTTATGTACAGTGTACAGAAAAGTACATAGAATATAAAGCAGAAATATAAGACATTGAATATACACAGAACATGGAATAAAATTAAATGTGATACATTGAATATATACAGATACATATAAAGAATGATGCAGGATATTTATAAAATTATAACGCTATAGAATCTAAAATTTTAAGTAGGTTGAAAGCAATATTATAATGATATTTTTGTATCGCACAAAATACCATTCAAATTTTTAAAGCATAGATTGTTATATTATACATAATTAATGCTGTAAATTAGAAAATTATTATATTAAAATTTTTAAGATACGTACTTATGCATGCAGCATGACTATAGTATTTACTGTTCCTGCAGATTGCGTCAGTACGCAGATACACTATATTATTATATCTATACTATTATATAATATGTATTGTACGTGTCCACGCATTACGCATCGAAATATGTCATTACTATTTTCATAAAAGGTGTATTGTGGGTGAATCGGGGATTTTTGTTTGCCGCTCACTGGCGAATACTGCCCAAAATAAATTAAAGAAATAATACTGCACCAGCTTACTAAAAATATCGTAGCCCTAAAGTCGGTTTAATTAACCTGTTTAGCACTATGGTACGTGTCGAATCTACGGTATTTCGCAGGTATTCAGAATGCGACTTGGATATATTTTAAGCTGGCTTTAGCCGTAAGTGGATATCCTTCAAAATTTTTCCGGGAATTGTAACTGTTTTTTTACAGTGGGAACCGGAAGTACCGGTCTTCGTAAGCGGTAATAAATCATCAGTCTTAACAATTTAATGGCTATTGGACATGACAGCTAATTAAGAACTCCGGTTTTTTTTAACAAGCCGCAATTAGTGTTTACAAAAAAAAACTGCAACCGGTTTTGTTCGAGAAATCAACTCCTGGGCAGCATGGACGGAGTTGTGATCAGTAATGATTGTTGCAGCCAGAGCGAATACATGTAGAACAATAACGACACATTTGCACATGCTAGTAAAATTTTCCCTGCACTTTTTGTTAATTACAAAAACTACGTAGATTCGCAAACAATGATATACTGTATCTATACTCCGCATCTGTATTCCGAACACAAACTGCATGAACTGCCGTACCAAATTACATTTTGAAACGTTTACAATTCTTCTAAAATCAGAAATTTTTGTTATAAAACGTTTTGGTTTTTTTAATGCACATTTGCGAGCTAAATAAATACAAAAACAAGCAATTCCTGTACTTAAATGTACAGCAGCAAGCAATTCCTGTACTTTAATGTACAACAGCAGGAACGCACATATACTGACATGTAAGTAAGTACAGTGCGATACTTGCATTTACAGCTGAGCGGTGAGTCTTTGCCATAATTAAATAACAACTGAGAACTAGAAGCAGTCAGTTGTTATGGTATCCTCCTTTTTCTAGAAAAGAATGCAAATTTGTCTGAAGACAAAGGAACGTGCAGGAATTCAACAATGACGTACTAAGTATTTCATAATAATTATAACGTTATGCAATACCTAGATATTACCGCAATATATCGGTAGAAGTTGCAAAATTATTGCAGTTACTGACAGCCATTAAATATTGCATGAAAAGAATCCCCAGTTTGCTAGTGCTGACAGCCTACCAAACCTACTAAGTACTTTATCTTTATCTAACAAAAGTTTTCCTTGCTTTGCTCCCTGGAAAATTCCTATAAAATGAGTATTCAAGTGAAAAAGAAGAGAAACACTCGTGTGTGTAGTATCCGACCAAAAACTTGCCAAGACACTGTGCGACCGGACACGGGTGACGAGGAGGCCGCTGCACGTCCTGTAACAGTGCAGTGCACCAGCCGGCCCGACGAGGACACGACAGTAAATCCCGTCGGTGACACCGGCACAGCCAATCGTCGTCCAGCGACCATGCAAAAGAACATGGATACGCAGCGATTAAACCATGCCATTGGACTTTTCACATCAAGTTAGTATCACACAGCCAGGTAGATACTTAAAAAATCTGAAAGGACAACTCGATGACCTTTACATATTTTTACATATATAAAGATTGAACATTTTCCTGCGAATATAAAAACCGAATGATCGACAGAAATGTGCGCGTGTAATTTATGAATCATCTAGAAATCAGATTTACACTAGTTATACAAAACTGCCAAATCAGTTCTAAAAAATGTTCATATGAAATACCTACTATTACAAAAAAGTTAAAATCTGTATAAAAAGTGATGAGGTCAGCAGTTTGTAGAACACTATCACCGGGCGTTGCCCATTTTCGAGCAACTGGCTGCTACTCGCCGCAGTATCCCGGCCATGTATCATAAAGCCGTCATGACCTTTGATGGTATGGGCACTCCTGAAAGCACGCGCGAAGGGCTGATGCAACTTAAAAAGGTCTACGCGGAAGCGGACAACAGTGACACTGATGTGGAATATAAGCATTTGGCGTGCTACCAAATTGGGCAAGCGTATGAGCAGGGTATTGGCGCCCGTCAGGACACCCAACAGGCGGTCAAATGGTGGCGGTTAGCCGCCAACGAAGTCAAATATGATCCACACTTAGACGTGTCCGCTGGTATATCTTTATTTTGAATGACAACCTGCGGTTAAATTAATCTTGCGACCTATGTATATTACGGTTTGTCTACAGTGGTTAATTACTGTAAAACCACTTTTCCGTCAGATTTGTCTGGTGCTGAACATTTCGAATAGCGACTACTTTTTCTTACCGTTTTAGGTAAATTCAATTTATATAATATTATACGTAATTCTCAAAATGATTTCCATTAAGATTGCAGTATTTGAATGCGCAATAGTGAACTAATCTCAAATACACGATCACGTAAAACAAAAATGAGCAAATATGTTTTCTTTCTATTTTTATAACATGACATAATTATATAAATACTTAATTATGCAAATTTTGCAGTATAAAAAATTTGTATTTAGTTTATAAGTAATTTTATGGAGCATGGAACTGATGGAAGTAACACAAATGAAATTAAACACGGTTCGGCTTATTATTTTGTAGAGCACCAACTTGTAACGGATGCCGGGACGAAATGCCAGATCCTCTTAGCCCATCATTACGCCCACCTGCCGACGCCAGACTGGGAACAGGCTTACCAATGGTACCGGGAAGCCGGTCAAAATGGGTCTGTAGAGTCCATGCTGCAGGTGGCTCTAATGGAATGGTACGGTCTGAGTCCGACGGAAGACGAAATCGAGCGGCAGCTGACAATTGAGACGTTCCTGACGGAAGCCGCACAGGCCGGGAATATCTGCGCCATGGGCAATCTGGCGCTGTTTTCCCTGCACGGCCACCAACAACCACTGGCTTTTCACTGGGCATCGCAGGTGCTTAATCTTTTTTATTCTAAATGGGATTCAGAACATAAAATTCATTGAAATTTTAAAAACTCAATAATGTTTTCTCAAATCCGTTTTGATAATAATGTGCGAACAGCACCTGTGCAGTGTGCTTAGCTTTGAAAGCGCTGCGTATGTACCAATTATGTATGTACTAGCAAAATCTTTTTAGTTCACTGGTGACCTTTATTCGGCTTGCACATTTTATGCTTCTACGATAATCAACGATCACATAATACTTTTAACAATCCCTTACTTATTTTGGTTTTACTTTCCTAGTTAATATTTATTTGGCTTAAATTAAAAGTTGTTAAGTGGATCAGTGAGTACCGCAAACTATCGCACCGCAAAGCGGAACATTAACAAAGCATTAAAAATAATTTTTTTGGGAAATTCCTACAGGTGATCGAGCGAGTGACCGCCCACCGGACACTGGGCGCTGCTGTCCCGGCCATTCAGGCGTTGTCCCACAACGACAACACCCAGGAAGCGCTGGTAAAGAGCATCGTCATGGCTTATTTCGTGCTGGCGCATCTGCACAATGTGGGAGCAGTGGCCACTCTGGATAAGGAAAAAGCGGCAGAGTTCTACGAAGTAGCATCGGCTATCGATGCCGATCTGGTACAAGCGCTGGATAATCTCCTGGAAAGCGATAACCAACTTATATAAGACCATTTTTTGTGGCATGCTTGTTTCTTATGTGTATATCCTTATGTGTATTTTGCGAGGCGGAATATCTTACAAGTCGTACATTACGTACTATAGAGTCCCAAACTGTAGTTCTTTTGCGAACAGCACCGAGAGGAAAACTTCCAAAAGAGATAAATTTACTGTAGTTGCTTTTAACATCCAATGAAGGAAAGTTTACCTGGCAAACGGTGGGGTAAATGACCAGGCTCCGTTCGGCTAACTACTTATACCAAAGGTCACGTTCACAGTCCTTCATGGTCACAGCCTCACAGGTGTAGCCTCGAATAACTCGTATGCTGACTAGTACTTAAATTTTCGTTTGGGTGCTTAAAACAAAATTCCTGACCGTGGCTGGCACACATGAAATATGACATCTCCTATGAATGAAATATGCCATTTCGCTTTTGTCTCTCATGTGCATATTCCTAATCTTTCCAAGGTATTCCTTTCCAATCTTGCATTATTAAATTCTTCAGATAACACCAACTTTTATAATTCAGTAATATTATCCAGGCCCACAGTTTTACAAGGAAGACAAAAAGAAATCGAACAAAACACGAGAGAACAGCGCCAAATTACCACAAAAAGCACCGGCAGAAAATTCATGATTTAAGGTTAATCTCAATCGTACAAGGCACATATTGCATTTTCTATACACTTTTATCACAGGGAATAATAATCTAAAAACATCTAATAAATTTTAATTGACTTTAAAGGGGTCTAATCATCCAGAAAAAAAAGCTATAAACTACCATCCTAAACAAATATCCAGGGGAAATCCACAAATAATACCGGGAAATTGCATTACAAGAGAATTTTAATTAACACTTATTTCAACATCAATTTTTTTAACGTTTTTATAGCAATGCCGTGCTATAATGTTTGCAAGGAACTAGGTTAGAAGAAAGCGCAGTAATCCATAGCTGATCGGCAAGTACCGTCCATAAGTATGCCATTACCATTCCTTAAAAATCCGAGCGTCCCGCACCCGCAAAATCTAAAAGAAGCAAAAAAGATATTAACAATCATATTAAACAAAATCAACAATAAATTAAATATCCGATTTTTCAATATGATTTTGAATTTACTATTCTGCAAACATAAAGCAAAAAAAATCAAAAACGAGTGCAAAGCAAGGACATAAAATCACTAGTAAGAAATCAACATCTCCAAAAATTTTAGGGTGACTCACATTCGCATCGTGAACAGTTTACGTGAGCGCTGTTAAGTTGGATAATATTTAACACAAAATCCTGCTAACTATTTTCAACATCTCACAACACTCCACTTACGTCCAGCGCCTGCCATAGGGACGTTTCGTGCGGGCATCTGGTACTGAGCCGGTTGCGAATAATTCTGATAATTCGGACTGGGATAGCTGGGTGACGCGGGAGCAGCATGGTAGGCATTCTGTGGATGTGCCGCGTATCCATTTCCGGCTGGTCGATAGGTCGATGACTGGTCAGCATAATCATCCGGACGACGATGATCCCCGCCACCCGGCGTCAGCGTCACGGAGGATGAATAGCGCGGTTGTCCAGTACTGCTGGACATTATACCCGGTGAAGGCGCATAATTGTGGTGCTGTGCCGGCGGTAGATCATATGTTGAGTACTGCGGCCCTAAAAAAGGTCCAGAAATAAAACAAAATTTGGTCCATATATATCTGCATATATTTGCTCCGTTTAACCTGAATGTGAAAAAATTGGAAATTTGACGAAAGCCATTGCTATAATATTTTCCTAGTGAGTATTAGCAGGACTCATAAAGTATTGCAAGCATATATTCAAATCGATTATTGTCAGCCCATGCACTACGATGATTTATGCAATGAATGACATTGCGATGCAACTATCTACAGATAAAACCCAAGCATACCACAATACAACAGTAAAACGAAATATTCCGAAAAATAAATGCAAATCCATGCACAATCTGTTCCGTACCTTGATATTTAAAATCTTGTCGATTCGGCGGTGCGATATTCACCGGGCTCTGCTGCATATTCCGGTTATAATGCGGCTGGACAATGGCCGGATTGGGTGAGCGCCGGCCCACGGTCGGAGAAGGCGGAGCAGCGTGCAGTTCGTTCGGCTGTCCGGTCATGCTCTGCAGGGCGCGAAAGGAACGCGACGGGATGGCGTTGCCGGTGTAGCGGGCGTTAGATCCGGTTTCCTCATTGAATTCCGTGCGAAAGGCCTCATCCCGGAACGGGTGAATAGTCTGCTGATCGCCGCCGGGCAGTGCGGCGCCGGGTGCGGCATGGTGTGCCACGTTCTTCTCCAGGGTTTGGTAGGCACGCGAAGGAATGCTGTCGGCACGATGGTAGCCGCTGAAGCGCATCTCGTCGGTATCCTGCGACGGCTTGGATGCCGGCGGAGAGGCTGTGCCTGCCAAGATGCTGTCTGCAAAGAAATACCAGTGGTTTCACCAATGATAATGTTAAAAAAACTTTCCGTCACGCAGATTTACTAAACGCCTACATAATAACGGGGGGAAAATGGAATCATTTCGTAGTCCATTTGAATTTGCCAACCATCTTCACAATACCTTATACAGTTCTGCACAGCAAATCCTGACTTCCAGTAACGTTAACAGTTCAGATAACCACCTCTTCAATGATTACAAAACAAAGCCGATTCGGCCCCAAAGCCAGCAGCCCAAAAGTTAAGCATTCAAAAATTCAAAACTAATCGATTAACCCATTACACAAGGCAGAAGATGTAAATTAAGAAGACTCAAAAGAATAGATTTACACTTACCGTAATAGAAAAACTTCATACATTTATATAATATTCTTCGTATTTTCCATAGCGATTCTTAATAGTTTCCACCTTTTTCATCACAATTTTTTTTAAAGTTTTCCAAACCTTTCAAACGTTTAAGAAAATAAAATACATATTTTTTGCAAAATTGTCTTTCTCACCGTCATCTTCATCAGCTCCCGTCATCCACTGCAAAATTTTAAACGACCGACTCTGAATGGGCGCCACCCGCCCGCTGCGCAATCCACTATCCGATCCCGATCCGCCGCTATCCTGCCGTGACAGTGAGCCCTTACGGGCCTGCAGCGGTGAATTGCGTACCACACCCGAATTATCAAAACTGGATGCCGGCGGTGTGATTCCGTTGAAGATGCGCACATTGGTCGGACCCCGCGGGATCCCCGGCACAACACCTGGCGTGGGCACCTCCTCCCCGGATGCGATCGCGTCCAGTTTGTCCTTGCGAATGGAACTGGGCGCGCGCAGATCTGCCGCCGATAAGCCTAAAAAATGCAAGCCACGGTCGGTTAAAATTATGCTGGTGGCGCAGTTTCTTGACGTGACCCTCGACACACACACACCACATCCGGTATTATTGTGGCGGATGATGGATGGGTCGCCGGCGCGGTGAGAATAATGATGACAAATCAACTTACCGACAGGTGTATAGCTGAACGGCTTCTTGTCGGCTTTGGCTGCTGTCGTCATCAGACCGGAAGGCAGATTGGCCATCTGCTGTTCTTCGAAGGCTTTGTCGCGCTGGAAAAGTGCAGACATGTATCGATGAAAATCTTTATTGATTTGACATTAATTAGCAAATAAGTTGCTTAAGGTCTTTTTTCTGGGTGTTGTTTTGCGTGCTTGTAACTCTCAATGAAAAGTCTCAGTGTTTTCTTCTTTAATCTGTGCGTTTGTAAATTAAATGAAGATTGTAAACCTGCATACTTTTACAAGCTAACTGTATTACAAATTGTCGCATACTTACAAAATATGTTTTTTCTACCAAATCCGGCAGTGACAACCGAAGAATTTTAGAAACCAAACCAAATTGTGTGAACCAAATAAAAATTTTATATACAAGAATTTTACAAACCAAATTAGCACTGGCTAGTTTGTACCTGCGGGAAAAAAAATTAAACACACATTTAAATTCATTTCGCCAATAAAAAAACCGGTGACGAAAGAAGCTCATGGTGAATCAGCAGTAAAAAAATTACGTTCATTTTCGTTGCATTTAAACATGAGGAATTTTTGATTTGACATTCCACCCAAGCCGTTAATTCCGTTCTCTTCGTTCATTACGCAGTTCTAGCGAACGTGATTCGCACCATTACACATTCATCATCAGCTCAAGAAACTGCTACTTTGTACTACACGGCATGCGCGGAAAAGTTTTAACAAATTTTTTTATCGCACACATAGCTTACGATGATTGGAGAAGCGGAACGCGCAACTATTCATTGTCATCATTTTCTACAGCATTGGACACACGAAGCGGCATGCATAAGAAAAAAGTGTGCGCTTAACAAATCTGATTCCTCTAACTCACAGGTCATAGTTTACAAAACTATAACGAGTCACATAACGCGGTGCAATCAACATTTTTCCATAAGGAAAGGCCGCGGCGGCGGCAACACAGCGATGGAAAACTGCTGCGACAGCAACGTTGTTTTTCAGCGGTACACAGCAAAGCTAAGTGAAAAACACAGCCATGCACAAAACATTTGCAAGCTGCTTCCGGCGCTGCGCAAACCCCATCGACAAATCTATCTATTTTTGTCACAACTCACGTCTGTCTCTCTCCATCGAACGGGATGCTAACATTTTGGTGGTATAAACAGAAACGTTGAGTAAGAACCCCCCTGATATTTTCTCGTCAATTTTAATAACTTCCATCTGACCATGACATCTGGATCGTGCGCCAGTTAATAAGCAAACGAAAAAAGCAACCTATTACTGTACGTTTTTCGTAGATCAGTCACTAATCAACACGCATCTGGTAAGAAAATCACCGCTAATTAGCTTCGTTTCCATATTTTCACGAAAAAAATCCAAAAACACACTCCGTGCGACCGTAAGTTATGTTAATATTTTTTTCAATTTAACTAACGGCACAGGTAAAATAGTATAGAAAAGTAACACAAGTATTCTAATTAGTAAAATATTCCTATAATCGACAAATCGCCTATCAGTAAAAATATTAAAAACATCACCCATATTAAAGAAATGAAAACACTTTCATGTAAGTACCTCGTATTTCCAGCACGTGATAAACGTTTTCGCTAAATGGTCAAATGATGGCCGGCGCTGTGAATAAGAACTGACTGATCATAAAAACCAGATAGGCAAAAAAGCCGACTAGACAGTTACGATTTCATGGGTTCCTGGGAATCAAAGCACACTTGAGAACTTTCAACTGGGAAGTTCATAAAACTAACTCATGTTACCAAACAAACCGGTATCTTTTAAGGCTATTGTCCCTCATTAATGCAATCACGTTTCAATGCAGCCACTACAGTAGGAACACAAAAGAGCCATAAACTTGGAATAAACTGACTGATATGTGTCTCACATGCATGTGTCACACCGGGAGATACCGCGAATTCGCAGGCCGGAAATGGCGAAAATCCAAAACATGCTTGAAAATTTATTCAAATTATTCGCGATGATTGACTTAATTTATGCCGTCACCGCAAGCTGCAGATAATAACGATATCAAGCAATCTTGTTAAATATCAAATGAGTGTTGAAAATTTGAAATGTCATCTCGATCGAAAACGAACAAATCTGTATCGCCAAACTAGCACGCTGCAATCAGAACCGGAAGGTTGCAATCAGAACCGGAAGCAGCACACTGTGCACACTAAAAGAAGGAGTTCGATTCAACATTGTTTAAACAGTTAAATTTTTGCGTGAAAATTAAAACAGTTTGATTAATCAATGAGCATACATTTAAAAACGAATTTATTAATACCTAAGTTATTCTGCAACATTTCTGATTTTTCAAAGACGTCGCTGGTATACAGTTTACTAACTTTTTTAAAAGGCGATTGACAAGTGCACGATGAATACACCTCATGACGCGATAAAATTCATAAAGTACCTACTTTATACTGACAATACTGAATGGGAAAAAGGCAAAGTGAAAGGAAAAAATCGGCAAACCAAACAGGGGAAATCTTCAATTACAGCGCAATTAATCTTATCCTGTTCATTAACCCTTCTGCCTCCGCACAATGTACAGCGTATTTTTACACAGAACTGGATTTAGCCTAACGATGATTACAACAAAACACTGGAGTGCTTGTGCTGTCATACCTGTTCCTTGTACGACATTCCCGCTCCAGGACCAGGTGGGGGCGGTGGTGGGGGTGCGCTACCAGCGGACAGTGTGGAGGGCATCGGTGGCGGCGGGGGCGCACTGGCAATGTGAAGGTTTCCGAGGCTCTCCTCCACAGCGGCCATCGTTGCAGCGCGAAGTACACAGCAGTGACAGCACACGCTAGTTTTTCACAATCCGGATTAGTTTTCCGATTAATCAGCACAAATCCCGAGACAATGATCCGCACACGGCATCAATGGACAGAACCAGAATGAAAAGGAAATCGGATATCCGCGCGGTAATAACAGACACGAAGGAAAATAAGCACGCGTCGATGATAGAACGTGAAAATATCCTTAATGGCAGTCAGCAGTCGTGTTTAACTTTAAACACTGATTAAGCATACTTTTGGCACGCGTACTCGCACCAGGCCGGCACACACTCGCACAGGGGAAAATGTCTCTGTTTATCTTTATGCCAAAAAATCTCCAACGGAGATTATGGAAGATGAGACTCTTGTTGGAGAGGAGAAAAAAAGCGCACACCACGTTTTACCCGGCACTGGCGGAAGACGACACTGTTCAGTGCATCAGCGGAAAATGTAGGCGACTCGGCAGAAATCCGCTGTCGCGGTGAGTAACGAGACTGTATTGTGCTTTACGTACGGCGCAGAATTATGCTGAACTGATGAGTAAGCTGTAAAAAATAACGGTGCACCGGTTGAGTCAAACAGAATCCGCTACTGTATGCGTTTAGGATATTTTATTCAAAGCCGCAAGGTGTTTCGTGTGCTGAGCGCGGGTCAAGTTTATGATGTTGGCTCCAAAAATGACTGCCAGATCAAATGTGGCGAAAGTTAAGACAGAATTGTTAATTTGTAAGTAAGTATGGTTCACCTGAGCAACTCGACATGTTAAAATAATTCTACAACCTTGATATTGTAGATATCAGCCGAGCAAAGAAGACACTGGTCAGCCGATAAATCACGCATGTTCATTTTTCCTATATGATGCCATAACATGTTAGCGAAAAAAAATATTTTGTATCTACCTTAATTTTTTAAATATGATAAAATATTATGCAAAAAAATTAATGAATTAATAACTATAGATTTTGTACAGTATAGAACGAGTAATAAACTTTTAAAATAATTACTTACTACATGTAGTTACGAACTTACGATTACTACAATATTTCATACTAGCACTCGCAATCACTGTAAGATTAAATACACTTGCGTCACAGTTGTGCCTTTCGAAAATTTGCATACGGCCTACACGGCGTAATCCAAGCGCTTAATTAAAGACTGATTGATTTATGACCAAATTTTAGTAATCACTTGTTAGCACCGTTTGTATCCGTAAAGATTGAAAGTAAGTAAGTCTACTTACCATCTACGATCTACAATACCATCTACAAGTACAATGCGCGGCATACCGTAGTAAGCAAGTTTTATAAGCCTCTTAAAAAGTGAACTGATTGATGAGTGATGAAAATAAAAATATGATGATTCAGGTACAGTATGTTCTTGCAGTACTAACGCCGAAAAGTCAGAACTCGTAAAGTTCGAGATTTACTGGTAAGTGCTGCTTTGTACACAGTACTGTACTTAAGCTTATGATAATTACTGTACTTTACCAAGGGCAGTCATGCAGCTTAATCATCGGGTTGCGATGATTGTGTTAACGTTCTTCGTAAACGTACCTGCAGTGATAATAAGTCTTGAACCCAAAAAAAATCTACTCGAGCTCGTAATGGATCGTACGGGAGAACAGAGCGGGCAATACACCTAACTTAGTTAAAAAAACAGTTTTCTTAATGCTTATGTTTTTGTATTTTCTACCCGCACTATTTACTACTCACAGTAGAACCTGCTAAAATGGATACTACTCTAACATGTCGACTGTAGCACCGAGGTACAAACTGTACAAGTTACATGTCCGAACAATTGTCAGCATAAGTGAGAATTTAATACGATTCGAGATGCGGAACAAATAGGAAAAATAACAGCAATTTCGCAAGTACAAAGACACAAATTAGCCGAGCTGTGAAAACGTTTTCGCGAATTCCGAGCAAAGTAGTTATCGATTGGATAATCGTCGCTTCCGTATACAATGATTACCGCATGGCATAATGTGCGTTCTGCAGGTGTGATTCCAAAAAACGCTGTCACTGTTATTATTATTATGCTTACAAGATAAATTAAATGCACCGGTGGGTAAAGGTAAAGAACCGTACCAGTACAGTGCAGATGACAATACTAATAGCGACGACGACAAGTCAGTTGCTTGCACCAGCTGGGATTGCAATGTGAAGCTGTATCTAGTATTGCATGCTAGATACTATACTATCCAGCTGGCTGGATATTACATTGCATACTAGATACTGTACTTGCTGTCAATAATACACAGTAAGACACCACGATACAATCGTGTGTACCGGTACAGTATCAATCTGCGGCTTATATAGATATAATGAGTTGTCGTCGTCGCTGCACTATAATGCACCACGATGAAAACGTGCCTGTATTATTTTCCAACTGTTGCTACTGTATCACACGCCCACCACCTGTATTGTGTAGATTTGTTATTTAAATGCAATACGGTTAATAATTCTTTGCACCACAGTGCAAACTATGTTTTCATTAGTACTGCAATCTTCAGTATCTCTAGTGACACTGTGCATTATAATGCACCGTACTTTACCATGACGCAACCGTTTTTGTATCAGTACGGTGCAGATCTGCAAAGCAGACAAGAATTGAAAAGCTGTCGTCGTCGCATGTTTACCATAATGCAATGCATTTTTAAAAAATGTAAAAATGAGAAATCTCCACTAATTAGTCCTTTGTTATGCTAAGATCAGTCCACTAACACCGATTACCTAGCCGGTGCCGCGTCAGGGGTTGGGGTTCTGGGAGGGTTAGGTTTGGGCACCCAGATTAACAGCAGGATTGCTGCTTGTACGGACACTATGTTGCGGCACCCATACTATTTCACCAGGAAGGGCTGCTGCTGCATTGGCAACCAGCACTGTGGTGTGGTTTGATCGGCCACTGGATGGTGTCGACTCGGGAACTATGTTGTCAATATGAAGCGGGAGCGATCTCATAGTGTGGAAGGAACTGGAAGCTGAAAGTCCGGTGCCGGTATACCCATAGGCTCTTTGGGATCGGCGACTGCGACTGGAGAAATATTCTGGACACGAATTGGTTCGACGGGTCCGTAGTGGTCTTTGCGCTCACTACTTGGAGCGATTTGTATGGATTGCCCATTCGATACCGGCAAGTAATTAATCAGCGGGGTGAAAGCGTGGGTTGGGTGTGGCCCTGCAAATCGTTCTGGTGGTGGTGCATTTGCTGAATTCATTGGTAAGCGGCCATGAGATGAATTACTTGACGGTATGATGGCATGCATCAAGCATTTCAAAGTCTGATCCATTCTCATCATATGACTAAAGACAATATAATCGAAGCTATTTGACAACGTAAAACATACTCTTTCGGGTTATGTATACGTATACCATACATTTAAACTGCAAAGATAAAGTACTGCTTTAAAGTACAAAGTACTGCTTTTTAAAGTACTGCTTTATCTACAAATTAATGCAATACTTTGCAGGTCAAAATGTGAATGAAAAAATGTACTGCTATACTTTCAAATGCCCCAGCACTTAATCGTCAGTTTCGGCCTGTTCGGGGATGTTCGGGAAGGTGACCTTGTTACTGAAAGTAATACAATACTTTCAAAGTATTGCATTACTTTCGAAGTACTGCCATACTTTCAAATGCCTCAGCAATTAATCGTCAGTTTCGGCGTGTTCGGGAATGTTCGGGAAAGTCACCTTGGTACTGAAAGTAATGCAGTAATTTCAAAGTATTGCATTACTTTCGAAGTACTGCCATGCTTTCAAATGCCCTAGCACTTAATCGTCAGTTTCGGCCTGTTCGGGGATGTTCGGGAAGGTCACCTTGGTACTGAAAGTAATGCAGTACTTTAAAAGTATTGCTCTACTTTCGAAGTACTGCCGTACTTTCGAATGCCTCACCAATTAATCGTCAGTTTCGGCGTGTTCGGGGATGTTCGGGAAGGTCACATTGGTACTGAAAGTAATGCAGTACTTTTAAAGTATTGCATTACTTTCGAAGTACTGCCGTACTTTCAAATGCCCCAGCACTTAATCGTCAGTTTCGGCCTGTTCGGGGATGTTCGGGAAGGTCACCTTGGTACTGAAAGTAATGCAGTACTTTAAAAGTATTGCTTTACTTTCGAAGTACTGCCGTAATTTCAAATGCCCCAGCACTTAATCGTCAGTTTCGGCCTGTTCGGGGATGTTCGGGAAGGTCACCTTGGTACTGAAAGTAATGCAGTACTTTAAAAGTATTGCTTCACTTTCGAAGTGCTGCTATACTTTCAAATGCCCCAGCACTTAATCGTCAGTTTCGGCCTGTTCGGGGATGTTCGGGAAGGTCACCTTGGTACGGAAAGTAATGCAGTACTTTAAAAGTATTGCTTTACTTTTCGAAGTACTGCCATACTTTCAAATGCCCCAGCACTTAATCGTCAGTTCTGGCCTGTTCGGGGATGTTCGGGAAGGTGACCTTCTTACTGAAAGTAATACAATACTTTCAAAGTATTGCATTACTTTCGAAGTACTGCCATACTTTCAAATGCCCTAGCACTTAATCGTCAGTTTAAAAGTATTCCTGTACTTTTAAAGTATTGCAATATTTTTTAAGTACAGCAATACTTTTAAAGTATTATTTTTATAGCATTGCAGTACTTAAAACGCCTCAGCGCTTGATCGTCTATTTGGGTTTGTTCGGCGTTGTTCGGGAAGGTCACTTTGGCACAGCAGTACTTTGAAAGTACGGGTGCACTTTAGAAGTATTGCTGTACTTTCCAAGTACTGCAATAATTTAAAATGCCTCAAGGCTTTATCGTTTGTTTCGGCTTGTCAAAGTGCAACAGTAACTTTAAAGTGCTGCTGTAACAATGTGACCTTCCGAACAACGCCGAACAAGCCGAAAAGACGATCAAGCGCTGAGGGTTTTAAGCACTGCTATATTTTTGCATATTGTACTTTAAAGCATTGCAACACTTTAAAAGTACAGGATAACTTTCAGAGTATTGCTGTACTTTCAAAGTACTGCAATACTTTAAAATGCCCCAGCGCTAGATCGTCTGTTTCGGCTTGTTCGGCGTTGTTCGAAGGTCACTTTGGCACAGCAATACTTTGAAAGTACTGTTGTACTTTAAAGGTGCATATTGTAGTTCAAAGTGCTGCAATACTTTAAAAGTATTGTTGCACCTCAAACTACTGCAATACTTTAAAAGTGCAGGAATACTTTAAAAGTATTGTTATAGTTTCTAAAGTATTGTAATACTTTAAAAGTACAGGAATACTTTAAAAGTATTGCTGTAGTTTCAAAGTATTGCAATACTTTAAAAGTACAGGAATACTTTAAAAGTATTGCTGTACTTTCAAAGTGCTGCAATACTTTTAAAATGCCTCAGCACTTGATCGTCCGTTTCGGCTTGTTCGGCGTTGTCCGGAAAGGTCACTTGGCGCAGCAGTACTTTGAAAGAACGGGTGCACTTTAGAAGTATTGCTGAACAGAAAGCCAGCAGTACTGTCTCCAGGCAACACAGTAAGCAAAGCAATATATAAAGCACTTCGATTAAGGCGAGGTAATTGTTTTGCCTTCATTTTCAGAGGAGTTACAATAGCTACAGTTTCCCAGATAGAAAAAAATGCTCTTTAAAATGGATGTTTTTTCGAAAGTCGAAGATCCAAATAAAAGCACAACTGTGTAAAAGATCAAAAGGTACCGTGGGTCTAAAACGACGCTCGGGTCCAGCAGTACGTTCCATTCACTTAACTGCCAACTCCTCTCAAACCGAACCGCAAACAACCGCACGCGGGCTGCGTGTCTGCGTTGCGCTGCTACCGCGCGCAGACTGCGATTTGATGAACGCTATATGCAGCCTGCAGGTAGCGTGGTGGTATGTTTACTTTTCTGCGCCGATGCAGAGGACCATTTTCGAAAAACAAAAACCCATATTTACTAGAATTAAAGTCTGGACAGTTCTACGCGCCTTATAATCCATTGCCGCAATGGAATTGGCTGTTCTGGGTACCGTTGGAAAGACAAAATTATTTTACATACTGGGTTTTTTTGGTTTTGGAATTCAGCCATTCGAATTCCAACGATCAGTGGTTTTCTCAGTTAGGGGAATTAGTTTCATGTTTAAAAATTTATATCTTTACTGTTTTTTACACAAGATTTTTTCAAAATAAATCCAATATGTAAAAAAATTATACGTTATATTTAGAAACAGCAAACTTGAAGTTGCCCCATTGGGTGCTTCAGCGCAGTTTTTTTGGGGCAACTACAACATAAAATTCTATATCCCGTTTGCACTTTTAGGCTTCATTTTAAAAACTTATATGTTAAAAAGTGCAATTTATAAGGTTTCTAATGAATCTTTGCACTTCGAGAACAGACCAACCAAAGGCGGACAACAAATTCTCAAAGTTGTCAATAAAATTGGCATGCTGCAAACAATTACATCCCGTTAACAAGCTGTACCTTATAGACAACAACAACTAAATTAATATAGAAGTACTTAACAGTACAGTAACTACTATAGTACAGTGCCTACGTTAGCGCTCTGCAAAGGTTAACATATTGCAAAATTACTAATGGGAGTGTATATTTAATTAGATAGTATTTGCACGACACAGTATGTGACGTACAAAATTTGGTGTGTAAATGCCAGTATAGTACTTAGCGTTCAGAACGACGACCTCTACACAATAACTGCAAGTTTTGCAACATTAAATTTTGCTGTCAATGACGTGTCAATCGCTGTCAATGGTACCTGCATTCCTGATCACTGTCCACTGCTGTTACCCAGGGGCTTGGGTATTACACGCTTGTGCAATCAATACCCAATATCGACCGCACGATGAGAAAGTACCAGTGAACTGCACCAGGGCGCACGGCGAGATGGGGAATTATAAACAATAGGGTAACAATTACAGCACTGCCATAAATAATTAATATTGCACCAATACGGACGGTGCGACGGCAGCGATCAGTCAACAGTGCATTACACGGTACGTCGATAAACAAAGCAATTGGTACTTGACCATAGTACTACAAGTCGGCGACGAGAAAATTGTATGATTTATTAGCACCTAAGTAAGTACACAAACAATGGTACATGCAGCAAAAGTGCACATGCATGCACCAATGGTGCAATTGAATGCACCATTGGTACGGATCTTTACTGGTGCCCACCGGTGCGCTGCAATATGCTCACGCATGTGCAGCGCGAGGTACAGCACAATAATAATAACCGTTAATATGCACTTGTTATGTAGTGATATTCAACGGAGCATGACGCATTGTTGACCTGGTGGTTACTAGTGATGAGTGGGTGCAAAGTGTGAGCAAACCCTCTATCATTACCTGCAATGAACTACTGAAATAATGGCTATGCCATGATTAAATTTCTGGTACGTGGTTATTCTTATATAGTACACTTATGGTTTATTAGTAACGTAGTACTGCGGGGAAGTTGTTTTCTGATTTTGAACTTCACAATCGGCGTCGAACTAATCGCACCGTGCCGATTCTGCCGGTTCTCTCGGATCACATTTTAAATAATAAGGTTATTATTTCAAGGTTACCTTGAAAGCTTTACCGAAGCCAGCTTTACCGGAACCGGCACCGGTGACGCGGGGTAAGATAATTTTTTTAAAAACAAAATGCATGTGACACAGTTTCTGAACACGCTGAAGCTATAGATAGCGTTTTCAGTTTTTTTTATTGTGCTATGGCTTTTACGATCTCCACGTCCCAGATTAATTTTTTTGTAGTCATGTCATAGATCTTGTTCCTTGATATAAAACTTTAAAAAGTACGCTGTACCAAAATATAATTTGCGCTAGTTCACGATTTATCGATAAAATCCTCGCATTAATTTACATATAGAGTATTAATGTATTCTTGAAAGTCACATTATATTTTAATTTAGTGAAAATCTAGCGAGCATCCAGAGGAGATCCACATCCAACACCGGGAAGGTGCAGTGTAAGAGAATTTTAATTAACACTGATTTGAACATAGAGTATTTCCGTCGTTCTTATCGTAATTCGGTGCTACGAGTACAATGACAGTAAGAAACCAGCCTAGAAAAAAGCGCAGTAATCCATAGCCAACCGGCCAGTACGTACCGTCCGTAAGTATGCCATTTCGATTTTTTAGAAATCCGAACGTAATGCACCAGCAAAATTCGGAAGAATAACAGGCTAACAAATGTGCGTATAGTGCTTATTGTATGTTCATATTCGCTGGTCTTTTCAAAGAATGAAACATCGTGTTTATACTCATACAAAGTTCAGACCGTAGCTTGTTTGAAAACAGCATCAAAATAGAAACTTATCGTTAATTACAGAAGTGACTTACAATTTACTGTCATTTACTGTAACTACTGTAATTTCACCACCCATCTTTTTTATTTTTTTTACAGCGGTTCCGAACTAATGAAAGTGAAATTTGAAACTTGGTTTAGCATTGGTAAAATCTGAAACTTGCTCCGCGTTGTCCTTTTACAATTTGGGTACTGTAATATCTTCTGGTGTACGTTAACTAACAATAAGAAGCAAAACAAGTACTGCGAACGACAGATCACAGGAACGCTTATGTTCACAGAATACAGATGCCAGATTTGCAAACTGCTGCGAGAGAGGATCGGTATAATTAGGAAAACCTCTGAACCTGTTTTGGAAAAACCTGTGCAATACATAACATACTTTAATTACAAGATAATGGAAAGACCTGTGCAGCCTGTGTTTTGGAAAGTGTGGTGGAATACGTAACATATTTTCGATTATCTTGTATTAATCGAATGTAATCGAATGTAATAATGCGTTATGGACATGAACTGTCTGCTATTTGAATGACATGGCAAACTGAAACGTTATACTTGATTGTCCGTCAGCCAAAAGAGCATGGTTTCTGCGAGTACACACTGCCCAACACCAACAGTTTAGTTTTCAAACCAACATATTTTTGTCCGCGATTCGCGTTAAGTTCAATCGATCGCTGACCACTATTATTATTATTATTATATTTACCGACTTATTATTACCGACCAGACGTTGAAGTCCCGTTTATCGGGTTGTCTGCTCTTGATGTAATAATAATAATAATAATAATAATAGTGGAACGCCTGCTTCTTCTCTGCATGCTGTTGATGTGTCGATCTGTTATAATAATCTCTCTTTTATTAGCATTAAATTGTTTCTGCGTACCGACCAGACATTGAAGTCCCGTTACTCGGGTTGTCTGCTCTTGATGAATGAATGCGACCGTAGAAATTGCCCTGCTTACCGGTAGTAGTTAGCGCGCTCTAGTCTTCAGCGACCTACCTATTCCCCCTAGTGTCGCCTTCAGCAGGAGATGGCCTCGTTTCGTTAACTGCACTTTCGCGAAGATTTCATATCAGATGTGTGTCAGGGAGATTTCATATCAAACATCTGGTGTCAGGCATTGTATTTTTAGCACGGAAATTAAAATTTAGTATTTCAAGACTACTAGTGCTGACTGTAGAGTGAGACCTTTCGTATTAGCGGTCAGTCGAACTGAAGCGGGACATCTGCACGAAACCGGTTGCCGGTTAAACTAAGATTAATTTCGACCGCCACGGACTTCAGTATTCAATTATTTTACAGAATTACTAGTAAGTAAAATAAGGTTTTATCTTGTACTGATCGCACGGATTTCTATACTGATTTTCTCTGAAGCCACTTGATTTTTCAAATACGAGCGGTCAGCCGAACTGAAGCGGGTCATCTGCATGAAACCGTTTGCCGGTTAAACTAAGATTAATTAATTCGACCGCCACGGACTTCAGTATTCAATTATTTTACAGAATTACTAGTAAGTAAAATAAGGTTTTATCTTGTACTGATCGCACGGATTCCTATACTGATTTTCTCTGAAGCCACTTGATTTTTCAAATACGAGCCACTACGAGGCCTAATATATGTGATCTTTTTGCAGATAATTATAAAACTTAGACAACATGGTGACGTCGACAGTTTTCTCTCAACAGGAGCACGCACCGACTAATGATGCACAATTGTTATTTACAGTACCATGACCTTTCCCTCCATGCCCCCTTATAAGCGGATGCTGGCGGATACCCACCAGCTAAGCGAGCGCAACACCGTTGCGGTCCGCAACGACGACGGTGCATACTGGCTGGGACACATTCAGGACATCGCTGGCGACTACGCCTTTGTCGATTTTCAAAGTAAAAGAGTCCCAGCCAGCTGGCTGCATACGGGGCGTGTGTGGCCTCTGCCGGTCCCGGAGTATAACGAGCATGCCACGCCGGTATATTTAGCGGCTCTCCGTGACGAAGACGACGGACCATTCCGCTTTCGTCCAATCACTGTGTTTTTTATTGGCCCTATATGGGGTATACTGGTGAAGGATTACGACCAAACAGATATCAGCAGTAAATCACAAAATGAGCATACGGAATTAGTGGACGTTGGTCAAATTATCGATCAGGCAGCGCTATCCCAGCCGCCGATGCTGTACCGTACCACCGGTTTCCTGCTCACCAAGCGCTTTGTTCCTTTTGCCAGGGCGCATGACGTTCTATGCGACGCATCCGACAAGTCGCGCATCATCCATCACATGTGCGAGTCTTTTAGTCACGCTGCGCGTGAACGGCGTTCATTCGATTACGGTCGTTTTCACCTGCGCATTGAACAGAATGGATGCACGTTTATCGTCAGCCATATAACCCACCACCAGGCGGAAGCGCCAACCGTGGAAACACTGTCGGGTATACTGCAACGTCATTTAGACTCCCGGACCCATCTGCCGGCGTTCATTTACAATGACCTCTGCGACCGTGTCAGCGCACCCGATGGTAAAGGTCAAGTGCAAAGTACTCTGCTGTGTGTACTAAGTAAATATAAGAAAAATATACAGAGGTGTCTTGCTTAACTTATGTACAGTATTATGGCAGAGTGCAATATACACGCACAAGTGAAAGTATCATTCTATTGTATACATATATATAAATGTATATAAATCCTGTCCTGTCATATATATAAATATATATAAGTAGGTACATAATCGTATAGTGTATTTATGTACAGTATGAGACTATGAGTTGCTGAGTAGACTATAGTTATGTATTCATGTTATATGGCATAGAAGTATGTATTCTTCGTAATATGCCCTATGCGACTTCTTCATATCTATATGCGGGCTAGGTATGTACTAGTACCTAATACTCATATAGGCTATAATTATTATAAACGGTCCTCATACCCATAATCCTACTCCTAATTCAGAATTTTTATACTAATATTGGCTCTAATAATCATAATCATACTTCGGTCCTACCGGTCATCGTACTTTCGTTTATAATCATTACTCACACCTTTGTCACTACTCATACTTTACACAATGTTCACTTGCGTAACCCAATAAAATACTTTCTTCGCGATTTAGTGGTGATCATAAGAAACTAGAAAGAAAGCCTAAACAAGAAACTAATAAAACACAATCGACGTACTGTATATAATCATTACCTTTTTCTTCGAGCATTATTTAACTTATTATCAAGTTTACTTAATATTTTGCTTAGTGCGTTTTCGGTTAAAGCTACTAACTGCTAGTAACTCGTAAGTCTATTTGCGTAGCAAGAAGCATTTCGCCAACTGCTATTTACGCTTCAGTTGGGCGAGCGGAACCTCCGTCTGACGATGCTTCGCTGGACCATCTGTCGATCTCACTCCTCTGCGAGATCTTTGCTTATCTGGACTTGCATTCACGAATGAAGCTTAAAAGGTAAGGATTATTGTGTACTGATCAGCAAGAGCACTGCACAAGTTTTCGTAACCGTTTTCTAGACTCTGGTTAATGCTAATAAAGTATGCATGCAGTTTTTGTACAAGGCGGGAAACAAATCCAAAAAGATAAGGAATACTTCATATAGATATATTAAACCTAGTGCCAGGTACGTAAGGTCACGATACCAATTATAAGTAAACTGGCTTGTAATAAAAATGATGTAGAACTAATTAAGACCTAACTAAAAACTAATGTAAAACCAACTCAAAATAAAGTAGGACTAAGGTATGCATACAGCTTAGGACTAAAAAGACGCATAGCCCCATTCCCAGATATCTGTACGCATGTGGCAAGTGCACTTGTACGACAACCGGATATTTTAGCTGAGTCGTACAGCGCACTGCGCCGCATGCGTTCGGAATGCTGTGGGGTGGGATTATGCGTCTTTTTTGTCCTAAGCTGTATATATCCACAGTTTTTTCAAAAAGTGTTGTTGATGTATATTAATCAAAGCAAAAGATCGCTAATTTTGTTGTGTTGTGCAGAGTGTGTACAATGTGGATTTCGCTGCTGAACAGCCGTCATGTGGTCGAACACATCAGCATTTGTTTGAAAACCTGCTCTCATGATACGATATCCCACAATCTGAACAGCTACAAAGCAGCGTCTCTGCTCCACCGCATGGTCAACTCGGCGACAAAAAGCCTCACCATACTGCAAAACTTCGACTACCACTTCTGTCTGAGCAACCTTTTGAAGGGCATGGGAATCAAAGTGCCGACAATAATTTTCAAAGACCACATTGTTACCAATAAAAACGGAAGTAATATTGGATACCCGGATATATGCGAGGGACAATTTCCGTTAAACTACGCACTAGGGGCGCGGTGCGCCATCTTCGACGATTGCTGTCAGCGTGTTGTGATTTATAATTGGAAAGTGAGTGATATTTTTGGCGCTGTAGCGTACGAGCTGTTCTCCAAATATTACTCATACCGGAAATCTGTACGGGAATTTATGCGATTGCCCCGGATCGAAACAAGTTCAATGATGGCGTGTTTGACTCATGAGTCGCATGTCGGTGTACTCGCGGCCGACGCCCTGCAAATCACGATTCCGCAGCTGATTCTGCACAGTAGTGATGGGCGGTACCACATGCTGCGGCGATTTATGTGGGGGTTGAACGACAACTTTCCCCCGGTTACCGAGGACATATATACAAAGGTCACAGCTGTGCACGCTCGCTGGGTGCGCAACTTACAGTATCCGGCTGAATGGAGTAGGATCCGAGCGTATCTTGAACTGTAAGCGCACGTACCGAACATAAAAATGATGGCTGATTGTACAAGGCGGATTTCAAATGGGTTACGTAAAAGGAACCGCTAAATTTATGAGTTGCACTAACGTAAGTACGATAACGGCGAGCCACGCCTCACTATGTAAGTGCTTCAAGCAAATTTGGCATTACTGATGCACTACTTAAATATGCCCATTATTTTAATCAATAATAATCAATTTCGCTTTATCGATCAATACAGTAGAACGTTGAGCACTTGACCGAATTGACAACCTCGGTGGCGGGCGGCCTGTGTGGCGCCCGTTAAAAAACGAAACTATAACGGTCTAACTCTCAAAATAAATGGTGTCTTTTTTGGGAAAAGATATTCAGTGATGCATATTTTTTTAACGAAAGTGTGAAGTTAAGAGTGGTGCTGGTAGCCTGTTAATTTTTATGACAGAGATGTTAATAGAGCCCGTAGTCATGGGATGGTTACCGGAATTATGTTCGAATTTTTACTGTTTCTGACGTGCTGTTTTCTAATATACATTCTCGGGAGTTCTCATATCTGTTTTAAGTATCTGTAAATGGAAAAAAAATTAATGTTTTTATAAAGGCCAGCACGGGAAAGCTGGGTTCGAGCCCTGGTAAAAAAGGGTAGGTACCCAGGTACTCATAAAATACACAACCGCTGCCACAGGCCGTCAGCACAAAAGGACTATGTGCCCTTCCTCTATATGTGGCGTTGTATTTTATTATGTGGCGCTGGCCAACGGGCGGTCACCACATTTTCCATAATCGTCAAACCTTCGCTATGCTTCGGTCGATTATTTATACGCCACGAGTAGACAACAGGATTAACGGGACTTTCTCGTCTTACTGTACGTCTCGCGTGCTCCCCGGGAAGTAAATCAAACAGACATTTTGTTCGGCCAACCTGGTTTTGAAGTTTTGAACCAAATTAACGGTTTTTCATTGCAGATTTAGCGGATTCCACGCGGACGGCTCAGCGAAATTTTGGGACGAACTGGACCTGCGAACCGAAAATGTGCGTACATGGAGCAGGATGGCGCTTTTTGGGATTAAGGACATATTCCCAGCTGCAGAGTGCTGGTAGATTGCGTATTGACTCATGCGCATCAACATTCGCTATTGTTTCCACTGGTTAATCACTATTCATTCACTAATCTTACTTACTTCTGCATCACCGTCTGATAACAACAACGAAATAAATACTGGAATCAAAACATCATTTACCTACACCTTAATTTTTAATTTCATTCAACTTTAAGTCTTTAACGGGTCTAGAGCAGTCATCCAGAAAAACTATAAACTACAATCCGAAATAAATATAGCCAGGGGAAATCCACACCACCTAATTGTAATACCGGGAACCTGCATTACAAGACAATTTTATTTAACACCTATTTTAACATCGAGTTTTTTATCGCAGTTCCTTGCTAAAATGAGTGTAAGGAATTAGTTTAGAAGAACGAAATGGCTACGCGCGAGAGTTTCTGGCGCAAAGTCAAATGACTACGCGTGCGAGTTACCGAAATTAAATAATCACCGGTTTGTGAACTATAGCTAGCAGCTTATTATCTATGATATTTAAAAATAATAGTTAATACTCACGGGTCCACGTCAGGTATTTACGGTAACAACCAAGTTCAAAATTTATGTTCTACTGTTGTCCGAATAGTTTCTTGAATATGTACGGGTACTTTGTATTGTACAATCCGGCGCAGTTAAGCTGCCTACCGGTATTCCTAACCTTATATTAATAAATTGCCAGTTTTGTACTATTTACTCCTCTAAAATGGACCCGAATCTGCCGGAGACCGTTTTATGTCCTACGAAGCTGCTGTAAAAGCTGTCCAAGTGATGGAACTCGCACATCTGCCAACCGTACAGCTGCCGGTACACCAGGGGATATCCTCACACGATTCCACACCACAAGCTAGGACGCACCTTATGCGAGAGGCTTTCCTACATTGCGGTGGGCTGGAATCACCCGCCGAAATGGCTCTGTGTCAGCCAAATGACCAATGTTCTGCGCGGGTACAATTTCAGCGAAATAAATACAAAGATATCGAACGGTGAAAAGTGATTGGACAAAGATATCGTCCAGTCACTTTTCAACGGCGTAAATCACTACGTGGCTACGACTGCGCGCTATACGAATGTACGAAGCCTGGCGTCGTATTAAGGATCCACTCCTCGACGCGTCGACAACAACCAACGGATTTATGCATTTGCACTTGCTCACGATTTGCTGTCGCGGGAAATCATCCAGACAGCCAATTACAGCCCTGACCTAGAATTTCGGGAATGGTTTCGCGAAACGATTGTCATGAGAGTGTTAAAGCAACATCCAATAGTTCAGGGACGAAATGCCCGTAGTAAAACGGTGATCACCTTTCAGAGCATTCGCGTTTCCGCAAAAGAAGCCGATTAGGCGAAGCTTTGGAGAAAGCAGTAAAGCTGTCGGATAATCCAAGAGACACTGCTCTTCGAATTCAAATTGTAGTTTCAGAATTGCTATTCATAATGCTGCTGCGTTTGTGTCAGATTGTGGTTCATTATCGCTCGACTACCAATATAAAAAAAAAACAAAACTATCGCGCGTAGCTGATTCTGTACGATTTTTACTATGGGCGGACGCTCTCACGCGCAGGAGCTCTCGCGCGTATCTGTAAAGCTGACCTTAGAAGAAAGCGCAATAATCCATAGTCAGTCGGCAAGTACCGTCCATAAGTATGCAATTTTCATTCTTTAAAAGCCCAGTCCTCCCGCACACGCAGAATATAAACGAATTACAGCAGGCTTTAACAGTCTTACTTGTGGAGTAAATAATAACTAAACAATTCAATTTCTAAATATAATTTGAATTTCTTATCACAAAAAACTTAGCGCAAAAAATTTAACTATAAAAATGAGTGCAAAGCAAGTACATAAAATTATTAAAAAGAAGCAGCAGCTATTAATACATGAAATTAAATCATCAGGAGAAGCAACTTGATCTCGATGATGTGTTTTTGGTTTGTGTATAGTTGAGCAGACGGTTTTGTATGTTCTTGTGACCTCAGTTTAATTTCAATACTAGCTGAAGTGGACTGAATTTATTACAATAGATTATATAGAAAGAAATTAATTATTACACTACAAACTTTCTGAAAAAATTTTACGGTGATCACAATCGCATCGTGGACGGCGCCGGCTAAAGTGAACGCTGTTAATTTGGATAATGATTTACTTACACCAAATCCTCTAACTACTGTATACTGTCATCATTTTACAGCATCGCAATTACATCCAGCCCCTGTCGTCGGGGCGTTTCGTGAAGGCACCTGGTATTGTGTCGGTTGCGAATAATTGTGATAATTCGGACTGGAATAGCTGGGCGACGCGGGAGCACCATGGTAGGCATTCTGCGGATGCCCGATGTATCCATTGCCGGCTGGTCGATAATTCGACGACTGATCCGGACGACGAAGGTCCCCGCCACCCGGCGTCAGAGTCACGGAGGATGAATAGCGCGGTTGCCCAGTACTGCTGGACTTGCCCAGTATTATGCCCGGTGAAGGCGCATAATTATGGTGCTGTGCCGGCGGCAGATCATATGTTGTACTGTGGTCCAAAAAACAGCCATGAAATGAAAGTTTAACCAATTACATCATTCTGCTTCAATTTTTTGTGAAATTTCAATATGCATGCAAAAAAATTTATGGCTCTAATCATTTTAAATTATCCGCTGCGAAAATAGCGGACACTGATCCTCAGTACAGCATTCGACACATTTGGACTTTGGTGAGCCCGCGCTCTATGGTTTGTGCAAAGATTAACAAAATGATATACAGAGTACTTAACCTATATATGTACACTTCTACAGATATATCTGTGCATCGCCTACAGACTACAGCCAAGTTCATGACAATTACAAAGTACTTAACCAAAACTTGAAAAATACTCGTACACTGAGAAAAACACAAATACAAAGCAGAATTTGCTCCACACCTTGGTATTTAAAATCTTGCCGGTTTGGCAGTGCGATATTCACCGGGTTCTGCTGCATATTTCGTTTATACATAAAAAATTATATAATACAAAATTGTAAAATAAAAGATGGAACAAATTGTAAGATAGAAAAAAATACAATTTTTAAAATTAGCAAAAGATTTTCCAATAGCCTGTTGCAGTGTCCGTTAATGGAGTTTGGATACCGTAGTTGCAATGATTCAAATTGCAAAGATTCAATGATTTGCAAATTTTCAAAGCTTCCAAATCCATTGCTAATTTATTTTTGATACCATTACTAATTTCAACAATCCTTACTCCGATACAATCCGATCCACATTATGGACTGGATCGGACTGGATTCGGTTTCCAGTCCAATGCAAGAGTTTCCAGTCCTAGAGCCTGACACTGTGCACTGGACAGTAATGGTACAATAGTTTGGTCAGACGTTCATGTACAGTGGACAGTAATGGTTCGGTTCGGTAATTTTGTTAGAAAATGGTGGTGGTGTTCGGCCCGGTAGTGTTTTTAAAAGTTTTTGAAAGGTCAGTTTAATTCAAATCATCAGTTACGAACATCGCCGGCCCATGGTCGGGGAGGGCGGCGTAGCTTGAAGTTCGTTCAGCTGCCCGGTCATGCTCTGCAAGGCACGAAAGAAACGCGAGGGGATGGCGTTGCCGGTGTAGCGTGCGTTGGATCCGGTTTCCTCGTTGAATTCCGTGCGAAAGGCCTCATCCCGGAACGGATGGATGGTCTGCTGATCGCCACCGGCCAGTGCGGCGCCGGGTGCGGCGTGGTGTGCCACGTTTTCTCCAGGGTTTGGTAGGCACGCGAAGGAATGCTGTCGGCACGATGGTAGCCGCTGAAGCGCATCTCATCGGTCTCCTGCGACGGCTTGGATGCAAGCGGAGAAGCCGTACCTGGCAACATACTGTCTGTAAAGAATTCCAGCGATTTAGTGAATAACGATTCACTGATATACTTGTACGTAAATTTATTCATACGTAACCTGGCACCTAGCTGCTGCCCTAGTGCACAATAACTTCTGCTGTTCAGTATACTAGGTAATTTCCCATTTAATTAATGTGATTTCCGAATTTGCAATTTACGTATAAATTCCGTGTCATGTAATACGTACGGATGAAAATGTTTATAAGTCATCTGACAACAAGTATCAACAATTAAGTTGCCTAACCAAAACTCATTGCCGATTCGGACCCAAAACGAGCTGCCAAAAGTTGATGAAAGCTTTCCAAAACCAGAAAACCTTTCCAAAACCATAGTAGTTTAACTTATAGTCAAACCTAACCAGCCAATAAATGCAAAGAAGATTAACAATAACTCAGCATGGCTGCGTTGATCGGAAGTGACTTCTGTAATTCCAACTTTTTAAAATTAAGCGTTACTTAATAATAATTTAAAAATTTCTGCCTTTCTTACCACCATCTTCATCAGCTCCCGTCATCCACTACAGAACTTTAAACGACCGACTCTGAATGGGCGCCACCCGTCCACTGCGCAGTCCACTATCCGATCCCGGTCCGCCGCTATCCTGCCGTGACTGTGATCCCTTACGGGCCTGCAGCGGTGAATTGCGTACCACACCCGATTTACCAAACCTGGATACCGGCGGTTCTTTAATTCTTGACGTGACCCTTGACACACACACACACCACTCCACGTCCCTGTTATTGTGGCGGATGATTGATGGGGTCGCCGGCGCGGTGAGAATAATGATGACCAATCAACTTACCGACAGGTGTATAGCTGAACGGCTTCTGGTCGGCTTGGCTGCTGTCGTCATCAGACCGGAAGTACGTACACAGACTCTGACCGAATGAGCATTCGTTTGGCACGCGTACTGGCACCTGGCCGGCACACACTCGCATAGGGAAAATGTCTTTGTTTATCTTTATGCCAAAAATCCCCAACCAACGTAGTTATGGAAGATAAGTTGAAGAGGGTAGGGAAAGAAAGTGTACAGAGTGGTCACCTTAATTTTTTCACTCCGTCCATTGTACGCCGGTTGAGTAACACGGAATCAGCTACTGTGTGACTGGGATTTTTCCTTCGAAGCCACGAGGTGTTCGTGTGTTAGGCACGAGTCAAGTTTATGATACTGACAAAAGAATGATTCCTAAAACATTCGCAAATACGGCAAAAGTTAACAAGCAACATTTGTTATTCTTCATATCCTAG